AACATCCCTCGTCTCGTGTGAAATGTGCTTATCAATCGTGGATCTTTGGTACAATCTTCAACGTATCCAAACGTGAACGTTTCGCATCAAGGTCTGACGGAAGTTTCAATACCGTAGGACGGAAGTTTCAATACCGTAGGAAAACGTGAACATTTCGCATCAAGGTCTGACGGAAGTTTCAATACCGTAGGAAAACGTGATTGGAGTTAAAGAATAAGTTGAGAACACATTCTCCATTAATTTCTATACTACGTTCGTAAATAAGGAACCCTCCAATTGTAGGGCCCGCTACCGTCCAGGTGTCTTTTGTCAATATTGGTATGGCGTCAACATTAACCTTGTAATGTGAATCTGTGAAATGGTTAAGATCAACAAAAGAGTCAACATCCAAGCGTGTCTACAGACGGAAACGGATTAAAAAATCTGTTTCTCATATTGCACCACAACCCTCCCGCCATAGGGAGTGGAGGCCATCTTTATACAGAATGGATTCCAGGAGGAGTACGATTTTAATGAGCTAAATTTTCCCTTTTTGCCCCCGCCCCTCGATCCCCTTGGGGCCGATAACCAATATTTAAACGAACTCTACTTCCATTTTCCTAAGGACACTTTTTATGAAATTGGTCAAAATATGTCCCTTCCTTCATGAAAAGATTTTTTGGTAAATAGTTGACAGACGACGGACGCCGTATCCGGTATATGCTCACCTGCCTCTCGGACAATAGGAGGACGATAAGGACGGAAACGTGTCTTCTGCTTTATCAATGACATCGACAACATTTGTCATGTAGATCTTGGTCAATTCAAACAAGTAATGCCATGTTCTCAAACAAGAACAATGTCAACAACATCAGAACAACCAATCACACTAACGAGCATAAAAAAGCCCGGTGCCATATTTCCCAATGAGAGCTCAAAACTTCCCCAGAGTCTTCCTCAATCTATTTCTCGAAATTCTGCTGAATCAACAGCGATATTTAAACACTTAATAATCGGAAAATGGGTTCACAATATCAAACAGAATAGGGGAAAGTGAAAAAGTTGATTCCATCTCTTCGTTTTTATTGTCTGAATTCAAGTAAGTTGATAACGTGTAATTCATCTAGGTTGTCAACTTCCGGGGCTTTGCGTCATTGGATACAAACGTTGTAGTGATATGTAACACATGCCCAGCCCTTCACTCTGGCTTTACTCTGGAATACATAGGTCTGCTTATCGTTTCCCTCTTGTTAATCATTAAAATGAAAGTGTCACTTGATAAAATGGCTGCATGCATAATCTCATCTGCCACTGTGTTTAATTTAACTTTCTACAAGCGGTTTGCTGCAAGCAGGCAAACATTCTGGAAGTGCAGTTAATACTTATCAGCGGGACCTGTCGGACATCGGCATGGCTGATGAATGGAGCTCACATCCTAATTATAATAAATTTAAGGCTTATACTTGTATATATCATGAGGTATTACTTGTTTTACACATTTTAAAATGTTTCGGCAAACATTTTTATGTTATGATATATGAGCGAAGTATTCAATCTGGTCTTTTTACAATTTTTTGACATCCTCCATGACTCGTGGTAGAGATTTTTAAAAATCATATTTATTATTCATATTTTTATACAAATTTCACTTGCGCCAGTCTATTAGACCCACATACCATTCAGACTTTTGATTTTAAACAACTTTTAAGGAATCGTGTTATAAGTTCACAACCATATATACTTGTACCACTGTTTACCGTTTGAAAGGGAATCACTCGTCATATCGCGCGCTACCGACTACTGAAGCTATAACGAGACAATTCAGCACTTATAATTACTGATAGTATGGTATGAACTAAGGTAAGGCCTTCTCAAGAGTTCGAGCCGTAAAATGGAACAGCAGTTTTGACGACCTGATGTATTGTATCTTGATCACACAAACTTCTTTCCCTTGTTATTTCGTATCTCGGTATTATCATAGAAATATCGCTTTAATACCCTAATGGGTTTTGTAGCCAAAAAATCGAAGCGATATTGAATACTACAGTACCTGGAATATAAAGGTACGCGTTTCTCGGAGTAACCACTTCTTTCCCACGGAAATAAAACAAAAACAACAAAAAGACAATACCGATATGTTAACAAATTCTTAATTCAGACACGTTTGCAATGAAATTATGGCAAAACGTGAACAAACGATTTCCATGGAGACTTAAGAAAAAGGTAGAGAATAAGACCAGGTTTTCCGGAAGGTAAGCGTCTTCTTCTCCATCGACGACATCCGCTATGTAAATCTTGGTCAGTGTAAGAAAAGTAAGATCACGTTCCCAAATGAGAAGAAGGTATACAACAACGGAAACACCAGGCAAACTAACCAGCATCGAACATGTCCTGATTGACCTTAAAGTTGGTCTAAGCCCCCAAATAGGGCCGCGATATCTCGGTTGGTAAAATGTTGGTCTAGGCATCGGAAGTGCGTGGCTTGAAGCTTCCAACACGTGACAGTTTGTTTCTTATGAAACAAAGAAACAAGTGGGCCTGCGTTGTCATGGCTGTGTCCTTTGACAAGATACTATATTTGTTCATGACATGCGACGAGCCTCCCGTATGTTATTCAGCGAGGTAGCCACCAGCAACAAAAAAGGAGACATCGCTCAAATTGCCTCCGATTGTTTCCATGGCGATGTACCTAGCAAACAAACAAACAAACAAACAAGCGATCAAACAAATAAACAAAACCTCGAACAGGATATATAACTCCTACACCATGCAATAGATCCGCAGGCTGTTTACAATTTAACGCTAAAGACACCGCGTATAGAAATACACTAGGCATACCACACAATACCTTTATCGGAAGTCTTAAGTTATTTGTCACCTTGTCAGCATCGGTGCGTGTTTTAATGTCGGTGCATTTTTGCCCTCTCCGGGGAGTCCGGTAGTCTTTCCTTTGATGGCGATGTCGTTAACGACTCTAATCCTGCAGGGAGTCTACATAGCTACACCTTGTAAATGTCATTGAACTTTGGTAAAAAGAGACATTACATATCTCTCTGGAGCTACCATACTACTGGCATGTTTGCTTTCGTCACAAAGAAAACACATCTTTTTTGAAGTCGGATCAAATCGTAATCTCGATTCGAGCGGCAATAAAGGTTGGGAATGAAAACGATTTATATCGGGATTGAATACACATCAAAACGTCCGCATAGTTATATGGGTTAGTGAACACAATGGAAAGGTCTGAAAGAATGTTGCGTAAGGTAATATTTGTGAAATGTTCCGTAAAAATCCGCTGACATATAAAAGTCTACACGATTTACCTGTATTCCATTGTCAGAATCCAATGGTTAGACTCGCGATATACCTTATCAGCATAACTTTATAGTCAGAATAAAAAAAAAGAAAAAACACTATATTGAATAATTGAAAAGGAGACAGGTCGAATAAGGCACAAGATACCGTAGGGACGGTGGTTTAATGTATTTTGTGTTTAGATTACTTGAAGAGTAAAAAATCTTACTCAACTCCTATCCGATATACGTCTAAATTTCTTCAAATATTTGCTCAGTTCTCAAGCCATTTATATACACAAATCACCTTGGTGGTATGCCTTTGTTGGCGTCACTGATCTCTTTTTCAAAATACAAATCATGATATCTTGTAGAGATGTGTAAGTTTTTCATACTTGTCAACATCAATTATGAGTTAGCGTTCTGTCGAGGTTTGTTACCTCGATGGTATAGATGTCGCGCTGCTTCGATAACACTCTTAACATAATGCCGATTGCACCACTGCAACTCTTTGACGAGTATACTAGGTCATTGTTATATAGTCATAGACGAACAAAAATAACGTCAGTGACGATGATAAATCAATTAGTATTTGATTTGAATATTCGAATCCTAGCGAAAGCATTGGTTTATATTGCAACTTAATTAGAAATTATGCACCAAAATTTACGAAACGATAGGATATAGATATAATATGATATTAGTTGTTTCATTTATGTACAGAACTTTTCTGATGGACTAGAGTAAAATTGTATTCTGTTTAAAACGTTGCGCTCAGCCTGACACTTCCTTACATACTGGAAAATAAAAATGCATTTGTGTTCTTACTGTCATAGTTGAGATGTTGTTGCCCTTCTTCGCAGCAAATTTTGTTGATGTTTGTAATATTCCTTCCTGAGGTTTTTTTTAATCATTTCAAATACTATCCATTGTTACCTTACTGTTTATGCATGCTAATTTTATTGCGATGGGGTGGAGATGTGGTAGGGTGGGAGATTGGATTACTTAATTCATTGAGTTATTGGGGGAGTGCACCTTCCTGACTAGATATTGGCATTTTTGATGACTTCCTTCAGTCGCCTTATAGGTTTCAAAAATTAGACCCCTAGCATTAACAGCTATATTATGCCGTTTTATTCCTTATATGGCTTTGCTGTATATAATTCTAAATTCCAAAAAGGTTCTACTCTCTTGTATGTTGTTTGTACAATCATTGAAAACCTTTCAATCAATTTGGCTCATATTTACAAACCGTAGTTCTACGCCTAATCAAATTTGGGTTTGCATATGTACTAGCAAAAACAAATTTCTCCATATTAATACCTATGTTATGGTGTCAGGAATTTCAGGAATAAACGTATGTTCTTTATTGTAAATCTTCATCATAATTTGTTTGTTTATTAACATACATTAATGGATATAATGTCTTACCATTGTTACGCCGTAAATGAGACATTCAAAATGCATTTATCATCCTTTCCATAGCAAGTTGCAAGCCCCTACTTAACTTTTATTTATATTAGTGACGTATTTAATAATCTGTCAATCTGTTAAATAAATATATGTTGCTATGATTCTTACGATATGTCATAATGTCTGATATATAATAAATGTAAAATGTTAAACAATGACGGTTTAAGTTTGTTTAAATAATCACGACCTGCTTGTATTTCTCATTTTTAAAAAGCAAACTGGAATGTTGTTGTGATATGTAACCTGGTATTTCAGGCCAAACGTGTGTGGTACGACCCGCCAGTATTGCTGCAGAGGCTGGACCAGACCCGCCAACACCATCCGGTGTATCATACGTAAGTGTCCTCTACTCTCACCATCGGCCATATACTGTAAAAGTTGTTCTTTTCAAGGATTTTTGTTTTCTCGCTATTTTCTAAGATAAAATCCAGTTTTAAAAATAACATCCTCAATACTCCAGGGGTTACTTATCCCTTTAGCATGATCCAGGGGTGCAGAGAGCGAAAGTGATCATAACCCCAGGAGTATCGGGGATGTAAAAATAAATACATGAAAGATGTTTTTATGGAAAAATTTGTACTCAGTTCCATGATTTCTGTGAAGAAGACATTCTCTTTGGTGAAAACGTTTGGTAAAACTGCTAAAATAACTAGGATTAGACTCAATTCATATTTTCTCGTGTTAATAGTTAAAATAAATAAGCGACGTATTTTTTGTTGTAGCGATCTGTGTACGAAACTGTGATGGAGGGATCTGCATGCGTCCCAACCAGTGTCTGTGTCCAACCGGGAATATATCCCCGTCCTGTAGAACCACACGTAAGTGTTGCACAACCCTCCTGTAGAGCCACATGTAACTATAGCAAAGCCCCTCCGTAGAACCACACGTAAGTATTGCACAACCCTCCTGTAGAGCCACTGTAACTATAGCAAAACCCCTCCGTAGAACCATACGTAAGTATAACACAAGCCCCCTGTAGACCCATACGTAAGTATAGCTAATCCCTCCTACAGAACCCCACGTAAGTAAGAAAAAAGACTACTGTAGAACCATGCATACAATAAAAAGAAATCCTCCTTGAACCACACATAAAATCCCTCAAAAAAACCTGTCGACCCACCTGTACATGCCACTAGTAAGAAAAGAAAACGTTGTCGAACCATGTATGTGCAAGGAAAACACGTAAGTAAGGAAACACCTCTGTAGAACAATATGTAAGTAAAAACACGACTGTCGAATCACATACAAATTGGTACTATTTGTCGAACCATACACTATTTCTTGTCAGATTATACGTTTAAAAAATAAACTACGCATACTGTAACAGTGTACCATGGCATGTTGTCCCTTCGTAGAAAGGCTGCAAATTCTCCATCATACCTTGAGCAAAATTTAAAAATATCAGAAGTTTGATCGTCGAAGGCAACGGTGATGCACAGCTAAAAATAATAACACAGAACAATCCTAAAAATGTGCAGGTGCTTGGAACGTAGATAATGGTATAAAAAGAAATCATAAGTCATTGTAAACGATACTTCATGACCATGGCAATCAGAGGAAACTGTATGTTACCCTTTCACTGGCGAATAGACATGCAAAAGACTTGTAGTAAGACAGATCGATCTGCATTCTACATGGTGGAAATGTTCATGAAATTATACCCAGTATAAATAAAAGCAATAGGTACAGCTGAAACGAAAACCCTTCTCAACAATGCAGTCCATTTTTATTATGCAAAGAGCATTTTCAATGCTCTTCAACATGCTGATGTCGCCCCTGAGTATCAGTACTTCGTTTTCATTGGTTCATAAATCGAACGTTTACTCCTATTCCATCTGCCGGACATTACCGTAATCATTGGATTATCGCCCCTACAAGTTGCTGATGCTAGTCATTAAATGAAACAACCTTATCGACATTTTCTTCATTACTTGTTGAGCATTACATTGGTATAACACACATTTCAGACCGCTTAAGTAGGTGGAACATTTTATTAACTGATATAAACGTTGCCTTATTCTGTGTGAAATAAGTCGACGGGTTTTGATGAATATGTCTGGTGGTTCTGTTATCGATAACTGTTCCCGTTTCGGAACGAGAAATTATTTCCTTGTACTGACCAAGATTCATATGGGTGTCATCGATGAAGCAGAAGACACATGTCCGTTGAAACATCTTATTCTACCTGTATTTTTTCTGTGGTCTCCGTGTAAATCTTTCGTTTGTGTCATATTTCATCAAATTTGATTTTGAATTAAGATTCTTGAGATAAGTCGGTTAGTATTTTTCCCTAATGGTGACACGTAACGATCGTTGCATAGTTGTAAGTTTGAAAATTTCTCCCAATACCTCTCAAGAATTTGCGATATCAAACCTCATCAGTGAAAAATCAAGATGGTCGCCTACCGGTCCTTTTGATTCACTGATCGGACCTACATACGTGAATGAAGTTGAGAAATATCCCTCGAGTACTTCTCAAGAAATAGGGACATCAAGGGTTAGGGTTGATTACGGACGGACGACGGATAGACGATGGACTGAAGACGATTTCAACAACCCACCATCTGTTGATAACGGGCTAAACTTGCCTTCCGCATGAGCAGTAACAAAACGTAACTTTGAGATACCTGACCATAAACAGCATTTGGCAAGAGTGGCCCTTATCTTAAAAAATACTGCTAAGTCTGTACAGACAGTGTTATATATAACATATGTCAGTGTTAAAGTACATGTGCAGTGTACAATCTGTGCTTGATTGCATTTTGCTAGCAATACGTACGTGTCATCACAGACATGTAACACTTGTGTTTACCTCTCTACAGTCTGAGTGCAAATTATGTTTATTACGCTTTGTGGGATGCTTTACCTCTTTAAACACCATATACCTGTATTGTTGTCCTTCGAACTTTTCATGAATCACCGCGACTTTCTGTTCAAGTCTTTATTTTATTCATAGTTTGTCCTTGTTTCATCGAATTTTAGTTTGTCAGGTATTTCTGTACGGATATTCTGTTTACTTATTTTACTGAGGTAAGAGGCTTTGTTAAAGGCAAATGTGGTTAATCTTACTAATCTTGGCTGAGCAGAGTATTGTATGGTATGAAGAGGTCAAATTGAGAAATGGGCATCGGTTACATCAATTCCAGCCTTTCTACTTCATTGATAATTTCCATGGTTTGATATTACATTTTGACGTTATTATATGGGTATCATTTAGAAAATGTATACAAAATTTATGCCCTCGGATCGAAAAATAAGGGTCATGTTGTTTTTGTGTTGTCCGTTTGTCTGTCCGGATCGAAAAATCGGGGTCATATTGTTTTTGTGTTGTCTGTTTGTCTGTCATCAACTTTAACCTTGCCCATAATTGTTGCGCCGTAAAAGGTAGGGTTTTCAATTTGTATATGAGTACATAGGCTTAGCTTACACAAGATGAATGGGCATGCGCAGATGCCATTGGTAATGTATGATAACATTTCTCGATATTTCAAAGACCTATATGAAAGCTGCTAAACTTATGAACATGGAATAACAAGAATATTTAGGATTTTTTGGATGGTTGGGTCACATGTTGTCCATGAAACTTAAATGTTTGACAAGGCAAACTTTTCTTGACATAGAAATACTCATCAGCGTCTGAAAAATGTTTCAAATCCATGCGCCAGTCGAAGCATTCTGTTGATTGTGATTGACAGACGAAAAGTCCAGTTGCAGACGAGATTTGCATTTTGGTATCATTACATTTATGTTCTTTACAAAATTGGAAACATTGTTATCATGTTTGTTGAGGCATGTCGGATTGATATATTTGGAGTCTTCGTTTTTTCAGTTAACATTCAGTGACAGCAGTTTGATTTTTTCACTAATTATTGGTTAACACTTAACTTTTGACGAAGTAGGGCCATACTGTAGTTCTTGAAGATGAACAGTCTCCTCTTGTACTAGTCAAGTGGGGGATACCCACCATAGATCGCGAACAAAAAGCTTAATACTTGGGAGTGAACATTAACAAAATCTCATAAGGAACATTCAATATCATGTACGGTACATTTAGTATTCCGAGATGATCAAGATGTTACTTGGTTTACTGAAATATTCGTCTTTTGTAATGACTTCAACATAATATTAGGACATATGAAGTTTCTTCACAAAAGCAAGGATATCTTAATAAGAATGGTGAATCACCAAAAGTGACATGCTTTTGAAAATGGGATTCCTTGAAATATAATTGCAAGTGCAGGTAAGGGAAAGAATGTCATTTCCTGTATTGTAGTACTGTATCTTGTTCTCTCTATCTTTAAAACATTATCACAGTTTAAACTTAACTGAATAGGTCAATTCATATTTCATGAAATTCATGCCAACATTTTATGCTTTTTTTACTGGGAAGTATATAATTGCTACTTTGTCTTTCCATCTGTCCTTTTGTGACCAGAGCATGATTTTGCACACAGCTAAGCAAGGACCATGAAACTTTGTGTATGTACATTGGTCATACAACCACAATATTAAGTGTATATTACCAAATTTAGGGACCTCAACCACATAATAACAGAATTATTGCATCTTTATTATACTTTTGTGTCCTGATAACAACTTTACTTTCATTTATACTAGGACAATGAAACTTGGTGTAGACTTTGGTCATACTAAAAGGATGTACAGTGTACCAAATTCAGAGCGCAAATCCCTTAATTACAGAGTTATTGCCCTTTTTTATAATTTGATTTCCAATAAAGTTGTTTTCTGGACATTTATCAGTTTCACCGATTCTCTTGTTTACGTCTTCTTTTAGCTACCTGTACTCAAGCTTGTATGAATGGAGGTCGATGCATTGGAAATGACCGCTGTTCCTGTAACTATGGATTTTCAGGACGTAGATGTGAACATGGTAAGAGCAAGTTATGAGAAAGTAGCAAATTTCCTTCATGTACATGTAAAAGGGGTAATAATTTTTAATGCCTCTAGGATTTGAACACAGGACCTCTGCATTAGTCTTGCACTCAACTGATCCACCTAAAGGGCTCTCACTATCTGAGCAGTGTATTACAGCTTGTATTTATCAAAGGTTACATGCTCCCTCTCCAAGAAAGAACGTGTCCACAAGTTTCCAAGGGTAACAGTAATGCTTTATGAGGCATGCCTTAGTATCATTTCTAAGTCCTTAGGGTTATATATGCAGCCTTTTTCATCTGTACCAAGACTGCTACCGTACTTGAAGGTAGAGGGGATAGAAGAGAAAAGTATCACGTTTCAACAAAAGGTTATGAATTTAAAGAAAAGGTAAGCCAATGTTACTTGTTCTTATTTTATAGAAATGGGACCAATATATTGAGTGAGGTTATGTATGACCTGGCATTTAGAGTTTGATCCAGTGATTCTTAGCTCATTTGACCCAGGATTACCTCTAGTCATCATCTTGCTTCCATGATTGATAACCATATGCTAACTGCCATGTGTGAACTTTACATATTTTAACTTTCCTCTCAAGTTCTATAAGTAGGATTTAGCTCAAACTTGCCTGGAATGATCATGAAATGGTCCTGACCAAATGTTGTTGTTTTTGAGTCATTCAGAAATCCAATAAGGCATCCATCTTAAAAAATGCTTTTTTAATTTCTTCTCCAGTTCCTTTTCTCCAACTGAGCTGAAAATGGCTGAGGATGTTATAGAAAGAAGCAGACAAATTGTTGCTTGTTTTCTTTGTGTCAGAATTTTTAAATGGTACCAATAACAGCCATTTCGTAACATAATTGTCTATTCATGGTTGTCGTCAACAACACCAAAAGTAGTTACAATTTTTCCAAACAGCACTTATTTTAATTTTTCAAGTGCTACCAGTGGAATTCAACTCAGAATTGCCTGAAAGTATCTTGAGATAGTCCTGACCAAGAATTGTTAGGTATTTGTTTGATTCAAAATTTTTCCAGTTCTGTGGTAACATTGAGACTTTGTTGAATCTTAAATTTTCAGCTGATAAAGTAAACTGTGGATTGGTAGATAAGTTCTGGTCTTTTCAGTTTGATCAAGATTATTCATGCAATTAGATTACAGAACTGGGCCTTGTTTTACACAAATCTCGGACAACATGTGCCGTGGTCAGCTGACTGGAGTGGTGTGTACCAAGGCCTTATGCTGTGCTACAATAGGCAAGGCCTGGGGAAAGCCCTGTGAACAGTGTCCTGTACATTCTCAGCCTTGTCGTAGGGGATACATTCCTAATCTGCAAGCTCAGAATTGTCAAGGTAAAGAAACTTCAACAAAACATAATTTTTTCACCAAATTTTTATTTAATTAATACCTAAGTGTAAAAACACAGAATAGGTTAGGATTGTCTTGAATGATTTCTGAAAAAAAAAGACTTTGTGTTGTATATCTTGAAAGATAATCACCAGGTTTTGGAATATTTATGTGTATTGATTTATTAGTTATTGATAAGGAAAAAAGACTTCAAAATACAAGTTAGGTAATGCCCTCACTGATTTATAAACACTTCAAAAATTTAAAGAACAGATGAAATTATTTGATTTTACTTACTTGGTGTTGTTTGTTACTGTAAGAACAAAAGTCCCAACAAAAGGTGATTAAGTGATGAGAGGAAAAAGATAATCTTATGTGATCAGAAATGAGAGAAGGGAGGGAAGATGTCAACTCATTTACATTGATCCTTATTTATAGATGTTGATGAGTGTGCTGCTATACCTGGGCTGTGTGTGGGAGGAAGGTGCATAAATACTCTTGGCTCCTACAGATGTGAATGTAAGGATGGACAAAGTCAGAATCCCATCACACAGGTCTGTGAGGGTAAGTAGAACTATCACTGATGTTTGTCAGGTGTGACAAGGACAGTCATCATCGATAACATCATGGCTTTATATTTGATAATGTACATAAACAGTGATTTGTTACCCTTGTCTGTCTTGTTGCAAAGCAATGTCAACCCTTTGGTTAGTCAGCAACTTCATTTCCTAAAGGATCTTGATAAGACTACATGTCAACAATGACAATGAATTTGTATTTCATGGTCATGTTTAAGGTAACACTTTCTATTTATGCTAATTTGTCAAATATTGTTACTGATATGAAATAATTTTTGTAGGATTTTCTCCTGCAAGTTTTCAAAATTGTTTTCAAGTCCCTTTAATATAATGGGTTCTCAAATTTTGCGTAAAACCAATGAATCCAAGACTTAAATACCTGAGATCCAGAAATCACAGAATTATGCATTGGAGAATGGATATTATCTTCCAGACATTTTTTCATGCTCTCAGAAATTGTCCCCGCTTGTCTTTGTTTTAATGCACATTATAAAAATCTATTGGATAAAAATCAGTTACTGTCATAGACCAACTGTACTGGACTTGCTTTGAAGGACTCTCTCAGTTTTTCCCTTGAATGAGAATTGTTCTTATCCTCTTCAGATATAAACGAGTGTGAAACCATTCCAAACACATGTGAAAATGGAAAATGTACTAACACAGAGGGCAGCTATTTCTGTGTGTGTGATCCAGGGTATGAAACCAACGCTGACAAAACGCAGTGTGTAGGTAAGAAAAGTTAATTCTGACATTTATACTCCTTCAATACTGTTTATGGAATAAAAATCAATACTGTACTTTAAAAGTAAAATTTACTGTGGAAATCAAAATTCATAATTTCAGTGAGAAATTTTTGGTAAACTCACAAAAATTTGAACTGTCTTAAAAAACAACAACCATTACAGAATAGTATCATAATAGTGTAACAGAGGTCATCATTTATCTCAATGCCTCTGCAAGGAATCGTACCCAGGACCCCTGGCTTACTAGTCTGAGGCTCGACCAATTGAGTCAAAGCGATGTTCATTGCAGCTAGTATTTTACCAGGGTTACATACCCCTCCTCCAGGAAATTACGAGTCCTCGAGTTTCCAGGGTTACAGCGATGCTGGTAGGGCATGGCTAAGTACTATTCCTTGTGTAGTATGGTAAAGTGAAGCCCATGGTAAAGTGAACCGGGTATCATTTCACCATTATGGTGAAATGAATTCCCCCTATGGTAAAGTGAAGCTATATTGTATTTTGTTTTCAATTGCCGTTTCACTTAACTTTTTATCAGTTTACTTAATCATGTTCCTCAGTTCATAATAAAACAAACAAAAACAACAGGGTGGGGAAATTTAGGATGGGGCAGGGGGAGTTCACTTCACCATGGCCATGGTAAAGTGGAACATTACACTATTTTCTTACCAATTAATTTTTTTCCACTAATTGCTTTGCAATTTACCCTGATTCAATTATATAAGCACATCAATAACAAAAAATAGTCTGGGATGGGGAAATTTAGGGTGGGGCAGGGGGTTAACTTCACCATGGCCAATTGTTTTGCTAATCACCCTGCCCCACCCTAAATTTCCCCACCCCAGACCTATTTTTTTGTTATTTAGAAGTGTTACTTTGTATACTTATGGAATCCTTTGGAAAAAATGAGGTTTCTGCTTAATTTACTATAGGCAAATGGGTTGGGGTTTTTAAGTAACATTTTATCTGGGGGAGGGGGGAGGACAGAGACAATAAAATTGCTTATTAGGGAAATTTCTCATTCTTTTTTATCTTAAGTGTTACAGCACCTACATGTATGAACACCAGGCAGTTGATGGGTAGGACGTGGTGCTGGTTTTATTACAGGTTTAGCTATATGCTAGGCATTTATCTCCAATCCTCACTGATGTATTGGTTGTTATATCAAGTTTTATGACATTATCAACAATCTGTAGTTACACCTCAACTACATACTTAAACATGTAATCTTAAACTTAGACAGTAATTTTATTCTGCCTGTAGATTTTCGATTTAATTACATTTTGGACAAATTTGATGGGATCAGGACTGCAGTGTTTGGACCTCTTGCTGAGGTTTTAAATAAACTCTGAAGATTTTGTTACCTCGGGAATCTGATATGTAAAATTGAAGTGATAAGTGATGTGCTATTACTGTGTAGTGTTTGTATTTCTCATACCAAAGTGATGTAAACAACACCATAATTGTATTTAAGTTGTCTAGACAGGGTTAATTATACAGATGCATTTGTAGCATTTGAAAAACACAAATTTCAAGACATTCATGTATAGCTTAAGAGTTCATGTTATAATTATGAAAAAAATGCTAACTGATATATTGTCTGAATTAGCTCCCTGAAAAAGATGAAGTTTTATTAACTTTTGTAATACATTCTGTTTACACACAGTGAACTTTTAGCATGTGACTTGTCATTTTCATTAATCTTGGTTATTAGTCAAAATCGCAAAACATCGAAAATCAAATGCACCCAAATGCATCTCAGTCATTTTAAAGTTTTAGCTTAGACATTTTAATGGACATTTTTACAAAAAGTGTAACCTTATCTGGATATTGTGGATTTTATGAAGATGTCTGAAATTTTTAGCTTGCCTATTAGAAGAACACAGGCTAAAGCAGTCACCCCAGCACCGGCGATGTCCCAGCTGAAATATTAATATGTTTTTAACAAGTTTTTTAAAGCAGTACTGGTATTTCCTGACAAGTGATGTGCTATAGATTGTTTAGATAATGCAGATGAGAAGCAGATAAATTATTGGCTTAATATATAGTTTAAAGTTTGTTGTTATATATGTTTATTTGATGTCAGGAGTAAATGATTAATACATTTTCAAATGAATCGATTTACAAACAAAAGGTGATATGTTTTAAACATTTATCAGCTGTTAAACCAGGTCACTGTGTGTGTAATAAATCATAATGTTTAATCTAGGCTTACAATCTCTATAAATTCACTAATGATTATGGCTTCAGTGGTGAAGAGGAAAACATGCTTCAGTCGTATCTCCCAGGGAACCTGTGCTGAACCCATGGGAATCCTTTTGTCTCTGCGTGACTGTTGCTGTGAGATGGGAAAAGGCTGGGGAAATTCCTCCATTTGTCAGCTGTGTCCTGAGAAAAACTCAGGTCAGTTCTATCAAAATGTTACAAAGATATGTAGTAAAGCATCAGTTTGTTTTTTCATACAATTAAGCAATGCTTTTGTCATCAGCCCTGACTTACCTAACATCAACAAATTCATAAAAAACTTCCTATCAGTTTCGACTCATTGTGTTTCAATAATTCTTTTTTTGGTCTGTATGAGAAATTTTAATATTTATATCGGCTTTTTACAAGATGAAATTCTGTATATTCAGATGCTCACAGAGAGTTATGTGAAGTCTCTGATTTGAAAAGGAATGAGTGTGGCCTGTTTCCCACTCTGTGTACCAATGCTCGATGTATTAACACATTACAAGCATACCGTTGTGACTGCTATGCAGGATTCAAACCTACAAGTGACCCAGATGTCTGTATTGGTAAGAAGCAAAATAATATGAAGATCTAAATTTTAATGGATTTGCTATCTGTAGAAAAGGAACCACTCTCCAAGTACTTTTAAAACTGTTTTGATAATTTGTAGTTTAATGTACAAAATGTCTGAGAAGTAATTTTGGCTTGACCTTACTTCACGAGCCAATGTAATCTAAGTCAATGCTCTATCAATTACATGTGACATGCAAGTCTTTGACTGTGGCAATCTGATATCCATTTCTTTCACATTTTGTTTTAAACGACTTTGCTAATAGAACAGCAAAAATTTTACTTCTAGTGTTGAAAGCAAGAATTCCCAAAAGAATTTTTTCATTTGAGTACAAACTCTACATTACCAAATCTAAATTATGTTGATGAAGGTAAAGGAGACATCTTTTTTGTCTTACTATGGTATATCATCTGTAGATAGATTACATTATCTATCAATGGACAGAAGTTTGAAAAATAGGCTTAAACATAGTATACTATGAATTACAGATATAAACGAATGTCAAGAGGACCGTAGGCTGTGTTTAAATGGACTTTGCGTGAACACAGAAGGAAGCTTCAAGTGTGAATGCAATGTGGGATACACTTTGTCTACTGATGGTCGTTATTGCACAGGTAAGTACTTACAGATTCCTCCCTACAGGTGTGAACAGGTAGATATTAAAAGCCACTTCAGAAATGATGATTTAATGGTAGCCATTGAACACGCAAGTAAGAATTGGAGTTACATGAAGGCTGATCAACTGTGATCAAGTGACAGATGTCTTAAAATCTGCTTAATTACCAGCAAATAACATATGAATGGAAAGACACATTTTATTTAAACCATTGAGTAGGACAGATCTATCATGATTATACAAGCAGAAAAGGGGTAAACCAGTCGTTATGGACACTGACAAATATGAGAATCAAGTTGCAGCTATGCTCAAAGACAACAAAACATTAGAAAAACTTTAAAGTTCAAAAGTGCCGATAGCTTCCTTATCAAAACCAGAGAAGAAAACGAGATCACTGAAACAGAATATAGACACCTGTATTCCACTACAAAGAACACTCCTAGAATGTTCTGTCATCCAAGACCCACAAAGAAGGGAACCCATTACTGCCCATAGTAGACTTTACTGGTTCAATTGGTTATAATGACTAGCAGACCTTCTAGGACTGCTGGTGGGGAAATCAGAAAGACCTTGTTGAAGGTATGTCTATTGTACAGAAACAATCAGGAATTCATTTTACACGATGTAGATCTCTTTCGACAAAGCATTTGGTATCATTTGAAGCCACTTACAGCAAGACTGGTCATGGCAAAAGAACACCAATCTCCATATCCATGACATCATGAATCTACTAGAATTTGTGCTTTCAACATACTTTCCTTTCCGAGATACCATCTATCAGCAAGGACTTGGCTCAGCCATGGGCAGCCCAGTGTCTCTGATTGTGGCCAACTCACTTGTAGAGCACTTGGAGAAAGAAGCTATAGCCATGACCTCCTCAGAATGCAATTCTAGTCGGTGGAAATGATATGTTGATAACATTGGATACTATTTAACAGCTTACATGTGAAACTGTATTCCAGTACCAAGATATTTTTGATGGCTTTTTCCATTTGATAATTAATCATATGAGGAAGATTTGCCTTATAAATAGATTGATAGGTGGTAATAAAAGTTTAATCCATTTCCCATATCAAATAAGTTTCAATATCCAGGGGGTTGTGAGACCCTGAAAAAATGTTCTCAAACAGCTCTAACTAATGTTGATATGTTGATGTGTGATCTTTAAAACTAGATGTTTTGTTAAAATTGAAGTGACTGTTCCACTTTTCTCACAGATATGAACGAGTGTCAGACCAGTGGAATGTGTCCCCACGGACGATGCGTTAACATGAATGGCAGTTATAAATGTGAATGTGACACTGGTTACAGACAGTCTTCCAACCAACAGATCTGCTATGGTATGTATGTTACACTGGTGACAGTCTTCTAACCAACAGATCTGCTATGGTATGTATGTTACACTGGTGACAGTCTTGTAACCAGCAGATCTGATATGGTAAGTATGTTACACTGGTGTGTGTTCTAACCAACAGATCTGCTATGGTATGTATGTTACACTGGTGACAGTCTTGTAACCAGCAGATCTGATATGGTAAGTATGTTACACTGGTGTGTGTTCTAACCAACAGATCTGCTATGGTATATATGTTACACTGGTGAGTATTCTAACCAACAGATCATGCTATGGTATGTATGTTACACTGGTGACAGTCTTCTAACCAACAGATCTGATATGGTAAGTATGTTACACTGGTGAGTCTTCTAACCAACAGATCTGATATGGTAAGTATGTTACACTGGTGTGTGTTCTAACCAACAGATCTGATATGGTATGTATGTTATACTGGTGTGTGTTCTAACCAACAGATCTGATATGGTATGTATGTTACACTGGTGACAGTCTTCTAACCAACAGATCTGCTATGGTATGTATGTAACACTGGTGAGTCTTCTAACCAACAGATCTGCTATGGTATGTTTGTTACACTGGTGACAGTTTTCTAACCAGCAGATCTGCTATGGTAAGTATGTTACACTGGTGACAGTCTTGTAACCAATAGATCTGCTATGGTATGTATGTTACACTGGTGACAGTCTTCTAACCAGCAGATCTGATATGGTATGTATGTTACACTGGTGACAGTCTTGTAACCAACAGATCTGATATGGTATGTTTGTTACACTGGTGACAGTTTTCTAACCAGCAGATCTGCTATGGTAAGTATGTTACACTGGTGACAGTATTGTAACCAACAGATCTGCTATGGTATGTATGTTACACTGGTGACAGTTTTCTAACCAGCAGATCTGATATGGTATGTATGTTACACTGGTGACAGTTTTCTAACCAGCAGATCTGCTATGGTATGTATGTTACACTGGTGACAGTCTTGTAACCAACAGATCTGCTATGGTATGTATGTTACACTGGTGAGTGTTTTAACCAACAGATCTGCTATGGTATGTATGTTACACTGGTGTGTGTTCTAACCAACAGATCTGCTATGGTATGTATGTTACACTGGTGACAGTTTTCTAACCAGCAGATCTGATATGGTATGTATGTTACACTGGTGACAGTCTTGTAACCAACAGATCTGATATGGTAAGTATGTTACACTGGTGACAGTCTTGTAACCAACAGATCTGCTATGGTATATATGTTACACTGGTGAGTATTCTAACCAACAGATCATGCTATGGTATGTATGTTACACTGGTGACAGTCTTCTAACCAACAGATCTGATATGGTAAGTATGTTACACTGGTGAGTCTTCTAACCAACAGATCTGATATGGTAAGTATGTTACACTGGTGAGTCTTCTAACCAACAGATCTGATATGGTATGTATGTTACACTGGTGTGTGTTCTAACCAACAGATCTGATATGGTATGTATGTTACACTGGTGACAGTCTTCTAACCAACAGATCTGCTATGGTATGTATGTAACACTGGTGAGTCTTCTAACCAACAGATCTGCTATGGTATGTTTGTTACACTGGTGACAGTTTTCTAACCAGCAGATCTGCTATGGTAAGTATGTTACACTGGTGACAGTCTTGTAACCAATAGATCTGCTATGGTATGTATGTTACACTGGTGACAGTCTTCTAACCAGCAGATCTGATATGGTATGTATGTTACACTGGTGACAGTCTTGTAACCAACAGATCTGATATGGTATGTTTGTTACACTGGTGACAGTTTTCTAACCAGCAGATCTGCTATGGTAAGTATGTTACACTGGTGACAGTCTTGTAACCAACAGATCTGCTATGGTATGTATGTTACACTGGTGACAGTTTTCTAACCAGCAGATCTGATACGGTATGTATGTTACACTGGTGACAGTTTTCTAACCAGCAGATCTGCTATGGTATGTATGTTACACTGGTGACAGTCTTGTAACCAACAGATCTGCTATGGTATGTATGTTACACTGGTGAGTGTTTTAACCAACAGATCTGCTATGGTATGTATGTTACACTGGTGTGTGTTCTAACCAACAGATCTGCTATGGTATGTATGTTACACTGGTGACAGTTTTCTAACCAGCAGATCTGATATGGTATGTATGTTACACTGGTGACAGTCTTGTAACCAACAGATCTGATATGGTAAGTATGTTACACTGGTGACAGTCTTGTAACCAACAGATCTGCTATGGTATGTATGTTACACTGGTGAGTGTTCTAACCAACAGATCTACTATGGTATGTATATTACACTGGTGAGTGTTCTAACAAACAGATCTGCTATGGTATGTATGTTACACTGGTGACAGTCTTCACTAACAGATCTGCTATGGTATGTATGTTACACTGGTGACAGTCTTATGGTATGTATGTTACTAGATCTGCTATGGTATGTATGTTACACTGGTGAGTGTTTTAACCAACAGATCTGCTATGGTATGTATGTTACACTGGTGTGTGTTCTAACCAACAGATCTGCTATGGTATGTATGTTACACTGGTGACAGTATTCTAACCAGCAGATCTGCTATGGTATGTATGTTACACTGGTGACAGTCTTGTAACCAACAGATCTGCTATGGTATGTATGTTACACTGGTGAGTGTTTTAACCAACAGATCTGCTATGGTATGTATGTTACACTGGTGTGTGTTCTAACCAACAGATCTGCTATGGTATGTATGTTACACTGGTGACAGTTTTCTAACCAGCAGATCTGATATGGTATGTATGTTACACTGGTGACAGTCTTGTAACCAACAGATCTGATATGGTATGTATGTTACACTGGTGAGTGTTCTAACCAGCAGATCTGATATGGTATGTATGTTACACTGGTGACAGTTTTCTAACCAGCAGATCTGCTATGGTATGTATGTTACACTGGTGACAGTCCTGTAACAAACAGATCTGCTATGGTATGTATGTTACACTGGTGACAGTTTTCTAACCAACAGATCTGCTGTGGTATGTATGTTACACTGGTGACAGTTTTCTAACCAACAGATCTGATATGGTATGTATGTTACACTGGTGACAGTCTTGTAACCAACAGATCTGCTATGGTATGTATGTTACACTGGTGAGTGTTTTAACCAACAGATCTGCTATGGTATGTATGTTACACTGGTGTGTGTTCTAACCAACAGATCTGCTATGGTATGTATGTTACACTGGTGACAGTTTTCTAACCAGCAGATCTGATATGGTATGTATGTTACACTGGTGACAGTCTTGTAACCAACAGATCTGCTGGTGACACTTGTAACCAACAGATCTGCTATGGTATATATGTTACACTGGTGAGTATTCTAACCAACAGATCTGCTATGGTATGTATGTTAGACTGGTGACAGTAATGTAACCAACAGATCTGATATGGTATGTATGTTACACTGGTGAGTGTTTCTAACCAACAGATCTGCTATGTTTTAACCAACAGATCTGGTATGTATGTTACACTGGTGTGTGTTCTAACCAACAGATCTGCTATGGTATGTATGTTACACTGGTGACAGTTTTCTAACCAGCAGATCTGATATGGTATGTATGTTACACTGGTGACAGTCTTGTAACCAACAGATCTGATATGGTAAGTATGTTACACTGGTGACAGTCTTGTAACCAACAGATCTGCTATGGTATATATGTACACTGGTGAGTACTAACATGTATGTTACACTGGTGACAACAGATCTGCACTATGGTATGGTATGTATGTTACACTGGTGTATGTCTTGTGTGTTCTAACCAACAGATCTGATATGGTATGTATGTTACACTGGTGTGTTTCTAACCAGTCTGTATGGTATGTATGTTACACTGGTGACAGTCCAGATCAGATCTGGTGATATGGTATGTATGTTACACTGGTGAGTGTTCTAACCAACAGATGTATCTGACACTGCTATGGTATGTATGTTACACTGGTGTGTGTTATGGTATGTATGTTACACTGGTGTGTGTTCTAACCAACAGATCTGCTATGGTATGTATGTTACACTGGTGAGTCTTCCAACCAACAGATCTGATATGGTATGTATGTTACACTGGTGACAGTCTTGTAACCAACAGATCTGCTATGGTATGTATGTTACACTGGTGAGTCTTCCAACCAACAGATCTGCTATGGTATGTATGTTACACTGGTGACAGTCTTGTATGTATGTTACACTGGTGACAGTCTTCTAACCAACAGATCTGCTATGGTATGTATGTTACACTGGTGAGTGTTTTAACCAACAGATCTGCTATGGTATGTATGTTACACTGGTGTGTGTTCTAACCAACAGATCTGCTATGGTATGTATGTTACACTGGTGACAGTATTCTAACCAGCAGATCTGCTATGGTATGTATGTTACACTGGTGACAGTCTTGTAACCAACAGATCTGCTATGGTATGTATGTTACACTGGTGAGTGTTTTAACCAACAGATCTGCTATGGTATGTATGTTACACTGGTGACAGTGTTTTAACCAACAGATCTGCTATGGTATGTATGTTACACTGGTTTTAACCAACAGTGTGCTATGGTATGTATGTTACACTGGTGTGTGTTCAGAACAGATCTGCTATGGTATGTATGTTACACTGGTGACAGTTTTCTAACCAGCAGATCTGATATGGTATGTATGTTACACTGGTGACAGTCTTGTAACCAACAGATCTGATATGGTAAGTATGTTACACTGGTGAGTCTTCTAACCAACAGATCTGATATGGTATGTATGTTACACTGGTGTGTGTTCTAACCAACAGATCTGGGTATGTATGTTACACTGGTGACAGTCTTCTAACCAGCAGATCTGATATGGTATGTATGTTACACTGGTGACAGTCTTGTAACCAACAGATCTGATATGGTAAGTATGTTACACTGGTGAAACCACAGATCTGCTATGGTATGTATGTTACACTGGTGAGTCTGCTATGGTATGTATGTTACACTAACCAACAGATCTGCTATGGTATGTATGTTACACTGGTGAGTGTTCTAACCAACAGATCTGATATGGTATGTATGTTACACTGGTGAGTCTTCTAACCAACAGATCTGCTGTGGTATGTACGTGACACTGGTGACAGTTTTCAAACCAGCAAAGCTGATATGGTAAGTATGTTACACTGGTGACAGTCTTCTAACCAACAGATCTGCTATGGTATGTATGTTACACTGGTGACAGTCTTCTAACCAACAGATCTGCTATGGTATGTATGTTACACTGGTGACAGTATTCTAACCAGCAGATCTGCTATGGTATGTATGTTACACTGGTGACAGTCTTGTAACCAACAGATCTGCTATGGTATGTATGTTACACTGGTGAGTGTTTTAACCAACAGATCTGCTATGGTATGTATGTTACACTGGTGACAGTCTTGTAACCAACAGATCTGCTATGGTATGTATGTTACACTGGTGAGTGTTTTAACCAACAGATCTGCTATGGTATGTATGTTACACTGGTGTGTGTTCTAACCAACAGATCTGCTATGGTATGTATGTTACACTGGTGACAGTTTTCTAACCAGCAGATCTGATATGGTATGTATGTTACACTGGTGACAGTCTTGTAACCAACAGATCTGATATGGTAAGTATGTTACACTGGTGACAGTCTTGTAACCAACAGATCTGCTATGGTATGTATGTTACACTGGTGAGTGTTCTAACCAACAGATCTACTATGGTATGTATATTACACTGGTGAGTGTTCTAACCAACAGATCTGCTATGGTATGTATGTTACACTGGTGACAGTCTTCTAACCAACAGATCTGCTATGGTATGTATGTTACACTGGTGACAGTCTTCTAACCAACAGATCTGCTATGGTATGTATGTTACACTGGTGAGTGTTTTAACCAACAGATCTGCTATGGTATGTATGTTACACTGGTGTGTGTTCTAACCAACAGATCTGCTATGGTATGTATGTTACACTGGTGACAGTATTCTAACCAGCAGATCTGCTATGGTATGTATGTTACACTGGTGACAGTCTTGTAACCAACAGATCTGCTATGGTATGTATGTTACACTGGTGAGTGTTTTAACCAACAGATCTGCTATGGTATGTATGTTACACTGGTGTGTGTTCTAACCAACAGATCTGCTATGGTATGTATGTTACACTGGTGACAGTTTTCTAACCAGCAGATCTGATATGGTATGTATGTTACACTGGTGACAGTCTTGTAACCAACAGATCTGATATGGTATGTATGTTACACTGGTGAGTGTTCTAACCAGCAGATCTGATATGGTATGTATGTTACACTGGTGACAGTCTTGTAACCAACAGATCTGATATGGTAAGTATGTTACACTGGTGACAGTCTTTTAACCAACAGATCTGCTATGGTATGTATGTTACACTGGTGTGTGTTCTAACCAACAGATCTGCTGTGGTATGTAGGTTACACTGGTGAGTGTTCTAACCAACAGATCTGCTATGGTATGTATGTTACACTGGTGACAGTTTTCTAACCAGCAGATCTGCTATGGTATGTATGTTACACTGGTGACAGTCTTGTAACCAACAGATCTGCTATGGTATGTATGTTACACTGGTGAGTGTTTTAACCAACAGATCTGCTATGGTATGTATGTTACACTGGTGTGTGTTCTAACCAACAGATCTGCTATGGTATGTATGTTACACTGGTGACAGTTTTCTAACCAGCAGATCTGATATGGTATGTATGTTACACTGGTGACAGTCTTGTAACCAACAGATCTGATATGGTAAGTATGTTACACTGGTGACAGTCTTGTAACCAACAGATCTGCTATGGTATATATGTTACACTGGTGAGTATTCTAACCAACAGATCATGCTATGGTATGTATGTTACACTGGTGACAGTCTTGTAACCAACAGATCTGATATGGTAAGTATGTTACACTGGTGAGTCTTCTAACCAACAGATCTGATATGGTAAGTATGTTACACTGGTGAGTCTTCTAACCAACAGATCTGATAGGGTATGTATGTTACACTGGTGTGTGTTCTAACCAACAGATCTGATATGGTATGTATGTTACACTGGTGACAGTTTTCTAACCAGCAGATCTGATATGGTATGTATGTTACACTGGTGACAGTCTTGTAACCAACAGATCTGATATGGTAAGTATGTTACACTGGTGACAGTCTTGTAACCAACAGATCTGCTATGGTATGTATGTTACACTGGTGAGTGTTCTAACCAACAGATCTGCTATGGTATGTATGTTACACTGGTGACAGTCTTCTAACAGATCTGCTATGGTATGTATGTTACACTGGTGACAGTCTTCTAACCAACAGATCTGCTATGGTATGTATGTTACACTGGTGAGTGTTTTAACCAACAGATCTGCTATGGTATGTATGTTACACTGGTGTGTGTTCTAACCAACAGATCTGCTATGGTATGTATGTTACACTGGTGACAGTATTCTAACCAGCAGATCTGCTATGGTATGTATGTTACACTGGTGACAGTCTTGTAACCAACAGATCTGCTATGGTATGTATGTTACACTGGTGAGTGTTTTAACCAACAGATCTGCTATGGTATGTATGTTACACTGGTGTGTGTTCTAACCAACAGATCTGCTATGGTATGTATGTTACACTGGTGACAGTTTTCTAACCAGCAGATCTGATATGGTATGTATGTTACACTGGTGACAGTCTTGTAACCAACAGATCTGATATGGTATGTATGTTACACTGGTGAGTGTTCTAACCAGCAGATCTGATATGGTATGTATGTTACACTGGTGACAGTCTTGTAACCAACAGATCTGATATGGTAAGTATGTTACACTGGTGACAGTCTTTTAACCAACAGATCTGCTATGGTATGTATGTTACACTGGTGTGTGTTCTAACCAACAGATCTGCTGTGGTATGTAGGTTACACTGGTGAGTGTTCTAACCAACAGATCTGCTATGGTATGTATGTTACACTGTTGAGTGTTCTAACCAACAGATCTGCTGTGGTATGCATGTAAAACTGGTGAGTGTTCTAGCCAACAGATCTGCTATGGTATGTATGTTACACTGTTGAGTGTTCTAACCAACAGATCTGCTATGGTATGTATGTTACACTGGTGAGTGTTCTAACCAACAGATTTGCTGTGGTATGTATGTTACACTGTTGAGTGTTCTAACCAACAGATTTGCTGTGGTATCTTTTCTAAGCTATAGTTTGTTGATGGGTTTTGTAAATTTTATGATTAAGGCTTATAGAAACAGCTACTTTATGTGTTGGAAACTGATTTATCACAGGTGAAGGCTGACATTCTGTAACAGAATCTTATTTGAGGTGAAACTTAGGATGAGATGTTACAGAAAGTCAGCCCAAGACTGAAGTAAATCAATCTTGGAACATATTCAGGTAATTTATTCTATTTTCAGGAAAATTAATGTGTCAAAATCATATTAAAAGGTTATGAATTATTTCCATCTCCAAGTTGTTTGTTACCATTGGATTTCCTCCTGTTTTGCTTATCTTTATGGTAATTTAAGCAATTTTTTTGATTAACTAAATGAGAAAGATATTTGCTTGAAGATTATTTGTATGTGTTAAGATAGGTACTTCTGTTTGCAGACATCAATGAATGCACAGAAAATGGGAAGCTTTGTACCAATGGCATGTGTGAGAACAGTGAAGGGTCATTCAGATGTGTTTGTAACCCAGGTTATCAACTGTCACCAGATGGAGCCTATTGTCTAGGTAATTTACTGATTCCTTTAATCCTTGACTATTTCAACACATTTCAGCAATATATTCATTGTCAAATTTTTGTTGTAATGATGTTGCACCAGCTGCAGCTGTTGTATTTATTTCTTGAACAGATATTGTAGGAGTACCCTTTAATCTGCTAAAATTTTATGGTGTTCTAAGATCTTAGTTAAATTTTCACTTAATTAACTAGTTTGATACATTATAATTTACTAGTCATAATCATAATGTAGTGTAAAATAACTTTTGCAGATTACAATGAGTGTGCTACCACTAGGATGTGTACTCATGGTCGCTGCATCAATATGAATGGTGGTTACAAATGTATCTGTAATATTGGATTCATGTCTACTCCTGACAACAGAGCTTGTATAGGTGAGATTTTCTTGTTTACCCTTGTACCAGCTTCTAATAACAAACATCAGTTTTAGATGTGATTTTTATATCCCTGCCTTTTTTTATGGCATCAAAATTTGATTATCAAAATTTAATTTGAGAAAGAAAAATATCAAATGTGTTGACCCTATCTAGGGATATCTGGGGTAAAAATTACTTACAATAACCATAGTTTGTTTCTTTTGGCTGTTTATTTATTCAGATATCAATGAGTGTAAGGCCAGACAGTCGCCATGTATTAATGGAATATGCATCAACAACCAGGGCAGCTTCAGATGTGAGTGTCCTCCAAATTTCCGTATGGGACCAGAGGGAAGAACATGCATAGGTAAGCCTCAGTTTTATGTATCTCTAAAGCTATACAATGCTTGATTGTGAAGTTTTTTGGTAGTTTTATGGAGAACAATAACATATCATCAGAAAGAATTGATAATGAATGATGAAATCACTCTTTTCCTTAAACAGTATTTGATGTAAAATCATTTATGTGCATGTGTTATATAGAATTTGTATGCCAGATATCTTGTGAACTCCTGGTCAGATTTATTCCATGTTCTTTCCATGACATCACACCATGAAAGTCTTCTCCTGTTTAGATTTTGGTGATAATCAATTACCCAGTAAGATCACTCTGAACCACAGCATGTTACAAGATATTTCATGAGTCTTTTAACAGTTAAATTTATACTTAAACCATAATATCACAAGTTCTACACTTGAGATTTTAGTGGTCATCAATCAAGGTTAATGGTCAAACAACATCAATGACCTCTTTTCAAATGAAAAGTTTTTGTTCTTGAAAACTAAGAAAGAAGGAAAGTGTGACAGTGTTATGAATTTATTACTGAACATCTGAGTCAGAATGTCAAGGGTTAATTTCATAAGATTGAATTGAACATGAATTATCTTACAGAATGGGATTGAAAGCCATTAGTTCGAAAACTTTGGTTTCACAATTAAAATTTGATATTTTTAATATAAATCTGTTAAATGTTCATAATTATATTGAGATTTTCCTGTTTTTGTGAGCAAGATTTTCCACATCAGGTGCTAAAGAAAATGCATATTATTGTAAAACCACAGAGCTCAACAAAAATATCTTATTTTACAATTTACAGTGTGTACATTTTTAAAAAGTACAGTGTATTTGAAATGTTTTTATTGCTGTTTTATTGTAAACAGATAGTAGGCGTGGCCAGTGTTACAGAGAGTACAGAAGTGGGCGTTGTTCCAGTGCTCTAGCTACCCTCATGTCTAAGGCCATGTGTTGTTGTATGGATACTGGTGGGGTCAATATCCTCAAAGGTTGGGGCCAGAGATGTGAACCCTGCCCCACCCCAGGGGATAGGGGCTACAGAGACTTATGTAGTGACATAGGAAGGACACCAGAGGGTGGTAAGTATTAAACACTTAGGTAACTGCAAACAATGAAATTTATACATTCTGTAAGATCGCATTAGGCTTTAAATATTAGTTGAAATGATTAATTTTGTGAAGCATTGAAATATAATTTACAATTGTACATTGATGATTGAAATTGCATATCAACATTGCTTGCCAGATAGTCAAACTGAACTGATGACTGAGTTGAATGGACTCAAAAAAGCTTGTCAGATAGTCAAACTGAACCAATAGCTAAGTTAAGGGGATTCAACAAAGCTTGTCAATTAGTGAAACTAAACTGATGGCTGAGTTGTGTGGATTTGGTAATTGTTTAAGACTATGACTTATTGTATTTCAGACATAAATGAGTGCCAGTTGAATCCTTATATATGTGTGAATGGAGCATGTGAGAACAGGGATGGCAGCTACAGATGCTTATGTAATCCAGGATTTGAATCTGATCCAACTGGAAAGTTATGCATTGGTAAATATACCAAAGGATCAAATAGTTCTAATAAATGTTTTTAAACAGATATTACAGTTCTTACAGGAGTTTTTATTTCATATGAGATCTATCACTCATAAATCAGATATGAAATGGAAACTAATTTAAGATTCTGTTTATTATAAATAACATTGACATTTTTGCAAACATTCATGTAAATAACTGTTTTAAACTGATAGTAAATCTTGTATGATGAGATTCTCACATAGTATAATTATCATTCTTTAGTGATGCTAAAATACATATGATACTACAAAGTTATGACATCACAAACATAATTGAAACAATGTTAATATTCAGCCAATCACAGCTCTGCAAGTTGCTGTTGTCTATGTGGTCAAACCACACTATATGATTTAGTGGTACTGTATTAATAACATGATCATTATTGATAAATTTCAAAGATTCTTCAAATATTAACTGCTTGTTTTAAAGATTATTTCACTTGCTAATTTAAAGGAAAGCAATTCTAAAGAAGTGGCAAGATATGTTCATTATTTTTTGAATTAAACAAAAAATTTGGATATTCATTAAGTTCAATTATGTATGATTTTTTTCACACCATGCAGAAGTGATATCTGGCAGAAAGCACTGTATCATTTAGAATGCTGTCTTGATTTTAATAGTTCAAAAGGTGATGACATAAATGTAAATGATAGGTTGATGGTAAATCATGGTTTATGTTGTCTTCATCAGATTTTATTACCTATTGTAGATATTGATGAGTGTGTGAAGTACCCTAGCTATTGTGATGGAGGACAATGTCGAAATACATTGGGAAGCTACCACTGTACATGTCCAGCTGGATATCGGTTTAAACAACAAACCTCCAGCTGTGAAGGTAAGAAAACATCCTTATATTATGTAATAACACTAGATACATATCACTTACTAGCTGTAGTACTGTATTGTGATTTCCTAACCATTTTGGTTCTTGTGCCACACTGTCAGGAAAACATTAATTTTCCTTTGTGAGGGTATACAGTAGTTACAGTTCCCCTCTCAGAGACTGTATATCATAAACTTAGATGGTTATAAATACTCTCGTTATTTGGGATTTTTTACGCTCATTTGGGAAAGATAATTGGTCAGTTGGAAAGAAATTTGAAGATGTCAAGTATATATTCTGTGACTTTGATCAAGTTATGAAATAAATCCAGTTGGGAATGATTGGTCCCAAAGAACCCAAAGAAAAAGCCCTGGTTATTGTCTGTGTATTTTGCTAAACATGTTGGCATTTTTATTACCAAAGTGAAAATACCATATTTATCCTGCAAGAAACCTTGGAGGACAGCGAAAAACATTTCTTAAATTAGGGGATGAGCTATTTACAGGACAATTTCATTGATTTATTGGCAGATTCTGTATAATTTTTGATACACAATGAATCACACTTGCTATGTTTATTCCTGAAAGGAATACAATATTTAAAATTTCATTAACAAAGATATTTTATCCCAGAAGAATCCTAATTTGTACTAATTTTAAAGTTTTATTATAATTCCAATGCTTTCATACCTAAATTGAACTCTTTTCTCAAAGCTTCATAACCAGCCAAAGATCTTCATTCAAATCTTAAAAATGATGTATATTCCCTTGTAGACGAGAATGAATGTGAAAGCAACCCATGCACCGATGCAGATTGCAAGAATACTCCTGGCAGCTTCCGTTGTATTTGTCGAGAGCCAGGTGCCTCCCTTGACTCTACAGGCAGGATCTGTGTTGGTAAGTAAATAGAATGTCTTACTGCTTTGTAAATAGAGTGAAGTCAGTTGTCTTGTTGTTTAAAAATTGAGATTCAGTTTATCTATCCAGTTGTCTAAATTAGAGTCCAGTTTCAGCTAATCTGTCCTATTGTCATACTTGGAATTTGAAATCCTTTTTTCTGTCCAGTTATTTAAGTCAAAGTCTGGTCCATTTGACTTAATTAGAGTTTAAACTTCATTCATCTGTCCAGTTGCATAAGTGCGAGTCCAAACTCTTCTTGTCTCTCCAGTTGTCTTAGAGTGTGGACTCCACTTGTCTCTCCAGCTTTCTTAGTTAGAGTTTGGACTCTGCTTGTTGGTCTAGTTGTCTGAGATAGAGTGTCGGTACTGTCTTGACTCTGCTTGTCTGTCCACTTATCTTAGGGTCTGGACTCCAATTGTCTGTCCATTTGTGGAAGTTGGAGTCAGGACTTAGCATGTCTGTCTAGTTGTCTAAGTTCTAGTTTGTACTCAACTTGTCTGACCAGTTGTCTCAGAGTGTAGACTCCATTTGTCTGTTCAGTTGAATAAATCAAAGTCTAATATCAGTATTCTAAGTTAGAATTTGGAATCAGCTTGTCTATCAACTTGTTTGAGAGTCTGGACTCAGTTTGTCTCTCCATTTGTATGAATATAATGAGGAATGGTACAAAAATGTAAACCAGTATTAAAAAATTTCTAGAATTCCAACGGAAATTCTCACATTATTTTGGTGATTTGCAGAATTTTACTAAAGCAACAATCATAATTTTATGTTTTGATTATTAGACAACAGAAAGGGAGCATGTTGGCTGGAGATCCGTAATGGAATGTGTGAAAACAATATGAGGGCACTGGTTACCAAGGGCGAGTGTTGTGGAAGTATTGGCAAAGCTTGGGGCAGCCCTTGTGAGATATGTCCACCAGCATGTAAGTGACTTCTGTATCAGACTTCCTAACTATCCACCACTTTCATACTGTGTATAGTATGAGATATGTCACACTTTAAGCAACAAGAGTTAAATTGCCTGATTGTCATCATTTAAACCATCTGTGTTATGTTGCTTAAAGTCAACATTCAAAACGTCTGTGTCATACTGCCTGACTTCATCTCCTATTCCAAGCCTTACTTTGTCACATTTTAAACCACTTCTGTGTTGTACTGACGATCTACATTTCCATTTAAAACATTGCTGTGTCATATTTCTTAACTATCTATCTCCATTTAAAACATCTGTGTAATACTGCCTAACTATGTCACCGTTTAAGCAACAAGAGTTAAATTGCCTGATTGTCATCATTTAAACCACGTCTGTGTTATGTTGCTTAAAGTCAACATTCAAAACGTCTGTGTCATACTGCCTGACTTCATCTCCTATTCCAAGAACATAAGGATCAAGGAATTGTACCTTGATGAAAAGTGTCATGAGGTGAAGGAAATAAGGACTTTCTTTTGTAACAAGATTTATTAGGTCACTGAGTCTTCACAGTTTGTGATTTGTGATTTGCAACTGTGGTAAATATAATCATCTATTTTATTTAAACATATTGTTATCTTTTTCAGCACAATTAAAATGCCCCCCTGGCTATGCACCAAAAAGTGGAGTTTGTATTGGTGAGTTATTCTGTAATTTTGAAACATGTGACAATCCTCTGGACTGGTTGACTCAACTCCCCAAAAAAATACCAGGGTTTTATTATGGTAAAACTTGACCCATCTTGATCAAATTAAATTTTTTTTGTAAGAAACCTTGTGCTATTTTTTGTTGTTGGCACACTTTTTTAATTTTTGATAGTTTGATATACTGGTTATAACTATCATCAGCTCTGAGTGAACATGTGTTTTGTTTTCATTTCAGACATCAATGAGTGTGAGCTGTACTCAAACCTGTGTCAGGGGGGAGGTGAATGTGTGAACACACCAGGATCATTCACATGTAATTGCCCACCAGGCCTAAGTCTTGATTCCACAGGACGCACTTGTATTGGTATGTGAAAATTAAAAAGATACAAAAAGATGGAAAAACTTTTTTTGTCAAATGATTAATTCATCGATTTTGAAATACACTTACAAAATTTCAGTCAGGAGCAGACCTGCAAATGATAATATACTAGATGTATAAGTATTTTCTTGGTGCACAACAGATAAGAACAACCTCTTTTTTCTGTCTGTGAACAAATACATGTTGTCCAACCTTTGTTATTAACTAAATTTGAAAATATATTTTTTGTCTGATTGTTTCAGATATGAGAGAGTCTACCTGTTACCTGGGCTTCTCTAGAGGCATCTGCACCAAACCTCTTTCAGGTCTGTATCTGAAAGCTGACTGTTGTTGCTCACTGGGTAGAGGCTGGGGAACCGTTTGTGCTGCCTGTCCAGCTCGTGACTCAGGTAAAATGTTCATACTTGACTCAGCCTTTTATAGATACAGTGTTTTTCGTCGACTATTGAAAGTGGATTTTTTGTGAATATTTCAGATGTTCAATACTATCCTAAAGAATAATACCAAACAGGTATCTAAAGAAAAAGCAAATAATTACAAGGCATTTTGCTGGATTGAATCATTAGAATACAGATATACTGGTGTTTTAAAAAGATTATTAATTGTTGTTGCCTGATATGTTACAGTGGAGTACCAGGCTCTGTGTACCAATGGAGGTGGCAGACCAAAAGGTAAAATATTAAAATCTACATATCAACCTCATTTCAGACTTGTTCCAATAATTTTTCAGTCTGCAGGGGTCAGAAATATTCCTGAAATTTAAAAACATCCTTCATTAAGTTTGTCCATACAAAAGTGTACATTTTAATCTCAGAAGAAATATTTAAGGGAATTTCTCTTTAATTATTTTGTGTAAAAAAAGATATTGCCAAAAGTTTGAGAAACAACTAGTGCCATTACGATGTCTTTTTGGATATATAGGGGACATATACTTTTGAAAAGTCCTTGAATTTGGCTTTGTGGCCTTGAATCCTGATCTGTGGCTTAACTGAAGACGTTCTTGATTATGTGATTCACTGGTCAATATATAAGTACATAATTATACACAAATATGAATATGGGGAAATGTACTTTCAATCCAATTTGAAAGATGACTCTTTGTTTAAACTCCTAGTCTGTCAATTCTACATACTGGGTCTGTCAATTCAAAGGCAGATTGATTTTTTTGTCTCAATCTGTTAGACCTCAAGAAAATTGGTGAATTAGCATTGAAATAATGAATGAAAAAGTCTGAAGCAAAATTGTAAATGTGAAATTGAATGAAATCCTTGAATAATCCTTGACCTTGATCACATCTTTAAGCACCCTGACATACAGTTACCTGATTGAAGCTTTGTTTATATTGACATTTCAGACATCAATGAGTGTATGCTCTATCCAGGAATCTGCAGTAACGGCATGTGTCAAAATACATTTGGCAGTTTTGTATGTACCTGTAACCAAGGATTTGCTCTAGACAACACTGGCTTCAACTGTACAGGTATAATATTTGAGTAGACAATCAAGAAAGATTAGTTATCTATCCTTGACCAACTACTTTAAAAGTTGATTTATACAATGTTCAATTTTTTGTGGTTTAATGAAAAACTTGTTGCGAAAAAGAAGCATGGTAAGGAAATATATAGTAGTCACTTTGTGCCTTTGTGTATGAGTGGGTGCATCTGTGTATGTTGTGTACAAGATATCTTGTGAACACAATTAACTTCATTCATTGGGAACCTTGATAGTCAATCGGAAAAGCATTAGCCTGCATCACCTCAAGTGAAGGTCTGAGGTGTGAGGTTCCATAATATTTACCCATAACTGTTATAGTTTCTCATAAAGCTGAGAAACAGACCAGTCCCTACTGTCTTGGTTGTGTCCTTTGGCAAGAATTTTTACCCTAACTGTTCTGATGACATGCTACTGGCCTCCTGTTTGTTGTTCATTCAAGATAATCACAAACTATTTCATGGGAGTCCTTGCTTCAAAATTACTGTTGCTGATGACAAGGTGATAAACGAAGCAATCATTAAATGACCAAGATATTTCTGTTATATTGTTGCAACCAAATGTTTTTATTTTTTTTTTTTTGTTAAAAACACTGTATATGGACTTGACAAAATAATTCAATTCATAATCTGATTTGCTTACACAGCTGGTAAGGGAAAACCTGATTAAGATGAAAAATTTCCTCTGATGATGGAAAAGCTGAATATGTTGTTTCTACTTGTAGACATTGATGAGTGTCGTATCTCATTTGGAGTATGTGGTAATGGAACTTGTCAGAATACACCTGGAATGTTCCGTTGTGTCTGTAACAAGGGCTTCAAGGGCATCATGATGGATCAAATGTGTGTCGGTAAGTGTATCCACCACACCTTGGTAAGTGTATCCACCACACCTTTGTCTAAGTGTGAGAATATGTATGATAACAAGGAATTAAAAGTAAATTCTAGATCAGTTCTATTGTTTTACTTCTAATTATTCATCAGTACCTTTTCATGAACAGTAATCTTTCATTGAAAACTGTTTAGTTCCATTACTATTTGCCATGCTGTTAAATATTTTTTTATAACACATCAATAACCGATAATTTAGTGTAAAAGTGGGTTAATATGATAGAGACTTATACGTTTGTAGATATTGATGAGTGTGATGAGCAGCCAGGCCTTTGTAGAGGGGGCTCCTGTGTCAATACCGTTGGTGGTTATTTTTGTGAGTGTCCAGATGGTCATGTCCTTTCACCTGATGGTCAGTCCTGTACTGGTAAGTATTAACTTTATATAATGTTTACATGTAAAGGCATATTAGACAAAAGTAAACATTTGAACTTAGTAATAAGTAGTTTAAATGAAGTGATAAAAAACATTCAAACCTGACTTCTCGAAAAAAAGATACAAAAATATTTACAACATAGGTGTGCAGACAAAGATCACTTGTAAAGAGCATACCCAATGATTGATGAAAATGTTTAGATTATTAATTAACACATTAATTAATTTGTTTACTTTATTGTACAACAGTATTTACTCTACCCATTCACCTATGTACATATATGTCCTTACATTCTTTCAATAACATGGTCCTACTGATATTATCATAAGTGGAGCTTGAAGCCTTTGAGAGTTGTTGTAATTAGTGATAATCCTCTTAAAAGACATCCCTTTTAGAGGATAGAAAAAGCATTTAATCTTTCTTAATAATATTTTTGACCCACCATCTGGCATGTTCAAATTACTCCTTGTTCATGATCTGCCATCCATCCGGCATTATACCATTATTGTAATTGCTGTTTCTTTTTAAGTACTGGATGGATGATTTCAGATTTCATATGTAGGTTTCCTTTGGTCACTTGTAGTACCTTTCAATTTAGGAGAAGCACTCAAGAGTAGATTTGTATATAGATTCCCCTTGGTACTTAGTAGAGCCCATTTAAATCTGAGACTGATCTGCAAAACAAACTTGGAAACAGGCAGTCATCTTGGATTTTAGCTACATAAGGCTTTTTTATCAGTGATAATGAAAAAGCATTCAATGAATCATTCTCAAAATTCAGATATCAGTTGTCCCTGGTCTCTTTGCAGCCATTTAAAATTTTCTTAAATGTTTTCTTAAAGTTCAGTTCTCTCCTTTGTTGTGAACTCGATGGTTTATTTGTAAACTGCATATATAAGTTAAAGTTAGAGTAAGTTTTATTTTGAAATTTCAAATATGAAAAAAGGAAACAAATGGAAACTGCATATGCAGAAGAAAACCAATGAGTAACTCAAGGTTTCTCTTCAAAGATACTTAAACCATAGGCTAGAGTTTATTTGTGATAACAATCTGTCTTGCTAGTTACTGTTTCTGTACATGACAGTAATGGAATAACAGGGTGACTTATTTATACTTTGTTTATGGGAAGGAAATTGAGTCTCCCTCTTTACTTTTCTAGATGTGGATGAGTGCTCAGAGAGCCAGAGTATCTGCAATAATGGAATATGTGAGAACTTCCTGGGTGGTTATCATTGTCGTTGTTTTGATGGCTATATCGCCACCCGAGATCACACTACCTGTGTAGGTAAGTATAACCCACTCATTTCAGCCTACTTTGGCAATGCCTTATGTAGGTCAACATTGTGATTTCATTATGTTGAACCAAATGGAGTGTTATTTGAAATAGATATAGGGATAATATTGCCTGTGGTTGTTTTCGCCCATGAATAAGATTTTTCATTTTCCCTAGTGTAAATTTCACCCTACAATACTTAAATGTATACATTTTTTATATTTTAAGAAACAAGACCACTTTTTTTATTTCTCTCTTTGTGAAGGGGTGAAACAGCTAAAGTTAAAATGGAATGAATGAGTTTCTCATATGTAGTATCTATAGCTGGTGTATTCCATGTTCTACAGATGATAATGAGTGCGCGGAAAGAAATGGTGGATGTGCGTCATTGTGTGTTAACACTCCCGGGTCATTTGTATGTGGCTGTGACCCAGGCTTTGTACTGCTCCCTGACCAGAGGTCATGTGGTGGTAAGAACTATTGTAATCTGACTTATTCTTACAACAGGATAAATAAAGTGAATGTTTATCAATGATGTTGATGTAATATTTGTATTGGAATATTATAGATTTTTTTTATGCAACTACCTTTGATTGCACTTGTGCTGTTCAGTGAGTTTTCTTTTTGTCTTGTAAATGGGAGCTTGAAGCTTCAACAGTGAAGTAAGAACTTCTTATGACAGTCTTCAGTCTTGTTACAAAATGATGGAAAAGAATGACGAAGATCAAGGTCACAACATTGTTAATAAACTTATAACAGGCATGTCCTAAACCACCTTTCTTGAGTTTTAATTACTTCAAACATGTACTTTGCTTTTCAGATGTAAATGAATGTAAAGAGGAGACGGACATTTGTCAGGGTGGAAAATGTACAAATCTACCTGGGAGTTATAAATGTACCTGTACTGATGGCCTGATTCCTTCTGTTGATGGGAAAATGTGTTTAGGTAAGGATACAGGACAATAATCTGGCTGCAGGTGGCAGATATTTTGAAACAGTACTGTTTGAGGTAAAATATCTATAACCTGTGTGTGTTTGAGATAAATTCTACACTTTTAGTGGTGTAAGATTTCCTTGTTCACCTTAGGGTTGAGTCAGAGGGAAATCTCCTTTCATAATTATAAAGTCACGTCCACAATGCAAAGCATGGGGACAGCAATGGCATATTCATAAGGAGGACTGCAGGCTTAGAGAAAAAGGATCATTCATATCCTTGTTAGGGGGACTTGAGATGGGGGACCTCAACATTTTGGGGAATATTAATAAGTTATAACATAAACATTCTCCCAAGGTTGAGATCCCCGTCTCTTACTGCAAATGGGGTAAAAGATTCTATTAATCTTAGATATTGCAAATTTTTGAAATGTTATTCTTGGCTTGACTTTAATAAAAGTTCTTGACTGAGATTAAGAAAATGCAGGTACCATATTAATTTGTAGAGAAATTTCCTTTAATTCTATTTTGGATATACAGTACACATTATGTGTTGTGGTACCTAAACACCAGCACAGTGTTGGTTCTCAATATCTGTCACTGATGGACTTAGTTGAAACGCGGTTGAAACATCGGCTCATCCGTTCACATTAGCTTAACACCTGAGTATCACCTGTATACTGACAACAACTCAACTCCTTGTAGATGGGTGTCAGTTTGTGTTGTTTATAGCAATGCCATATCTGGTAGTGGGATGTTGAGTTGCACCCCTTGATTATGGCGTATGATATCGCAAACGAAAGTGGTCAGTACATGAATTTGATCAATAAATTGTATTTATCCATAGATAACATGGCATAAAACTACATGTTAGGAAATGAGAGAAAGGTAATTTACATGAGATTACATCAAATATCTATATAATGTGAGACAGGTACAGTTTTTTTCATTATTTGCATTTATAGAAAGTGGATCGTATGAACGGATCTTAATAGTTTTTGAAACAGAGAAATAAATGACCCCAGAATCTTTGAAACTGCTTTGCTGCCAACCAGAATATACTGACAGGCGTATCAGCAGTCAATTATGAATCTGATGACTTTGAGCTCTTGAGTAAACTTGAAAGATTGATGTTAAAAACATTCAGTCTGTTACATTATGTGGCAACTTTGTCTTATTATGATTGAATTTTAATTTTAGTACACATTTAAAGTTTGATGTGGCTATGCTTTTGTATTAGTGATGTACGCAAGAGTAACGCAACACTTTACGCATGGTGTTTTATCTATTGATTGGAAACAGGGATTTTACAGGTATACTACATTTATAAGGTAATTCTACACACAAAGCATCATTTTCATGAAACCTTAGAATGTATTTATATATTTTTCTTTTGCCTATCCTGTAGATGTTGACGAATGCTTGGCTAACAGGAACCTGTGTCTGAATGGACAGTGTCAAAATAACTACGGATCATATGTTTGCATCTGTGAAACAGGATTCTCTGTCAAGATGGAGACAAGGAATCCAGGGTGTACAGGTACTGTAGGATATCCATCTAATGGTCGTTATAATTTGAAAGGGTTTGTTAGATAGCTGTGACACATGATTTGAGTCATATGGTTTCTTACTTATTAGTAACTCTGTAAAAACGTTTCTGATATGAATGTCAACAATCTGGTAAATGTTTACACGATGAGTTTGTAAAGCCTTAAACTGTTTTGTCAGTTTGATTTTGGTCAGATCTGAAAAACAGTCATGTATGGATTGAGATTTGAGCAGTTTGATGTAGACATATTTATGGAAGATGTTTATCTTTAATATAAACAAAGACTGAAATATGCATTTTATGAGTTTTATGTACTCTTTGCTGGGTGAAGACAACAGGTATTTTCGAAAGCTCACAAAGACGTTTTTCAATTGATTTATTTGTTAAAGATAAACATCTTCTCAAAACATAGTCCTGTACATTGTACTTCAGGATTACTTTATATTTTTTTATACCCATTTACAGCATCAAATGACAAAATGAAAAAAATATGTATGTTATGTTAAATGATACACAGATGAAAAATATCAGGTTTTGTGATTGCAGATGACAATGAGTGTGAATTGGGTACAGGTGGGTGTGATTCCCATGCAGTGTGTATCAACACCATCGGCTCCTACAAGTGTGACTGTAAACCAGGCTACACAGGCGATGGATTTACATGTAGAGGTAGCTATGAGATAAAGACTTGCTCCATCTGTCAGATTACCAGAAAAGAAAAACTGATGCTGCAGTCTATATATGTATTCTTTAGATATGCTGTATCTTTGTCTGTTATTAAATTTACTTTGTATTGAAATATTTACAATATTTGAATTCATTGTTGATAAGAACATTTCAATCATTTTCACTTGACAAGACTATGTTTGAAGGAATTTCAGCATTTTCCGAAAGCATTATGTTTCTCCACGTTTGAAGGAATTTCAGCATTTTCCGAAATCATTATGTTTCTCCACTACTAATTATTATCCTTTATCAAGCAGAAGTATAACACTGGCCTAGATCCCAAAAATTTTCAGGTCACCTGAGACAAAGTCTCATTATTGCCTATTTCGATCACCTTTTGTCAGGCATTGTGTGTCTGTAAACTTTTGATATTTTCCACTTCTCAAAACTCGAGAATAGATTTCGGTGAAATTTTTCAGAAACCCTAAGGGCCTGAGGGGCAGGGCCAAAAGCAGTCAAATTCAATCAAATTTTGAACATCTTCTTTTCAACACCCAAGTATGGTAGAATCAAATGTTCATGGATAGGAGTGATTTTTGCCTCTGGGGAGGGGGTCAAGGTTACTATAGTTTATATAGGATAAGTACATTTTTTAACGTATTTTGTTTAATTTCCATTTGAAATATTTCAAACTTTGTTGAAATTATGAGAAAAGAACGATGCTCGATGGTATGCACAAATTGTTCCTGGCTGACCCCCAACTGCTGATGCGTAAGGACCAAAAGGGATGAAATTGACTCAAATTTCAAAAATCTTATTCTCAACAGTGGTAGTATCTTCATGGTTGAACACTTGAAAGCTTCTTACCCTATCACATTTCTATTCAATATTGCTTACCTCAGGTGACCGTCAAGGGCAATAGGCCCCTTCAATTCAACTACATACTGTTTGTGAAAAGATTTCATAATAAAAATTATCGTACATAATGTGTATTATTAACTGAAAACTGATTTCTACTCCATTGTAATATTTAAATGTACTGATACAATTAAAACTTTACCACAGACAGTAACGAATGTACACGTGACAATGGAGGCTGTGATCTTGATGCTACCTGTATCAATGTTCCTGGCAGCTTCAAATGTGTCTGTGATGATGGCTTTTCTGGTGATGGTTTCCAATGCAGAGGTAATTACTGAACATTCCACTTAATATAACATCACTTAAAGTCATTTCACTCATTATCACTTTTAAGTTAATGTCATGGTGTCTTTAAGAATAGTCCAGTCTTCTAGAAAACAATGCAATGAAACTTCAGTTGATGTTGGAGGTTGTGATGTTTTCTACTCTTGATATCACTGTAAGAAAATGATGCATTAGTGAACAATGTCACCAAGTGAAACAAAAGATTTTTTCCTGATATTTGAAGCAATTAATTCACAAAGTTCAGAAAAGGGGAGAGGAGCCAACACCTTGCTTCTGGGTGGCAATGTGTCAGGTTTGTCATCTACCTGGTAATTCACAAAGTTGCATCAAAGCTGTGTTTAGATAAAGAAAACTCTGTTCCTACTTCAAGGTTGTTCAAATGTATTTAGAGCAGAATGTAACTTATGATTGATATGATAAGAAGCACAGACATTTATGTCTTTATGAAATATTTAAATCCTTGCTTGTGTTTGTTGTTGTAGATGTGGACGAGTGCACACTCGATTCAACACTGTGTAGGAATGGTCAGTGCCTCAACTTCCCTGGTGGATTCCGATGTGACTGTGACATGGGGTTCGCCCCTACAGTAGATGAGAAGGCATGTGTAGGTTGGTAAGAGTTCATGTTAGAGTTACGAATTATGTAGCTCACAATAACCCTGATCATAAAAAAGTCCCTTGAAGTGATATTAAATCAATAATTGATACACTTCAACACTACAAGTATGTGATATTCAGCTAATGCCATCTTCTAATATCAACTGTTTATTTACAATAAGTAAAGAAATACTGAGCAGACTTTTAATAAAAATTGTGAAGAGATAGATATCTGCACACATGACATCTTTACAAATGTGTGAATGACACAGAGTTTATATTTATACTGCTGTGTTTCTGACTCCATTTTACTTGACACTGGTGAAAGAGTATTGTAGCAGGGAGGGGTGCACTATAACAGGAACGGATATCATATAACAGGAAGGGGTGCTGAACTCCAATGTTAAAGTATTGTAACTAGAAGGATGACACATTTGTATTTCTGTAGTCTTTTCATTTGAGGTCTCTACATTCACAGCAGATATATCAATTTCTAAACATTTAACTTTAAATTGAGAAATTTATTACTGTGCAAAATTTGTTATGTTTTGCACAATAATTTACATTTAATTGTTGAATTTGCTTCAGAAATTCAAACAAACTTGATTAATATGTGTTTTTGTGTTTTACAGACATAAATGAGTGTGACACCTTTCACAACCTATGTGTCAATGGCGAGTGTGAAAACCTGGTAGGTTTGTTCAGGTGCAACTGTAACCAAGGCTTTAGACTGGACCAGTCAGGTGGCAATTGTACAGGTAAAGTTTGTGCTACTCAGCATTTGTGATCCTTAATAATGAATAATTTTCTGATCAGTAGAAAATGATGTAAAGATTTACTTTGCATGAAAAAATGTTCTTATACAGGAAAGTGTTTAGCTTATCACATATGTTTATTCTATTCTATACATATAAAATATATCTGCTGAATGCTAATTTCAGATGGTTTTTCACTTCAAGAGGACAGAGTAGGTTCTAAGTATACTGTAAAATCATAGATACTTGTAGGGCTCAATTTTTCACGATTTTTCAAAAATCACGATTTCATGGACACTTGATTTTGTGGATGAATATAGCTGTATTAATCTCCTTATCCTTATTTTATAAAGGGTACCCACACAACCGTTGAACATGAATTCCCCCACCAAAATTAATGATTTTGCAGTAACTGATCAATGTTATTTTACTTGACAGATATAAATGAGTGTACCAATCCTGACAACTGTTTGTATGGGACATGTGTAAACACTGAGGGAGGCTATATCTGTCAATGTCCTGCTGGCTATGAAACCAACCCCACAGGAACAGGCTGCATAGGTAATCACAGAAAAACATACCCTGGCACTGAGAAACAATCACAGGATCAAAATGATACAAGTTTTTATGGGTTTTTTTGTATTTTCAATGTTAAATTCTGAAACAGATACTTCTCAAATTTCTCTGGAAATCGCTGTATGATGAGAATACTGAGTTAAGTGAATGAAAGCTTTTTTTTATATGATGGTTCAGATTTTGTGATTTTTCCGAAAGCTTCATGTGAAAAAGGTCGTATATTTCACAAAAGTGTTGTAATGGGGTTTTTTTTTTGTTCTTTATTGGCAATGGGTTTTGTTTTTGTTCTTTATTGGCAATGTTATTTCATTCTGTCTTTACAGTTTTTTCCATACTCGAAAAAAGCTTTCACAGTATTAAATATGATTTCCTTAAGAAATTTGTTAATTCCTCATCATTAACTGAATTACTTGAAAGGGAAGTACATTCAAGGTAATGCTGAGGTATGTAATGTACACTATGAATACATTGTAGATAAACGACTGGGCACCTGTTACATGACAGTTCCTGAGAATCGACCGTATGGAATATGTACCGATGTGATAACCCTGGACACATACCGCGCCACTTGTTGTTGTAGTATTGGAAAAGGATGGGGAGAGGATCCTGGCTACTGTGAAAAGTGCCCTGTCAATGGTACAAGTAGGTATATATATAGCTACCAGGTGTACTGTTAATAGAACACTTTAAGTTTGTCAGTGAGACAATGGCTATCAACAGGAAGTGTCACAAAGACAAAAAAATCCTTAAGTAACAAACTGTTAAAAGCTACAAGTATAACAGTGGGTAGTGTGACATCATCATTAAATGGAAAATTTATCAAGTGTAGATCAATAGGTCCATAATCATACTTGACTAAATTAAACAATGACATCTTTTCTAAATGTAATTATAAACAATTGCAAGTGATCTACTAATGGCAATTCCCCTGAAAACTGCCTCACACAATTATATCCTCTATTAATACATTCAGAAAATACTTAATTATTCATATTAACAAAACCAACAATATCTTAGGTAACATCAGTTAAAGATATCTGATCATTTGGAGCACAAAAACCAACTCATTTTATATGATTGAGTAAATCCAGTTATAGAAAAACCGAAACATGAAACAGCCATGAACATCAGCATCACAACATATAGAACAGGACCAGTTACATTTATGGTCTCATGATTACATTAACTGTCAGACACTGTGAAATGGAATCTCAGCAAACACATGTGAATTGTATAGATGTACTAAGCCATGTTATAAAAGGTGGATCTGCTATTAGATAAACAAGGTGTATTATTTTTCTTTTTGATAGGTGAATATAAGACATTATGTCCAGGTGGGCCTGGCTTTAAGCCCTCAATTGACCTCATCCTGGAAGGTAAGTGTAAAGTCATTGCTAAAATGCAAAGAATATTTAGTGATAATGCACTGATATTCAGTTACACAAAATTCAGTACATTGAATTTCACACTGCTGTAGTGCATTGAAAAAAGACCAGAATAATCTTTTTGTTCTTCCTGTGTAAATGCAGATATCGATGAATGTGAGGAGCTACAGAACATATGCCAGGGTGGTGAATGTCAAAACACATTTGGCAGCTTCATCTGTGTATGTCCGACCGGCTACAGGTTATATAATCACCAGTGTATTGGTAAGTAGCTACACATTACACAATCATGTACAGGATGTAATTTTTGCAAGATCAGTTATTCACGATCCTCTGATTAATAACAGCAGGACATTGTGGTGATTGACTTCAATATTTTAATGCAATGCAGATGGATATATAAGTATCATAACAGATATACTTAGCTTAGCAACGCTGTTAGTATAACCCTTATCACTCATGTCAGAGTCAGCTGGTTTTTTTACGTTAGTGTTTTTTGTATATATTTTCAACAATTTGTTAAGTACAGGGTTAATGTATAATTAGGTTATAAATCTGTGTCTGATGATATAATTCATGATTTCAATTATCCTATTGTATATAAAACTTTTTCTGCAATACTTGTCTTTGTGTCATGCTCTGCAAACTGCAAAAAAAATCAGTAGATCCGATTCCAGAATTATTTAGGTACTAATAACTACTGGCATTTTGACCTATGACCTTGACTACTTGCTTGACTGAAACCTACAGCCTCTACAACTGCGATATTATCTAAAATATCAGCATTCATACTACATATTAACCATTGTTCCAAATATCTTTTTTTAGAGGTTTTTGATAGATTATCCAATTGCCAATTTGATTCACAAAGTATTATCATAAGAATTTACACAAAAGTGAAAACTTATAATTAGAAAGATAACTTTAGTACTAGTATAATGACAGTGACGTTTTTCTGCTTGCAGATATTAATGAGTGTGTTGAAGACAGCAGCCTTTGTGGGGAGGGAACTTGTATGAACACTGAGGGCAGCTACAGGTGTGTGTGTCCAAATGGCTACATACCCATGGAGGGTGACATTGATTGTATGGGTAAGTACAGGAGATCTCTCAATGGAGGGTGTAATTGACTGAATGGGTAATTTTAATAATGGTTATGGCAGCTATCTGAAAGAAGCTTTTAATGCAATGCATTTTACAGAACAATTACATGTTTTTCTGCCCCTGCCTTTTCATGTTTACTGCTTTTCTCTTATTCTGTCTTAATTTTGTTTTCGTTTCTGTCTATTTACTTTCTTATGGATGCAGATATGGAACTACAACATTGTTTGTAGTTGTATTATAAAAAGCAGGTCAATTTCTGATTTTGTTTTGATCAATTATTTTTATGGCATTCAGCTTTGAGAATTGAAATTGAATTTTCATAGAAACGTAAGACTAATATAGGAGAGCCCTGACTAACTCCATTAGGAATTTAATAGGATGTAATGGGAAAAAAATCTGCAGGTCTTCAATTTATTTAAGATTTTTTACCATTAATGCTGCAGATAGTATTTTAATTTGTTTCATGAGTCATGAATACACTGCTTAACAAAGCCAAGCCAATAACACTATAGACTTAGCTTCTCCAATGACACTGTTGAAGAAATAATCATTTTAGATAACTGGTGTTTCATTCTTTACCTTTGAACTCAAAATTACATTTTCTCAAGTCTTTTTGTTTGTTATAGATATGAGAAAGGGTGATTGTTTCCCCACCTACTACACCACAACCCAGCCTCCCTTTACCCTGGTTTGCGAGAATCCCATCGCTTACAACATCACCAGGGTTGACTGCTGCTGTTCTATTATTGGACAAGCCTGGGGGCAGCCTTGTGAGACTTGTCCTGAAAAACGCACCGGTAAATATAACAGGTTAATAGTGTTGAAAGGATGATATCAGACTTTGGGGTGAGTAAAGAACTGATAGAAAGTGTATCACAACAACTTTTCTAAGAATCATTTATGGGTGATATTTTAAGGAACATCTTTGGTACTACTTCACCTATCAATAAGCTTATGATAAAGAGCAAATATGAGGAAAGATGAGAGAAAATTCCAACTTATGAAGAACTAAAAGTATGCCTGTGATCCTATGATGGTGGTTGCAAAGATTCTCTCTTTTTAGTGACACTACTGGTAGTGGCTGAATTATAAACTACGTAGTGCGTACCTCACTATTTTTGCTCAATACTAATAATTACAAGAAATAAAATGGTGCTGCTACATGACAAAAGGATGTGTTTGATTAAAATTCTGTTTCATTTTTAGCTGCGTATGCAGACCTTTGTGAGCCTGAAAGGATAGGAGAAGGTAGGTTACATATAAAGTAAATAGTATTGTATATTATATAACCTTTTGAGATAGAGGATGTGTTGCCTTTTAAGAGTGAAGCAGGTATATAACCTTCTTTAAGACAGGATAAGAAAGGTAACACAAACTCAGGAGTAGACCTTAGAGAAAAAGTGAAGGTAATATGTAAAATTGATGTTTACATCAGTTTAAGAATCCAAGGGAGATATGTTAGCCATATGTAACTTACATGGAATTATCTTATGTTAATTATTCAGCTTTCTTAAATTACAAATATTTGTTTTCCAATTTTTTCATCAAGGTGTGCAATACTATTTTCTTTAGGTATCAATGAATGTGAGAAATTCCAAGGGATCTGTGAAAATGGTCGCTGTATTGATACAGTGCAGAGCTTCAGATGTGAATGTAATGATGGCTTTGAGTATAATCCAACATCCTACAAGTGTGAAGGTGGGTTTATACTACATCACTCATGTCTATTGATAAGAAAACTGGAAACTATAAAAGGAATCTCAACTTGTCTATAATGTTTACGAAACTTCATGAAAGGGAACTAAAACTCAGAATTTAGAATTGTGATAATTTTTTATAGATTTGATTCTCTGTTCAAAATATTTTTGTAAATTCTGTAGTTAATAAAACGAAATGAAATATCATTATGATACGATTAACAATAATTTACTGTCACTAACATAAACTTATCTGCTCTTATTATCTGGTATTTCAGACATTGATGAATGCCGTTTGACAGGAGAATCACCTTGTAGAGGTTATGCTCAGTGTAAAAATACTCCAGGCAGCTTTAAATGCCAGTGTCCACCTGGGTATAAGCTCTCATCTGGGGGACGGCGCTGTCTTGGTATGTATCGTAGCACTGAACATGAAGACTGACCTAAGATGTTTGAAGCTATATGAAATGATAAGCTATTTAGGGCTTTAAATAGAGGTACTTGAATGCAATGATAAAACATATTCCATAGTAGATTTTTTAATTTCTCCACCTTGCACAAAGCAAATGGTGCCCAGTCCATCCCACTTTCAGGCGCATACCTTCTATGCTTAATGAGTGGACAGCCTTTTATTTAATGTACATAGCAAGAATGTGCTGATTTCTGTATTTTAAGTAGGTCATTTTGTCATAAAATACAGCTTAACCTTCAAATAATGTTGAATCATATCAGTAGGATATACCTGACAATCAATAACAAAAAGCAGAAATGTTGATATTTTGTAGTCGACACTTGACCAAAAACTATCTCTGCTATTACATTTTTAGTTTTTTATGGCCACTGTGCTTTGTCCTTCATCTTCTGCCGTGCATAAACTTCTGACATTTTAAAATTCTTCTAAAGTTTCACCAGTGAAATTGAGCTCAAACTTGGAAGTAATGATCCTGAGATGGTCCTGACCAAGTGTTGTTATTTTTCGAGTATGTATGAAAGTCAAGATAGCAGCCATGGCTGCCATCATGAAAAACATACTTCAAACTTCTTCTGCAGTTTCACTGATGCCACTGAGCTAAAAATTGGTGGGAATGTTAAGGAAAGGTAGAAATAGCAGTCAGGAAGGCTATTTTGTAACATGACTGTGCAATCATGGTTTTTCTGTGCGACACCTATTTCCAACTTCTTCTCAAGATTTACCAGTTGGATTGTTCTCCAATTTTACTGTCAAGAAATAGGTAATACTTGTTACAGTTACCTACTCCTCACCAAAACTACCATCTGCATCATGAAAAACAGCTTCTTCTTAAGATTTTATTAAAAGTAGAAAAAATAGCCCTTCTGCCTGCTGAACATTTTTGTAGTCAGATGACGGTTAAGGTCTGTGGGCCTTTTTGTATTGGAGTGTGAATTGTTGCTTAAGAATAACAAAGTTCCTAAATATAGGAGTGCAGTTTTTTTGCACCATATTTAATCTAGAGGATAAAGGTTGTGTTGTGCTCTCAAATACCCAGACTATAAAAGATACAGTAAAAGGTTGAACATGAAAGAAATGGATAGATGGATGTTCCACTGACAACAATTTTGTTACATGAAGATAGCTGATAACTGGATCAGGTGTCATGATAGATGGTGAATCTGTAAATTTGTAGAGCAGTTGACTTCAATTTCTTGCTGATTTACTACAATTTTCAAATGTTTCCTTGAAATAGATGTGAATGAGTGTGAGGAGCTGGCTGGTGTGTGTATCAATGGAGAATGTGATAACCTCGATGGCAGCTTCAGATGTACCTGTTTGCCAGGATTCCGACTCAACACTAACAGAGATGCCTGTATTGGTATGTTCTAAAGCCAACATATCGAGTTCTAGCACTAGAATGATGATAAACAACAGATAAGATCAACGTCTTATATTACAGGAACAAAACAAGCTTATCAGACTAAAATTGCACTGACTGCTATCAGCTACAATAATGTATTATCTTTTTAATAGGTTTAGTCATCATCAGTTTGCCTGCTGTTCATTTCCTCATTCACCTTAAGATATTGTTGTTGATGCTACATTGCCCAGTTCTTTTGGATTTTTCTCCAATTTCATCTACCGAGACTGATGAGAGGAACAAAAGTTGGACAGTTGCAGTTTGTTGAAATAATGATCATGTGGTAAAATTTGATAATGCCAAATGAAGTACATTTGCAGTATTTCTACAGAGGTATTGGGTGGCAGATTCTAGAAGGTTTTAGCTGTAAATTAAAAGATGAAAAAAACCCTGAAGGTTTGTTTTTGTTTGATTACAGCATTCATGTAAGCTTTTCAGATGACAGAAATTATTTCATAATCTGTTGACTGTATTTTCAGATAGAAATGAATGTACCGCAAGACCAGGGCGCTGTAGGAATGGAACTTGTGAAAATCTCATTGGAGGATTCCGTTGTCATTGTTCTCCTGGGTTCATTGTATCTGAAAACCAAGACTGTCAAGGTTTGTATTCATAAAATTAAGTTCTGCATAGCAGTTTCAAAAGTGACACAATAGAAAGTTAATCTGTGTGAAACAATTTGCTTATAATTAAGTCTTTCTTTGGAATAACACTCTGTCATTAAAAAGAAATAAAACCGCATATGAAAGCAAACTGGATTTTGAGTTTAATGAGTCAGTTTGTAACAGGTTCCAGAGTATTTTGACTTTCCTAGCTCAGATTCTGGATTTTAAATGTTTATACTCCATTTATTTTGCAATCAATTAAGCTTGTTTAAAAGCATTCATCAGTTTTTCCCAGTATACTCACAATATGTGAAGAAAATTTGCACTCTGTCAGCAATTATGCCCCTTGCTATCACAGAAATGGTAATGAATATTCAGGTGGAAAATTTTGTATCCCCTCTCTGTCATAATTTGTCTTTTTAAGTCTAATTTTTCATGGATGGAGATGCATTTATTGAACTGAAATTAGACCATGCAAGTCTAGTTTATGCTTTGTTTAGGACATATGTTTGGTTTAGGACATATGTTTGGTTTAGGACATATCATTTTTCCCAGATATTAGTTCTGGTTGTTAAGAATTTCACACTTTGTGACTGTTTTTGGAAGTTGATCTATACATATGAATATCAATAAATTAACAAAACACATCATATACTGTTGATTCAAAGGTTCCAGGTTGGAATTACCTGTTGTATTTGTACCCAAGTTTGCTAAGTATAGTTGTGTTGCTCTTATGAAAAAAAAACCAGGGGTCTGTTAATCAACTTCAGTGCTGAAGAGAGGTCAACTTACAACTGACATAGTCTGAAAAGTTGTGTCTAAATCTCTCAAAAGCCAATGTCTAAATGCTCAATACTTCATTGGTCATCAACAGGAATCAGTGTTACATTAATACATCAAATGAACAAATTGGAGTATTCTCCTGAAGACAAAGATAAAGCAGCGAAAAATACTTGTTATAGGAAAGAGTTACTTCCATTTTGAGAATTTATTTGTTCATTTTGACAATAGTGATGCAGTTAAAGAAGAACTGACAGTATAAAGGTGCCGAATTCAATCCTGTTTACTAATATTGATGACAGTTTTGTACACTTCTTGTTCACTTTAGATGTCAATGAATGTCTGGATCAGATCGGTTTGTGTCAGAATGGCCGCTGTGTTAACACATTGGGCAGCTTCACTTGTGCATGTCCACAGGGTTACCAGATAACTAGAGATGGCATGGATTGTCGAGGTGAGTCATCCTGATAGTTCGATCAAAATACTAGGGACAACATGGAAAGTCAAGGTAGGTCACCCAGACAGGTAGAATAACTTAGTATGACATGGAGTGGAAAAGAGTCATCCCAATAGTTAGAAATGAAATACTTAAGGCAACAGTGACAATCAAGGTCAGTCATCACGATATTTAGAATTGAAATATTAGGAACAACACTTACTGTCAAGTTGTGTCAACCTGGAAGGCAGATTCTTAATACTGGAGATGTCGTGTACATTGTCATAAATATAGCAATTCAGAATGCTGGAGTCAAGATACTAAAATTAACATGGGCTTCAAAATAAGTTTTCATGTTACACAAACAGTGAACAAACAACCAAAGAAGTGTGATGTAATTTCTTAAAAGGCAAAAAAAAAAATGTTTGTTTGGAGCTTTGTATAAAAAAAATATATATATATATATATAATGCTAAAATGAATATGGATATTGGTATTCTCTTTGGATTAATTCATGCTCTATTTGGTAATGTGACATTAAATGTCTATTTTTATTGCAGATATTGATGAATGTGTGGAGAAAGATAACATTTGTCTGGCAGGAAGCTGTGTAAACAGTGAGGGATCATACAGATGTATCTGTAATGAAGGCTACATGCTTCAACAGTTAGACAACAACCAGTTCTGTATTGGTATGTATGATCTACACCCTACAACATATAGAGAACAACCAGGGGGCTATTACAGCTCAGTTGGTAGTGTCAGCCTATGTAACTTCAGGTGAAGATCCAAAGTGTTTGGTTCAAAGAACCTTACCTGAGGGGGTTTGTGATTATCAGGAAGATGAGATATAGACCAACCTGTGCTGTTGTGATTGTGTCCTTGGGCAAAGCAAAACACTTAACATTGATTGCTCTGGATGGCCAAAAAAATTGTATTTTTCTTTCGTTTCTGATTTTGGCTTTTGTGGAAGACTGTGAAAAAATTGTGGAAAATAGCGTGCAATAGAAATTTTGTTCACACTAAGACAATTAAAAAGTGTACATGGTGAATTTACAGAAGGAATATGTGAGATTTTTTTGGTGGCAGTTAAATGTCATAATTGTTCTATTTTTGATGTTCCCCTAAATTTTTGGTGGAGCATATAGTATAAATTTCATGTCAGGAATATAACTTTACTTTTATACTAGGATAATGAAATTTGATAAATACATTGTTTATACTAAGATGATGTGCAGTGTACTCAATTCAGGGCCCACAACCCCTTAATTACAGAGTTACAGCCCTTTGTAAAAATTTTGTATTCAGAACATAATTTTGCTGTAGTTAAGCAAGGATCATAAAACTTGGTGTATACATGGATCATTCAAAGGCGATGTGCATTGTACGAAATTTAGGGCCCTCAACCCCTCAATTACAGAGTTATAGCCCTATGTTAAACTTTCCTGTCCAGAGCATAACTTATCTTGCATTAACTATGATAATGAAACTTAGTATATGACTTAGTCATACTAAGGTGATCTGCATTGTACCAATTTCAGGGCCATTACCCCTTAATTACAGAGTCATTGCCTTTTGTTAAAATTCTATATCTGTCGCATAACGTTGATTTCATTTAAACTAGGTTAAGGAAACTTGGTATATGCCTTAGTAATACTAAGGTGATGTGCAGTGTACCAATTTCAGGGATTTTAATCCCTTAATTACACAGTCCTTGCCCTTTGTTAAAATTTTGTGTCTAATAAAGTTGTTTTTGAGAGCATGCATCTGTTACATTAATACTCTTGTTTCAATTTTCACTTGCACATTATATCGTTTCCTTTTTCAGATGTGAATGAGTGTGAGACTATCGCAGGTGTATGTGCTAATGGTCAATGTGAGAACATTGATGGAGGATATCGCTGTCAATGTCCCCCTGACACCATTCTTACTGACGATGGCATGATGTGTCTAGGTATGTTGAAACATTTTCACCATGCGCTAAGTGAAAGTTCAGAGCTCTTCCAAGGATCATCACTGTTCAGTTATAGAAGTCAAGAGTACACAGGTTACAAGTCTCAAATAGTCAAGCAGTAGAGTGTTTGGGTTGAGTTTGAGAGGTTGCCATATATATTTCTGGCCACATCAGGGACAGAATACATTTCTTTTTATAAAGATGGATTAACAGTGTCTAATATGTCTTTTTGATTTCTTTTTAAGTAAATGTTGAAATATGAATCAGAATTAGTATTAAGTACTGATTTTACGAGGAATTCTTTGCTTTTGGTGGAATTTCATCTGTAATTGAGACCCCAGGACTGTTTGAAATAAACTGAAAGTAATTCTTACTATGGGGCATTGCCATTGACAACCCATGGAATTGTTCATGTCGGTAATAACTTTTAGTTTAATTTAGTTTAAGATAACATAATTGAATAAACAACTATGACTAAAGAGGCTTACAGCCTAGAAATACATTGCCTTTCAATTTCAGTTGATGTAGATCACTTACTGAAAACATGGATCTTTGACTCCAAGTGTTGGAGACCTTTACTGAAAGTTTGACCTTTGACTTCATGATGATGGAATCCTTTTATTAAACGTGAACTCTAGATGTTTGAGGCCTTTATGGAAACTTTGACCTTTGACTTCAGATATTGAAGATTGTAAAGTTAAACATTCATGTTTGGCATGGAGTGATGAACATTTTTTACTTTGATCTAACGCTTTGATCTTTGACTTTAGATGTTTGAGATTTTGAAATATTGAAGTTTGGTTTCAGATGTAAGAGAAGGAAACTGCTTTGGAAGATTTGAAGGTGGTCTTTGCCTAAATGCCTTCACTAGGAACATGACAAAAGCGATGTGCTGTTGTACAGTTGGACAAGCATGGGGAAACACCAACCAGTGTGAGGTGTGTCCTCAGCGAGGTGAAGGTAAGGTCAGATGTCAAACAGATCTTCAAGCCTGTCACAAAATCACCCTGTTTGAATTAGATGTTTTCTGCAAGGAAAATGTTCATTTTTTATTTATTATTTGTCAAATAGCATATCATCTCAATTTCAGTTTCATCCCTGGGTCCATCATACTGTCCAAGTTAGAATTGGGGAAAAAAATGGTGGTTTATGGAGAGAAATGCATTTTAAGTTAATGACTGTAATTTGCAGTCTTTATGACATGATCATATTTACTATATATTATGTACTGTATTTTCAGCCAGTTTTAAAGCATTGTGTACAGATGACGAAGGAGTCATCATCAGCCCGGATGGAGGAACAATGGGTTAGTTTGTTTTCTGTTGCTTTAATTTTTTTATTTATATACTAAATGTCCTTAAAATCTTGATTATCAGTCCTTCATGATTTTGATGAAATCGTAATTAACATATAATTTCTTTTAAAAATGCTTGACCTTTTGCTGTAGATGTCAACGAGTGCATGATGTTCCCTGGCCTCTGTGAGAATGGACTGTGTGTCAACACAGATGGGTCATTCCGGTGCGAGTGTGGTCAAGGTTACAAACTGGATGACACAGGTCGCAGATGTATTGGTCAGTATACACTGTTTATTAACAGAGTTTGAATTTCTGATTCTTATGCTTCCCGAAGGGAGAACATATAGCCGTTGCTTTGCCCGACCAACAATCATAATTTTGTCTGTAAGAGGTATCAACATAAAACTTCATAGGTAGATAGATCACAGCAAGGAGAAGTGCAGTGCACAAGAACCATAACTCTATTGTATAATTTAGGAGTTATTGCCCTTAGTTATTTTTTGATACTTGAATTTTGTCCCAATCAGGGAGCATAACCCATCTCTGATGGCCCTTGTATATTCCTGTTATTTAAAGAAACTATCAATAGGACCTTTATTTTGTGTTACAAGAACTGCAAAACAATTTAATTTCTCATTTGTGAGAATGTGACACAACTTCATTACATTGATCAAATTGTACATTATACATGTTGTCAATAAAACAGAAGATTGCTATACTTCTGGAACTCCTGGTCTCATTCTCCTTTTAAATTTTCAGTGGTCTCTCTATAATTTCCTGTTAGTCATGTTTTGCTTCCATTTCATCAATATTGCCTTTGGATCATGATTTTGTTATTGTATCAGTATTTTCTTGTTGTCTTAGATGATAATGAATGTTTGGTTGGTAACATCTGTGGGAATGGAACATGTACCAATGTTGACGGAGGATTTCAGTGTAACTGTGCTGATGGATTTTTACCGGGCATGGACAATACCTGTGAAGGTAATTGATAATAATTATTTACATATAGTCACAATCTTCCCTGACACAAATGGCTTGCTTGATAAAATGCACCTGTCCTTAATGACAGTGAACCCTTATAAACTGTTTTACTTTATAGGAGGATGATAGTTTGCTTTCTTACATAGCTCTGAAACCACTAATTTAGTCTTCTCCTCTGTTGAAAGCATTCTAGTGAGTAGTGTGTTTTTCATGAAAAAGAGCACATTTTTAAAAAGAGAAAGAGCTGAAGTATTTGGGGGAGTTGAAGGTGGGGATGGGTTTGGTGATGGCAGTAGTGTGTTCCTTGAATAAACTTTGAAAAAAGAGGGAAAAGACAAGAAGAAGGAAAAAATCTATTTCCACTACGAACCAGATGATTTCAATTCTTTCAAGTACATATTACAAAGTTTCCTATTATACTGTTCATGACTCCCTAAATGGAAGCACAGTACTGGAAAAAAAAAGAATCTATTAATTTTCAGGTCGCTGCTTTATCATTGGGAGAATGTACAAGGATGAAGTCACTGTCTTAAAATATGTCTTGTTTATTTGACAAGTTCATGGTCAGAATTCTGTGATAAGGGTCAAGGTCACCATTTATCTTTCATATGAAGGACAAAGTCTAGGATGGCTTTTACATTTAACCTGATATTTGACGATACTGCACTTTTCCTTTAGATGTCAATGAATGCCTTACTGACCAGAACAACTGTGCCTTCCGCTGCGTTAACATTCCTGGCTCCTTCAGATGTATCTGTCCTAAAGGGTACAACCTGGCACCCGATGGCATTCACTGTCAAGGTCAGTCTCCAAGGATTCAATTATCATTAACATTGTTAAGTATATGATGAAACATACACACTTCCGAGATACTTTATGCAAAAGCATGATTATGAAAAACTGGCTTGTTTCAAGTGTTCTGTAAATACAGTTTAAAAGATTAAACCTGTAGCTGACTAATGAATGAGTTTGGCTAAAGTTTTTTATATCCATTTAAACTTCATTTAAGACTCAAAGGGTATTGTAGGATTAATGATTATGCTGCTAAAATACTTTGCTCTTAATGGATACAATTATAAAATCAAATTTTACAAGATATTTACTGTATTTTCCATACTTTACGTGAGCAGTGCAGCTTATATGTAAATAAATAAATCAACTGGATGTATAAAACACAAAACAAAACAGGAAGCATACCAGTACACCTGTACGAGACAGTACTGAGTTTTTTGACGAATAGCTGCCCATCATGTGTTTGAGAGTGAAACATTGTTTAGAACAGTCATTTGCAATTGTGTCCAGGATTATTTTAAGATTGAAATAAAAATAACATTATCGTGGATTTAATTAATCAAACCTTTGAATATTGATTACAATAATATCTTTTGGATTTTGTTGTTACTTCGAAGTCATAGCGGAATTTTACAATAGTCTGTTGCATCCTGGGATTGATAGGTCATTGGATTATAGGTCAAAGGTCGAATTCTAAAGTGACTGCCATTCATGCTTACAATATGAATGGTTTCGTGTAACTTACATGAAGAAATAATATTGGACTCTAAGAATTTAGTAAGCATGCAAGGACCGACGTTCATGTTTAATAGTACAGACGCTGATGGAGAGATTGTTTAGTAAACTGTACCTAACATCAAGTCTATATCTGTGTGTACACAATCTGTGAAGGCACCCAAGCCAAACAAGTTTGATATTCCCTATTTGTTTTTTGAAATACATCAATAAAACAAAGGATTATCTGTGTATATCTAATTTACAAATAAATATTTCACTGGCAATCTTGATAAATTGCCCTCCGCTGTCTGTCATATCAAAAAACTTTGGTCAATGTAACAGTTACCACTTCATAAGAATTGGTGTGGCTTATGTTCCGGTGCTGCTGAAATGTGGATCAAATAAGTAAAACTTTGTAAAAATTAACTCTACAGCTTATATACCAGTGCGGCTTAAAACCTGGAAAATTATATTTATGAAAGTTGTTTGCCAAAAATGTGGTCATATAGATTGGTGTGTTAAATATTGAGTGTTTTTGATGGACAGATGTGGATGAGTGTCAGAACGGAGACCACCAGTGTCGATACGCCTGTAAGAATCTTGTTGGTACATTCATGTGTGTCTGTCCTGAAGGCTACAGGGAAGTTGGACACAATGATTGTAGAGGTAAGACTAGAAACGATAGCCTGGCTTGAATTTAAGTACAGTGTTAAGTCACAGTCAGGAGCCCTTTCAATGTACAAGCATCTTTCCTCCTCAGCCATATCTTGTTGGTAATAAGATAAAATGCTGTCCAGATTAAATTATGCAAGACAAATGGACACAAAGTTAATATAGCATTACATGTAGTAAACTGACTTTTACCTTCAATCAAACAATTTCTAAATAACCAAGAGGCCAGAATTTATCATATTTTTCTGGTAGTACTGATACATCCTTGGTTGAAGCTTGACAAGGTTTGCAAAAAAAAAAATTACTTTGACACTTATTCAAGGTTACAAAGTTCAGATATGTAAAAACACTTAAATGACATTTTCTGATTAACCAAAAGGCCTAATATCATGACATATACCTAGCCAATATTAAAGGGCTCAGGGATCAAACACTTGGATGGCTTCACTTCATAACTAAAGTCAGTTCTGGACAAATATTGTATATTGTTTATCTCTCAATGTAAACAAACTGGTTTCACAGCTTGTTCAAGTAAATTTGGTATACATGTAAATCCAGTTTAATTGTCAGTGATATATGATGTTTAATTAGAGGAGCTGTGCAGGCAGGTTTGGAAATAGTAATCAATTCATGAATCAGTTTAGGAAATATCTTTCTGTTACTACAGACATTGATGAGTGTGCCACACTTCGGGATGTCTGTAGGAATGGCCGCTGTATCAACACTATTGGAGGCTACAGATGTCGTTGTCAGCCTGGCTTCTCTACTAGTCTGGATGGCAGGGAATGTCGAGGTAAGGTGTTTCTTGAGAAAAACGGGGAAAAATGGAGTTTTGTTAACTTACTGGTAATGAGTTACTGTGTACTGATGCTGTTCCCTTGAGGTTCACATCGGTATTGGCTCCTATCTCGTACACATCTCACACCCACACTCTCCTATCTCGTACACATCCCACACCCACACTCTCCTATCTCGTACACATCCCACACCCACACTCTCCTATCTTGTACACATCCCACACCCACACTCTCCTATCTCGTACACATCCCACACTCACACTCTCCTATCTCGTACACATCCCACACCCACACTCTCCTATCTCGTACACATCCCACACCCACAACTTCACATCCCACACCCACACTTATAATCTCCACATCCCACACCCACACTCCTATCTCCACATCCCACACCCACATCCCACATCCCACACCCACAACTTCCTATCTCGTACACATCCCACACCCACACTCTCCTATCTCGTACACATCCCACACCCACACTCTCCTATCTCGTACACATCCCACACCCACACTCTCCTATCTCGTACACATCCCACACCCACACTCTCCTATGGCACTTAAAGTTGATTTTGCATCAAATATTTAAACACCCACAATTTATCTTGTAGGTACACATCCCACACCCACACCCTCCTATCTCATACACATCCCACACCCACAACCTCCTTTCTCATACACATCCAATACCCACAACCTCCTATATTGTTTATTATCTCTCCTATCTCGTATCAATTCTCCTAACACATCCCACACACATACCACACCCACACCCACAACTCCTATCTCCCACACCCACAACCTCCTATACACATCCCACACCCACAACCCACAACACTCTCCTATCTCGTACACATCCCACACCCACACTCTCCTATCTCGTACACATCCCACACCCACACTCTCCTATCTCGTACACATCCCACACCCACAACCTCCTATCTCGTACACATCCCACACCCACAACCTCCTATCTCATACACATCCCACACCCACAACCTCCTATCTCGTACACATCCCACACCCACAACCTCCTATCTCGTACACATCCCACACCCACACCCCTCTCGTATCCCACACCCACACCCTCCTATCTCATACACATCCCACACCCACAACCTCCTTTCTCATACACATCCAATACCCACAACCTCCTATATTGTACAAATCCCACACCCACAACCTCCTATCTCGTACACATATCCCACACCCACAACCTCCTATCTCGTACACATCATTAAATGTTTTATGACTTTTTACCATTAACACATTGCAAAGGTTTTGATGTAATAGGTTCATTGGAACCTTTTCTCCATCAAAATTGCCTCAAACTTTTTGGTGAAAATTTTAGAGACTTCTGTTGGGATGGAGGATATTTCTTCATTATTGATATAGCACACTTGCATGATTGTGACATGTAGTTTCGATTTAGCTGACTTTATTTCACGTCAAACTACACTAGAATTTGATCATTTTACTGTGACTGCTGCTGAGCTATACAATCATTGACCGGTCTTGATGTAAACCTGAAGGCTGACTATTGTAATGTGTTGGTATTTAGATACGAGGGAAGACTATTGTTTCTTCGATTTGGTTGGTGGCCGCTGTAGAATTGTGCCATCCATAAGGAGAACCACACAGGTCGAGTGTTGCTGTACAGGAGCTGCTGCCTGGGGCCGAGGCTGTGACAGGTGTCCTCTTGTCAATTCAAGTAAGTAGGATGTAACAGTTCAAAAAGGGGTTCCTATATAACATTAACACAACATCTGCAAATATGACTGTCAGTCTTAGAATTGAAACACAAGCACCATGTTAAAATGTAGACCTTTTTCTGTTGCTCTTTAATTTACACAACTCTATTTTGATTTTGATTTCCTTATCAACCACCACTATGTCAGCAAATTAAAAGAACTTGTAAGAAAAAAATGGAAGCAATTGAATGTTGTCAATATCAACAGAGGGCAAAACCATCTGTTAGCTTTGTGATAGATGTAGAACATATTCCATTGTAGAGCAACATCAAGGAATTGGAAATTGGATAATCCAAAATGGCCACCACATATTCTAATTGGCTGAGACTTTTTAAAAATTTTTGAAAATTAAAAATTCAAGAATGGATGGTGTTACGGATTTCTAACTTATTATAGCTTATAGGGAGGGCCCTGCCTTGACATTGGTTAAGCTCAGTGACATTATTTCCTGAAGGAAGTGTACCTTGATTCATGGTGGTATTATTATCTCAGGATTTGAAATGTGTGTTTTGCATAGTTATTCTTCAGACATGTGTTAGTAAAATACTCAAGATATTAATGTATTTTATTTTACTTCCTGAGTTAATCTATACTAATTTAATGTGGCCCTTTCTTAGGACAACTGTTGGTCATCTTCCTATATTTTTATATCTAATGCTGTGGTAACATGTTTAAAATGGGGATACAAATGAGAATGACTTCTTGGATTGTTTTCAGGACAATTTAGAAAGCTGTGTCCAGATGGAATTGGCAAGAGACCTGGAGGAGAAGGTGGGCAATTTCTTACTTTTAGTCTTACTACCAAAATCAGACCTTCATCTTTTTTGTTTAAATAGATAGCAATTACATTTAGTTTTCTGTATTTATCTAGTATACCCTTCATGACTTAACAACCAATAAGCCATTGACATGAAAGAAGTGACTGTCAGTGAGAGCATGACTTCCTGTATTACAGATATCAATGAATGTCTGCTGTTCCCTGGGAGATGTAAGAACGGCCAGTGTATCAACAAGCCAGGATCTTACGGCTGTGTGTGTGACCGTGGCTACAAGACTGATCAGACAGGCACCAGGTGTATTGGTCAGTATAAGTGTTGTGCAGTATTTGAGAAAAGAAAATTTATGCTATACTGTTTTTTTTATGGAAAATGAAGTAACCCTTGATAATCTAAATTGCGTCAAAGTTAACAGAGGTTAATGTTTTACCTGTATCTTATATATTCAGCAATAAGCCATGCTTGGGAAAAAGCACATCAATATGTTACATCAAAATGTGATGCTGTTTCATTGTCCTGTAATAAGCCTACCCCTGACTCTGAATCAGATGTAATATGTTGCCCCCACCCCTGCCTGGCAGCATTACACGAACAGTTATTTAATTCTGGTACACAGATGTAAATGAGTGTGAAGACCAGCGTTCACCATGCGAGTTCACATGCCTGAATCTAGTCGGGAGTTACAAGTGTACCTGTCCACCAGGATATGTTCTTAATATGGATGGCAAAACCTGCCGAGGTAAGATGTGTATATATACCAGGAAGTAGTACTGTCCTTTTTATTTCAAAAGGTTTGATAAAAACTAAGAAATTCTTGCAAAGAAAAAAAGCACAGGTCAGACTTCATTATTTACTGTAAAGTTTGTTATTTTTAGGGAGTTTCATTTTTTTAGCTCACCTGGTCAGAAGGACCACAAACTTATGTCATGGCACATTGTCCATTGTCCTTCTGGTATCCGACTGAACAGCTTTTGACCAAATTTGGTCAGAAGCATCCATGGGGGAAGAGAAAACAAGTTTATTTAAATAATGACCTCAGAGGCCTGAGGGGCAGGACTGAAATTGGGAAATTTCTTTAAAGTCCTTCTTTTCCAGTAGGAATTAATGGATATTGCTTAAATTTGGTCTGGAACATTCTTGGGTGAAGAGGAATTCTCTAGTATAAACATTAGGTCCTGGTCATTTGTTAAATGTCTGAACAGCTGAATTAGCCAGATGAGCAATTCAGGCCACTTTTTTGAGAACAAATGAAAATTGCAATATTAAAAACAGAAAAGAGATACCTTGGAAATGTCATTAATAAAGAGATGCATTTTATGATATCCATGAAAAATACATCCTTTTTACTTCCGCCTTTCTGTAAAACTTCAAAAATTTGAATGTTTGGACTTTTACCCTATGCAGAAGTTATAGTACAAAAATTGGGGCAGGTGAAATATTTATTTATGCATGGCAAACACACCTGTGAGCTAAATCATAACTTGTAGATGAACAAGTTAAAGCAACTTTGCAATTTTTCCATTCATATCTGATGCTAATATATGATTCTTTGAAATTCTTGTGTTTAGTTATAAATGTTTTTTGTCAGATCTGGATGAGTGTGCCACTATGCAGCATAACTGTCAACACCAATGTATCAACACAGTAGGCAGCTTTGAGTGTGGCTGTGCTACAGGATTCCGCCGTGGCATGGGAAACAGATGTGTTGGCAAGTACACTTTTTGTACCATACTTCCACAACTATTTCGTTATCAAAATTAAAAGTCATTTTGAGATATTGTGAATTGAAAATTAAATGTTGGTACTTTAATCTAATAAAAGAGGACTTTGTTGCCCATGTTCCTTGGAGTCTATACTTGATGTGATGTTTATATATATGCATTACTTTTTTTTTTTAATAATTTATTAAACCTTGACTGGAGTTGTCTCCCCTCCCGTTTTTTTGTTTGCCATTCTAGATTTGAGGACACCCTTTTGCATGCCGTTCTAGATTGGAATTGTCTCCCTTCCACCCTGTTGTACAGATTGTTACAACTGCAGATTTTAGTAGGGTCATTTTCGCCTCACCAGGTTAAAATGGTTCAGGTGGTCTGGAATTATTTCTCTATACATGTACCAGATATCGCAACTGATATATGTAAATCTCAGTTTTGGAATTTCCTGTCAAGCTTAAAACAATTCACTAGAAAAAAGATACCCTCCATTTCCCTCATACTTAATAGCATTGCAGAAATATGTGAGTATACCAACTCTACTTTATACTGAAATTCTGAAAACTAATGATATTCAGTATGTTAGTTTCAGACAGGTACGACTGGACCACTCAGTCTGCACATGCCAAATATTCCGCAATCTAGTAATGGTTCCATCTGTACCTGGCATTTTTCTTGCAGGTTCAACCTTCCAACACTTTCAACTATCTCACAGAGTGTTCCCTTATAGCCATTAACATTAACATACAAAAAGTCTATATTCTCAATTAAAAGATGATAGTTGTTATTTTTTGTAAAACTTTACCATTTTACATGTGAATTACAATTAAGAATATCTAGACCCATTGTAACTGGTATAGGTTTCACTACTACACATATACACAATTGAAACCTGTATGATAGTCATTGTGTACTAGAAAACTAGATCTGAATGTTTTCTGATGTAATCTCTATACTTGCAGATATACACAATTGAAACCTGTATGATAGTCATTGTGTACTAGAAAACTAGATCTGAATGTTTTCTGATGTAATCTCTGTACTTACAGATATCAATGAGTGTGAGGAGCAGCCACAATTGTGTGGATCCAAGGGTACCTGTAAAAATACACCAGGCAGTTTCAGATGTGTATGTCTTAGAGGATACACTGTGGACGAATCTGGGACAAATTGTGTAGGTAAGTGTATATGGGTTGTAAAACTGGAAATCCTCGTCAAAAAAATTCATTAGGTGAGTTGATAGAAGCTTTTAAACTGGACATCACAATTGGCTGATAACGCTTTCGAAAACAAGGGGAATAACTCTGTCAGCTCTTGTGTATCTCTCTTTCATTTGTAAAATTTCATTCTCTCCATGAAAATATGGTCTCTGTATGGAAAAACATGATAACAAAATTTATTTTGCAACTTGAATTATCCTTTTCACCATATTGATTAAGTACATGGTATGATTTGGGACATCATTTAATTACTATTTGGACATATAGTTTATGTGATATGGGCTTTCTCTTTGGCAGTTTATTACAGTAATGAAAATGTGATGCTCTTTGTTTTGGTGATCAGATATTGATGAATGTGCTAATGGGAAGTGTACAGATGGCTGTGAGAACACTATTGGTGCTTACCGATGTCAGTGTCCGCCTGGCTACACTCTCCATCCTTCTGTTGACCAGTGTATTGGTAAGTCACTTCACTCAGTACGACCTAGGACCAGTTATATGCAATGTGTTTTTTAAGTTTTAAGACCTCATTCTTTTAATCACCCATGACCTGATCTGATGGTTAAAAAAAAATGGGAAAAATATTTGAACTTCCTGTGACTTGTTATTAACTTGCCTAACCTAACAGATCAACGTAATTGAGGTATTATCTTTTACACAGCTAATCGTGTCACTGCTATGGCTGATGGTCCTATTTTCTATAGTTTTTGCCACACAGATAAAAAAAAAACAGGATTGTGTTTGATTTTTTTTCCCATTAATCCCCACAAAAAAGAAAATTTAATTGTTCAGGACCTAGCATCAGTGACTGTCTTGTGGTAATCATAATATATGTTTTTTCTGTCATTTCAACCACTTTCTTTTGTGGAGATAACGGATAAGTTAAGTCTTAAAATTTTACATTCTTGCACACTTTACATTTACATTGTTGTTCTTAAGATAGGACTAATAGAATCTTCCCCTACCTTAAGGGTGTGACAGAGACATCTCCAACCCGAGGGGTGATATTCTGGGTTGTCTAACCCGAGGCTATGCCAAGAATATCACCCCGAGGGTTGGAGATTTCTCTATTACACCCTCAAGGTAGGGGATGATTATTTTTCTCCCATCATACTTTTTCTCAGAGGGCCTTAGCTTCGGTGATAATCAACTTGTAAACAAACAGGTAAAAATACTGTTCATATGCTTCAATGCTATTTGTCCAAATTTGTATTGAAATCGAACAAAATTGAAAGTGTGAACTGTAGAAGATTTAAAAGAAATTACAGAATTAAGGCTCAGATTTGGTTTCCATCTACATGTATATTTGTATACATACATGTAGCAGATGACGTGTGTAGAAGTAGTTCCTGTTAATTTCAGGTGCACATGCTATCTGTCATACCCTAGGGGTTGACAGAGAAATCTTGAACAAGGAAAACGGGTGACAAGCCTATGAATGATGGGAGAAAACCATATGAAATATAAAAAAAAGTAGGATATATGTGTAAATACACCATGGAATTGAACTAGCTTGTGAGTGGTTCTAATCTGCGATGAGAGGATAAGGAATATTGTTGTAATAAATACAGATATCCCATTATATACTTGTTATAGAAAACTCATTTGTGAATCATTTCTTGTCAGGTTAGTGAGTTTATATAGAATAGTTCCAAGTATTACAACCTGTGAGAATTCCATACCACCTTGTACACCGTTTACCTCAGCACAAACACGCTTCACACTGTGAATTTGTCTGATGAAGGTGAAAGACTAATCATCAAAACATCACACATAAAACACTTACTAGAACTTCAGTTCTGTACTTACAATTTCAATGATGAACTGCTCACTAAGTTATTCTTTCAACAGTAAATAGAAGATTGCCAGGTTGAACTTGAATATTTTCCGTTACAGATGACAATGAGTGTAATAATCAAGGAATGTGTGGAACTGCAGAGTGTAGTAATGAAGAAGGAAGTTACACCTGTTTCTGTCCACCAGGACTTGAGTTTGACCCAAACCTTATGGCTTGTGTTGGTAAGTTTTGTTCTGTACAACAAAAATCACTGACACCATGAATTTGTTACTCTAGCAAATATGCAACTTTTCACACATGAAGAAGAAAAGATGTATTCTAACTTTACCAATTTTTCATGAATATTTTTACTTCTTGAAGATTTCAAATGAAATCATATAAAATGTCAGATTCAAGAATAACAGGTATTATGACAAATTACTTATAGTATCTGTGACATCAATAATAATAATAATAATAATAATAATGAAAGGCTTTATTTAAGGTTGATAACACTTTGATTTTACAATTCTCTTCTTACAAGTGGTTGACATCAGAAAAGTACAATATTTACCATCAGTAAAATTGAAACATCACAGACAAATGTAAATATCACAGTGAGATACATATAGGAAAACGTACCTTATGTTTACATAAGGTAATTAAATATGTTATGGTCACGATGACTGTGGTTTCCTCATTATCAATGGATCAAACCACAACTGTTTCATCGCGGTACCAGTAATCAATTAACTGTAAAAAATCTTTTTTTTTTGTTTTTTTTTTTTAATCTGACCCCAAAAAAGTACCTGCACACTATACCCGAGTGTGCACTATACCCGCAAATTTACAGTATGTATAAAATAAGTTATAATAAAAGATGCATTATTAATGTATAAAACATGTGACACACACAGTAGGGATTAAGAGTTACATAGAATACAATATTGAAATACAGTTACGATGATAAGATCTTCTAAATCTTCCAGACAGTGGAATGTTATGTTTAAAAGTTGAGTGTATATTTTGTGTATTCAAATATAAAACTATTCAGGTTTTGGCAGTACCTAACACTGTCTGGGATACCATTCCAAAATGCTGGTCCATTAAATAAAAATTAATTTATAAACTTTTCTGTTTTATGTTTTGGGATGACATATTTCCCTCTTGTAGATGACCCGGTCTGTCTATAGTGAACACAATACATGGTTTATATTAGTTTAGAAGCAAAATGCTAACACCTGTAATTGACTCTCCTTGCACTTTTTTTGAGGGTCTTTGTGTAAATTTTTTGTTTGTTCATATTTTTCACTCATTTCACCATATAGGATTTTTAATTAAGATTCTGTCGATATGTCAGTACTTTTTTTCTTTTCTTATTTTAGACCTTAATGTGTGCAACAGCTATCCCTGTCTGTTTGGCTGCTTACCCAATGGGATCACCATATAGGATTTTTAATTAAGATTCTGTCGATATGTCAGTACTTTTTTTCTTTTCTTATTTTAGACCTTAATGTGTGCAACAGCCATCCCTGTCTGTTTGGCTGCTTACCCAATGGGATCACCTTTGTCTGTGGATGTCCAACAGGCTACCAGAGTATTGGACAAGGGTAAATATCATTATTGTACAGTATCAAAATGTCAAACTTAAATCTTCTTGTGTTATAAAAACTTCTATTCTATTGAAATTACCAACCTGAAGAACATTTTCTGAAAAAGTTGATAAAGTACTGTACAGTGAAAATACAAGCTCTGTAAAGTGAATATGACTGTATAGTAAATACAAGAAATAGACAGGATTAGAAGTGAATTTACATTCAAATAAATTTCAGAAGTGTTTTTCACTTCATTAGTAATGAAAAGGAAATATAGGTGTTATTGTATGGATGAAGTCCAGTAAAGAAATATGTATTTTCACAGGGCACATATTGTGTTTGTCGTTTTAGAAAGTACCACATGTATCTTGTGGACATTTAATTCTGTGAATTATCAGTATCCAGCAAACAAAATGCCATACACATTGTTGTACATGATTATGTAAGTTTGTTTTTGTAGCTTTGAGTAAATAAAAATGGTATATTTTAGGCATTGTGTGTCTACTATCACACCACCAGAAGGTGACCTGAATGAACTGTACCCCAACGGTAATATCCCTCATGTTAAAGCACCAACAGATGGGTCATTACCACATGGGGAGGGGTGCTATGAGTGTGATGTTGAAGACCAGGACCTACCCCTCACCAAACGCAGTAAGAGGGCTACTGGACATCAAAACCACAAGGTAAGAAGACATGGTCCACAATGTCGCTGATTTTGTCAGGGCTGATTGGTATTTACCATTTCCTGACCAGATTGAATGGTGTTTAATGCTAGAATCATGTGAAATTTCTTAACTCCTGATCAGTATTTGAAAATTTCAAAATCAAATTTTGGTTCTTGTATAGTCAAAATAGTGTTCAAACAACAATCATCATCTTCTAAATGTAATAACTATGCAATGGAGTTGATCACAAGTTCTTTTTTTCTTGGAGAACTTTTAAAACACTCTTGTCATTCTTGATTTCTGATTTAGAAGGGCAATGATTGTCATTCTTGATTTTGAAGGGCAATGATTGTCATTCTTGATTTTGAAGGGCAATGATTTGTCATTCTTGATTTTGAAGGGCAATGATTGTAATTCTTTATTTTGAAGGGCAACGATTGTCATTCGTGATTTTGAAGGGAAATGATTGTCATTCGTGATTTTGAAGGGCAATGATTGTCATTCGTGATTTTGAAGGGCAATGATTGTCATTCGTGATTTTGAAGGGCAACAATTGTCATTCTTGATTTTGAAGGGCAACGATTGTCATTCTTGATTTTGAAGGGCAACAATTTTCATTCTTGATTTTGAAGGGCAACGATTGTCATTCTTGATTTTGAAGGGCAACGATTGTCATTCGTGATTTTGAAGGGCAACGATTGTCATTCTTGATTTTGAAAGGCAATGATTGTAATTCTTGATTTTGAAGGGCAGCGATTGTCATTCTTGATTTTGAAGGGCAACGATTGTCATTCGTGATTTTGAAGGGCAACGATTGTCATTCTTGATTTTGAAAGGCAATGATTGTAATTCTTGATTTTGAAGGGCAACGATTGTCATTCTTGATTTTGAAGGGCAACGATTGTCATTCTTGATTTTGAAGGGCAACGATTGACATTCGTGATTTTGAAAGGCAATGATTGTCATTCGTGATTTTGAAAGGCAATGATTGTAATTCTTTATTTTGAAGGGCAATGATTGTCATTCGTGATTTTGAAGGGCAACGATTGTCATTCTTGATTTTGAAGGGCAACGATTGTCATTCGTGATTTTGAAGGGCAACGATTGTCATTCGTGATTTTGAAGGGCAATGATTGTCATTCGTGATTTTGAAGGGCAATGATTATCATTCTTGATTTTTAAGGGCAATGACCAGATAATTGATAGTTTCTGGTTTATGTGAAAATGTAACAGAAATGAGAAAAAAGATGATATTTTTCAAACACAATCTTATAAAATAGGTATCCAGAAGAAATTTAGGATGTCTATATGACATACCATTAAGTCATTCTGGTATATGTTGTCGTTTTTTGTTTTAGGTACAAGACAATGGTAAGAAGAGAAACCATGCTAATCAGATGTCAAGCAATGCCTCAAGGTCAAATCAGAGTGTCCTTGACCCAGATAAGCCAATCGTGCTGTATCTGAACAGGTCCACTATCCGACGGAAAACAAAAGTGATGAAGGTGCTCCCAGCTCTGGCAGCACTCAAGAACAATATCAGATACTCTATTGCACGTGGCAATGAGCGACAAATTTTCACCATGCATGAACGGAAAGGCATTAGTTCTTTACGGTTCAGGAGGAAACTTCACAAACCTAAGATGTATCGCCTTCGTATCACAGGTCGGCCTATTAAGAAGAAAACAGAAATTGCTGGTAAAAATGTAAACCTTAAGAAAGTAGCAATTCGACTAGATATTCACCTGGTATGAGGCTGTAGAAGTTGATGTTTAAGTGGAGAATATACTGATATTAAAATTGTAGAATGATACTCTTTTGTTGGCCGTTTATAATGCAGCACAGACCTGAGGCAAGGAAGATAAGTCTGTAACAATTTGGATATTATGCATGCATGGCCAAGGATTTCCTTATATAGTACATGTAGTTTATAATACAGACATAAAGGGATTGCCCTTCAGTACACAGGGGGCTACCTAGCACTTCCCCACAGGTAGAAAGCAATCTGTATTTAAGAAATGTATATCATAATGTGGTGCTACATGTATGGTTTTGTATGATGAGTTTTATTATTAAGGTACGTTGTATGGTAAGGTTAATCAATAGCTATTTGAGAGCAAGTTCAGTGTCTGTTTGTTGCATGCTTTCTGAATCAAATTGATTCTATGTCAAAGTTGTAGGAACTTCTCTGTGAAGTTGTGGGTTAATTTTATCAACTCAAAGCATTAATTCTGTTTCAAATTTGGAAAAAAACTACACAAAGCATTAATCCTTGACTTCCTTTATTCAAAAACTTAACCTCAAGATTTCTTTAAAATACCGATGAAACATTTGAAACTACAAATAGTTTTCTACAGAAGATTTTGAGTATTGTTAAAACTAAAACTTTTCCTAACATTCCTATAAGTGAAATGGCATTTTGTTTTCAATTTTTATTACTCATACTGTTTACAAAATTCAATTTTATAGAGTGTAGACATTATACACTTGTCATGATCAGGACAAATGGAAGAGTACCATAACTGAACCCTTGCAGTATTATACAGATTATGTTTGTAGGACAAGTGGCAACAGAGATTTTCTTTCCTTTTGGGCAGTCTTACCCAATATATAAGGTTACATGGTATGTTTGCAGTTGTCTTTCAAGCTAAACTGTATATTACAACATTTAAGTCAATGTGATCAGTTCAGGCCCCATGGACCTTTTGTATTTAATTTTCATAGAATCAGCTATCTGTCATTCGTTCAATTCATCTTGCAATATATGTTATTTTATACCAATCTTTCGATAATGAGAACACACAGAGACCAGCGCTATTACATGCTTAATCTTATGTAATGATATAGGTTTATCAAGCACCTGCATGTTAGATTAACTGTTAGAATCCATATAAGTAGTGTATGTGAAGTGACACAGTAGATAATGTAAAATCTCATTCACATTGTTTTACATTAAATGTTTACTGAGATGTATTAGGTAGACTATATTTATGTGCAGCTAGAAGTACCCATCCTATTTTAACCATGTATAGATTATATATAGTGCTAATATATGTGATATAACTATGGTAAGAGTGCTGGTGTGAGAGATCCTACTCCAGTGTATTCTGTCTGTTGTTTGAATGTGAACAAATGGGATACACTTCAACACAGTAATAAAAAATCCATGGATACAAAAAAAATGGAGCACCAGAATAATCTGGGATATGATGAAAGTTATATCCTAAAACTGTCACATCAAGTACTTAAAATACATTTGGTAGTTTCTTGTTTTTCGAGAAAACTGAGGGTTAAATGCAACCAAGAGAGAAATACAGCAGAACAATGTCAGAGAACATTTAAATTTAATTCAGGTGTTTTTTATTAATTAAAGAAGTAAAGGACATACATACATTTATACAAGAATCTGAAACATTGAAACAAATTTTTAAAGTGACATCAGGATCGACAAACATAGAGGATACTTACAGAAGTGGTGAACAGCTACTTGCAAATGTCTACACAAATGTGCCTTGAGACTTCCACCATGGAGGGGAAACTTTTTGTAAACTTATACAGAGTTTTAACTAATAAATGTGATACTGGACATCCATTTCTGTTTTTATATTTTATTTATTATTATTTTTTTTTAGTCTTTCATTTAACTTTATTCAGCTAAGTCCTGCTTTGAATTGTTCAGGACATGGACATAAACACACACATTTAAAGCTAGCCAAGTGAAGTTAAAAACTCTGGTCAATCATCAGTTGTTTTGCCTTTTCCATTTTGTCATGGCGTTTTCTAAACGATGAACATTTAAACTGTCTTCCTAAAAGTGACTTTATATTAAAATGCGATGTTACAGCACAACAGTCGTTATTAATTACAAATTGTTAATTTGTAGAAATTGATATATTGCTGTCAAGCTTTGTCTATTTCAAATTCACACATGCTTCACAGCTTATATCGTAGTTATGAATGGAAAAAAGATTCAGAGAACTTTGGAATATATTACAAATCCTTTGATTGTTCTGTGAGACTGTAGACATGTAGGTAATCACGGTCCTATCTAAATTCTGTTGTATAGATTTTGGTGTGGTTACGTTGAGTAGATTACAGAAACCTTTGTTATATCAAGATCTAAACAAAAAACATAACATAATGGAAAAGAATAGAAATTAAAACATACCCAGTGTATATTTACAAAAATGTAGCAGTTTTGAAAATGAGAGAGATTGATCTCTAGTACGTTTTTGTTGTATATACTCCCAGGAAAGTAATTTGAATGTTAGTGATTTCAAACTTGACACCGGATATCATTGAGATTCTGTAAAGAAAAAAATCATACAATTATGATTGGTATAAGCAAAAACTTTTATTACAATAATCTGTTTTTGGATTTCTCTTGACATTTAGCAGAATGTTTAGTGAGGAATGTAATACAAGTCGTGTAACTTTACGTCACGTGGAAGGAGATTAAAAATTAAAAAACAAAAACAAAAAAAAAACAAACAAACAAAATTATTGCCCGCATACACTATCGTTTGGAATGCCGGGTAAACAGTCGTGGTTTAAAGTCTTGTGGCTGTAAACCTACCAAAAAGTAACGTCTCGTGAGATTGATGGGAACAGTAGATTTACAACCACAAGTCTGGAGATTCCACATTCCGTTGTTAATATTGTAAAGTAAATAAAGCATTTCCTGACTCCCGACCATAGCAGGGGTAGATAGAATATGGCGTTTTTATATACTCCAGGGAAAACGAAACGCAGAGTCAACTTCGACGATGATTCCAGGCAAGACGTCGAGTACATTGTTCGATATTTTAAAGTAAGAATGAAGATTAATCCTTACAGAACAAACTGCAGATTTAGGAGTAATTGAAGGGTATTGAAAGAGAAATCTGAAATCGAAATGGACTGATGATGGGAGCTGGCTAGTCAATACCGGGTACGTCCCCCCATTCGCTCTCTCCACAACCCTGCCTCAATAGCAATATCCTTGGGTGCATGTGCCGCCACCCAAAACATATGACGCTGGCGACGAGCAGCTGTAAGGGGCAGACCTACAAACGGGTGACGTGATCGCAGACCAACTTCCCGCCATAGTTTCCTTACAATTTTTACATGGATAGGACGGTTATGAGTACCTATGGTATGAAGGGCAGATTCAGTGGCAGTAAGGTGCCGATTACGCAAATGCACGAGACAATAAACATATCCTGACTTTGTGACGTCACGCACGGACGCCCAGACATAGGTCTGTCAGCAACCCGCCTAGTTTCCCTTATACGTCTAACAAGACGTTCTGTAGTGCAAATATGGACACCGAAATGTCTGGCAACCTATATTTGCCTTTGACAATGCATAATCATCGCAATGGTCTGATCCATCTGAACTTATGTCAGCCTTGCCATTGTTTAATGCTATCAGAAATTAATCAAAATATCGGAAAATAATGTGTCTCTATGAAGACTGCCTAATGGTATGACGAGCAGTGCAACTCAATGTCACAACACTGCTGTGCTCGAGATTTTCCCGTTTCGTGGTTTCCCCGGAAGACATCGTCACGCAATACAATAATGCAACATTCGATACAGGACCACGTGCACTGTAGTCTAGAGATTTGCTTGACCGATTTTCATTGTTTTTAAACAACGCGTTCGCAAGATATTGCAAATAATGTCACCTTTCTTTATCCCTCGAGTATAGATAGGAATTCCGGCTATCGTCCACAGCCAAGCTAGACACAAAATCGGAGATGGATATCAGAACGCTTCGGACAAATCAATATTGAGCGTTTATCAGAAAAAGAGGTGTACAAATTCTTGAATCATCATGACCGTAAGTTCGGTTTCACGACTGCGGTGATCACAGATAACTATTTAAGTGTGTTTGTGGTTACTCTACCTTAAAACATACTCGAGTTGCCACTAAATAATCCTATTACGGATGCTAGTTCGCCTTTCTCATTAATCAGTTATAGCGACACATTACCTACGTTAGAATAGTCGTGTTTGACAATGTCACCTAAAGCGACAACGTTCTCAACCTGAGAACCAAATATATAAAACCATTTTAATTGGCCACACTATCGATTGCTCCGACATCAGACTCGCGGCAATGGTATACTTCCTGTTAAATGATAAAGAATGCTAGTTTTGGCTTTCAGTATCTATATCTTAATTAAAATTCGACGTTTGTTTTGCAACAACACTTGATGTAGCAAAGCGACGATAGCCCATACCCAAATTCAAAATACCAATTTTAAATAGTACAACGCCTGCAGTCGTTTTATCTCTAATTGCCTGCAATTATGAAGCATGGAACAATTCACCTGCAGAAGTCATTTTTGGAATAACAAACAGTTTTGAACACGAACATCCGGAACCGTTAATTTTCCATTATTATCGATTTGTTTAGTGTTCGATTTCATAGATTTGTGCCTCAATTGAAAGCGACTATTTATAGAACATATATCGATCGCCACCCAACTTCTCCACGTCACACGGGTATCGATTGGTTCACACGACGGCGGCTCTCGCGCGTCAGTAGGGCGTGCTGCTCCATAGACATTGGTTAACATTGATTATTTCCACGCCATTATACTCAAGCGATACCTCATTGGAATCGCTGTAGTCATGGCAACCGTTTTGCGTCAATCTCTCGTTCTGAGTCTGCGATAGGGATGGCAACGTTGAGGCAGCTGAACTTGAACGTTATTGACCGCGAATCGTAATGGATGTAGTGCTTCTGTAGGACGTGACATTAAGAACGTGAATTTTTTATCGATGACCTTAGACCCGAGAGAGTCTACGTGCTGACGTACACTTGAAGTGTTATCGCCAACCTACTATATATTACTGGACAACGAGACAAGGACTCTCGATACATAAGGAACACAAAGGTATGTACATACTTCAACACAGTTTATATATATACGATGTAATTTTGTCCACATGGCGAACAGGCTGTTTCGGAATGTGATGATGGTGGCCACTGTTTTCTAACTGTCATTTGTAAAACCTAATTTGTTGTCCCCGTGTAAGGTATGTCAACACCATAACTATGTAACATTTTTCAGTCTCATGTAAATATTAGTACTGGCAAGGATTTCAGCAATAGCTTTAATCAATTACCTAATCGCTGCAATCAATTTGTGTTGCCAATCACGCCAGAGTTTATGTTCTTATAACTATCACTGAAAACGCTTGAATTGGTTTTGGATTTTATGCCTGAATTAGATTTGTTTCCTGGCGATAAGACAGCGTGGGGCGAACTTTCGACTGTCTTATCTCTATTGTAACAGAACGATCTGACGAAACGTTCAATAATACATATGAAACAGAAATGTGTACACGCCCACTCCCACGTACATAACATGTAGGGTTAAACCACGTACTCCCGTCGTATGTGCTGCATTCTAGGTGTCAAATTTTATTGCAACATTAATTTTGCGCAAATTCCATATGAAATATTTTCTTTTTTTCATTACTAACCACTTTTAATTAGGATGTAACTCTTTCCAGGCAATCTGCTGCATCTATAGATCGTATTACTATCGTATTTCCACTTATTCTGTTTATTGTACACACGAATTCTACTTAAAACGATCCCATATATTCCCCTACCGGGAGACATTACACTATAACTTGTGACGAGGTTAATTCACTACAAGATATATACAGATTGTTTATACCAGTTTCACTAAGCCTTCCCCTCAGCATCTAGTAGATTTGAAATCGCTGGGGTCGTGGGCATATCATCACTCCTTTTGAAAATTTACAAAATTGATAACAAAATTAATTTCTTAGTATAAGTTCCAATTCTTTATCAACCTTTTTGTCTATTGACTTATCTGTTAATAAACAGTGTCAGTTTAACAGTATTTCCAATGTAGGCATATATATACATAATAAATTATGTCACAAAATATTGAATACACCGGATAGCGCAACCAATCATATTAATTGGTTTCTCAAAACATTAGCTGCCTTGATGTATTTGTCAATGTTCCCATTTCTTCGTATGCGAATTGTAACGGATGGCTATCATGATAGTTAAATGTGCAGGGGTTCATGACACGAATTCCCAACTCACGTTCTATATATATATATATTATAGTAATCACTAGGACACATTAAGTCAAACCTCTCTGTAGAGGACACTTAAATGAGCAGAAAAAAGGTAATCTTTAAACACAGATGGCTTTAATGCAAATTTTCAATTGCTTTTAATTGCATTAAATAATGGTCTTTATAGACAGGTGGCCTTTTTACAGAGGTATAAATGTCGCTTTTAAGAGATCTGTGACTGAATTAATACACCATGTGTTGGGAATTCGTGCCAAATCCTTAAAAGGGCCCCCTAAATTGTGTAAATAAGCAATATTCCACTGAAAAACCAATTAATCACTTTGTACGTGTCACAAAGATATGAATATATCATATTCTTATATACATATATATCACATACTTATATACATCTATATCACATACTTATATACATGTATATCACATCCTTATATACATCTATATCACATCCTTATATATATCCATATCACATACTTATATACATCTATATCACATCCTCATATACATCTATATCACATCTATATCACATCCTTATATACATCTATATCATCTATATCACATCCTTATATACATCCATATCACATACATATATATATCTATATCACATCCTTATATACATCTATATCACATACTTATATACATCTATATTACATCCTTATATACATCTAAATCACATCCTTATATACATCTATAACACATACTTATATACATCTATACCACATACTTATATACATGTATATCACATATATACATCTATATCACTTATATACATCTATATTACATCCTTATATACATCTATAATCACATCCTTATTTACATCTATACCACATACTTATATACATCTATATACATCTATATCACATCCTTATATACATCCATATCACATACTTATATACATGTATATCACATCCTTATATACATCTGTATCACATCTATATCACATCCTTATATACATCTATATCACATCCTTATATACATCTATATACACATCTATATCACATCCTTATCTACATCTATACTTATATACATCTTTATCACTCTATATACATCCTTATATACATCTATATCACATCTATATCACATCCTTATATACATCTATATCACATCCTTATATACATCTATATTACATCCTGATATACATGTATATCACAAAGATCAACAGACTACGTATATACAACGTCTTGGGAAGGCGTCAGAATATCACTAAATACATTGATGCAATTCATTACAGATAAACCATTTCGGACAGCTATGATACACAATATAAAACAGTCTTCACGATGTACAATTATTGTCAGTACAGGTAATCAAATGTTGTGTATTTGTGAACATACCATAACCCCGAGGGCTAAACATATCGTCAATCCATCACTGTCATCGGATTGTGCACAGGTAGTACTATTCAGGTACAGGTCTCTTCAAATCCTAACATCCGGCTTACTCTTGAGAATCTAGCTATCGCACATGATCTGTACTGACTGATAAAAGTTCGAGTTAGTTCCATATTCCAGTTTGAGAAAGACTTACCTGTATTACAGTACTGCTGTCTCCTGTACAGGTATGTCGTGTTAAGGTTGTTTAAGTCTAATCTTTGATAGTTGTTGATCCGATATACAAACGTACACGTGATCCCTGATTATATCACATATAGAATTATTAACTGATATTATGGGATATCAACATATCTAATATTGTTTATTTGTTTTCAATCATGTATTGAAACATCTTCTTCATGTTGGTAATATATATTGAATAAATGTCCTTATATCACAACAAATCAGAAATTTTATGTCGGATATGATATCTGTTCTGTAGCCTTCATCAGTGTAAAGCGTATTTGCACCGAGGGAAACATATATATCTGTTCAATGTTTCTCATATTTCAAATTTTGTTTAGGCCTACCGCTTTTTGCTGGTATATTTTCCCAACAGATTCATCTAGGCAAACAGACCACGATTTGCCCGTTGTATCGTAGTTACAGCTGTTACAATCGACCAAGATTATAAGGACCATTCATTGAAGACTTACAGTATTATGTTTTTTATGTAATGTTCATTGAAGCCATATATAGCGTTAAGTATATCATCTCCAACAAGACAATTACAACCATTCGTGCTAGAAAGGCGTCATAGACAGTGTTACTTTGTATTTTGATTGATCTACTTACCAGCTGTCTGACACATGTGTAACTGTGTTTCGTCTCAGCGTTCCAAACACCATATATTCACAAGTACATTTAGAATAGGGTCATTTTTAAACCTCCCCCCCTCCGCCCCCCTCTTCCCTCTCCTCCACCTCCGAATCGAAAGATAAAGGACATGTTTTTGTGCTGTCTGTTTGTCTGTTGTCAACCTTAACTTGCCCATATCTATTGCACCGTAAGAGGTAGGGTTTTCACATTTAGCATGTGTTTTCCTTATGAAAAGACCCTTGAACTATATTCGGAAGTAAATAAAAATCAATACCACAGTGAAGACCTAAGTTTTCACAAAGTGTACATGTAAATAACACATGCCTTACACAGTACAGTTGCAACCGCGGGCATAGTGTTTCAAAAACAAATTTTGTTTTCTTTTTTTTCTAGGGTCCGTCTTTACTTTTTAATTTCATTTGTTGATTTTAATCATATATGACTATGTTTGAGTTAATTTTTCGTGTAGTGAAGTCAGCTTTTCAGTCATTTAAATCTTTAACAATCAAATTGGTCATGTTCTGTTTTTCTTATCGCCATCTTTGTTAATCTAAAGATTGTGAAATACTATAAGATTATGATAGCTAGATTACCTATCTTCAAAAAGCTGGATTACCTATCTAACTTTTACCTATCTATAAAACTGAAATACTTGCGGGCACACTTACCACATGTTATCTAATGTACACATATCAGAAAGCGGAAGCTATGTAGAGTTTTCTTCCTATATCAAATTATATCAAAACATTCACAGCAATGATATCAGGTCCTTCTCTCTGTATACCGACTTGATACAATGGTGTCGCACACTCGTTGGGTTACTGCTAAATGTATTCAAAACATGAAGTCATGTTGCATTGTCACTAAACTAATAGAATACTGAAGCTAATTTTCTGTGCTGTTCTCCCTCCAAAACACGATTATTTACGCTGCAGAATTAACGGTTCCTTGCCTAATTCAATTATATTGTAGTCCCCAAGGCACATCCGTTCAATACGGATCCAGCAGCTGGATTTGAGATTTCCCGCTTTTTTTTATGACGTACGTGACTTGTGGCACGTCCCCGACATCCAGCCCCTGAAGGGGCGTTTCGTCACGGCAGTATAATTATTAAAAGGATGTTCAATTACATCGCCTCCATTAAGAACTATTATCAGAACAATCACATCGAATTTAATTCCTAATTATAAACAAAATAATATCTGAATCTCTTTGGTAAATATCCATTTAAATAAAAATGCATTATTTTAAAGATGGGACAGATATATATTCACTAGTGGTTTATCTTCTAATTAGTTTAAACAGGAGACAATTTTCAACATTTGAGAATCCGTGCGAGATATTCAACAGATACCTACATTATCAGTCGTTTCTTTTATACACGCGTCCTTGAAATATTTTAGTAACATTCAGTTGAAGTAGGAATTCTTTCCAGACGTTTCCTGAGTCAAATACCGTAAAGATGTAGTTAGTTCTTATGTTGTATTCCACAAGAAAAACTACAGTCCCTGACAAAAAAACTTAGACTGTAAATTCATGCTTATGTTTACAATTTAGTTTCATCATTTTAAAACTTGAATGCGAATTAAAAGGAACGTTTCTTAATTTCAGAGATCTCCCACAAAATGAAGGCCATTTTGGCTTTCCTTGTCGCTGTTGTTTGTTGTGTCTACGGCTCCCCTGTCAAACGGGATTCAAAGACAGAAAATGTCGACCTTCTCATGCCGACCGTTCAACCTAAAGTGGTGAGTATAATTGACGTATGGTTTCCAGACTGGATTACCTCCAGTAGTACTACTATTCTCCGCTAGACTGCGCTGGTCGTAGTCTCTAACCGAAGTCAATAAGGATTAGCGAAACTACGACAAACAATCAAGTCTGCTTGTGTTTTACTTTTGTCAAGATTCGCGATACTTTACTAAATAACGCATGACTGTAAACAGCATTGCTGGTTTTTGTAGTGCAGTGTTGATAATAAAACTCCATTCAAATATCTGCGGACATTAACAAGATACTATCTCAAAATTTGAAATTTGTAATGAACGCATCAGGCTTACCCATATTTGTGATAGTAAGACTTAGATTACTCGATATCGCTCTGTTGTGTTTTCGATGCATTCCCTTTTGATTTGGTGAAACACAGTGTAATCTACAAGTACTATTGCCCTTGGAGAGAGAGCAACACTATTTAAATGTAAGCTGTGCATTAAAAATCCTTTTGAGATGCATCCAGTAGTGGGCGGGGTTACGATGGCGGTAATTTGGGCGTTAATGTTGTAAGGGTTAATGAAACCATCGACTTTTACTTACAATAAATTTCAAAACATCACATAAGACCTGTAAAATTGTACAAAAAACACACAAGTGATACTCATCTTTTTACAGAAATTTATAGTTGGGTAGAGTAGAGCCAAACAATGGATTAAACTTCACCATACAGCTTCTTCTTCTAAATTTATGTCACGATGGTATCTCAATGCTCATAGTTCATCTCAAATGTCAAGTTTTCGACTTGGATTGGTAATTATTTGGTTTAGTTCTGTACAAATTCTGACCTCATTTCCCCCAAAAGGTCCTGTACCACATCTGCCAATACATGATTTGGGGGAAGAGAACAAATACTTGACCTTGCTGTCGTTTTTATTATTAAGTCTAATGACTACAACTGACAATGTTTTCAGCTAGGATTGATGTTAACCCACGCAGTTTACAATGTTTATATCGTTTATCGGTATTAGGTACCACCCATCTCTATAGATAAGTGATAGATCATACACATCAGCTTACCAACCGGACGTACACTTCCTATAAACAAAGATTATATATTACTTAACATCTTTCAAAATGCATCTAATGCATTTACATCTCAGACACGGGTCGATTTTGTTATAAGGTCGTGCTTAAGTTTAATGTTTACCTATAAACCTATTTTTAAATCCAGTGAAAGAGCTTCCAAGACTGAAAAATACCTCCCGTTAATTTTCCGTGTGTTCATTTTTCTCCACATCTGTCACACAATCCCCAAAGTTGGTAGCATACAAGGCGTATTTGGTTTCTAATCCGAATTTGAATAAACATTAAATTTAAAGGAGAAACAATACTTGATATAGGTCATTGATGATATTTCCATGTTTTCGGAACAATATGTTGTTGGATCATTTCTTACATTGTGATTATATATTTGTTACAGAAAGACACATATCTCTGTTACGGTATGAAAATGAACGAAACTCCTACCTACATAGGTAAGTAGTGATATTGAGAAATCTAATTGTATTTAATGTTTGTTTAGAGTTTTGTCTTCCTCTGTATCTCACATAAACTGGGTCTGTTTATATGGTGTTTTGGAACATTTTCTTCAGCTTATATAAAACTTCATATAAAACAACTATTAGAAGATTAGAGTGTGAAGTTTCGATAACTACACTGTCACTTTCAGCAGACAAATGATCAATGTGAAGGTTACTAACACTGACGTACGTAGCTGAGAACGAGATGGTAACGAATCGACCATTTATTTCGGCTATTATCACAGCTCCAGTAACTGGTATAGTCAATTAAGGTCACGACAAGCCCTCTCAGCCCAGATACTGTATCCTCTCTTCACCCCTGGAACATGTCATGGCAAATTTGAAGGCACACGCGAAGTAATTTAATTGGTCAAGATTTGGTTTCATGAGAAAAGATGTCGCACATGGAACCTTCGATTTTGCAATGACATTCTTCAGCAGAGCATAGAGCGATAATGAACGTCACCTTTGGGGTATCGAGGATGCAGATACTGGGGCATAGACTAAATTATGTACACCATCTGTATCGGCCCAACCCGTCTGAGTAAGGTGACCAGGGTGACACGTGGTTTGACCTGATCTGGGGCCTCCAACATCAATATTGTTCTATTTTTGACAGAACAAAAATTGTTGGAAACCTGGCTTTATGTTGTCATATTGCAAGAGTAAAAATATGCACATTGCAAGTAATTTGAATATCAGGAAAGAAAAGTGTACGACTGCACTAACAAAGAAAGATACTTACTTTGCCATCTACATAAAAAAAAATTGTATATAAAATGTAAACATGCTCTCTAAACTGGATAAAAATATTCTTATATCATATGTACTTTGTATCAGCGATTCACTTTTTGACAATTTGTATTGTCATTTCTGAAGTATGCGTCTAGGCACACATATTTTTGTCTGTTTAGTGGTAAAAGAAAACAAAATCAAACTTGATGAACATTTTTCAGACCAGGTAAAATAAATCAAAAGCCAAAATGATGATTTGATGTTTGCTTAATATGAAGGTTATAAAGCTATTTTAAGATGGACCATAGGAACATTTCAAATAGATTAAATTGATATCAACTTTAACTGCTAGCTTTCCTGTTAAGCTGAAGTATATAGTGAAAAATAGGAAATACTACATATTCGCTAAATAGGCCAGACTTTGTCACAGTCATACATCATTGTATTGTATAAATCTGGTACAGACATAGCCTATCCCTCCTTAAAGCTGGCGATTTGATTAAGATACCATAAACTCATGTATTTTTACACTGCAATGTAGCGGCATTCGCTAATTACGTCCTGACATATGTATTCGAGATTCTCTTGGCGTCTATACTGCATCATTATTCTCCATCACCGCACGTGATTTATTGATACACTAGATTCTTGCATCAAATGTTTCATCAATGTCACAGCACCACGGTTCCGACACTCTCCTGATGACTTTTAGTAACGTATATAGAGTAGTCATTCTTCAGTGTACAGTTTCAAGCGTTGGATTAGAGATAGCCTCAACACGATTTCGCATTTTGCAGTTTTGTAATACAGTCGTCATGGAGATAAACAGTAGGCTCTGGGCATATTATCACTCACTGTAATGTTTAATAATTCAGGTTGTCGCTTGCCGAGTCTTCCGTCTGACGTAAAATTCTGGGATGGTTTTACATAACGATATAGATTTTACATTATACACTATTGTGAATGATTCGTCAGTGTTATTTCTCCAAGGTATGACATCCTTATGTAGGAAATGAGAACATCATTCTCATAAACATATCGCACATAGCTATTAGGATTGTTCACAACACACAAGTTAATAAACCCTTTCGAGACAAAAACAAGAAAAGACCAACTTGTCAACAGGATCATAATCGAAACTCAAATTCAATAAACCTAGGGGAAAATATGAACAAAAGAAAGATTTAAACGGATACTCCGGAAAATACAAGAATAATAAGACCAGGCGTTCCGGAAGATTACTCGTCTTCTGCTCCATCTGCGACGCCAGGTATGCAAATTTCGAATGAGAACAAGGTATACAACAAGGTATACAACAGGCAAACAAACGAGCATTAAACACGTCCGGCTTCATATGCATCATTTAGAATTAGATAGAGTTGAGCCGGAAGGTGAATGAAATTAGTTATGTGTAAAGAACCACTGGTATTTAATGATGTTATGTTATTCAACCGTTTCTGATGAAGAACACGACGCATAAACAATATTGAAAACATAATCACACCCAAATTCATGTTTATCGAGTCTAGCGGCGCGAAAACAAGTCAGATTAATTAGTGTCTATATCATTCATCAGTTGATCGATAGTTTACTTCAGGAATAATACGATGGAACGTTTTGAAATAACACTGCAAGTTGACGTTTTCATTTCTAGTACTCTGTAAATTAAATTTGATTGGGCTTATTAAATTCCCAAACACTGTACTCTTATAGGGGAAACTTCATCACTCAACTCTCTTCGAAAAGTATCAGATTGATGAAAATTATAAAATGTATGTGGCCTACATCACCCCATCTAGATTCAGACATGTCTTCCGATCACTCTTATTTTCCTGGATGCTCATTTTTTCTGTTCTCGCAGGCGGAATGAAAAATAGATACAGTGTCTTGAAAATAAAATTTATACAAAGAATATAGCCCGTTTTATGACTTTATGAAATAAACACTCATTTTTGCTTCAAGTATATCCACTAAAAATAAAGCATTGAAAAAAAACCTGTATCTTTTCCTATATTGATAAGAGTCTGACATTCATATTATGACAGGATATAGCATAAGTTAAATCCTTCACCTTAAAAAGAGGATAAATCGATAATGTAATAAATGAATAGTTTCATACGTCTTGAGGTTGCTAGGCTGTCATTACAGGAATTACAATTCAAGTTAAGTAGTCTGTCAGAAAATTACAGAATCTCTGCTCTAACTAATACCCAGTATTGCCATCTGATCCGATTACATGTAGAAAATCCTCAGATTGGAGTCATGGTATGAGAAGAGTTTCTTACCTGATGGAAGTAACATTTAATTAAAACCTAACCTTACTGTAGCAACGAGTTTGAAATGTATAGTTCTAGTCATAATGCTCGCTCAAAATGTCTCATTCATAAAAATATTCAAGTAATGATCAATCTAGATTTACGTCAGCTAGGACATGGAGATATTAATTATCCGAATCAAATTATCAGGAAATGTCGTGTATGCCTTCTTGTTTCCTTGCTGTGGCCAAACATCAACAGCCTGACACGATCTAAATCATAAGATAAAGTACATGACTCTGGGAACGTGTGGTATTGCAGTTAATAAACCAAGAACTTCATTATATTTTCCCCTCAAGTCGACAAGCAATCAGGTCATATATTTTTTTAATTTTCACATGCATCATCAATAGATTCATTATGTTTACCAGTTAATCATCAATCGTTGTTTCATCAAAATGTCTTTCGTCTGGTTTAGATGAAGCTCGGATTCGTCTATGACATTATCAACCAATAATTGGTAGTCGTGGCATCTCTAGCTGCAACTGGCACTTAGGTAGACTAATTCTTTTTTGTGATAATTGATTTGGTTTCAAAACACGCAAACGTCGCTGTAATTTATTTCCCGAAAGGTTTTGTAAAAAAGATAATAGAAATTTAACAAAAACCATGACTGTTGGAAACTCAAAGCTATACTTGAACTGATGTTTATCACCTAACAGAACGGAAAGTCACTCCATTTGAAACGATGTAGATGTGAAACCAGCTCGATAGTGTATTACAACAGTCCTTGTATAATTTATAGCTTGCAAGTAACTCAGTAAAGCTTACACATCACACCAACTGTCATTAATAATATGAAATAGATTCATGTATCACTGAAATATTTTCATACAAGACAGAACATAGCACATGAGTATTCTAGCTGCCATAGAAAATCTTCGGTATTTCAACAAACAAATTTTAATAGTCTTTAGTAGTAATACTTTAAAGAGAATGGATGTAGTCCAGGAAACCTGTTTTAGCAAGAACTCTTTTGGTGATTTATTATTGAGCACTTAAAGATGACGATAATGATTTGTAACCACATGATAAAAACAGACTACTTTTAATACTTACTTTTGCGATTTAGATCCATTAGAATTTTTTCTCAGCATTTGCGAAATAGACTATTCTATGTTATATATACAGGTTATATCATTGTATGTCATTCCTGTCCTTGTTCCCAGAGATGAACCTTTTATACGTGGTTACGTTCGCGAAATTTAGGATGATAAAAATAGCACGCGAGAGGAAGTTGGCTTACAGTTCTTGGTAAGGAAAGTAAATTGCTGATATATGGTAACCCCTTATTACAAATTCAGCAACAAACTGGTAGAATAATAGAATATATTATATTTTTCATCTGGTATACGATTTAAACTCCTTATCATACTTACTATTATTTTACAGTTGGATTCCGCCCTCATGCCAACAAAGAAATTGCCCATCACATGCTCCTCTACGGATGCAAGGAGCCAGGCGTCAGGGATAAAAACGCCATCTGGTGAGTATTCATTATAGATTTAAGTATGCGATCGTCAAGGGGGAAACGCCAACATGGGAGTTTTTTTTATTAGAAAAATATTTACATATTGGATGTGATCGATCACGTGTTGATCTTTCTTTTGTTCAAATTGTGCCCTTGTTTGACTCCAGTCCCGCAAATATTTTCGATTTTCCTTCTCATTTTACTAAGGAGACTTGATTTGATTACATCAAAACATTTTCATGCCACTGGTAAGTATTTTTTTAAGAATATGAATGTTCAGGATAAGGTTAAAAATGAGTTTGAAATTGTCCAATGAAAAAGATATAATCCTATTTTCATTGGTTACAGGAACTGTGGCGAGATGGCCCACACTACTTCTTCTTATTCCACAGCAGGGGTTTGTGGCGAAGGTCAACAAATTGTTTATGCATGGGCAATGGATGCCCCAGCTCTGCAGCTCCCTGAAGGTAAGACACTCAGATCATTGAAAAAATGTGAAGACACAAGTGAATAGCAGCTTTTAATACAAATTTAGAATAAGATTCACTAGAGCCAGGAAATAGATATGAAAAGCATCATCTATCCGTTTCGTCCTTCTTGGACTCGTCATTGATGGTAAGGGCCTGAAGTTTTGAAGACTAAAAGGTTTCTCTGTAAAATCTTTATCCAAATTGGTGGAAATTCATGTCAGAAACCAGTCAGGAAAGAGCATTAACTTCCAGCATTGTCAATAAAGACGCAGAAAACCGGTCGATACTCCTCTGCAACAAGTTTCAGTTCCAACTTGTCAAAGGCGTAACAACGAAACAACTAATGGAAGGAAAATACGCCATTATGTCATTTCGAGATTGAACACTAATAACAATCAGCAGTGATAACAGATGTTTAACACATAACAAACAGGAAGACATTTGGAATCAATTTGAAACCGTAAACAAAAACATGGCTTAATAGAAATGAAACCGACCACATGGAACATGTTGGTTTAGTTTGACAGTGCTATTAAATCCACTGTTTAGAAACAAAATGATCTCTTCTTTTGTGGCAAACATTTCCACATATTGATTAGATCAAAGGGTTACCGTTTATGTTGGCTGTGCGCTGCTTTTCATTGACATAAATCCCATCTCTGAAGTTCCAATGATGATGTTTGAAGAATCCGTCCCATCCCTCATTATTGTGTATTGATCGCGTCATTGTACACACTGTTGGTATTCAATGTTTGCAGAAACCCTCATATTTTGAGCTGCCTTATACAAAGGGAACGGCTTTAATCATATTTGAAGAAGGTATCTAGGTGCTATTTTGCAGAAAATCAACATGGTGATTGTGATAATGAATGCAGTATTTGAAACACGTTACTGTTAACATATAGAATTTGCTAAGTATAGCATATATTGAATTAGTCTATATATAAAAGTAGAGGTTTGTTTGGAGAGATTACTTTCTACATCAACAATTGTAGTTCTGGTAAACACTTCTAGATAAAATTATAATATCGTACACTTTAAATGTCGTGTCGTTGAGACATCACCAAAAACACAGCTCTATGCATATTGGTTATATTCTTTAACGTATCATGAAATGAAAGCCAAACACTGATAACATTTGCGCCCAACGCGTCATATCAAATAGGCAATTGTTTTTTTTAACATTTAACATTGGACTAGTAAAATTTCGCGATTACACTTTGTAATTATATATTCTAAAATAGCAATAGATTTGGTTATAGTTTCATAGCTTCATACATCAAAGAATTTAAGCATTCACGTGCCCACACATTGAAAGTATCGCTACGGTTAATTCAAATATATTTTTAACAATCTTCCCGAGAACGCTCAAACACGTTTTGCAAATGAGCAGCCAGATCTCTTGACAAACGTAACCGCAACAGAAAACATTTTCTATCGTATAATTCATGTTTGGCAATAGTGACCACAAAAGGAGGGTAAGCAAGACTCTTAAATCAATATTGAAATCCGGACAATTACATGTTTTTCAGAGTTTAAATTTCTCACGCTAAAGCAGCCAAAATAAACGTATTTGGTAATTTATTCTCTATCATGTATTCACCGGATAAAGTGACGAGCAACAAGTTTTGTCTATTTTCTGTCTAGTTTTCCTATCACGTAATTTAAAAACGATTTCCCCCAGCGGTACAACCGTTTCATGACTAGATTATTTATCGCCACTGCAGAAAGTAATCCTTAATGCATTATTCATTTTAAGACAAAATGAGAGATACAAAAAATGACCAGTACGGCATTGAACTTCCTTTTTAACAATTTCTAATGGTTGTATCTTTGTTTGGAATGCCAACAGTCACAATTGCTCAACAACACGCAAACGTCTGTGTGTGCTGATCGTAAACCCTGGGGTATTAAATGAAGGAGCTAATATTGAATTATCTGTTCGCCCACACATACGCCTATCGATTTTACCTGCGATGTAGAATACGGTTGTTTGTCCCTAGTGTTTTTGTGTGCCTGGCACTATAGTAAATGTCCATTCCAATAAACAACAGCCCGCGACAGTAACGAGACAAGGGCTGCAGTCTGGTTACATCGATACCGTAACACTTTGTATTTCCTTATCCCGTCTAAGTAAGCTTTTGAAAATATTTTGTATGAAATTTTAAATGAATTAGTATTGATTTTCTAGTGACTGAAGAGGGCGATTGCTGTTCTTTCTGTATTGTTCATACTATTTTAACCTCTTTTTTTAAATATTTATTTTATTTTTCAAAGCATTTTAAACATACAGATAAACAACCTTGCACACCTCACACATCATAGCAATTTTAACGTCTTACTAAACTTTAGGTCTAGGGATATTTATGCTGTAATGTAACTCTTTATTCAATACAATGACATGCTGTAATATATATATAAACAAACCTCGTTGGAAAAAATACACGAACCTATCAAAGCAGACTTAAAACTTTTTGTAGCATTTGCTATCAGTCTACGTGAAAGTGCGCGATGGGTCTTATTAGGGGAGTAAAAACAAACAAACAAACCGGAGTAACTGGGGAAAATCTCCTGGTCGGTCATATGACTCCAATACCTTTTCATCTTGATGAAAGGAGAGTGTGTTACCATTACATCAGCCGACCAACAGTGTTTCAGACTGCCTCTGTCTAGGTTGAACATATTACATTAAAGTTGAACATACATGTATTTTGTAATGAAAACACTTTTGTAAAGAGTTCAGGGCCGTATAATAGATTGTCTATTTTTATTTGATTATGTATGAAATACATAGATCTCTATCAATTACATATATAGTGTAATTATTTTTTTCAATGACTCAGATTTTCGCGGCAGTACGGAAATCTCGGAGCGAGGACTATCGTTTCATACTCAATGTGTCTATTTTTCGAGATCGCTGGTCACGAGTTTCTTATATCTCTCGTCTTCACATTTTGGGGTGAAGCACAATATCATCAAATGATGTCACAATTTCAAGGGATAAAGAAACCTTACATTGTGTAACCAAGGCAAGGAAATATATTTAACACAGTGACAATTTGCGTCAAATAACACTGGTTTCACTGGAATCGAGTAAGTATATGTTGACCGTCTACGATGTTCCTGCTCTTTGTTGGGAAATTGACATGATCGCCCAAGCATTTTTACCTTCAGGCAATTTCATTGTCTGGAGGTATTGAACCTTTTAACTAAAGTTTTAAGATATAGATATAAACGATTTCCTATGAATTAAAATTACAATGGTAATATTAGAGACGTGATTTACTAAAAACACGTTGTGGAGTGGATTATGAGCCAAATCGTTAAAGACTAAAAATCTACAGTGTATATATTTTTATCTACGCTGTAAGAACCCAGAATGTCATATTAAATTCATAACAGCACTATCTTATCTACGATCAACAACCTATATAATCACCACACTCTTCCATTATCTAGTCAGGATGTTTATAGATCCCATTTACTGAGTACATATCCATCACGTATAAAAAACCCACTCTTGGTTAAGTAGTAAATATTTAATAACCAATAACCAACCAACCGACCAACCAACCAACCAACCAACCAATGAACTAGCGTCCCTGCTTGTTAATCAAACGTAACCATACCCATAGATATTTTAATCTCAAAAGCAAAAGTAAATCTTCAAAGGAAAATTATAAGCAAGTCTATGAAGATGGTTTGCAATGTTGCAATTGTGCAATGTCAAGGGTTTGCTAATTAGCTGTCACCATGGATTCGCATTTATTTGACCCTAGCGGAAGGAGCATAGCGAAATTTACTCCTAAACAGGATCGTTTCTCATCACGGTAACAATCACTAGCGATAGCCTGAGGTAAAACAAGGCGGTCGTGATTTTTTTGTCCCTTGACGAGTAAAAGTAATTTATTTTTGTTGTTATAAGACTCTTTTACTTGTAGTTTTTGTTCTTCATATCATTATTAGTTGACATCATCAGATGGCTAATTGCACGTATCTGGAGTCTTTTCTAAAGGACTATTGATAAAGTACAGAAGTTTGCGTCTTGTTCAGGTATCCCCATTATTTCTCAATGGAACCTACGAGTATGATAATGTATCATACTATTTTTTAATGTCGATTGCCCTTATACCCACATCGTCTTAGGGCAGGTTATTAAAACAGCGCTGATAAACTTGAAATAAAAATGTACGCATATAACTTTTACAATAAAGAATGATACGCACCGCTATAAATGATATCAAAGGGTAATGTGTGCCGCTATGAATGTATGAAAGTAGAAGATGCGCGTCTATGAATTATTATAAAGTAGAAAATGTGCGGCTCTGAATTACAATAAAGTAGATGTGCGGCTAGGAATTTCAATAAAGTAGACGATATGCAGCTATGAATTATTATAAAGTAGAATATGTGCGGCTATGTATGTCATTCACAGGATATCTTTATAAATTACATATCTATCGAAAGATAGAATTACCGTTGAATATGCTAGCATTAGGTTATAGTTTCATTATCTTAAGGTATAAAAGTATAAAAGTTGAAGTGTCAAAAATTTCGTTTAAGGGTCAACAATAAAAATCTTTAGATTAATTCATTGGATTGTTATATTTACTATTGCCTTTTTTTTCCATGATACCTCACTTTAAAGGTTGTGAGATATAACTTCATCCTTTTTAATTTAACGTTTTATCGGTTAGGAACACTCTACAGTCGGGTTTACGTCGAATAAACAGCGGGCATTATCAGGAACATCGTCTAAGTAGTCTTCTTGGTACAAACATAGAATTGAAAGGTATTACATGGTGAGGGTCTGAAACTCACCATGTGCTACTGCTATTCCATCTCAAGAACTGCACTTGTTTTAAACACCTTAAGTTTTAACAAATATTTTGATATGTTTCCGATTATTAGACCTTTAAAAGATACACGAATGCACCAGTTTGCAATTGGTGTTTATATACACTCACGTCGAGTAAAAACACTGGAAATGTATTCGTTGTTTGCTTCTTTGTGTATCTTTATTCGAAACCAATGTGGATTCGTTGCCTGTCGACAGTGGTATCAACGATAGCTAAAAGGTGTGAATGAGACATTGTGTTTGCAGTTTTGGCATTATACTTCATGGATTAATGATACAAATGATGATGAGCAATTAGTGTTTGTCATTTAACAATACATTTTATAGGTTTAGGATAAGACATGATTATTGATCCATCGCTGTCATCGGCACTTACGGTGAATAAACCACGCCCATTTAATATTTTATTTGATATATATGTTCTGCATTAAGAGCTAAACCAATCATCTTTTTGTGATGACGAATTCTTTTATTTTATGTGATGCAACATTGTATACAATATATGTGAGATACTTAGCACATATCATACTGACTCCTTAAATTAATGACATGATTGAGCAATGGAACGCTTATTTCAGAATTAAACTCAAACTTAGCAAGAGAAGAATAAATATCCCTTATAAAACTTTCTTTATACACAAAAGGAAACATTTTTAGATAAAGGTAACTGGTCATCAATAGGCTGTAACTGACCTCTTACTTTTCCAGTATTCAAATTATGCGTAATTTACTGTTTATATCAATCTAAATCAGTTTTATCATACTTTTCTTTTTGTATTCTTAGGTATTTAACCGATTCTTTCTAAATTAGAAATATCAAAACAATTATTGAGGCAAATATTTAATCTTCGATGTTCACTAACAATATGATTAAACCTTATTTTGAGTTTATAAAACAATGCCAGAGTATGTATAAGAGACTATTTGGTACGATATTAGCTTGGATTGTTATAGGTTCAGCATTTGAGTCATATTGGAATATCAATGGTTTTTAAACCAACGTAAGCAATATTCTTTTACTGTAGTTTCAGACCTCTTCTCTATGATCATTAGGGAACTCATTTTTGTATATGCTTTAGAGTATTTCCACTGCATTAAGTGTGTCTTGTGTATGCCATATCATTTGATTAAAAAAGTGCATCAATAGAATATTATTGTCTATTAATTACACATAATTTGTGTTTCTTATTCATACTATGACAAATAACTCTCCGGCACCTTCTGGTATATTTGAAAAGGTAATTAGTCAATACATACAAATATAGCAAATGCTCACTGAGTTGCATTTAATTAACATTCATTAAAGTTTAATTAAGCGACACATTCACAACTTTCATTAATGGATGTGCAGTCCATGTACAGGCGCTGCCCAATAATGTTTTGTCATGTTGTCTGAAAGGCGGTAATACTTAATTGAATTTTATTCTCAAAAAAAATGGATCCCTTTGACGGTTTATTACGTTTTTTATTTTGCAGGCGTTGGTTTTAAAGTTGGAGGGAATACAAATATTGACTACCTCGTCCTACAGGTTCACTACAAAGATGTTTCTCCGTTTTTAGGTAAGGGCAAACCATGTTATCGTTACTGCAATGGCATTAGCATTATGATGTGATTTTTTAAATAATAGATTTTCAATATTTAACTAAATGTCAAGATAAAAACCTAAACAGTAATGACTACGAGACTGCGTTTCATTATTTAATGTATACTTATTAGAAAATTAGAAAATGAAGTATTGCAACCAATTTGTCCAGCCTTGATGCTTATACGCCGCTACTTGTACAAACAAATAATTAATCATGTTCATTTCACAGCTGGGGAAACTGACAGTTCTGGCATTACCTTGGTAACGACAGATCAACAGTAAGTAGTGACCAGTATATAGTGTTTTGAGAATTATAAAAAAAATTACACAACAGAATTGTTGCTATTATTTATAGTTGTAAGAAATTTGGGACATTATATAATTCAACATTGATGCTAGCATTACCATGCTGTGAACAGCGGTTTCATATTCAGAAGAGGGAAATTAATTATATTATCCGTGCTGTTACCATAATAAGGGTTATTTACTTTACAGAATGCCGAAGCGAGCTGGCGTTTATCTTCTAGCCACAGGTGGACGAATACCAGCTCATTCCGTCGGTAAGGCAAACTGAAATTATTTTTAAAAAAAAGGAAAAGCTACAGTATATAAACCACAGTATTCCGCGCTTTTTATAGAACTTTATGAATTTGTGAAATAAAATCTCGAACAGTTATAAGAGAAGAGAACAAACCTTTGTTCCAACTGTCCTTGCCAGTTTATACAACTGTCTTCCAAAGGGAAAGCTTCGAGTTTTTAATACTTACTTTTATGAGTGCAATAAACTTACTTTAATACAAACATGTACATAGTAAGAACCATAAAATGCAGAGTTTTGACATTGGTAATTTTATAGGGAATGAAGAATTCAAAATTCAAATTCAAAATTCATATTCTTTCATTGAACTTCAGATCATACATACATGACATATGAGGATGTCCATATGAAAACATGGCGTAGTCAGAGTTAGCATGGTATACAATAAATAGTTGTACAATTAAAATGAGATGTTAAACATTTTAATGTTTTGTAGTTTATGTGTTTATCCAAAACTTCAATTCACCAGATATGTAAAGATATACAAATGTAAGAGATATGATGCTTAACGATCATGATCACTTTACAGAATACTTGGAAAGTGCTTGTCCACTACGAACCGACCTCACCTTACATCCCTTCGCATTTAGAACCCACACGCACACACTCGGTAAGACCCTTTATACTATTGATTACATGGTGACACTGGTATGGAGGTAACTTTTTATGTTTTTTTTAAATGGTCATTGAACCTTTGTTGATTACTAATATTGGTGTTTTATAAATAACATTTAAAAACTGTATTGATAAAATTTGGATTATTTATATGTGAAGGGATACTTCTATAACAGCCGGTGAATTGCAAAAAGTGATTGACAAAATATGTTAAGGATCTTCCTCCGGTTAGTAGATATATAAAATGTAGATATTTGTTTGAGACTTTGTTGGCTACACATTTCAACAGAAAATTGATCAATGTTAAGTGTTGACAATGTTTTACGAGTTAATGAATCGACAGACTTTTTTCCAAGTATAACAGTGAGACGCTCTAATGCGTAGTTAGACTTCAGATATACCTTCACGTCTGTAATTGTAACTCATGACCAAAAGTATTACTCAACGTAACATTTGTTTAAACCAATCATGCACACCATGACAATATGAAGTCCATTGTAACAGGGAAAGTAGTGTCGGGATACAGAGTCCGAGACGCTAAATGGGAGGAAATTGGGCGGAAGAGCCCACAGGAACCCCAGGTAAAAATATTTATTCTTTAAGTTATATATAGTGGAAACAATGAGTTGTTCGTATATATTTTGAAAAAAATTGTAGAAAATTGATATTAAGTATACCTCGGTATTTCTGTATCAGATATTATTAATTAGAAGTTCTGTAAAATCAGTCATTTTCATTGATTTCACGAGTACCTTTAATTCACAAATGTATATGTACACGAACTGTTGAAATTAGTACAAGTAGATATATTGAGCCGTATTTCACGAAATCAAGTGTTAAATATATTATCTTCAGGGTTAATAAAATTATCCCTTTCCCATCCGTAACTATTCTATATCTATTCATTGTTTTAGTTTGAAAGTAAGAGGGTCACATTTTAGTAAAACTTTTTCTTGTAGTGTAATTGAAAGGAATTAAATTGATTTTATCCCACTATAACACTCATTTTTATTTCATGTATACAGTGAGTCTAATTTAACTTGGAGTCTCACGTGATGTAGTCGTATCAATGCTAAAGAACATCATACTTAGAAGGGCAGTGCTACAGGTATCCGGTCCCCGTTAAAGGAAACTACTCCTTGAACAAATATTGAATACCTATAAAAAGTTAATCAATTGACTTCGGGTAGTGTGACGTCATCATTTACCTACAAGACATTGTGTATATTGGGTTTGTGCCTTCGGGGATTGTGAAACAGAGCTGAAACTTTTACTATTCATGAGACACCTTCGTACAAAGTACACGGTCATTATGTTTGCGTGTATGAACATTGAAAGTCACGATACTATTAATATTTAATGACATTGCATGCATGCCCCTATCTCCTAGTACACAACTAGCTTTAAAGATAAAAAGCAATACATCGCTCTACGTCTTCGATAATATCTACTGTGTGCTTGTTGGTCATGATGAACTCCACTTAATACGAATTAATTTGTGATACTAAACTCAAATAGATTGTTTTCTTGAACTCGTAATGATTAGCTTCTGAAATAACGAAACAAGATATATTGCTTTCATTTTTGTAGCAATATATTTTTTTTCTGGAATTCATCTCGAATTGAAAAATACTTCTTTGTTATTTCAGATGTTTTATAACGCTACAAGCCCAGGAATGGAAATAAGGAACAACGATATCTTGGTGCGTTGGTGTTGAAAACTGTTGATATTACCGCTTTTAAATTTTTCAAAAACTTGTTCAGCCTAGAAAAAACAGCGCGAATTTCTTCAGAGTTCAATACTTGTTGTGATTTTTTTCTTTTCCTCTGTCTATTTTTCCTTCTTCTTTTTTTCTTCTTCTTCTTCATCTTCTTCTTCTTCTTTGTACAAGTATATACCTGTTTTCTACCTACATTACTTACTGAAGTACTTATATCCACTGTGTGGAAATACCTCTGTTTAATACCTCAACTCTACAAATAAGTAATTCATTGTATATGCTTTACTACAATTTACAGTAGATTGGCCATGTTCTTTGTTTATAATATGAAATTAATCTTATTTTTCGATCGGTTCATTAAAGCTTATATCTTTAATCAAACATTCTTATTGGTCTGAATTGAAGCGTTCGAATTGTCTTGCAGTGGAAGGGAATTGGAGAAATTCATGAAATCCCGTGGGGAAAAATAATCAATGTCAATCAGTTATGTAAATTAAATTTTCTGTCAGAATGCATTGCTCAGTGTAATCAATTTCAATTATGTATTTTAAATTTCTCACGTAGGCTGCCCGTTGCACAATGGAGAACAATTTGGACAGAACTGTATATATAGGGTAAGACACTTTCAACCAATTATTCAATCACCTTTGTGCTGTGTTTATGTTAGACCAAATGTATGAACTTAAATAAATTGTTAAAAAATTAGTGAATTTTTGCTTGTCTATTTATAAGTCAATTATAATATATTGAACTGTTAGGCTAAATACCTCATAAAGATTTTGTCATTCAGCGAATAGTTTGTTTTCTCTGTCGCCTTCTAGGTTATAATTTAGGCCCTTGGCATCACTGATGCAGCCTTCAAGGACGATTGTAAGATAGAAATATAAGTAAAGTAGTCGTAAGGACTATACTTTAGTGCATTGAAATAACTTAATCGTATTTGTAAGGATTTCAAATATTGATCATTATATAGTCATTTCTCTTATACTCACTTGATTTTAAAAATAGTTTATGCACTGCAGAATATTTGTGGACGTTGATTTCGTTGTAAATCTTAATTACACCAATGTAAATGTCCTCGGGAAAGACAGATTGATACTAATTTTAGTACTTATGGGTTTCGTGATATCAACCCACAAAATCAAGTGCCAGCAAAATGTACATTTGTATTCCACCGATGATATCAGATGTTACAGTGGTTGACGTGATGAGGAAATATCAAAACATTTTTCTTTGATGAAGGCATATTTTAAAAAAATATTATATAGCCTTAGTCAATTTGATTGTGTAAATTCTAAACGCGTTTCGGTTTTAAATCGCTCATTTTAGTCTTTATATATCTTATATTGAAATTTGAAAGACCTTTCTATAATTTTTACAGTGCCACCCAAAATGACGAGATGTGCAATTTCTATATGATGTACTATGTGAACGGTGACAGGATCGCCGACCAGAACTCCTGTTTTTCCTCTGGTGCGCCTTATTACACTTGGGAAAGCTCCCCATACGCTGGAAACATGAACCTGAAGGAACAGCCACAGACAGTAAGCTTAGTGCCAGGGGAGAAAACTCCAAAGAGAAAGGGCCCTGTAGCAAAACTCGAGCGTGCCGAGAACCCAGAAAGGCGACAACAACGACCACGGGGACACGCAGTCAACCGTAACGATTTTGCGCGCTTACTTCAGGCTCTCAACACTGCATACGATTCTGACTACAAGATGTATGACAATGTTCTCTAAAAATGACGTTGTTAAAGTCTCAAGTTGTTTGTTGTCTTTCTTGTTTAAATTAATGAAGTCTATATAATATATTGTTAATCTTTGTTTTGTTTTGTTTTCTCTCAGATGATGAATTATCCTTGTATATATATATGTATATATTACAGATATTGTAAAAATATTTCTCAAAATTCATATATATTTTTCAAACAAACCAAATTTTTGTCATGTTATATATTGGTGCAATGAAGGATCATTTCCTTATTAGGACTTTTGCTTATCTTTTTGTGTCTTGACATCGATGCATATTAATACAATTTCCGCTTAGAATAATGTCGATCATCGGTCGGATCGCCCGATTTAAGTCTTTATGTACTTTTTCAGGTCTCCCCGTATATGCTTTTTATATCAAATCTATATAAAGTATGTTTCTATTAAAGATTTTGTGCTGGTCTCTTGCAATAGAATCTAGGATGAAAAGTCTTCGCAGCAAGCCAGTTATTGTATCGTGCTTAATGCAACAGACAGCATATGAGATCAGCTATAGAAATCTGGCCTGCTGGAACTCTTTCGTTGAACGGAATCTGAACGCCCGATCGATGGTCAAACATATCCTGACCTAAACAAGTCAAACATCCATGTTGAATTAAAAATATACTAAAAGGAAATAAAGAAAATAAAAAAATATAAATTTAACAAACATATTCATTAATAATTTGAACACCATACTACCAAAAACCAATGATGCATTTCATTCCCTGTTGTCTTATTTTCGGTGTGAAGAGTTTGCTAACATAAAAAATTGAACTAAGACGAGGCATCCAGTCCACATATAGAACAATCATTATTAGCCCCAGTGAGCATCACCAGGTGTGTTCTGCATTCCATGTAACGTCATATTGACAAATAAATGACGTATCGACATAGAATTTGTTTTTTCACTCACGATGTCTTCAGTTTGAGGAAATATAAAACTTAAACTATGTTGATGACAAATACCTAAAACAAACTATGTTTATGACAAATACCTTATGTTTACAAATACCTAAAACAAACTATGTTTATGACAAATACCTAAATACCTAAAACAAACTATGTTTATGACATAACAAACTATGTTTATGACTTAAATACCTAAAACAAACTATGTTTATGACAAATACCTAAAACAAATTATGTTTATGACAAACTATGTTTATGACAAATACCTAAAACAAACTATGTTTATGACTTAAATACCTAAACAAACTATGTTTATGACAAATACCTAAAACAAACTATGTTTATGACAAATACCTTAAACAAAGTATGTTTATGACTTAAATACCTAAAACAAACTATGTTTATGACAAATACCTAAAACAAACTGTTTATGACAAATACCTAAAACAAACTATGTTTATGACAAATACCTAAAACAAACTATGTTTATGACAAATACCTAAAACAAACTATGTTTATGACTTAAATACCTAAAACAAACTATGTTTATGACAAATACCTAAAACAAACTATGTTTATGACAAATACCTAAAACAAACTATGTTTATGACAAATACCTTAAACAAAGTATGTTTATGACTTAAATACCTAAAACAAACTATGTTTATGACTTAAATACCTAAAACAAACTATGTTTATGACAAATACCTAAAACAAACTATGTTGATGACTTAAATACCTAAAACAAACTATGTTTATGAAAAATACCTAAAACAAACTATGTTTATGACAAATACCTTAAACAAAGTATGTTTATGACTTAAATACCTAAAACAAACTATGTTTATGACAAATACCAGGGCCCGTATTCATGAAACCGCTCTGATGCTGAAGCATGAATTTTGTGCTAAAGCCTTATGTCTTGTTTAAGTTAAAAATTGATAAATAAGGCTGATTTTACCAAAGATTTATAAACAATTTTGAAAGGACTTCAAGTCAAAGTTATATTCCATGTTTATATTTGACATTTGTATTATTTAATATGATTTAGGTGAATTATAAAAAAAAGTTTGCTTGAGCACAAAATCTATGCTTGAGCATGAGAATGGTTTCGTGAATACGGGCCACGCGTATGTTTTTAGAGATCTACCTAGGTATTGAAATGTAAACCACGTGATACCATCATCACTGAAATTGTCATAACATAAATGTCACTATTCAACAAGCCTCTCCAATTTCAAAACGAAACTAATCTTTGGAACAAAATCTGAAATGAATCAAGAATATAGCCATGTGATTTAGAAGGTTCTCTTATTTAGTTTTTCATGGTTTGAACTGCATACAAGTCATTGATCAATAAATATTCGTGCAACATTAGCATGGAGAGCAACGATACATACATTTTAATTGAACGTGTTTATACCATACGTTTTCCCATTTTCTTGTGCTTTATTTAAAATTATCATTACAAGATAACCGACATTTATTATTAATATACTGAAAGAATAAAGAAACGCAGGGAAATATTTATTCCGATATTTTAAAAACGCGTTCTCCAAATAAAGTGAAACTTTGTGGATTGAGTAATTAGGTCATATTACACATTGTCATGTATCGAAAATTTAGTCACGGTACAGTAAGCAGCTCTGGTAAATGGAGGAAGGAAAAACCAAGAATCTCGTGTACCGTGTTGTTCTGGTCTCATGCAGCGTTGGTCAAGTCACTCTTCGTTAGTCTTTATACAGACCAACTGCTTCCCTAAAATTAATTGAGAACTGATTCGTTTTAAGAATGGCACAACTCACAGACGTTCAGAGGGGTCAGGCCATTCAGATGCTGATGCAAGGACAGCTGCAAAATCAGGTTGCTAGGCACTTTGGTGTTAATATTTCCACCATAGAATGTCTTGTAAGACGTCTTCGGGAAACTGGGCGATCAACCTAGGTCAGGACGTCGTCTCTCATGTGCGTAATCGGCGCCTTACTGCCGTTGAGAGTGCACTTAATGTTCGTGGAAATCATGGGCGTCCTATAAGTTCAAAAACTGTAAGGAATCGATTACGAGAAGTTGGTGCAAGAGCACGTCGCCCCTACGTAGGTCCACACCTTACCCCTGCTCGACGTCAGCGTCGTATGGCCTGGGTCGCTGCACATGCTCCACGACGGTTTCCACTGAGGTAGTGGAGACAAGTTTTCTTTACGGATGAGTCTCGATTCTGTCTTTATCGATCTGACGGCCCTCAACGTGTCTACCGACGTCGTGGCGAACGTTTTACGGACGCTTGCGTTGTAGAGAGGGATAGAATTGGGGGCGGTTCAGTAATGGTGTGGGGAGGAATCTCACACGGGTTAAAATCACAATTGGTTGTTATTGATGGCAATTTAACAGCAGCTAAGTATAGAGATGAGATCCTCCGACCCCATGTTATCCCTTTCTTAGAGCAGTATAATCTAACCCTCCAGCAGGATAATGCTAGGCCCCACGTAGCAAGGATTTGCCAAGTCTTTTTGGCCAACAACAACATTCAACCACTAGATTGGCCGCCATATAGCCCTGATTTGTCCCCGATCGAGCATCTTTCGGACCAGTTGGATAGACAGGTTCGAAAGCGCCAGCCATCCCCTGCTACTCGAAAGCAATTGACCAGAGCTCTCATTGAAGAGTGGGATAAAATCCCCATAAGACGGATTAACGCTCTCATGAACTCTATGACCAGAAGAATAACGGCCGTGACCACAGCAAACGGCAGACACACAAGATATTGATGACTTTAATTTCAAAATCCTATGGGTCCATTCAATTTAATCGTTAGTACCTCTAAACCAATTGTCAGATGCAAAATACAGACTTTGGAAATTTTTAAGATTTAATTTATCTGTAAGTATACAAAATTTCGTTTTAAATGAAGCCCGATATCATATTTAATTTCTGGTTTAAAGTTCACCCTGCGTTTCTCTATCCTTTTAGTATATATTGATGCTTTATTGTGTAATGCGTGGAATCTGAAGTTTTTGAATGAATTGGTAGGGGGTGGTGGTTAATGACGTCACCAACAATCGTCACATAAACCTTTAAGTGTGTGGAACGCCTGCTAGCGACATATCCTACAGGTACAAGTAAGGCCACAGTCAGGTAAGAAATCTAATCAAATTCATGATTTCCAGATTTACGGAGACAGGTTTTGTTGCTAACACGTTACCATAAGTTTTAAAATCAATTTAGATTACAGGAATATAAAAAGGGGGATGCATGAAAGGATTTGTTGTTACTCGTTATTCAAGGTTGTCTGTTTTGGGGCATTTATGGTAACTGTTTTGAAATATACACACATAGATATATAAATTATATATTTGATACTTGATATGTTATACACAACTGGGATGACGTCATCAAATTAAGATGATAATGTCTTTATGAAATCTTCATAGGACGTGTTTATGGAGAAATACAGATTTATCCATTTACCAATTGAGTCCAATCTTGGTGTTATTTGTAGAACTCCGAAAGTTCAAGTCTGCAGGGGTCTTCGTCACACGTTTACTGAACGCCCCAAAAATTTAATAAAAGTATGTTAAACTTATGTTTAAGCATTACAGTATACGTGAAATGCCAATCACATGAATGAAAATATGTATTTATAAACTTTAAAAGCACACTCCATATATATTTGAAGTACTGAACTTGTCCGCAAAATCGAAAACTGGTAAAATTGTTATTGTGACATCAGATCGAAACAGAACCAAAATGAGAAAAATGGAAGTCTTCATTTTTCTCTTTGAAAAGGAGAAATGCTGTATACATTCATTATTTGCAAACATGTGATGTTAAGATAACGGAAAACGAAGGAAAGTAAATCTGGTAGATAAAACGGTAAAGTTAAACGAAGGGAAGTAACTCTGATAGAACAGGACAGATATATCAGTTCTGACACATCCAGAGATGAAGGCTTGGAGTCAAAATGACATTTGGCAAATTGCGATGGAAGTTTTTGGTGATAAATAAGTGTTATAAGTGTTTCTTTATCTTTCTGTAAAATTGGACAGTGTTTCATCATTGTTTCATATCAGGTTGTATTGTGATGATCTTGAGACACTAACTGAAAATTCAAACTATCGAAACTTTGTTTCTATACCTAACAGTTTGTTTGGTGTATTCAGTCCTTGTTTACCTGACGTAGAAATTACGCTGAGCTATCGAGGTATTTTTAACCAAGGGTTCTTGCTTTAAATGTCACTATTGTGCCAGGTACAGCTCATACAGCCGAAAAAAACCATGACACCTAATTTCGAATTGTTGAAGCCTTGACTAAACGACAACGAAAATGTTTCCATTGAATGCAGGGTTAGGGATGCATTTGACGTCCTGGCAGAACTGGAGCACAAAATGTCTTCCTTTTCAAAACAAGGAAATCCTATAAACATGCATTTCATGCATATCAAGACTGACGATGCACAAAACTCGTTGGGTTTACAGTCGTACATGTACCATAGACATTATATGAAAACTACAATAAAAATTTAAGAAGTGTATTAGCCTTAATACAAAGCTGGTAACCATGTGCGAAACTAAGGCATACTATTTATACATTGACAAAAAGACTTAATCCAGTAATTTAATTTTCAATGATTGTGAAAGAAACCGATTCATATACACGTCATCTATTACTGTATTGTTTATCGAATCACCGATCGTATCATATACCGTTAATTAATCGATCACTTCTTTTAATAACTTGTTCCTCACATGCATATCTTACATCCGTACGTGTTCAGTAGGAACATAGATCACTGGGATCGTCAGTAATTTTGTAATCATCAAAGTTTGCTTTCTAAAATGTACCAGAAAGAGGTCCAGCTGAAGCTATTTGTTCGTCACAAAAATAACATCATAAAAACGGTATAAAAGTTTATTTAAATCGTTATATCGTATACATTTTTAAACGTCATATTTCCATCATGAAAACTAGAAATCTAATATGGCACTCATCAGAAATGAACAGCACATTTAAACAACTCTCATTTTATCGTGTTTCATTTGTATTCACAGACAGCAATCATATCGTTTTGATCGAAAAAAGATTTAATTTTACAAAGATATTGAAAATAAAAAAGAATCGAACCAGACATCAATATTTAATTTCTGCCGGTCGAAAACCTGAGTTAATACCATTTATAAATAATCATGCTTAGTTAAGGTAGCAGGAAACAGTAAATATGCATTTTTCCTGAAATCATTGGTCATGTTTGAGATATACAGGCATAGCAGTTTGGTTATGAAAAATACATCATATATATATATTTATACATTACATTAATAGTAGAGAGATAAAATTTGTGTAAATCAAAACTTTCCTCTGATTTCTGACATGTGACTGTCGTGGTTACCAATTGAAAAATGCTAAAAATGCAAAAATACTCCTTTTTCAAACCTAACATTACAACTTTATAGAAGAAAATTATTTCTGAACACCTGTCTTAAAATCAACAACAATGTCAAGGTAATAAACTATTAACATTTCAGCAAATTCCAACTCGGAAATCCTTCACAACATAACCACGTGTAAACACTATGAAAATTTCATTTCCTGTAAAGCTAGTTTTTGGTGCGTAGACACAGATTCGAGACTTCCCACATAGTAATCTCCAACACAAAGCTAAAATATTATTCTGAAAATGATGAAATCCCACATTGTCCACTTCAACATGACAAGACCAATTTTAGCAAGGATTTATATTTTAAGATTAACAAGTTAAAACTATAATGGGGTAATCCAATGAACAAAAATACCAGCCATGGTCACACCGAGAAACTGTGTACTGCTACCTAACCTTAATCGTACAAAAACTTCTACAGCTGATTCTAAATAATCACATTCATTTTGTCCAAGAATTGCTGTACTGTTTGGCTACTTCTTAAAGTAATATGGATTCCCATTGTTCTGTTTACGTTCCCCGTGACAAATAAAAGCAAATTAGAAAGGTCAGTCTGACACATTATAATCAGTTCTCTTTTGAAAAAAGTTGCAAGGGTGAAATATTTTCGGGTTTACGAGAAACTCGAACCAAAAAAGAGGAAAGAGGCACATTTGATTAAAGTCATGGTTTTCAATATTATTCTATCAGCAGCAAAATTATAACCATTCCAAATAACTTTCAAAATTGCGACAACTGAGTTGTATGTAAATGAAATAAATTACATCATAATTTGGATATCAAACTAGTTAATTACAGGCCGATATAATGCAGATATAGACAACATGAAATGGACGGTAGGCGACCCAAACCAGAGGGGCAAAATATCGGAGACAAACTTGAAGGGACATCCGAAATGAATTGAGCTTAAACATACAACTGTTTCACAACCATTCATAATTACTACGTCCTTAAGTGCTAGTTCGAGCACTGTAAAAAAATATTAGATCCCACTGAGAGCAAACCAATGTATCAATCAGAAAAGCATAAGGCACTGCTTCAGGTACCTTTACATCAGATATCAATGATAATTTGACAGCGATAACCATTTTCAAAAAAGTATACATATATGAAAGGTAAGTATCAACACCTTCAACAAATCCCCGCTATTAAGTCAATCAAAATATATTTAAATATATATTTCATTTAATGACACCGTATGCGAAAAGAGAAAACGGAATGACAAATGTCTATGTACATCGATGTTCTGTTTTTATAAGTAACAGAAGTCGTCATAGGAAAATACTATAACCCTACTATCCCTCGTGGCTATTAATGTTCGCGTTTTCGCCAAATCAAGTTGGTAGCAACTGATAATTTCGCGGTTTACTGGGTTCATATACTTGAACTTATTGCTTCCCAGAATAGGAATTTATTTTGCAGATATTAATTAATTTCAGCTTATTTAATGTTTCAGTGAATATCATCTAAGTTAGTAACATTTACAGATTGACAGTACTAATGGATAGTCTGATATAATAAAAAAAATCACAAGGAGATGCGTCCATTTGTGATAGATATGCATACGTCCTTCGTCATGGGGCGATACTTTTCAGTTTCGATGTCTAGGTAATAAATTGGTTCATCAATATGAACAACATCAAATCCCTCTTTTTGAAGGTTTGATTTTCTTTGTTTAAATGTTGACGTTATTTCGAACTCCTTTTGCAAACGCAGGAACCGTGGTCTGGCATATGTTGGAAGTAGTTCCTTGCATTGATTCAAAATTACCATGAGTTCATCATCGGAGAGAGCAGATCGTTCCGAGTCTTTGTGACAGACAGCTACCATGCCCGCCCGCCCTTCATTTCCTACGAAAAAAAGGAGTCACAATATCATCAGCATATCTTATTTTCACACTACCGTAATATTTATATAACAACAGCATCAATAACTTAGTCGTAACATAGTCAAACATAGTAACCGCCAAAATGTTAAGCATATTGTATATCTATTGAATATGTCGAGACCTTATTTTAGCGCATTGTCGCCATTCGCAAACTAGCGCAAAGGTGAATTTTGGCATCTGCAATGATCATATATCAACATTATGTTGCAATAAACAGGTTTTAGCACGATAGTACAGCGCGAGAAGAGCTAGAATATTACTACCGCCAAACTACCTAGACAGCAGGTAATTTTATCTATCTTAATACTATTTACAACTTAGCTTGTACAAAATTTATACAACTTTTCGGACATGTCAACTTTCAGAACAAAATATGATATATCATTTGTTAATACATTATTTACAAATGTCCCAGTTTGCCTTGATTTTATAGAATAAAGTCTCGCATTATGCATAGAATCTGCTCTGTTTACATTTTTAAGTAACATATATAAGTATTGAAAATTATTTGAAATTGTTGGAGAACTTGAAGTTATGTATTGCTTGACTGAATTTTTTACCTGTATATTTTTGCAGAAATTTATTGGTGAAATTATTATTGCGGTAATTGAATAATTTACCCTTCCGAACGTTATTTAAAATACTACCAATCAATTCTGGACTCATAGTGAACTGTCTGCCAAATACTGAAACTTCCGCAAATAAGTTAAGAATTTCAACCAAATGAGGTCACCTCAATCCAGACAAGCAATACATTATCTTGTTAAGTGATAATTGACTCAAATTAATTGACAAAAAATATTACACAAAATATTTAGATATTTTTTTTTACAGAAATCTTATTTCATTTCGAATGTTTTATACATACATAATATTTTTGATAACAGACTCGAGGGAAATGACATGTTATTGATGTCACTTCAGGAAATTGGTTTGGTGGAAGAAAACAAGAAACTTGCTATACCTTTCAAGACCATGCTTTATCCGTCTAATTCCATTGATATAAATCCACATTCTTCTTTTATATAGAACAATTAAAGCACATTAACAGTCTTCACACGACTGACTATACCTACCTGGTATCAATACCCCGTAACAACAAGCATCACACAGAAAATCCACACTCGACACGACATTTGATACCTCTGTTGTAGAAACGTTCTCGCCTTTCCACCTAAAACAAAAAATCCAGTCATCATACATTAACGACAACATAATGATAGAAATCCTACGAAAAGAACACGAGCTATCGATGATAAAGCCCAACCTATATATGGGAAATATTCTATATGTGTATATCATGGTCAAAATTGTAAAGACACAGATGAATATCACCATTCAATACCATTTACAATACAACGTGTTAAAATAAAGAAAATTGTTCAATGGCTTCCATGAAACTACTTTCTTTGTCTATAAGTAGCGTTTCTTTGTTTCTCCGATCGTATACATGAACAAGGATGTTGATAACATATCGATATTCCCCCATGTTTTTGATAAACTAGTATTCTGTCATCTGATCAACATTTCATTAATACACACGATAAACTTTAGCTTTCTTTTCAACATTTTATTTTGTTGACTCCTTGGGTTACCCTATCATGGAATTTGAGAGTTTTATCTAGAAAATCAGTTTCGAATGAAACAGTGTTTATCACACTGCGATACTTGAGTTTGTTGATTTGGGTATTTTATACTTACCTAAATGTGTCACCCACTCTATCGTGGAAATAAGTAAAATATTCCTTGTCAACATAGAGAAGATCTCCAGCATTAACGTAGATGTCGCCTTGCTTGAAAACGTTTTTGAGAAGCTTCTTTTCATTCGCTGCTTTCTGATTTTTGTAACCCTCAAATGTTACATCTTTGCCCAGCGGAATCACCAAAAGGCCAACTTCATCTGTTTATGACAAAATTGTACAAACTATACACCAGTGAGTTGCAAATTTTAATACCACTTTAAATGAGATAGAAAAGAGCTAAATAATTAATTGAATTGATCATACAGCCGTTGCGTCCTTTTAGGTGTCGTCAATGATGTTAAGGACCTAAACTGTTATAACCACGGAAGACGACTAAGGAAAATACAAATTAGTTGATGTAAATATCAGAAGTCAGATGGAGAGGCACAGCAGCCCCAAAATTCAATAAGAAATGTTCATTATTGAATAATTTCAAAAGATAGTGAAGTCAATGTGTATATCATGCACAGAGCCAGTATACGAAAGAATTAAAACGCGGGAGACAAGTTACATCAAACCTCGGGAACTAAAAGCCCACAATTAACATATTGAATCTTTGATCTGTTGACAAGTAGGACTTTATATTATGTCATGTCTCTCATTAAAAACTACAACAAATGTTTTTTTAAAGAGAATATTTCATTCTGAATAGTATTAAGATTTGTAATTACAAAAATCACGTGATAACTATATGACATCATTATAGACTACGTTATGTCAACGCTTTTAACGTTTCCTCACAGATATGTTAAGACGGTTCTTTTATAGAGAAACCCTATCAGTAAATGAACGAAAATAACACCAACAAACAAACAAAACAAAATAAAAACAACGAAGAAAACATCAATTTGTCAACAGCATCTTAATTCAAACTGAGATTTCGATAAATCTAGGGTGAAATATGAACAAAAGAAAACATTACATGGTTTAAAGAGGAAACATCTTTGATCAGAAAAATTTTAATTTTTCATTGGCTACTCGAATGATTTAATAGTGACAATATGATTTATCTTATTATTATGCAGTGTAAAGTTCAAAAGAATATTCTCCTTTATAACTACTCGTTGTTCTACTTACAGTAGAAATCACGATAAAGTTAATTAATGTATTATGTTTGTACCTTGCTCCAAAGTATATATGGCACGTGTTGTATCATAAAACTATCCTTAGTATGCAAGAATGTGATTTTCTCGTCATTCGAGCAAAACCATATATACACAATGCAGCACAGCACTCTCACGATAGTAGCTATAAGTACAATACACAAATAATCTATCAATATCATGTCAGTAAGTACAGGTCCAGTCAGTATACTGTAAAGTCATACATTTTTGTGGGGCTGAAATTTTGTGGTTTCTCTATAAAAATACTGTTTACAAGGATAACTGTAAAGTCATACATTTTTGTGGGGCTGAAATTTTGTGGTTTCTCTATAAAAATATGTTACTCGTACTTACACTTCATGTCAATTTCAAACCGCTTATAATTTCGTGATAGAGAATATCCATGCATAATCAAACAAGTCAGACATACCTGCCCCACATGGTATACACAGCCCATCATCTCCACGATTCGGTTCATCCTTGTGAACATCATACTTTACAAAAGTACAAGGCACAATTTTTCTCTGAATATGGAATTGAAAAGAGAAATGAATTGGCAACAAAGAAAATATGTCATCTGTGAGCAAACGGCACTGAATTAAAACGCCGTTTCCCAGGCTGTTTTTTGCAAACAATGATATTTTTAAAATATAGAAATGTTTATTTTTGACAAACGTGAAACATTTTGACCTTTCATTAGAATGAATGAAATCGGACTCCAGAAATATCAACAATCTAAAAAAATGAAACAATTTAATGAAATTTAGTGCATCCAGTGGTGAGAAAATTAACGTTAGGGCAAGGCAGATTTGGCCAAACAAACTTTGATCACTCAAGACGGAGAATAGTGCTGTCATATGCAGAGTACTTTATATTTTCATAAGTGCTTTTAACTGAGGCTTCACTTTTTTCAAGAGAGGCTAGTATATATAAATAGTATAGCTCCGAATGACCTCAATTATTCCTTTTTCCTGATGTTTAAGTGTTAGATGCACAGGCAATTATTATAAAGGAACAAAATTGTTGTAGTGTTAGAGATATTATTAGACCTCAATTATTCCTTTTTCCTGATGTTTATTCCTGTAGTGTTTATTATATATATAATACGATCACATTTCCTGGCATCCATGTAAAAATGGCCAAGACAATTATTATAAAATCTGGGTTTTGCTGCTTTTCCACCAAAAATTGTTGTAGTTTTAACGTCTTATCAGCGTTAAGTGCCAGGCGTTTTTTTTCCTTGTCTGCAGCTGTCGTCTGCCCGAACCGCCCAGCCATTTTTGATCCGAGTCAAATAGGCGCTTCGTGTAGGGGAAACAACTCGTACTAGATAATAGCAACTTCTAGGATTCACTCTAGCCAATATTCCGACACGGAACAGAATGTGAATATCGCCAATCTGTGATTTGAAATTACGAAGTGACGCCTTTCAGAGATAATGGATCGAAGTACAAATTGTGTGCACTGTCCATCAATATGTTATTTTGTGTTACAAATTGTGTGCACTGTCCATCAATATGTTATTTTGTGTTATGTGTATGCACAAGTATGTACATATATATATATAGTATACTGTATGTATGTATGGGTGTATGATGGTGTGTACGTGAGGGTGTATATAGATACATCATGAGAATGGGTATTTAAGTTTTTGTATGTCAGTAATTGAATTTTAACAATTATATAAATAAATCTTGCTAAAAATAATTATGTTATAAGAAGTGAAAGTGATGAATGTAGAATGAGAGCCCTCTTGTGTGATGGCAATATTTTGTAAAGGAGGTTGAACCCAGAGCTCTTCAACTCTGGCAGCCCCTAATAATGATTGCTGAGCTGAGGGATTAAAAAAAATAAATAAATAGTACAGCTCTGCTTTTAGAGGCATCACTTGAGGTAAGCAAGATAATAGTGTATGCTTATATCCATGCAGTCTTGTTTATCTGCCCTTATTTCGTTGACATACAAAACCGTTAAGAATTGATGGTTTTGTGGAATGAATGGTTTTGACCAATCAGACGTTACGGTAATCATGACAAAAATCTGGAAATGAGAGCAGATGTCCAAACAGTATGCACTTTCAATGTTCATTCACGTATTAGCTAGGACGAACAATGTCTGGAAGTGATTTTACTTGCATGAATTTCATTCAGAAACAATGAAGAATTTAGGAGTGTATCATATTAGCAAGTCGGATCTCGATTTTGGCTCAGATAATGCTAAAATGGTACGCACGTATATTAAAGGATAAATTCAAATTATGACTTCAAGAGAATTTACACAAATGAACAAACACCATGATAAACGCAAATCTTGTCAGGTACTATGTCGGAATACTTGCTGGTGATGTCATTGTGGTTTACCAACCTACTTTCAAACATTTCAGAATGAAAATATGTCATATGAAACAAGTGATTCAAGAAACAATATCATTAGAGAGAATCTAACATTCTTTGGTCATCTAAAAGGACTTTTACATATCCTACCAGCAATGGTGAACTCCTTCCACAGGCGCCGAATTTGTTAAAAAGGTTGATGAAACCGACAGGCATTTCAGTGGCGGCGTAAAATTCCACCATGTTGGGCACAGCGAATCGGCGCTGAAATTCCGCCCATACATCACGTCGAAGACCGTTACCAATAGCATGCTTCACACAGTGTTTCTTATCGTCAGCAGACTGTAAGAAGATGCAAAAACAAAAGACTTGTTGCTTTTTCGCACAAAATCATTCAAAATTTAATATATTTTTCCCCAATCAATTACTTTATATACATCGTACGATAGCTTCTCCAAATAGGCAAGAACAGAAAAAAAATATACTAGTCACTCATTTTCCCTCTTAGGAAGTCAGACACAAATAATATGATATTGCCATTAATTCTCGGAATTCCATATTTTACATTGAACGACTAAAAAGCATTATATGTTTATTCTGTAGTTATATTTTTATATACAAATGCTTTATAAAATATGGTTCGTATTTGCAATTATTATAGGTTTGGCTCTGACAGAAGAATTTTAATGGGACAGAAGCGAGTGAAAAAAAATAAAGAAAATACCAACATGTCAACACAATCATAATCCAAACTCTGACTCCATAAGACTTGGGTTTAATATGGACAAAAGAAGGGTGTTTCGGAAGATTTAGCGTCTTCTGCTTCATCATATTTCAGATTATTATCGATGGCGTATTTGGTCAGCTGGTACTAATATAAACCAGTGTAATAAAATTTCCTACCCTATAGATTTTCAATTGATTATCAAACTTAAATACAAAAAACATTTCTCATTAAAATGCTAGCGTCCATAACGATTCAAAACGTTTTCTCTGATTAAAGACATGACAGTCACCTGATTTGTTTCAATTTTTAGGCATCAAACGAACATTCTTCACGACCACAGACAGTAAATGACACTTATGCTTGAAAACACGTTGTCCTATCCTTGAAAATAACACAATACAAACCACTAGTTAAATTAGAATCAGGATTTTCTTTAAATAATCACTACACTATTTTGCAAAACGTGCCGCCACCAGTAACGAGTTGACGAAATGATATTGCTGAAACACGGTCATCTTGAAAACCATAGCTGGTCGACACCCAAGGTCAACGATATTCAACAAGCTTGTTTCGAGCAACCTGGCGATGTCTTATATTTCATGAAATCTCGACCATTCAAACGGACCATACAAGTCGTCACCAGGATAATTATTTATCACAAATAGACATCATTTATAGTATAAATCCTTGGTATTATACCGAAATCACTCCTAACTCAGGGCTCTCACACCCCATTTTGGGACTGGGGCCCGGGGCCCTTAGAATTGGGAAAAATAGCGGCGTTTTCCTTATAATTGGGAAAACTTGGGGTCTAAATAGGTAAAAAAGATACTATTTTGCATATTCGGCCCAAATCTGTCAGATCGAGAGCCCTGTTAAATAAACTAGCATACCTCTGGCGTGTTTACCAGGTAACGCAATAATTCTCCAACATAGTGAATGATGGTCACGTTGTGTTTCCGACAGTCGTCCCAGAAACGTGTGGCTGAAAACCTCTCTCTCAATACAACCGTTGCGCCTGTAAAAATAACACGACTCCTGAATATTTGAGTCAGAGATTTTTTCTATGTAAAATTTCATTTTAAATATATGTTGGTAATAATCCTCCAATTTCAGCAGAAGAACACGCCAATATTTCTCTATTTACAATATGAAGGATAATTGATGGACTGTGTTTAACCGATGTGTTTCTTATTAACGGTAATGCTTTTCGTTTAGTCCGTTTTATGAAAAAAATATCCTTTTTGCTTCAATCTTTTGGTCAAGCTGCCAAAACATATTTTTGATCGGAAAATTTAATGTTTTACATACCTTTTGTTATGACTGTGCCGATGCCCATTAGAAGTCCAGCGGAGTGGTACATCGGTAAAGGCTCATAAAGAATATCGTCGCTACTTATGTCAAACATCCACATGACGTAGGCACCCCTCAGGGTTTTTGCATGTGTGACTATGGCTGGTTTTGGTAGGCCTGAATAGGACAAAATGAACATAACGATCTAACAGGACTCTCACAACGTTACTAGACAATTGCCATATGTGTTAATATGAATGGAGTTTCTTTCAGATACTTCAATATAGGTTATATGACATAAATATATAAACCATCCATTTCGTCCCTTTGTCTATCAATAACACCCTATAAGCAGAGGTAACATGCTACAAACACCTTAGTCTATCTATTTTGTGTTATGCAGGGTGGACTGATCATGTTCAGTGCAAATTTAGCAAAGCGTCGAAGAGATAGACCTTTTGAAAATCGAAATTTTCTACCGACAGAAAACTCCTCAGACCATTTGATTTGTATAGGACCTTTGTTAGAATATGGAGATAGTATATGAGAACATATAACGATAGGCCAAATTTAAAAGTATTCAACTCGAAGCAGTCAGAATTGTAACTATGGTTACTAGACTAACTAGTCGAGAGACGTTATGTATTTAGAAACTGGCTGGGACCATTTTATTGAAAGAAAACATGAAATAATAAAATTTCATAAAGTTTTCAATGATCAGTGTCCCTCCCTATTAACTAAAATACTCCCCACTAATCATTCTGACAATTTTTTTCTTGTGATACTAGAAACGAAAAAAAATATTTGAAATCAATAGAATGTCGAACTATACTCTATAAGGGTTAATTTTACCCTCCTCTGTTTACTTATGGTATGGCCTTGGCGACGTTAAGCTAAATCCATCACCAACTATCTTAATACGTTCTGGATATCAGTTACCGTAATCACCTTGGTATATCCCATATTGCTGTAAAACTATATTTGGCCAACACCATGCACAAGTGAGAATAAACGTTTCTTTGGTTTTCATTTGTTTTTTACGAAATTCAAAGCTCTACCTGTATTTGTAACCAGTATGCTAAAATTACTTATTTCTACCAATTCATATTACAATGGTTTACCTCCATGGTATAATGACAATATGCTGCTACATGAAAATCTCGCTATGCCAGATCAATATAATTTAAACAGTTTGACTGTAACCTACAACTTAAAGGAAGTTGAATCCACTATAATGATATATTTCATTTGTATAATCAGTAGTTTTACTTAAACAGTGTACATCATCGACTATAAAACCAGTTTTGTTTGTGACACATGTCAGTTTTTTCGAGGACAGAGTAAAATCTCGAAAATATATTCCTTCACTCAATACACAAAAAAAAGAATATCAGTTCCATATCTGCAAAAATCGCTTCTTCTCCTCAAAACTTTCGGTTCGTCCCAGAAATTTTAAACCACAGAAAAAAAATTGCTATACCATATATTGCAATTTGCTTTTTTTTTTTCGTTTACAAATGAAGTATACCTGTTGTGCCAGACGTGAAAATGTAACAGTTGACAGAGGAGAGATCCAACTCGGACCTTTCTGATGCGTCAACTTTATTAGTTGACATAGAAGAACAGGCTTCTGTAAACGACTTGAACGTGGCCGGAAGTGACGTGTCGTAAGAGTAAAATGAAATTCCTGCGAGGTCATCTTGAATGTCAACTACAGCATCCAGTAAATCTATCCCTGTCAAAAGAGAATTAAATTAGTCCATACGAAGTCGTGAAGTACAATATCTAAATCATTCCTTAATACCCAGAACTTCCGAAATAAAATGATTATCTAGGGAACTCCATTTTTGCCAAATCTAGCAAGCAGCTACAATTCATCTCCTTCCAATGACTTTTCACCGCGTTTGTATGATATTATATAGTTTGCAATTGGTTTGTTTTCGAATACCTAGTACTTACACATATAAAGAACATTAAATTCTAACACTTAGATTCCTTGAGATTCTTTTCATGTCTAATATGATGATACTCTGGAGTAACTTCAATAAATCATTTCGTATTTATTGTTACTGAAGGATTCACAGTCCCCCACATATATGAACATTTAAAAGGGCTACAGAACCTACCTTGGCCTACTATGAGCACTTTGGGCTCGCACACGTTGATGCAGTGCGCCAAAGATTTTGATCGTAAGTTATGGTTGATGAACGCCTGCTGGACGCCAATCTTTTGAAGGCCTGTAATAACAATATCAAATAGCTTGAGTATAAGGTGTTTCAAACACGGAAGTACGCTTACAACTGACCACTAGGGGTTTTGATAAAAGCGGAAATTGGTTCCATATTCTTATGGATTATGTGCCTGCTTTTTAAACAAGTGAAAGTTGTAACATTCCACCATTCAAGCTGAAAATATTACCATATAATTCCCATCCCCAGTTTGCTGATATTCCTAGTCCGCAGGACTTAAGTAAACCCATTATGTATATCACATCTATATATATATATACCTATGTAAGTCCAGATAAGATCCGGTTGGTTGAACATCATTACGGCCACCACGTCCCCCACTTTAAGCCCCATATCCAGTGCCGCACGTGCTACCTGATTAGCTTTCTCCTCGACCTGTCGGTAAGTGTAGGAATTCTCTTGGAACACTAAGAAGACTTTGTTCGGGTACAAGGCGACGGTTCTGTCAAAGTAATCTGCCAATGTTTTCTTGCTTTTTGCCGCCGATTTGAATTCATTTACGCTCGCCATAGCCTTGCGTAGGTAGAACAAATCGTAACGTAGCCACGGCGCAAAGATTTTTATTCCTAAATATATCGTGCCGGAAAGGGCGGCGAGTATTCCCGTTGCTATCAGAAACATCTTGTCTGCTGAAAGAGGAAAACAGTAATAAGATAAGCAATCAATCATAAGCTTAGAAATGGTATATGATTACATACGTATGAGCATCGGGATATTCTGAAATCGATTGCAATATTTTTGTCCATACAGCACAGTATGCAAGGTTAATCACTTCGGGAATCGTCAGTCATTTTAAGGCGGTGGTCTTCATAAAGTGGCTGGTGACAACTTAATTGGAAAACATGCGGGAGGCCAGTTTCATACTAATGAAAATAATTTTAGTAAATTGTCTTCCCCGATAATGCAACAACACAAGAAGATCCGTGACACCAGCTTTCTGGCAAACACATTTGACTGTCCCGGTTAGACATTGATGAACAAAAACTACTAAGGCGGTATTTTCCACGGATTCTGTCGGAAATTTACAGTCTGTTGCTTCAGCCGGAGTAAATAATATACGAGCAATGGTGAAGCGTGGAAAGTGGTTAAGATACTCTTGTCATACACAGTCACTTTGGTTACTAATATTGACACGTATATCAATTTGAATTCAAATCGCTTTCTTCAATGATATACACTGCTACATTTGGCACGGATTTAAGTCTCTTTGGCGATGGACTCTGTTGACTGTCTTTGATGTCCCTAAAACGTCAGTTTTTCTGGTGGACTGTTTTTCTATTAATCTTTTCACGTGTAATTTCAATTAACCTCAAAAAGGTGTGTATCATTTAACCGTCGAAATTTTGGGTTTATCTGTTTTACCTAATGTCTCCAGTAATTTTTTACAATGCGGAGAAGTCAATGGATCATGTCTACATGTCGTGACTTGGTCCCGACTCAACCTTCATGGATATGTTTGTGTGTCAAAATAGTGGACCAAAAAGGATGTCAGACTGTCGTGTCCAGGTAAAGACATTGCATTATGGCGACCCCTATATGACATTGACTGTAACAAGAATTTTGAAGCCGACAATAACGCCGAAAAAGGCATCAATTTTTGCTGGTTTTCAGAATGTTTGTACGCGTTTTATGCAGTAACATAATCATTCCAAAAAAGGTCGGGATATGTTGTTACAAAACAGGTCGAAATAGTAAGCTGTTATATTGTACCAGTACTTTAATCCGAGACATTTCACGTTTTCCAGAGGTCACAAAACAGTGACGCTACATTTTAAAAGTTATGCGACGAGCATCAAATAGCAACAATGTCTATATCTCTACACACCCAGCGTAACTCAGAACAAATCGTTTTGCTCTGGTGAACCCGTTTCACTGATATCACCACCGAAGTACTCTGTCGGTAGCCATTTCAGCGAGTACCCGGAAACTTAACGAATTGGTTAAGAAGAATGTCTAAATGAGAAACATCAATGATTTATATTCAAAATTCAGATTTCCTAAAATTCTTCATCGTACATTTCACTCTATATTTGTACGAAAAATATCAGCGGATTCATAAAACTACCGGTCATTTTTCTTAAACTGACTAGGCTTTGTGGCTATGTACGTAGCCAACGACCTGGCAGCCGCAGCACATGATTTAACGTGACGGTTGCAATTTCATCGAGTACCTGGAAGCTTGTTGAATCAGTTACGACGATTGTCGAAACACCAATAATTATGCATTGCACATTTCATTTTTTTTTCTGTATGTAAAAATATTACTGGATTAATAACACTACCTTTCACTTGTATCGTAAACTGACTAAGCTTTGTGCCTATGTAACATTGTTTACCGACAGCCGACGACCTGATACCAGCGACATATGAGCGAATGTCACATGTAAATGTGTATAACCCGTTGTCGTCCGCACGCGTGTTATCTCTTATTACATCGCATACGTTTGCATTTTTTTTACATTTTAAAAACCCGTGTAAATGTCACCGGGTAATCCTTTCGAGCGGATGATGTGGTTTTCTGTTTGTATACAGAAGGAAAATGTCGGCAGGAGCACATACACTTGTGCAGGCTGAATGTTTGTGATCATAATGTTCTAGTTCGCTGGCTTGATAATCTACTTACTTGGATTTCGAGGTTATATGGCCTCCTTGCACACAAGTACATATGGTCCTACGACTGTACAGCTGGGTGTCACTTTGGTTCTGTACACTTTGCCTGATTCTACACGTCTTAGGGCGTTTCAAGGCCTCCGGGACTAGCTCTGGCTGATGTTTGTAGTGTATACCTACACAGAGCCTAAAACCAGTGGGGCATGTCGCTAAGCCCATTTCAAATGAACCGGTCGATAGTTTACAAAATAAAACACCTTTTGTCGCGACTACATGAGATAACCTCTTATCGTAAAGCTATATATGTACACCATTAGCTAAGGGTACATAAAGAAATATTTAATTCAATGTTAAACGTTGACATGTGTTGTTTGTTAATCGTTAGCGCGTGACCTGGATAATTTGACGTGGTAAGGTCAAGTTAAGACAAGTAGTAATTACAACTAAGACCGTCCGGGAAGTAACATATTGATACTTTGGTGTAATCAGCTATTTAGGACTATCTGTATTTTTCTTATATAAATTCTTTTACGAGATATCGTTTACGCTCGTGTAGATAAGATTTAAAAAGAAATTTGTTTACGTTTTATAATTAAAGACTTATTTTTTTTAAATTGTGACAACTCTAAAAGAAATAGGGGTATTGTACTTCTATCATGGAATATTAACAGAGAAAAGTAGAAAAACACCAGAAGCTTTATTATGTTCTTATCCTAGGTGATAATTTTGACTTGGTTAGAGTTGAAAATGTTATCCTTTTTTCATTTCAACTAATTTTATTAACATATGGTATGGTCAAATGGTTGAATAACAGACAAAGCCTATATAAACTCTCTCCACGGATGGTTAATGGAGTATAACAATACTAATATATTGATTTAGTAACTTAAGTAAGACATTAGATTAACAAAAAAAAAAAAAAACAAACAAACAAACAAACAAAGAATTGAAAAAATGATTAACAATAAACATAACGATCATCTAACATATGTACACAACACAATCAAGGGAGGTAACTCACAACTTACAACTTCTAACATATAAACACACACCGTCATTCACACTCTTACACACAGACACAGGTATGGACAACATCTACACTATCATTATTGATTACATTTATGATATAGTGTACAATGAATAGGAACAGATAATTGTAGATTTACCAACAGTCCACATCGTGCAATTAATGGACTGGTCACTACTACCACACAACTATTTAAGTCTGACAATATAAGATCAATTAGACATAATGTACACTAAGTGTAAGCATTTTAATAGAAAGGTATATCAGTAGTCAATTTAAAGAGAAAACAAGATCCTTATATATATATATTAGTGCTCAACCAGATTCATATACCAAAGTCGAATAAAAAATAAAGTTTTTTATAACAGTGTTTATAAAAAAAATTTGTAATGTCCTTTCACCAAACCATGGGAAATGAGCCGATCTTGTGTCATGGATGTGTCCTTGGGCAGATTACCTTAATTACTCTGTATGGCATGCTATGGACCTCCCGTATGTTGTTCCGTGATGTAGTCACCATGATACCCTCCACGAATGGAGTATGATTGTTCACGGGGCGATAAACCCAGTAAACAAACTCTGATTCATTACTACGCTATGCCTGTATGCCGCGACCTCCAACAAGATGTCGGGTATACAGATTTTAAATGTTAGACAATGTATTTCTGTTGTGCTTTGCGGTAAGGTGGGTTATGATTATGAAATAGATAACGTTATAAAAAAATCTATTTTGTGCCACAGTCTTTTTATTGAGGATATGACATGTAGTGTAAGCGAAACAATGTCATATATGTGATAAACTCCTAAAATCTTCGTTTTCTCTTTCTCATCGTATAAAGTGATCATCGCCAAGGTTACAAGGTTAAACGTTAAGAACAGACGTTTTCTTTGATAATTTCTACAGACACATCAAACAATGTTACTTATATTTGGGACATTAACGGCAGATGTTTTTTTGTTCTCTCCTTCGTTATAACCTACTCAATCCCACACACTTAATGTACCAAGGTCTGAAATTAAAATTCTGAAAGCAATTACTAGCAACCTGTATCACTTATCATTGTCAAACGTAATATGAAAGAACGAACAGAGAAAAAAACTGACACCAAGTTCCATTTACCACGCATTCACATATCACGTAGAAAATTTAAAGAAGACTTGTTTATTTTCTTGTAAACGTTCTTATATATTGTCGGTGTTTTTTTACTGTGAATTCATTTTCTGTGTCAGTAGGTGCATTTTTAGCAATATTTTTCAAAAACTTTTTTGTGGTCAGTTGTCAATGTTTGTTGGTCAAATTTTATAAATAGCCGCTCCTCCACTAGGCTTGGTAATAAAGATGGAAGAATCCGTTCTGCCAGATCTTGATGGCTCATTTGCATAAAATCTGTCCTTGACCTGCTGGAGAAACTTTTGAACTTGACTGGATGGCACCATTGAAACAACGCATCCTCCCCAACCAGCTCCAGTCAAGCGTGATCCCAGGGCACCGGCGTGCCTGCCAAAATATATATAGTGAATACATTCAGTTTCACAAAGCAATATCTCATCACATTTGTCATTCCTTACATTCATTTCGACCTATATCGACTTCTCAGACATTTCTAAAATTATTGTACACAAAACTGATGCCATGCAGCTTAATAAACGATTATCTTGAGCATGATCGGAGGTGTTTGTGGTTGTAAGGGACGACAACTCTGAGTAGAGATCAGTTTTTATCAGTTGACCAGTGTGATTTTTGTATCAATATTTTCTACTGAATTGCGTCCTGACATATTTGTTTAAATGAATATGATATATAATGCACTGTTATCTAGTGCTGGCAGGTCATACACGGGCTATAAGATATTATTGGAAATACACATTAGTGTGTAGACAGGAAATACACATTAGTGTGGAGACAGGAAATACACATTAGTGTGGAGACTGGAAATACACATTAGTGTGGAGACAGGAAATACACATTAGTGTGGAGACAGGAAAATACACATTAGTGTGGAGACTGGAAATACACATTAGTGTGGAGACAGGAAAATACACATTAGTGTGGAGACTGGAAATACACATTGGTGTGGAGACTGGAAATACACAGTAGTGTTGAGACTGGAAATACACAGTAGTGTTGAGACTGGAAATACACATTAGTGTTGAAATTGGAAAATACACAAAAGTGTGGAGATTGGAAAATACACACATTAGTATGAATACTGGAAATACACATTAGTGTTTAGACTGGAAATACACATTAGTGTGGAGATTGGAAAATACACATTAGTGTGGAGACTGGAAATACACATTGGTGTGAAGACTAGAAATACACATTGGTGTGAAGACTGGAAATACACATTAGTGTGGAGACTGGAAATACACATTAGTTTGGAGACTGGAAATACACAAAAGTGTGGAGACTGGAAATATACATTGGTGTGAAGACTAGAAATACACATTTATGTGGAGACTGGAAATACACATTGGTATGAAGACTGGAAATACACATTAGTGTGGAGACAGGAAATACACATTAGTGTGGAGACTGGAAATACACATTAGTGTTGAGACAGGAAAATACACATTTTGTGTTGAGACTGGAAATACACATTAGTATAGAGACTGGAAATTCACATTAGTGTGGGGACTGGAAATACACATTAGTGTGGAGACTGGAAATACACATTAGTGTTGAGACTGGAAATACACATTAGTGTGGAGACAGGAAAATACACATTAGTGTGGAGACTGGAAATACACATTAGTGTTGAGACTGGAAATACACATTAGTGTGGAGATTGGGAAATACACATTGTTGTGAAGACTGGAAATACACATTAGCGTGGAGACTGGAAATACACATTAGTGTGGAGACTGGAAATACACATTAGTGTGGAGACTGGAAATACACAAAAGTGTGGAGATTGGAAAATACACACATTAGCATGAAGACTGGAAATACACATTTATGTGGAGACTGGAAATACACATTAGTGTGGAGACTGGAAATACACATTAGTGTGGAGACAGGAAATACACATTAGTGTGGAGACTGGAAATACACATTAGTGTGGAGACTGGAAATACACATTAGTGTGGAGATTGGAAATACACATTAGTGTGGAGACTGGAAATACACATTAGTGTGGAGATTGGAAATACACATTAGTGTGGAGATTGGAAATACACATTAGTGTGGAGACAGGAAAATACACATTAGTATGAAGACTGGAAATACACATTAATGTTTAGACTGGAAATATACATTAGTGTGGAGACTGGAAATACACATTAGTATGGAGACTGGAAATACACATTGGTATGGAGACTGGAAATACACATTAGTGTGGAGACTGGAAATACACATTGGTGTGAAGACTAGAAATACACATTAGTGTGGAGACTTGAAATACACATTAGTGTGGAGATTGGAAAATACACATTGGTGTGATGACTGGAAATACACATTAGTGTGGAGACTTGAAATACACATTAGTGTGAAGACTAGAAATACACATTGGTGTGGAGACTGGAAATACACATTAGTGTGGGGACTGGAAATACACAAAAGTGTGGAGACTGGAAATACACATTGGTGTGAAGACTAGAAATACACATTAGTATGAAGACTGGAAATACACATTAATGTGGAGACTAGAAATACACATTGGTGTGAAGACTGGAAATACACATTTATGTGGAGACTGGAAATACACATTAGTATGAAGACTGGAAATACACATTAATGTTTAGACTGGAAATACACATTAGTGTGGAGACTGGAAATACACATTAGTGTGGAGACTGGAAATACACATTGGTGTGAAGACTAGAAATACACATTGGTGTGGAGATTGGAAAATACACATTGGTGTGATGACTGGAAATACACATTAGCGTGGAGACTTGAAATACACATTAGTGTGAAGACTAGAAATACACATTGGTGTGGAGACTGGAAATACACATTAGTGTGGGGACTGGAAATACACAAAAGTGTGGAGACTGGAAATACACATTGGTGTGAAGACTAGAAATACACATTAGTGTGGAGACTGGAAATACACATTAGTGTGGGGACTGGAAATATACATTAGTGTGGAGACTAGAAATACACATTGGTGTGGGGACTGGAAATACACATTAGTATGGAGACTAGAAATACACGAAAGTGTGGAGATTGGAAAATACACACATTAGTGTGGAGATTGGAAATACACATTAGTGTTGAGACTGGAAATACACATTAGTTTCGAGACTGGAAATACATACATATTAGTGTGGAGACTGGAAAAACACATTAGTGTGGAGGTGGGAAATAACATTAGTGTGAAACTGGAAACACACATTAGTGTGGAGACTTCAAATACACAGTAGTGTTGAGATTGGAAATACACATTAGTTTGGAGACTGGAAATACACATTAGTGTTGAGACTTGAAATACACATTAGTTTGGAGACTGGAAATACACATTAGTGTGGAGACTGGAAATACACAGTAGTGTGGGAACTGGAAATACACATTAGTGTGGAGACTGGAAATACACATTAGTGTGGAGATTGGAAATACACATTAGTGTGGAGGTGGGAAATAACATTAGTGTGAAACTGGAAACACACATTAGTGTGGAGACTGGAAATACACAGTAGTGTTGAGATTGGAAATACACATTAGTGTGAAGACTAGAAATACATATTAGTATGGAAACTGGAAATACACAAAAGTGTGGAGATTGGAAATACACACTAATGTGGAGACAAAGGTGCTATCCAAAAAGTTCATACGTACATGCATGTTTGGACAAGAGTGTTGAGCTCTTCACTGCTGCAGTCAAATAAATGGTCACAACTCCAGTGACTCGCTGACATTAAATCGCCCATCTGTTGTAGACAATTAGGGTCTTTACTTTCACAGATACGCTGGAACTGGTAGACCCTCTCTGTCTCACTGTACACGTGTACTGCCCGGTCGTGTAGTTGAAAGACGGTCTCTGAAATATTTGTTTATGACATCAATCGTAACCAACTTTCGCCAGGATAAAGGTTATGTTAAGCAGCAAAATTCATCGAACACGTAGCTGAATAGAAAACAGACTGCATTCGAAAATCAAAGCGATGTAACAAGTGCAAAAAAGATGAAGATAGAACGACAGCTACACAAAACATTCTTTGTGCTTTCTACAAGACATGTTCCGCATCTGGTTTGTTGCTATAAGTTCGACTCAGTTTAGTACCAATTCACTAAAAGTCGTTCTTTTATCGTCATATTTCACTCTTTGTGAGATCATTCTCCAAATTGGGAACCCAAAACAACAAAGCCTAAAACTAGAAGGTTGTTCGAACCTTTTTACACAGCATTTCAGAAATGGCACTTTGTCCTTTGCTTTATCAAACCTGTATCAGTTTTAATGGTTTCGTTGAAAACTCTGCTGAAAATATGTACCATTTTCAGTAAAGGCTATCAAGGAAGTTGTGGATAGCTCATCCTCTGTCACTCCTAATACCTCGCAAATTTCAAGCTTTGTGTAAGCCTCTGTATGAAGCATTTCCTTGGCAACGAGTAATATATCCTTGAGGGCAAGGTCAAGTTTCTCTTGTACATCTCGCAGAGTTGTCACGTGACGCCAATCTAAACCTTTTTTCTTGGCAATAACCTGTCATTCAGAATAGGAAATAAACTTATTTAAGTCCTTTAGTATTAAGTGAATATTGATAAAAGACCAATTTTGTAACTGCTTTTTAATATTTCATTGATATATGGAAGTTTGAAAGCACGCAACGTTATAGAGGTACTGGTTCAAATTCTTAGAGACGCAAATGAAGAGCTGTTTTAAAGTCTTTTAATGAAATTCAATCATCCGGAATCATATATTTAGCAAAAAAAAATAGCTTGCCATCCTACTGTTCCATTGGTGTGCATTTAAAACAACCCAAAATAATGTTTACGATGGAGCTAATGTTACGGTAGATACAAAATTTATACCAAATTTTACGCATTAAAAATATCCCAACGTGCCCACCTGTGCAGCAAGGCGACATTCCACCACGCGGATGTTGAAACAGGCCGTTGTTCCCTTGTGAATTTCAGTACAACTATGTGTGATTACGAAGACAACTTCCGGTGGAAGCTCTACTGGTGTAATGCGCAATGGCGAGAACTCAATCAACTGGGCCTACATTGACAAATTTGAAGAAAGCACAGGATCTCAACATATGCCAAGACAAAATATGGAGTTATCTACAACTGATACAAAAGTGTCGCAAAATTGGCATGTTGATGTAGAAAGAACCAAAAGTGAACGTTGAATATCGTACTCCCTTAACAAGTCTAATTAACCAGGTGACGGACGGGATTGGGTGGAGGGACTGAAACTGCATTTACAGACACATGAAGGGACATTCTATACATGTATACGATATATCCAAATATACATTGATATGATATAGATACATACCAATCCCTCCTCAGCCATAAAGGCTATGGCTTGGTCCATATTCCCTCCTTCTGTTGACGTCGCCAAGAAGTTTTCACAATCAGCACTCAAGTCGACCAGAGTCCCCTTAATGATTTCAATAGTGGCAATTAAAAATGTTTTATTTTAATAAAACATTACAGAGTAGACAATACACAGAAACAAACTATTGATAAATGATACCTGATTGCGTTGTTTAAGAATTTTCAAGTGTCATACCGATCTGCTGTTCAGTAAAACTAATTCTACCGAACCCAATATGATTGACTTACTGATATGACGCGCCATGCAAGACGGTATAGAAAACATCAAGAATATACCAATATGACAACACAATCATAATTCAAACTTTAATTACACTAGGGAAAAAAATGAACAAAATAAAGATTTACAAGTAATCTCATGAAAAAGTACAAGAAGAACCAGACCAGGTGTTCCGGAAGAATAAGTGACTTCTGTTTCATCGAAGACACCTGGCATGTAAACCTTGGTCAATCCAAGTAATGTCACGTTCTCAAATAAGAACAAGGTATACAACAACGGAACCAACTAATGAGCATCAAATACGTCCAGCCTCATGTCGCACAAAGAAATAGTATGATAATCCTAAGGCAGAAATCGAAATAATGTTTTCTGATATAAGATGATTATTTTATTGCCTGGAATTCACTTAAACGATTGAATTGGTGACAAGAAATTTTAATAATACTGATGAAGAAAAAAAAACTGTCAAAATCGTTCCGGAAGTAATACTGGTTCTTTGTTCATTTCGGTATATCATCCCCAAAAATAAAAATAAATAAATAAATTACAAACAAACAAAAACAAAAAACAGAAATTTGCCATAAACATTTCATTGATGTCCTAGATATGTTTCAGGCTCCATTTAGCAGAGAGTTCATTCGCGAATTCGAAATGAGTGATGCACAAGAATTTACCTTTGGAATGGACAGCTGGTTTGCATACATAGTGACGAGAGCAGAACAGCATACCAGAGCACTAGAGCTCGACAAGCCTGCACTCGTTGGCACCGAGCCAGATACCATACAGCACATGCCGTGTAGCAGTTCACTTGGAAACCCCTGATGACGGCAGATACCCATTACACCACATAGAAAATAGTTGTACCATTCCGGATGTTTTTTGTTTATTTTTATTTCACTTTTATCACACTCGAAGTCACTGAAAAATGAATGTTTGTGGATCTCGTGTGATTTTTTGTTTTGCACAATAGATTGTGTTATCGGTTGTCATGACAAAACAATATCTGAGTACCTTCACTTGTGCACACATACAGTGATGTGTATGCTGTTATATGCAATGCTTTCCGGATCCAAAAATGGCTTCATTATCTTTGACTTGTGAGACTGCGTTTCAAGAAATTGTTGCTAATTGAAGAGAAAAAATGCAATTCTGTAAAATTTATCTGAAGTGAAAATTCAAACTGGTTGAAACAAATAAATAAAACGGAGAGGTGAAAAATTTTTAAAAAATCATAATTTTCGATATTGAAGTTACCTGAAAGCTGGGTCTGTGTTGGTAACGACGATTTTGTTGAACGTCTGATCGTGTGAGACTACAATGACGACATCTTGTTCGATCGCCATCGGTAACACTCCATAATCACTGTAGTCCACATGTTCACCTGCCATGTTTAACACACAATCATGTCATTCGTATCTAAGGCATAGGAGGAGCGTCTTTAACGAGTTTGTACATTGAACACACAAGTGAATGATACCTTCCGATGCTTAAGAGTTAGATAGAATGGAACTAAATAATTACTTTTTTTGCATCATACAGGTGCTTCCTTATTCTAGGACTTGTCGACGGACGACTGAGAAAAGTGAAAATAATTGTTACGAATTCAGAAGGGGAGATGCACATACATGAACGTTTGATAAATTTCCAAATTTCAGGTCTTTAGCGTCAAGCACATGAGTACATTCTGGACTGAGTAAATATTCACTTGATAGTATAGTAGAATATCGATATCGATATTTTGAATGGACTAAATACTTGCTGGTCATTACTAAAAATGCGATCGGCAATTTTGAAAGACTGACGACTAGGTGTTAGGATATTTGGGGTTTGAGCAATTGGTTAAAATTTAAACATCGTCAGTGTCCATTTTTGTCCAAAATCTTGCTTTGGAATTTGTACTAAGATTTTTCTCTTCTTTCTCTAGTAGATAGTCAATTAAGATATTTCAGCTGATGTTTGAAATGGTTTTTTTAAAAAAAAAAAAAAACGAGAAAATACCAAGATACTCACAAGGTCTACAAGCAAACTCAATATCGATAAAACAATGAATAAAATTCATTAACATAAAAAAGATCTTCGCGCAAAACCTTTCATGGACTATGGGACGTACGCAACCAAAAGCTTCAGGTGGCATGTACTATGCTTCTTCGACAATGTGTACATCTTTTTCAATCGAATTCATTAATGTCATATTCAAAAATGGGGTCAAGATTGGCAATATGGAAACAGTAAAGCAACTTCATACAGTGCAAAAATATTCTTTCCAAAGAAATCATTAACGACGACAAAACTTTGTTCTCCATTCACCTGCATCTCTCGAAACTCTATCAAAATCACCTTTTCCGGTTTAATTCAGATATCGTGATAAAAGATTAACTTTTAGAAGTCTATAGCTTTACACTTTGGCTTACCCTTACCAGTATTTCCACTAGAAGGATTCAATAATAACTCGCTAATTCTTAGTTATAAGCCTTAGCGTCGCACCTTGTGTCGATCATTGTATATATAAATTAATGACCTTTTTATCAAACACAGCAAGATTAAGAATTTTTTGGGGTTCTGCTTAAATCTGGAGGCTGAGAGCCCTTGAATTACCTTTAGTCACCATTTTCGTTGGCAATTAAATCCTTATTAAGCCATACATTTATTTCTCCAAATCGACATGTTTGTGGTATTGCTGTGTGTTACAATGTAAAACTTTGTGATACTGACCTGTCAAATGTTTGGACGCCTACAAAACACATTCGTTACACAAGGAATCATACCTATGATATTGACGCGGCCTGGAGCTCGGCCAAAAAATTTGGGAGGATGACCAAATCTGTCAATGAACGTCTTGGTGAGGCTGTCATATCTGTTGAAATTCATATGTCGAATCAAACGTTTGAAATTGAAAAGTAAGTTTATGATTAGATGTTTTATAAAAAGTCGCCGAGCAAGATATACTGTACTGATGACAAGTAGAATCTTAAATGTCCGAAAGAAAGAATATCTTATAGAATCCATTGCATTTATTGAAATGCTTTCAATGGACTATGCTTTATTTATTAATTCATTATTTGTTTGCCGTCCCGTGAACGGTCATTGCAATTTTAAGACCGGGTCTCCTGGTAGCAGATATATGTGGTGGCTCCATCACTAAAAAGTCTTCTTGAGGCCCACCGACTGCTCTCAAATTGGGGCAAAGTTTAAATTGAGGTAAATCATCTTCCCAAAAGAACAGAAAACGACAGCACGAAGATCTGAGAAACATTTACAGACCAGGAAACTGAAGAGATTGAACGACACATTTCGAAACTTCACATAAAATCCGGTAAATGACTTACTGCGCTATCGCGGTCCCAGATATCAGATAGTCGGATTTTACTGATGGAATGAGTATGTGATTAGATTAACCGATCGTATAACAAATGCTGACGAGTCCTATAATACCTGTATCACTGGCTTATTGTGTTATACTGTGGATTCATTTATTTTCGTTGGGTTCAATTTTCGTTGTTTCTACAAATTAGACAGTTTCGTGGACTCATAAATTCGTGGATTTTTGATTCTGTGGGAAAAAAATAAAAACGTTAGAATTTTCTCTTTTTGCTTCCAGTCGAATTTTTTTCTGTTTGTATTAAGGCTATGTTCACAGGAATTAACACTAATGACAAGAATAAAAGAACGTTTTTTTTCAAGATGGCGTCCTGTGTTTTTATAACGCTGTTTACAACAGTCTCGCATTAATATCAAACCACAAATCAGTATATATCCTGGCGTGTAATCAATCGGTAATTATCAGAAACAATTGTTTTCAGTGGATAAACATTGTGTGCTGATCAGTCGGTGTACCGCAGTCATATGAAAACACCACGCGTATCGATGGGACCATGTGTGTAAACAGGTGTGTAAACAAGATCTGCATTATTAATAATTATTGTGAACCTGTAGTCGGATAGAAATACGGATCCAATCTTCAATCGACAGGATGGTCCGATCAAGCCTAGTGTCCACAGTGTCGCTAACGACTGCGATCCCATCATACTTAGCATCACAATGGGTACTTACCCTTTGTTATGTTTAATAATATATAATTATATATCGTTGACACCAATTTAGCGTATCCATGTCGAGCCTCAGACTACCCGACTCCCGACTAATTACGGGGCTTCTGTCATTACCGGTGGACGTTTCCGGTGTCGGCAAAGATTACTTGGTCAAATTTCAAAATTACTTTAGTAAGTAGTTCATATTTCGTTGTGTTTTTAAATTCGTGGATTTGCTCATCCACGAAAACAACGAAAATTGGACCCCCACGAAATAAAATGAATCCACAGTAGTTTAAGTTACAATCACTTTTCAGAGAATCAATAAACCAACAACAAACTGTTGTGCTGTTTGACATTGAGAATATTTATCACAAGGACATAATCTCCCACCCCGTTTCCCCTCTTGTTTAGTTATACCTGTTGGTATGACCCCCAACGTGTTATCGGTGACGTCAGATCTACAAACACAGTTCTCGGATCAACAATATGTCAAATCCTCTTATCAGCAACCTACTTTTGAAACGAACGTGCTATGATTTGTGATATAACACACAATATTTTATATGTACCTTTTAAGCTGTGTGTCTGGAATTTTCAATACCGGTGCTGTGTCGGTCATCTTTCTTGATCATGTGGGATTTTGATCCTACTTGCCAAGGAGAATTTTGTAACAGTAATGCGATGAAACAAATCCGGGCTGGCTGAGTAAGTTACTTGCTTGAGGCAAACAGATCTGCACTGGGCAGTTTAAACACAGATGTGACGCAGATTACCTTCAGTAACAAATAAGAAAGGGATCAGCATCGCAGTATATACGCCGACTAGAACACTAAGGTGCCGGCAGAACGATTCATGAAGGTGGAAAACAGTAACCAACAAGCTAGAGCGACCCATTGACTGTTAGAAATTTAGAAAAGAAACACTAGCAGAAAACACATTGAATTAACGTAAACGCTCAATGAAGATTTGCTGAAATGTGTTGATCTAAAACTTTGTGTAGCATTCGTGATTTCTTCCTTGGGTTAAATCGTTAGGATTAACTAAAGGTGTAAGTTTTAAGTTCATCATCTGTCTGAAAACACAAAACAGAACAATGTTAAACAAAGAAACCAACACTGAATTTAGAATCAACTGCGGCATAATAATACTATAAATACTGCAAGTGGGAGACATGAGATATGATGTGTTACCGTGAAGGGAAGAAAATCTTTACGTAGAATCACCATGTCTCTTATATAGCCCGCATACGGTGGTCAAAAGAAGGGCAGTCATAATTGGTGAATAAATATAACATTTGATAGTAGATTTTTATAATGAAAATTAAACTTTTCCTTTTAACTTCACATAAAAATGCCATTGGTGCCCAAATGGATTTTGAACGTAATTCTTGAAAATTCTCAAGAAGCACGTTTCGTATGAAAAGACTTCAGTTAAGATTGCTTGCTTAAAGAGAATAAATATCATCAGTACCGTATTTAAAAGAACACAAACTTCTATCTTTAACATTCATAAATGAAACTTGATTTAAATATATTTTGTAATCAATGGAAATGCTGATTTTGCAGGAGGATTGAAATGAATGATTTAGTCCACAATGTATCCAGTTACTCAGCACAAAAAAAACCACGTATCAAGTTTTGAGGTTGACTGGCTGTTAGTATCTCGAGTTAGGAAACAGTTGAAAAGTACAACGACTTTGTAAACAACAAAATGTTTGCACGCATCAAATATCCCGCAATATAGTGCAATCTTACATTCATTTTGTTCATTCAAACATTTTATATAAAGAGCAATTCAAAAGGATTGGACACATTGTTTTAATATTTACAATGAGTAAAGATAATACATATTTCCGCTGAAGTTTTTATTCAGTTTGACACAAATCAAAAGGCACTGGAAAGAATGCTGTGCGTAGAAAACATTGAACTGTAAAAACATATTGTTTTCATTGCCTTTATTGAAGCACAAAAAGATTGTCGACAAAATCCCCGCAGTGTCAATTAAATGCCTTGAAATATAACAAGTCTTATATACAAATATATTACCGAGACATACACAAAAGCATGATGAAATACAGTAATGAAGGTTAAAAGCTCTTCAATTAAAAATTTACCAATATTCCCTTCCAAACTATATATATAATGACACGGTAACGAAACAAAAGAATAATTAGTTTCAAAGTACATAAAATGTTTCCGTTGTTTTAATAAATAAATTACACTAAGATTACTAGATTGAGGAACAATGAAATCCTGTATGTAGTTCGCGGATAATGAAATAGATACCATATCCGCTTTTTATAACATTATTACTGCAAATAGACGAATGACATCTACTTTTCAAAGATCTACAATTATGTCAAATTGGTTTTAAAGGGACCCATCGATATCAGATATTATTTACCAATGTTCAAATACTTAGATAGAACAAAAGGTACGGGTGATATTTCCAAATTGAATTTCCTACAGTATTCTATAAGATAATTGTATAAGGAATAGAATTTAAAAATAAAAATTTGATAAAATGTATTAATTCTAAAAATGACTAATATGTTCAACATATTGTTAAGTACTTTTCATAGGACAAGTTATGACAGATCATAAATTAATATTTCTTACTATTAATTCTTACTGCAATTTCTATAAGATAATTGTAGAGGAGATGAGTGATTTTATGTAGATGAAAAACATAACATATTTGCCTTTCAAAAAGTGCTTTCGATGAGCAATTGCAGGAGGGATAAATGATGTCAATATATACGATGCTCGTTCTAACAGAAATGGTAAGCACTTTCAACAAAAGAACTGTAGAGATAGTGAATAATTATAATGCAGATGAGAAATAGATATTTAAAAGTGTCTTCATTAATAACAAACATATTTCACAAGCTTGTCTAATATTTTAATATTTTTTTTCACAAGCGTGCAGCACGAGTGAAAGATACGAACTATATTAGACACACAGGTAAAATATATGAAAACGAGGATGCTGACTATGTTTTTCATATTTATAAGAAAATGTTACTAATTTATGTCGTTCGGTTGGGGATTAGATTTGATCACTAATAAAGTAATTTGTGTTGCATTGTTTGCTGATTTTCATGGAAATGAACGTTTACCATGGAATTAAAGGTCACATGTAAAAAGTCCCTTCAGATGTGTGGTTTTGTGTTTTTAGTACTGGACTTATGATTTGTCAATTTTATAAGATGATGTCTTTTTATTGGTGTAAGTGTGCAAAAGTGTTATTGTTCACTAGCAACAATTTTCATTTTAATAATTGTAAATGTAATTTAAAAACAAAGGATGACCTGCATCAGATCCCTGCAGAATATCAACAGATTAAAAAGACAAAATAATTATTCCATTACGATTTCAGAATCAATTTGATAAAAATACCGATCAATCGGCAAACTGCCGTATGATCCGGAGGAACACTGAACGATATTTAAATGATATCAATGTAACTGCAAAATAGGGGCCGCGGTTGCCAAGTGGTTAAGGCGTCTGACCGTCTTAAATCCACCTCTTGTTCACGGGATCGAGTTTACGTAGGGCAGGTCAGTGGTTTAACTCTGGCTTTCCCCCTCCACCCAAACCTGGCACATCCTTAAATTACGCTATTGTTAAAAAGATGTAAAGCAGCAATGAACCAAACAAACCTGCAAAATTAGGTCAGCATACACGTCATTAAAGGCAGAATATTATGAAGGAAGTTGGAACGTCATTATCAAAAGATGGAACACTCGAACAAAATTTGTAAACGAGACGATATTGATCTTATTGTAGTTCCTGAAGCTCCATTATCCGAGCCATTCAATAAAAATCAAGATCTAGTTAAGTACCAGCCGTGTTTTTTTAACTGCAACATCATTTCATTACTTGGTACATGTAATTAATTCAGTTAAAACTGCACTACAATTAGTACTGATATAGTTGTTAGTATCTTAGCTTTTTCACACGACCATAACAAATGAAATGTAAATAACGTTTTATAGATAAGTAAAATATGATGATGAGTAAAATACTTTAACATGACAATATACCTCCGCATCTTTTTTTCGTATTTCCCTCGAATTTTTACACTGTAACTAGTGCCTTCTCTTCTGCTTCATCAACATCACTCGCCCAATAAATTTTTTTCTCAGTAACTCGCCCACACATTACATACGTAATGTGAATTACATTCTCATCATCATCATCATCATCATCATCACCATCATGATCATCATCATCATCAGCAGCAGCAGCAGCAGCAGCAGCATTAGCAGTAGCAGCAGCAACAGTATTATATCATCACCATCATCATCATTCACGCCATCATCATCGTCATCATCTCCATCATCATCAACCACGTCATCAACATCATCATTATCATCACCATCGTCATCTTAGCCATCATCATCATCACCATCATCATCATTCACGCCATCATCATCGTCATCATCACCATGATCATCATTTGCTTACATAAATATATATATATATATAACCTCAAACTTAACTTGTTTAATTTAGTAAAGACCACTTGTCACATACTTTTACTTTTACACAGAGAGACAGAACAAACAGAACATAGAACCTAACTGATATCTTAGAAATTTCTTGTAAAATTTGCCTTATATTTCAAGGCCTTGGGAAAAAATACACATAAACAAAACAAACAAAAAGCAAAACATTACTATAGAACAACTAGCGTTTTTGCATTTCTTCCATTCATACTCAAAGGATTATCTTGCACTAACCTCGTTACTAATTGCTATATACTTATGAATAGTTTAATGGTCTTTTATTGTGTTAATTAGTGCATTTATATTGAAGGAGCTGTAAAGACATCGTATTTTTTTTAGATGTATCGTTTTATAATGATGAGAATTCCATTATCAATCCTGCTATTTATTATATTTTGTGCTAGAAATCCAAAAAGATATGGGTCTTCACTGAATTAAAAGGGAATAACAAGTGCGTCTGATAAAAATTCAAAACTATGAAGAACATTTTGAACATCTAGGCATTCTCATAAAATATGTATAATCGTTTCAGTCTCAGAATTACAAAGTATACATAGAGGAGATATAACTTAAGAAGTTTTAAATTCAAGGAATCTGTACTCAGATTACGAGGATTCTGTACTGCAACTGTTGATGTTTTGTGTTTTCGTGATAGCAAATGGAAGATTAAGATATGATGCCAAATGAAATAATTCACTCCATTTTTCTGTCCGTTTTGTGCTATTTTGTTCTAAAGAAGAATGTTATAGAAGTATTTAGAACCTCTTGACTTCCTTAAAATACTTCCAAGTGTATGGGGAAAACCGGGTATGTAATTTTTTCACTAGGAAAAACTGCATTAGGATTTGAATTCTTTACTGCAGAAAGAATACAATGATATTGGAGAAAATTGGTCTCTATTTAATATGCTTGAGACAATTCATTGACAGTATAGAATGTACCAGATTGGTAATCTTTTATCGGGTCATTTGTAATTACACTCCTTTTTCATACCAATCTTTCGTAAAAATGATTTTCTATCAATAATGATTTTATTATTGCTTTCAAATAATCTGCACTCTGATTTCATTTGCAGCATGCAAATTCTTACAAGCTTTAAAAACTTCAACCCCGAACCTATTTTTTCATTTACTTTGGCCAATTTTTATATCAATCAGTTCCACAATTAACCAACAAATTTATGTTCCCATATGCTTTTTTTTTTAAATTGGATGTACTTTGGAAAACTCTTATCCAACCTAATCTATAAAGCCTTAATATTTATTCATTTTAGTCCACCATCAATGTAGTGTTGAATTACTATATCCCTTTTAACTTTATCTCTTTTACAAAAACTTATACACTATGAAGTTAACTGTGGAAAGAAAATTTTCATTTGAATTTGGCAGCAAGATAAACAAATGATTAAACAGAAATTACTACCGATTTAATCATATCGATTTTACCAATTAAGGTCAATATTCTTCTATTCCATGTTCTGATGAGCGATTTAAATTCAATCAGTCTCTTATCAAAATTCAACATGGTTTTCTCGTGCAAATTGAAACATTCTTTTTTAATCCTGATATCTTTGCATAAGAGGTAAGTTCTTTAATTAACTCTCGAAGTGACCTTTCTGTACCGTCTAATGCAAGTGACGTATCATCCGCATATTGAGACAGACGTATCGGATAGTTGTCAATATCAATATCCTTAATTTTATCATTAATTCTAATTTATTTATTAGCAAATTCTACATGAGTTTCTATTATAACATTAAATAACATGATTTCGCTTATACTTATCCCCCAGGGGCCCTGGTTATTTGACGATAGTAATTGTGTTTCAGCCATAGTTGTTGATCAAGAACAGGTATAAGAGGACCATCCCAGAGTTAAGAAGAAGAGAAAGAGCGATTTGAGAGAATGGGTGATAAATAAAAGACATTACTACAGTGGTCATTCTACAGAGACTACCATCGACAGCATATGTTTGTTGCTTTTTTTCATCACTTCACGCATATCATACATATCAAAGCTGAACAGGAAGTAAACATCAAGACACCAAAAGTAGCATTATAGCTGTTGGAGGTAAAACACTGTGATGAATTCCGGAATCTTACACTGATTTTTCTCACAAATATCATACATTAAACAAATAAGAATACAAGAACTCTATATTAAAGCAAGATTTCCCAATCTAATAGTAGAATATTATAGAATTAGAATATTAAAAGACGACTCTGTATGGATACATACTTACTGTGATAAAAGAAATCTAGATCCAAAAAAGTTATACAAGTCATTCGCTGCTAAATTTCCAGAGAAATGACACACACAAGAAAAACTATTTCCAATAGAAAAAATACCAAAGGCCGTTACCGATCATAACTGCTAAATTATGTAAATGACTTTTTCACTCACAATTGGAATTATCCAAAAGGCATTTGTTTGTGAGAGGCATACAAAAAAGTATTCTCTTCTTGTCATATGTCAAAATAGCAAAGAATTTACCATCCGAATTATAAGAGTTCGTTACACACTGAAGTTTATATGCGTCTTTGAGAATATTTTGGTTAGCCTTCGTGAGATCTTCAAAGATTGTGTAGCCTGTCTTCTTCAATTTCGTTCGGGCTTTGATGATCTCACGGCCGGTGTGTAAACTTCACGATGATGTTTCTTGGTCTTTCCCTATTGAACTTTCCAAGATGATGGACAATGTCTATATCAGCACTAGTAAGCTGAACATCCACTTTCGTAGACACAAACTTCGCAATCCTCAACACTTTCGGAATCCGACTTTTCTTCGAGTCCACGTAATCGGAGTGAGTTCTTGCGTCCATGCTGCTCAAGATAATTGTGACGAACTTCCATGGCGTCTTTGGAAAACTGCAGATCACTAACCCGTGTCTCTATAATTTCCAATAGTTTGACGAAGATGGTCTATTTCCGTTTCCAGGTCGGAAGTTCATCAATTAACTCTCTGTTCTCCTCTCTAATACTTTTATTCAGTTTCCTCACCTTCGAGTCGAAATCAGCCTTACTAGTGTAGCTAAGAGCGATGAAATCTCTTGAAGTCTATCTTCAATATTCTTGTCCACTCCTCTGGTTTTAACGCCCGGTGTTTCTCCGATGCTCTGCTTCCTGCCGGCCCTACCTTCCTCAAATATTAAACAGTGTCAAGTGTCCATATTTCAGATGATCCAGGTGGAGAGTATAGTTTCTTGGTCAGTCTGAAGCTTTCATTAACCAAGACTTGTAACTAGATATTGTATGGCAAAATAATTCATTTAAATGCACCTCGAAGCTGTTTCGTCATTCCAGGGCTCGTCAATAACATTATGGTCCTCAGGTGTTGAAATCTAGGGTGGACATGGAAAACTGAAAAACTAATGCAAAACAACTCTTCAGTCAGGATGTCATATACAGACAGAAGACATATGTTCAGTTGCAGACTAAAGTCACATGATCCGTAACAAAGACATTTTACAGAAACCAAACTTCAACATCATGTTCCCTGTATTTTTCAACCAAGAAAATCAACTGTTGTCTTGGTAATTTTCCCGGAGGTGACCTCGCGTGCCTCTACATCTAATTCTGTTCCACGATATACCAGCCTTACAGTTATCTTTGTACTGGTTTCTTTGCTAATAGAATCAATTTCAATAGTAGCCGTTCCTAATTTAGTACATCCGGTATCAGTGACAAACTGTGGTGTCTGCTGCGAAGACATGTACACATCTAGAATAGCATATTTCGATCTAGGAAGAACACTATAAACTTTCTCTGTAATGTTGGCTCCTATAGCAGCTGTTTCACCGACCCGGAGATGGACATCAAATATATCATCAACCATGTCATTGACGATTCTGCATGTCTCTTGTGAATGCTGTTCGGGATTGAATGGAACTTGCATAGCGATACCATAAGTATTTCTACACACCCGACTAGCAATGGCATTAGGTTCGTGTCCGAACAGAACAGCACCCTTGAGCACAGCCAAAGAAGCGTCAGTAGGATTAATTACCCGGATCTGAGGGAAAACCTGACGGATTTTGTCTTTAATAATCTTTGATTCCGAATACCCTCCTACCATGAGTATTGTATCTATGCCTGTCATGGGCACCATCTTGATGAGGTGTCCAACGATGTGCGAGAGTGACGGGGCAAATAGAGACTCGAATAGCTCTGCTGTGACCACAATCTTATCTCGCTTCATACTCAATTGATCTTTTAATTCGCTTTTGGCCAGTCCCTCTGCAAGATTTGTTTGATGCACCTCGGTATAAAGGTCAACTAAACAAGTGGGAATCTTTATAAGGACGCCATTCGTTTGACCGCATCTGAACGTACGTTTCTTCACTTCAAACTCAGACATAAACTCCAGCATTTCCTGTGGATATTCAATATGCGCTCGCATCATAACTGAGTCCCCCAAAACACGTAGAATCAGCTTTGAGAACTCCGAATCAACCAATGTTCCTCCCCAATATCCCCCAGATGGCTGATGAAGCTCCTGTAAGCTGCCGTCCTCCCGGATGATATGAAACGTGACATCAACTGTACCGCCTGAAATTACGTTGATGTAAACAATTAGAATGTGATATGAAATTATCCATGAAAATATAACACAGATTCATTAAACATTCATTACGGTCAAAATATCAAGCAAAAGAATAAAAACCGTTCATTTTTTGAAGAGAAAGGTTAGTGTTATTACAGATTGACTCGGAATACAAGGAATATCAGACACACACTCACACACGCTCTTTGATAATGATGATGATGATGATGATTATGCGAAACATACGCCCCTTACTAGCACCCTATGCACCGAAGTGACCATCACAGACGCCACATTTATGCATTTGATATTCGATTTCATATTTTGAGCTTTCGACTCCATTATAGAATTGTATCTGTTACCTCCAAGGTCAAGGATAATGTATTTAGTTCCTGGCCCAAAGTTGTTGAAGTGATCGGCGTTACTCGTTCCCAGTCGAGTGAGGTCCTCACAGCTTTGAGAGGTTGTGCCATGTTCATACGCAGGAACATAGCGACAGTATAATGACGCTGCCTCAGGCTCCAGAGCGAGAGTTAGCCGGTTGGCCTCAATCCCAGCCTGCGAAAGTAATTACGACAGCACAGCTTTATCAAAAATATGGACCGTAGTTCACACTTGGAAAGATTGAGAATTCTTACAACAATCGACTAAGGATGTCTAAGACAGTATAATTAAGGCTACTAAAAGTTTACTGTTTTCCCCATATTGAAATTCACGGAGATTTTTTGTCAGAAACAGACACCAACTTTAGATTTTGATTGTCGTTTTTATTTTTGTTTCAATTTTCTGGCAATCATATTCGAAACGACGATGGTAGCTCTTCTGTAAAATGGATATATTTATAACCCATATATTTGGATGATATTGATATCTGTTACCGACAGCTTGAGGCTCAAATGCAGAAAAGACATTTCTTGTAACGTGGGAAGTAAAAGGTGTCATTCAAAGGTCGAACTCTACTTGAAAATGTGCAAAAAATAAACAATTAAAAGAAACATTGTTAAATACATGTAAAATTGTCACTTAAGCATGAAAAAAAATCATCGATGCTGGTACATTTCTTGAAATGATTGAGCTGTGATATTCCACAAGGACATGTCCTAAGACCATTCCTGCCAGTCTATGTCCGATTTGGTAAGGGGGGGAACAAAAAAACACAAGAGGCCAAGCGGCCTTGATAGTCACCTGAGATAAACAATATTGATTACAAAGGTTAAAGCGTAGTTATCAATGGCCATGAAACAGAAATTGTGATACAGAATATAGTGTCAATACATGCATACCATCAAAACTTATCCTTGACTAATAATTCTTACAAAAGTATTTCCTGTGGGAAATAACCAACGCTATGCTCAAAAAGGCAATAAGATTTCTCTGCAATTTACAGTAAAAACAAAATACGTCCTCCCCAGTAGTTTGTGCCACAATATTTGTATATATATTAACAGTACCAAAATTAACGACTTCTACATTTAACTGACATATTACTATGATGACAAATATTTCTATATCAAATAGAAAGTGTTTTTACCATCTCGGCTGCTTTTCTCATGAACTGTTTCGCCTTATCGTGCCAAATGGCGGGTATCGTTACCACCCACTGCACGTGCTTTCCTTCTAGACTCAGCTGATTGTCGATTCCTTTAATACGCTCAATAGCGTGGTTTCGTAGATAACCAATCACTGCTGAGAATACAACAATGGCAGGAATGTGTTTCCCTCTGACGTCGGCAAGCATGGTATTATGTCGCAACTGTAGTCAGCGTCATCAAATACAGAAAATGTGTTTTATGAAGTTGAAACAAAATAAAAATATAACAATGATGATATTTGATAATCTTTTAAAAAATGATACTCTACATTACTGGTGCACAGTACAAGGATGTTCTTGTTACGAATACTCATCGAGGGAAGAACGTACAGATAAGACAGCGAACGATATTGTCTCTTAAATGTAAGCAACAGCAAATAACATTGATATCATTTTATATAAATTTGATATTGAAGTTAATAATTGGGTTTTGTGATCAAAGTTTCATATTCAAAGTTGTGACAATAGATAAATAATGCAAGTAATAGGTTCGAGTTAATATCATGCTTCATTTTCCCTCTTTAGTTAATATATATGACTTGCATACTGGAAAATCACATATTTTCATGGTACTCTTATTTTCGGAAAAGTTCTTTTCTATTGGCATTTTATTTCGGAAAAAAAGTTCTGACAAAATATATAACATTGAAAAGTAGCAATTTATAGATTCATTGAATACATAAAAAGAGAACCTTCATTAAAATCATTTAATTTTGCCAATATCGTTCGGCGTGTTAAACAAGCAAATAATCAATTTCATATAGAATATATATTTGATGTAAGATTCATCCTGTCGAGTCTAGAACACTATTCCAAATTTCTAAGAAATATAGTAGGTCCTAAAAAATTGAGCGAAGTCCCATAGGAAAATCATGAGTACAGGACTCAAATATAGAAGTCCCAAAACTCACTGACACTGACGGGAGAAAATGCTAATTATCATATCATTGGTTTCCTTCTAGTGTAAGATATATTACTTTCACACAGGTAAAGTATGTTGTGGACGTATAAGTGTTTTTATATTGTAATGTGCCTCTTCTTTAAAAATGCCACGTACCTCATCTGTGTATAGATTCATCTTGAAACGATGAAAGAGGAAGCATTTGGATTGATTTCCGGCCTCTGTGATTTCAGCATAGTCACGTAAAGCATCGTACCTGTTGAATTTATCAAAACAAATTCATCTCGGAACAAATCACGAGTCCGTTACCTGGATAATGTGATGATGTTTTCACACAGGGTGAAACAAATAACCATCATACTTACACAGACCTCTAATATCAGAAATTATTTCAAAAGATCATCAAGTAATTCATTTCTGAAAAAGTTGTTCTTGACATCACCACGCCGTTATGACTATTATTTTCATTATGTTAATAACAACATTAAATCTGTTTATTATTTGGTGTTTGCAACAAGTGCAATTATTGTGTACAGGATGTGTGTAATGGAGAATTGCATGGTATTAAAACTCGCTTGACAGTAATATGAACGAGTTACAAAGGGAAGACAACTCCAACATTACAAATACACACATAATCGTTTTGAAATTCTTTCTACAAACTTGATCCTTCATTCTGTAGAGTTGTTATTACGCTGCAGTTAAGGGAACAATTTTGAGGTGTTGGAGAAAAATTCATGGGAAACCCAATTTGTCATCGATAGGAAAATAACAAGAGACATGAACAACCCTCGCCGCCATTGCGTTTCAAACCCATGCTTTAGGGGAGAGAGATCTGAAGTTCACGCTCGATCACACCGATTTTACTCTCAGTACATTAGCAACCATAGCTACCGAGGTATGGATGGTGATGCACATGTGTAGGACGCATCCCTCGATCGGGGTCTTTTCTCATACTTATTCTACATCAACGTGAGGTTGATCCTACTTAAAACATCATTCTCATTTCTTTTCTCCTAATGTATGACAAACAATATTCAACTGTTCAAAAGTTTGATACGTGATGTGAGATGAAATAGTCCAGCAGGTAAAACTCCTGATATTTATAGCGGAATGTGGAAAGTAGGTATACACGTTCATTACATTGGTCACATCGCAACCATATTGACCAGTGATAATTGTTATGACCACCAAACAGGGTGGTTTTACCATTCATACGAAGTATTAAGGACATATTCATTCCACAATTTTATATTCAAACAGGATAAAGATAGTTCAGAAACTGATACGGATACAGTTACAAAAAGCCACACCTAATAATAACAAACTTTCTCGTAAGTGGTATTTTTGATGAGGTACTAACGACTATATCCAGGTAAAATATAAGAGGATTGCAGATGGCAAACATCACATTTCAAAATCAGCCATGAAAAACTGTTACATGGTTCCAATTTCCAACCAACTATCAAAAACCAGATTTTGAAATGTCAGCCTGGTCGGTCAAGTTGTTCAGTTTCTGTATAGATTCACGTTAGACATTTGCTGAAAAGCAAGATATCAGATCCGTCACTGAGACCTGTTATTCACGTATATAGAAACAATGGATTGTTCTCTCGTCGCATTCATTCTTGAAGTAAATAAAGAAAACGAAGATGAATATAGAGGGAACACACTATCGCCATCGCCATTCAACATTTTTACGTGAAAACAATAAATTTGTGACATTGTTAGACAATGCTTTATTCGGATGAATGAGTTTCAAACTTGAGCATAGATGGAAGGCTTGACATCCAAGGTTGTTGGGATAGAAAATAACAATCGCGTGTAATTTCTGTAGAGATTGAACGTAAATTAGGACATGTGAGATCCTGTAGGACCTGAATATGCAATACGGGGAGGACAAGGGCATTAAGATTTAAGACATGGTGAAAACAGTCAAACATCCAACTAGACTCCGTTGATCAGTTAAACTATCCATTAAGTGTTAACCATGAACGCCGTCACAAGACTGTTTAAAATAAATATACAAGTCTGGTTTTGATCTATAATGTGTTATCGTGTGGCAAATATTTTACCCAAATGAAACCACTCGGTGGTATTTGTCAAGCAGTACAGCAGTCGGTGCCTTTTCAGACAATCCCACGGTGTTAGTCCACATATTTGTCGATATCTTAAGACGGTCCCGAAGGTATTCATGCCGGAAGGAGAAGGCATACCCGGTGTATGTTGTACCAAAGTCAATTGCGACCACCAAAAATCGATCGATATGGTCCTCTGGCTGTAAAGCAGCAAATCGAATCGGTTGAATTAATGTCAAATAAGCACAATCTTCAAGCAAGCGCAATTTTATCAAGATCATTATCATATGGCTAGTATATAACCTTTAATAAACTTTGCTCTCGTTACGCTTCAATGTTCCTATTTTTCGAGTTTCAAATCTAGGCAACAAAGAATAAGAATATAAGGGAAAACAAGTTGGAGGCACAATGATACGGTAAATGCTTTATACAGCAATAATTTTTCACAATAATTTCATAAATGTTACCACAAAATTGAGTAAATGCTCAACGTTTATTGTTTTAACTTATGAGATAATTGGCACGCTATATGCCAGACCTGAAAGAAAAGGTTTATATATACTGACTTTTAAGTGGTCGAGGTGGTCATAATTGATTGAACAAAGTGAGGAATCAATGTCGTTTCTTCGAAAAATAAATATCCATTCAATTCAATTCAATTCATTTTATTGACTTTTGGCCTTCCGGCCCATCAGTACAATGCATATACATACAAATCATGAATATTGGCACGACACACAGTGTTACAGTGGAGAGAGTAGTATATTATTAGTATGAAAGAAGAAGACATTAATCACACCAGTTTTTAACATATGCAGCTATTTCTACGGGATACCATGGGTTACGTCCCCTTAGAGCTTATCGAGTCGTAGGCACGAGAGCCAACAGGTAGAATGGGGCCAGCCATGTATGAGTGTTTTTATCCAACTTTGTAGGTACCGTTTTACTCGGAGACCCGTACAGCCATAGTTATATAGGTTTGTGTTGTAGTGGACATAGAGGTTACACACTTAACATGTCGGACATATTTCAAACTTAAATCCGTGATAACATATCTATCCATGTTCAAAAGCATAAATAATAAAAATTGACACCTTCAATTCAATTCAACAGTATCTATTGAATGAAAACATAACAATTTATTATTTGAGTGTATATGGTCAGTTATTTGGAAGGACGCGGCAGTAAACCCCCATCTGAGAACCAATGTAGTTCAACTGGACAGGTGTAAACTCTTTTATGGGCTAATTTCTCATCGTCTGACTCTATGTCCTGTATGATTTCAAGCATTACCATAGTCAATATACGAAGAAATCATCTGATTTGGTCAGGTGTGTATGATAAAGACACTCCAGGATTTGGTTAAACAAATAAAACTACGAGAAGATCTAGAATTTGAAAATACGTTTGAACAGAACGATTGATTATTACTGTAGCAATTAAAATTTGAAGACTAACAACTGAAAATTCTTTATCAAGGATTCGGATCGGAAAAGATCTGCAATATCTACGGTTAACTATATCTTAAAATAACCATTACACTGAGGAAAAGGACAATGATTAGAAATTGATTAACCACAACGTTTTAACCTTTTCCATCTACTGTGGCCATGCTTTTATCCATTTCAAATACATAAAACAGAACAAATCTCGAATCCATTGAACTGGTGTTATTTTCTCATTAAGATTTATGACTCACATTTATAAAAAGCAGTCAATAGGTCATTTTTTGTAATCCATTTGCTTTGCTGTTACAACATCAAACCATGGTCTTAATTTTGCAAGTTGATGTAATGATATACAATGTACTAAGTGCGATACTAGCACGCCAACATAGTTAAATCTTCTTTTAACCATGTCTTGAATGTCAACTATGTCAGGTAAATTCAGAAACGTATAAAAGAGGGATTTTGTCTACCTTTTCCTATTTCTTTCAAATGCTAGAAAATGCATGTTTGTTTCTATTTTGATATCTGAATATTATGATTGTCTAATTGACCTGCTAATTATAACGTATAAATTGATAATTTCTGTACGATGATTGTAATATGGAAAATATTGAATTGAAACGCTGTAACAATTAGAGTTAATTAGCGTTGCTGTGTAGGATTACCATTTTTCAGCAAAAGTTCCTAGTTAATAAAAAAAAAAAGGGTATTGTAGAAATCTCAATTTTCGAATTGATCTCGCTAACTTTTGTGACAAATACTTTCTGTTTAGATTTTTAAAAACAAAAAACGAGTTTGAGCAATATCGAAGAAAGTGATTTGCACTAAAAATCTCAATAACATCCCGTCTAACCAATGTCATTTTTATGATTCCTCATTTTGATTTATTAGTATTATTTTTGTTACGAAAATGGGATTCCATTTTTACTGTTGGACAAATTGACTCTGATCAGGCCAGTCAGTGCAAAGACAGCATATATTTTGTAGTGAACGGGGCACACGTAACTAACAAATTGAAGGCTTTCAGGGCTGAATGAGCAGACACAAAATCTTACACCAGAAAGATATCCACTACCCTCTGTAATATGTCCCTGGGGAAAATGCCTTTTTAAAAGTTTGAATCTGAGACCTAAATGTCTCTATTTGATTATGTTGGCCGACTGAAACGGAAAAGGTACCGCTTGATAATGCGTGGTATACTTCAATGATTGAAACAATGTAGCAATAATGACATTTGGAAATTACTGATAGGACGGATGGGGAGCGGGAGATAAAAAAGGCCTGTCGCCGAGGTGTGAAATCAGCTGCCCTGAGGCGTATATAGCACGAGAGTGACATCCAAACATCTCTTTATACTCTGAAGAATTACTTAAATGGCCTTAATTCCAATATTCGAGGATATTTCTATTTTGGTTCTAGACTAGGACAAATTTATCATTCCAGATTACGAATGCAATGTAGTTCACTTAAGGGTCACCTTTTCAGTAAAAATCTAGTGGATAGTCCTATATGTGATTGTGGTATGGGAAACGAAACAACCGAACATTTCTTTTTATCTTGTTCTAATCATAACAGAAGTAGACATCTGTACTCCTTCCATATACGCGAAACTTTTTACTTTCATGAGTTTTTGTATATCTGTATTAACTAATAGTACAGCAATTTGTAGTACTACATGTATAATTAACAATTTATTAAGATACCCATATGTTACTATGGATGAACTTGCATTCCTTATCATATTGTATTTGTCGATCTTACATAATGTATACATACTATACTACTCATTCTATCCACTTTCCTTACTTCATTTCCCTCTCCTAAACTCTTTTCACTTTCCCTTTCCCAAATTCGATCAGTCGCTGCCTGCTTGTTACTTCTAAGGAGACAGATTAACAGAAGTTTATAACTTCTTTCTGAATCCTTTTTGTATAACATGCTTTGAATGAAATGCCACTGCCAAAATAAAATAAAGTTTAAAACAAAGGGTAGATAGAAATCTGGTGCTTTTAAAAAGTATGTCCGAATCCCTATGGTGTCTCTTTAAGGGGTATGTGCACAGTCTCACTCTGTAGTATGGCATTTGCATGGTTTTGGAGTAAGCGGCTTCTAATCATGCAAATGTGTTAACAAGTTACAAGATTTTTGCTATGTGTGACTGTATTTGTTCTTTTTCGTATCATACACGCTGCAGCCTCTCTTTGGTGTGTTCCTAGGGCATTGGGGTTAATGGTATCTGGTCCTGTTGCACAGATCTAAGAATTATTGACTTATTACTCATTATATATATGTGAACTTTTGCTATTTTATGTAATGATTGTTTTTTTGTTTTTCGTCCCATTTACATATTTGTATATATATGTTTATATGCATATTTTATTTGAATTTTAGCATGCATGACCTTGGAGTTAGCGGCTTCTGGTCATTAGGTGCATTTATGATGTGGTTTCCTTTGCAATGAATTTTTTCTAGACCCATTTATATCTACTGTATTATGTCTATATGCTTACCATATTTGGAGTTAGGACACGTCTGACCATAGTGTTAGTGACTTTCGGTCCATTATATGCATTCGTGCAATGATTTGGGTTAACCACGTTTACATGTCTGTTGGTATATGTTGACCATGTGGTTAGAGGCTTCTGGTCATTCAGTCGTTTATCATGTTGTTTTTCTTTGCCATGTTTGTTGTGTAAACTTGCAGTAGCTTGCAACTACCTTTTCACCTAGTCACTGTGATTGTACTTGTCTGTATAATTAATGTTTTCCATAAACAACATCATGTAGGTTATCAAAATTCTGACTGGCTTGGTCGAGCAACCAACCTTATTTAGTACATAATTTTGAGTGTAGTAAAAGAGAATGTAGATGGGGGATATAGCTAACAATTTATTCCAACATTAATGGAATTGCTTGGCTATATGATGGCGTAATTTGATCCCCATCTTTGTAGACCTGGGTATATTTTAGGATATCTCTGATTGGATAACATTAAGTACAGTTGATTACTGTACTGTTAATGAACAGGAATTTGTAATTGTCATATTTTCTATCGTCATTTGTTATTTTTAATAAATGGCATATTTCAATTTCAATCTCAATTAGAGTCTAGTTTTAAATAGCATTTAGTACTTGGGTCTAAGACACGGGTAAACTTAATGATGATGAGCTAAGTTGTACATGGGCCATTTTAGGAAAACATAAACAAACGTCTCAAATATGAGACTTTACTGGAGTTACTAGGTATATCCCTGCATGTAGGTATATTTACAAATGTGTGTGCACTTTACTATTAAAGTAAGGGTATGAAATAAGTTTCGAAAGTGAATATGTACTGTATAACTTTGTACGGTACAATAGTTGTCATGACAGCCATTACCTAAAGATCACTTCGTCCGATAGTTATTGACACGGAACTGGTTATACAAATTAGTTATAGAAACATCGATATTGACTGAGAAACAATTGAAAAAAACCCACAGCAAACAGACAACAAAGCGTTAACCGTGACGTGTACGTAATTACGTCCGTACACTTTTCCCCTGAAAATCTAATCGAATAGCTATTATACCTATTATGGTAGATAATCGCAAAAAATGTATAAAGAAGTATTACTGGAACCGTCCATCGTCTTATAAGTTAATTCAATTGCTTTCTGTAAAAAATAGAAAAGAGCTGTGTAATTTAGGGAAGTTTTTGCAATTAAGTTTTTTAGCTAGGTCTAGATTCTACCATTAAATTACTACTGTTTCTATCTCTAGGTTTCTATTCGTTACATTTACTGTTGTCGTCTATCTCCTGACTACACCACTTTGTAACTGTTATAATAAGCTTTATGCCCAAGCTTATGTAACGCTCAGATAATGCAACTTTGTCTGTCTTCTGTCGTCCGACTTCAGTTTGTTAGATCCATTATATTAATATATTGTATTCTCAGCATCTCATCTTCCATTAATTTGTATATCTTGTACATCAATATTAATTAACTGTATTTAAACTAAATGCGTATATGCTGTACAAGAATGTTATATATGTACTCTGTATACTTATGAGCCGTAAGGCTTAAAGTGAATAAACAATACAATACAATTGTATGATATGGACTGGGTTCAGAATGTTTCCATATACTTTAGAAAATTTTAAAGAGGAAGGACGAGACGAGATAAAACGAAATCAAGAATGAATGTCTATGTTATGATTATATCTGCATCGTATACTTTTCGTTATACATATAAGTATCAGCCTCAACATAGTATATACATTGTACACTTCTTCAACAATGCTCACATGATTCGTCATTGTTGTTTTATTTACTGTAAGTGAATCGGTCAGTATATATTTGCACCAATGGTTACAAATGTCAGTTGTAAACTGTACATATGTCTTTGAAATTGCATTTTAGATATATATGCACGAACGGAATGTATAGAGTGTTCAACTGATAGATAAATAAATGTGAAATAAATTTTGCAGATATCAAATGGACTTTGATCAGAAAACTATTTAGTATATATAAACAGCAGTCCGTCTCAATGACTCATCGATACACATAACATTGATGCCGTGTTTACCTGTGTTATAGGGATGGGACGTAAAAAATGTCCGTTAACTCAAATGAAGCGCCATTTCCACCTAAAATTACTCATTTTCGACTAATTAAAGTCTGTCAAAGTTATGTGTTGGAAAGTTATTATACTTGATAGTTAGAGGCACACATCTGAAAATTGATCTGTGCATAATATTGTTTTTATTTCAAACTGAAGTTGTCAAAAGAATCGTTTTGTTAAAAAGTTGATAAGACTATGAAGGAGAAATTATAGAAATGATATATTTGTAATGAAGAAATGTTAAATTTACTGATCGGAGGCATACATTTTGGAATTTATATCTACAAAACGTCATATTAATATTTTTTCTGAAATGCCGCTATGTAATCTATAGTAAAAAGGACCATGCTCCTAGAATTTAATCATAATTGGGGGAAAACCTAATTTATACAACATGGAATTGAATTTGATGTGAACTTAGTCAGCATTAATAAACTAAATTTGAAAAATGGAAGGTTTTAATTAGTACATGGAAGAAAAATAAACTAACGCCTTTGAGTAAAACTCATATCATCAAGTCATTGATAATACCCTAATTTAACCACTTATTTATATCTCTTCCATATCCGTGTGAAAAGGTGATAAAGGAAATGAATATGTTATTATATGAATTTTTATGGAATAGTAAAACTGACAAAGTGAAAAGCAACATTTTGTTTGGATAATTGTAAGGAAGGCTTGAAAATGTTAAAAGTTAAATGCTTTCATAAACTCTCTTAAATTAGGACGGGTAAGAAGATTATACAGCACTGAGACTAAATGGAAATATTTTTAAAGGGAGAATACTGATATTGAACTTTTATTAAATATTGGTAGTGAATATATATCAAAATGAAGCAGCTGATGTACAAATAATTTTTGGAAGGATGTTTTCATTGCCAGGTACAAAGTAAGTAATTCAAGTGAAATTTAAAAAAAAAATACAAAAAAGATCATTCTTGACAAAGTGCATCTGGCATGATAAAGATATAACTGTTGCAGTAAACCTATTTTCTACAAATCACGATGTAGTACAGGAATACATACGATTGCTGATCTCCTAAAAGATTCGGACAATATTTCTTATCATTTGAAGAACTTCCACAGAAATATCCTTTGCACACAAATTTCCTTCGGGTCCAAGGACTAATATCTGCAGTTCGCAAAAGTCTGTCTTCGCCGAAGAGGAATGGTATAAAATACACAAAATTCCACATATAGTTACGAAAAATACTAAACTTAAATGGTTTATATCTTATCATATCCTTACGAAAACTCATAATTATTAAAATTAGATAAAGAATTTAATCCCATGTGTACTTTCTGTAACTCCGAAAGTGAAACGATAATTCATTTGATGTGTGAATGCCAGGAAGTGCACATTTTATTACAAAGGTTTGAATATCTTTTAAATGTCCTTTCTATTCCTTTTTTCGATAAATAATCACTCTACCTTTTCGGGATCACAAATAATAGTATTAATGCTTAGGTTGACAATAAAGTAATTCTTATCTTTAAACAGTACATTTATAGAACCAGGCCCCACTTGTATAAAACATCTCAACTTGAGATTTCCTCAAGTCGAGATTTTCCTCTGCTGACATCTCAAAAAACGGCTTGTATAAAATTTTCTCAAGGAACAGGAGGAAGTCCTCGGCTAGGATGTCCTGAAATTTCTTGAGGAATTTTCATACAAGATGTTTTCAAGAAGATATTAGCTGAGGAAAATCTGGGCTTGAGGAAATATCAAGTTGAGATGTTTTATACAAGTGGGGCCAGGTCATCTGGAGGAAAGTTTGTATTAATTTAGCAATCTTAAAATATAAAAGCATTAGCCAGTAGCAGAAAAGATTATCACAAAATACAGAAATATCTCTCAAATGCTGAAAACGATCTTGCAAAAGCAAACTGTACTAATACCTGGAGTAAGTGGAGAAATTTCTTTCAATTTGATAATTAATAGTAAATACCAAATCCTAACTGTTTGCGCAATATGTATCTAATAACAACTTTTTAAGTTCTTTACATATCTGTCTTTGAAGATGTTTTTTCACATCTCAAGCTCTTTCTTACCTTGTGCTTTTATATATAAAAGAAATATATAATAACAAACTTGGGTGGCAAATTAGCGAATATAGAAATGAAATTAACTTCACATCTTTTCATTTCACCTTCTTTCTTTCTTCACTTTATTTTTTATGCAAATGTGCGTGAGTAATATTAGTGTAAACAAAATTAAAAAGAAGTAGCCTTACTTCAATAAGCATGTCAATAAGTGGGGCCATGTATGCATGTGTGTGTGAGAGCGTGTATATCTATGTGTGAATCATACTTCGAATACAGCTGATAGTATTGTCCTATGCTTCTTTGTTATATGATCGAAGACATAAAGCTAGAAATCCGCATGCGCGTCGCGGTATGTCCTCATATGTCTAGCCTATAAACGCCGATATAACATTCTGAAATATTAAATTACAGTCGATACGTTTGTACAGCTGCACCCAAGTTAACCTGAACCTTATCTACGTAGTAAATTGTGTTATCGATGTTCTCTTTAGACTATGACTACCAGATTGATTTGCAGACTATGAATATTTACAGTGAGTGACAGGATACTGGACTCCCGATAAATCAAAATATCGAATCAAATGAAGTTTAAAAGAGAGTTGATTAATATTAAGAAAGTAGAATTATGTAAACTTTAGCTGTTATATAATGTTGTTTGACAAGACTGTACACGTTATACATACTCGGGGTACGTGTTGGGTGTCCGGCACGGGATCGGTGGAAGGCGTTAAAACAGAAGATAAAACCAGTTCATTGGAAGTTTCTCTCCTTCCTTCTCCGATAGACAAGCAGTTCCCCATAACTCTCCCGTCCAACCAAGTCTGTTTCGTTAAGCCTTGCTCAAATTTAGTAGGTTAGCTCGCGATAACCACTGATCCTTGTAAAGAGTGGAAAACGAAACCCAAATTACTTAAAAGCTGATTCCCTGAATTGAACCAAGATTGCAACAGGAACATATTTTGAATTGTATCATTTGTCGTCAAATGAATTTATGTCCAATCAATTTTAAAATCCATTCCTTGTTTACAGAACTACCAAAATACAATGCGTGTCCAAGTTATTTCCATATACAGGTGTAGTATGGAAGTCAATGCTTATAGACCGAAAATAATTTCCTCGGATAAGTTCTGTACACAGCGTTGATCAGACGGTAATTTATATATGAGGTCAGATCGCATCGCGCATGCGCAGATTTCTCGCTTCAGGTTAACGATTTTTTTCTACTATAGATTACCAAGTCCCTGAGATTACATAACGGCATTTCAGAAAAATACTGATATATCGTTTTGTAAATAAAAAATCCAAAATGCAGGACTCTGATCAGTAAATTTAACATTTCTCCGTTACAGACATATCATTTTTATTTTTTAGATGAAAATTAGTTGTGTCATTCAATAAAAGTAACTTACACGTGAATGTCCTTCATAGTCTTACCAACATTTTAACAAAACGATTCTTTTGACAACTTCAGTTTGAAATAAAAACAATATTATGCACAGATCAATTTCCAGATGTGTGCCTCTGACTATCAAGTATAGTAACTTTCCAACACATTGATCAAGTATAGTAACTTTCCAACACATTGATATAACTTTGACAAACTTTAATTGAAAATTAGTTGTAGAACTTTAAGGTGAAAATGCCAAATAATTTAGTTGACGGATTTTATTTTAAGTCCCATCGCTGTACAAGTAAACACGGCATCAATGTTATGTGTATCGCAGAGTCATTAAGACGGACTGCTGTTTATATAAGGGAAATAGTTATATTGTTTTCTGATCAGAGTACATTTGATAACTTCGAAATAAAGGATTTTATATGTAATCGACAAAGTGAGTTATGAAATATGAACGGCATTTCCATATAGCGGCAAAATTTTGTTTTGTTTTTGTTTTTGTTTATTTGTTTTTTCTTTTTTTTTATTCATAAGGTTATCACTTTATACATTTCATTTCGTTTGTCTATATCCTATGCAGTTTCAAAGGCACATGCTGACTAACAGCATTCACTAACAGCAAATAAAAATAATAATGACGGAGTATGCACACATTATTGAAGAAGTACGCATTGTACAGTTTTAACGAGAAGTGCACAATGCAGCCATGATTATAACAGAGATATACATTCTTGAATTAGTTTGATCTGGGTCCAGAATGCTTTCAGATGCACATAATACCACACTGGACGTAAGAGCTTTTCGATTAGATTTTCAGAAAAAGGTGTATGGAAGTGGTTATGCACAAGTCATGGCTAATTACTTTGTTGTCTGTTTACTTTTTTGTTTTTCAATTGTATATAGAGCATCTTATCAGTCGAAATTGATTTCATATCCCACTTTCATGAAAATAGTCAACTGTACACACCTTTGTACGTATACCTAGAGAGCTATGTAGGGAGATACTGAGTAACTCAAGTAAGATATTCTAAACTGACAATTCACTATTTACTCTATGCACACCCCCTCCCATGAACGCATGTCCCTGTCCCCCTGCGACGAGGAGTTTAGACTGATGCGATGACGTCACGATGTCAAGCCTCAGCGTTGTCTGCACGACATCCGGGAAAACAAGCTTTCTGTCCAACTCCACCTTCATCTCCCATGATTGAGCCCTGTCCAAGATAGAAGAGTTCTTTCTTGTCATCCCTTTCCCTCTTTCATCTTGCCTGACAAACAGAATAGCGGATTTTGCTACTGGCCGATTTGTCCTCTTCTTCCGTCTTTCCATCTCCAGGATATCAGTCAATATTCTCAGTACATTGTCGTTCCTCCATCGATACCTTCCTTGTTAAAGTGCCATCTTGCATCCAGCCAGGAAGTGAGACATTGACCCTCTCTGATTGCATACTCTGCAGTTCGGGTCCTCTGTCATTCACCACTGTTGCAGATTGACGAGCGATGGAAGAATGTCATATACTGATCTAAGCATGAACGAGATCCTGAAGGGTTCCATTCTCCACAATTCACCCCATGTAAGCTTTCTCTCCGGGATGTTCCATCTGGTCCATGAACCCTGCTTTCACAGTTAAACAGATTTCTGCTTCCGTCTCTCTCCTCTTCTATTCTCCGTACCTCTTTCTAAACCATTGTCTTCCGACAAATGTATTCCCATTAATATCCCTCAGCTCTCCGCTTCCTCTACAGTAGCAGTCACAGACTACTTCCGTCCCGTTCTTGTCTGTATCCCCGCCTCACTGATCTTTGAATCTTTTGAGTCCTGGAGTGTCATCACCAGCCTGCACTTGGACACTTTGAACTCCCCACCGACTCCCGTACATGGTAGTTGTAACTCTGTAGAGCGTCCATACAGACCGGTATCCGTGAAGCTTGGCGGGACTCCTAGTAATATGTCATCATGTATAAAGCATATTTTGGTAATCTGGTATGTCGTGTTTAGTTAGTCTAATCATTATCAGCATCAATTCTATATGTGTCCTGGACGTAAGTAAGAATTGCTATACACAGGGCAATTAACATTCACCCTCTTGGCAGCAGGCTGCTCCCTATCTGTCCAATTATAGATTTCCTACCAAGGGGTGTTGTGTGTGGTAATTTCCTGGAACAATTTTACTGTCCCGGAATCCGATGAATTTCGGTACTCATAAGTACACATATGTGGCCAAACAATGTGTCAGTTTGTATAACTGTTACCCAAAAACTGAATTTGTTGAAATTTTCATGAAAAATTGTGATTTTTTTCTCAGTTAATTTCCATAAGTTTATTTATATTTGTGATACTTTATATTTGAATTCAAAACATGCAACACACTTTATTGAAGAGTATTTGACACAATTTAATTATTGATCATAGGTTTTGAACAAGTTTTGGGGTAAGATGTGTACCCTGGCTCGTACACATGACAGTGATCATAAACTATTTCATAGTACAAACCATTAGTGACTTTTGGATTTTTTAGACTTCCATTCTGAGGAGTTCAATGCGGTACTACAAATAACACACATTAAAGATTAAATTTGGATGTGGGCAAAATTCCGTGTACCGTGAAAGAGGTCCTTTCTATGGAAGGATATTGTCTTCACCTACACGAAAGCTGTCACTTATATGTAAATATAGCTGTGCAGTAAACAAATACATTTGTATAAGTTAAAATAAGCTAAACATACCTTACCGTTCATCAAAATACTGTATGGCTATAATTATATATATATATAAAGCAAGGATACAAATGATCGTCCGAATTATCATTACTGGACATCGTTTAGCTACTTTGTGGCTCAAACTGTTATGGTTTGGTAACAAAATTCTTGGTCGTTTTCTGTTGCTTTAATCAAATATAGCCGATTTAACGTACACAGTCTACATAGAAACTACTAATGTATGTGACGTCACAACTGATCGACAAATGAGAATCCTTTATTTTCAGAAGGGGAACTCTAAACATTTTAACTTCCTAGGTTGTTTACAAGTGGGAATAGCGCTATCTGTATATCGTGCAATACACCGGTCACTTTTTAAAGAAAATATCTGAATATTTTTCTCGAAAAAATAACTTTTTATTTTCTTTGCTGGTGAGCTTTAATTGTCTCTGTGCTGCTACCGCGATACTTCTATCTCGAGTTGTTTGTGTCCTGATCGTTGTCCAGGTTCACAAGTTTAATACTGCGTGTGTCCACCATTCACATTGATACATGCCACACCTGTGTTGTGTTGTATTATATTATATTACATTATATTATATTGTATTATATTGTAATGTATTACATCATATTTTATTTGTTATTGTACTTTACTGTGTTGTGTTATTTTTTTATGTAATGTATTGTATTGCGGTGTGCTGTGTTGTAATTGTATTGTATTACAGTGTGTTGTGTTGTAATTGTATTGTATTACGGTGTGCTGTGTTGTAATTGTATTGTATTACGGTGTGCCGTGTTGTAATTGTATTGTATTGCGGTGTGTTGTGTTGTAATTGTATTGTATTACGGTGTGTTGTGTTGTAATTGTATTGTATTGCGGTGTGCTGTGTTGTAATTGTATTGTATTACGGTGTGTTGTGTTGTAATTCTGTTGTATTGCGGTGTGCTGTGTTGTAATTGTATTGTATTGCGGTGTGCTGTGTTGTAATTGTATTGTATTGCGGTGTGCTGTGTTGTAATTGTATTGTTTTACGGTGTGTTGTGTTGTAATGTATTGTAATGCGGTGTGCTGTGTTGTAATTGTATTGTATTGCGGTGTGCTGTGTTGTAATTGTATTGTATTGCGGTGTGCTGTGTTGTAATTGTATTGTATTGCGGTGTGCTGTGTTGTAATTGTATTGTATTGCGGTGTGCTGTGTTGTAATTGTATTGTATTGCGGTGTGCTGTGTTGTAATTGTATTGTATTACGGTGTGTTGTGTTGTAATTGTATTGTATTGCGGTGTGCTGTGTTGTAATTGTATTGTATTGCGGTGTGTTGTGTTGTAATTCTGTTGTATTGCGGTGTGCTGTGTTGTAATTGTATTGTATTGCGGTGTGCTGTGTTGTAATTGTATTGTATTGCGGTGTGCTGTGTTGTAATTGTATTGTTTTACGGTGTGTTGTGTTGTAATGTATTGTAATGCGGTGTGCTGTGTTGTAATGTATTGTATTGCGGTGTGCTGTGTTGTAATTGTATTGTATTGCGGTGTGCTGTGTTGTAATTGTATTGTATTACGGTGTGTTGTGTTGTAATGTATTGTAATGCGGTGTGCTGTGTTGTAATGTATTGTATTGCGGTGTGCTGTGTTGTAATTGTATTGTATTGCGGTGTGCTGTGTTGTAATTGTATTGTATTACGGTGTGCTGTGTTGTAATTGTATTGTATTGCGGTGTGCTGTGTTGTAATTGTATTGTATTGCGGTGTGCTGTGTTGTAATTCTATTGTGGTGTGCTGTGTTGTAATTGTATTGTATTACGGTGTGTTGTGTTGTAATTGTATTGTATTGCGGTGTGCTGTGTTGTAATTGTATTGTATTGCGGTGTGTTGTGTTGTAATTCTGTTGTATTGCGGTGTGCTGTGTTGTAATTGTATTGTATTGCGGTGTGCTGTGTTGTAATTGTATTGTATTGCGGTGTGCTGTGTTGTAATTGTATTGTTTTACGGTGTGTTGTGTTGTAATGTATTGTAATGCGGTGTGCTGTGTTGTAATGTATTGTATTGCGGTGTGCTGTGTTGTAATTGTATTGTATTGCGGTGTGCTGTGTTGTAATTGTATTGTATTACGGTGTGTTGTGTTGTAATGTATTGTAATGCGGTGTGCTGTGTTGTAATGTATTGTATGTGCTGTGTTGTAATTGTATTGTATTGCGGTGTGCTGTGTTGTAATTGTATTGTATTACGGTGTGTTTTGTTGTAATGTATTGTAATGCGGTGTGCTGTGCTGTAATGTATTGTATTGCGGTGTGCTGTGTTGTAATTGTATTGTATTGCGGTGTGCTGTGTTGTAATTCTATTGTGGTGTGCTGTGTTGTAATTCTATTGTATTGCGGTGTGCTGTGTTGTAATTCTATTGTGGTGTGCTGTGTTGTAATTGCATTGTATTACGGTGTGTTGTGTTGTAATTGTATTGTATTACGGTGTGCTGTGTTGTATTGTATTGCGATGTGCTGTGTTGTAATTGTATTGTATTGCGGTGTGCTGTGTTGTAATTCTATTGTGGTGCTGTGTTGTAATTGTATTGTATTGCGGTATGCTGTGTTGTAATTCTATTGTGGTGTGCTGTGTTGTAATTCTATTGTATTACGGTGTGTTGTGTTGTAATTGCATTGTATTACGGTGTGTTGTGTTGTAATTGTATTGTATTACGGTGTGCTGTGTTGTATTGTATTGCGATGTGCTGTGTTGTAATTGTATTGTATTGCGGTGTGCTGTGTTGTAATTCTATTGTATTGCGGTGTGCTGTGTTGTAATTCTATTGTGGTGTGCTGTGTTGTAATTCTATTGTATTGCGGTGTGCTCTGTTGTAATTGTATTGTAATGGTGGATGCTAACAGGACTTCGGTGCTGACAAGACTGTGTAGCCCTTTCATTCATTTCAACAATAAAAATGTCACAATTTTGTACCTGTAATGAATGTAAGGGGAGATAACCAAACTTGTCGAAGACTTAATCAATTTACTCAACATATTTATGTAACATGTTTGTGTGGCAAATTTCGGCCTCGTTCTTACGTATGTAGTTGCCGTTTAAAACACTGAAACATCCATTGTTTATATCTGAAATCTTTCGTTTTGTGGTTGTATGTTAAAAATATGCAGACCTTCAATAAGGGCTGTTTTTAATAAAACTGTAGAAAGATGTGATATACTTGGGCGACAATGTAATTAAATAATTATTATGAATTGTCCTGAGTTCTAATCAGTACTATCAAACCAAATGTATACCATGCATAGGAGGGAAAATAGTGATTTTATTGACAACAACAATTCTCAATGAACAATTTTCTCCGCCGGTTTTGATAAATTCGAAATCTTAATATTTATCCACAAGCAGAATGTTTACTACTAATGACACTATCATCAGTCACCCAAACAGTATTTCTGTAACAAAAAAAAACTATAACTCCCAACTGTGCAATTTATCTTTAAAAAATATATATGTTACATAGATAAATATGGTATTCACTGGCAATAACTGTCAAAGCCTTCTAAACGTAATGTTTGATCATGCGGTACAAAAATGTACCATCTGATCCTAAATTTCTCATTCGTGTGTCGAGTGCGGAGATATACATCAGAATTATGCTTAAAAACGGATTTAAACAGAGTGGTCGTTTGTTCTGTGCTCTATAGGTTTTGAGACGACCCCTTAGACACCATATTCGTCTCTTGCTCTGCTGCTTATCATAACCAGACACGTACAGAAGGACCCGCTTTGTCACCTGTACAGTTTAGTGATAAACTCGACCAAGTAACGCTAGGAAGTCTGGCGGTGTAGTTGAGCGATCGAAATCTCCACATGGTAAGAAGGTGATAAACACCAATGCTATGTAAGTAGATATTCCTATGAAAGTATGACAAATGCACGTAAACTTAAATAAATTAAAATAAACAAAACTGCAGTAAAGAGATATCCTATATTTGTGCCGTTTAGTTTACCACGCTTACAGCACAATAACAGTTTAACTCTTCTCTTCTTCATTCAAATATCTCTCGTCTAATGCATCAAGTTGGGCCGCTCAGAGATAGCTCAGTTAATACTGTACTCATATTAATATCTGGCCTTCTATTAAAGCGCACTTCCAGAGGTCTCACCTGCAGGTCAGTGTAATCTGTTCACGTTTGCAATAAAAAAGCATGCATGTTGGTTTCTCTACAAAATACTTTACCTCAATTTGCATGACTATATCACATACGTCATTAAAGCATGAAACGGGTCGTAACAATCCCCTGTGACAAATCAATACATCGTGGGATATATGATGTCTTTTCCCTTCTTTATAATGAGGAATGAGTGACTTGTATGTAATTTTAGTAGGTTCCTAGTCAATTTTGATCACAATCTAGAATGACGCGAATTAGTTTTCAAAAGTCCGTATACATACCCTTTCCGAATGATCTGCAAACCGAAACAGGTGTTTCTTTCTTGTTTTCACAGAACGTACACTACTTAAACCAAGGAACGTAGAAATATGTCCAATCGAGATATCTTTCTTGGCGCTGCCGGTGCCACTGGGGTTGCCACTTTGGCTTGGAGAATGTGGTTTCCATGGTTACGAGATGACCTGACGACAATTCGATCGACAAATCGACAAGCATCAAAGAGCATACGAGATGCCAAAAACAAACGTTTTCTAATAGACATGTTCGAGGAGCAAGTGAAGCGCGTGCCTAAGAAACCATTTATATTTTTTGAGGACAAAATTTACACTTACGAGTTTGTGAATGAAATGGCTAATAGAGTGGCCAATCTGGCGTTGACATGGGGTCTAAAGCCTGGCGATGCCGTGGCAACCATTATCTACAACGAACCGGCGTTTGTGTGGACTCTTCTTGGTATGTGCAACAATGACTTATGGTAAGGTAAGGTCTGTTGCGATAGAGAGAGGGGATGGGGGTGATGGAAAAGAGAAGGAGAGAGACATACACAGAAACACAAATCCTAGCAAAGATAGAGAGAGAAACAGAGAGACATGTCCAAGTGAAGACGATAGTAAAATTCCCAGCAAACTACATTTCTGATGATTTTCATTTATATTTTTGTACGAATACAGTCTTTCTATGTGAGGATTTTTCGTGTAATTTTGGTATGCTTCGTCATCAGGCCTACTTAAGGTGGGTTTAGTGGACGCCTTCATCAACTACCATAACAAGTCCGGTCCACTTTGTCACTCTATCCTAACCAGCGAGGCCAAGGTCATCATTGTAGGCAACGGTGAGTCTAGACGAAATTATCACAGCAGTATAAAATAAAGAGTGTTGTCGACGAATTTTATTCATCGCTCGTTTGGAAGATTAGATAAAATTGTTGTATTAGAAAATTTGAAAATAAAATGCATAGCAAAATCACAGTCCGTTTCTTAATTTAAGCTTATATTAATATTATATTGATAATATAAGCGTGTCTCTTTGCCTCAAGATGTTTTGTTTTAACCGCGAAAATTTGAACCGCCAAAAAATAACATTTACAGTAAGGAAGGAAATATTTGAGATCACTAATGGTTGATGTGACCACTGAAGAATTACAAGCCTTTTTATGCGTTTGTGACATTAATATTCGCATTTTTAAAGTACGTCTTCATATAAACGTTTTTTTCTCATAGTTGATTGTATTGACTGGTAAGCAGTATATACTATCGGACAGCTAAAAGATAAACAGGAAAATTTGCGATATTTTTCAAAACTGTACGTAGCTCAAATTATTTTTTTGATTTCTAAACTGATTTTATTACCAAGAATAGCTGCTACTTTCTCAGTTATGCATAATTTACTTCTGAAGAGTACACAGACAAGTCCAAAATCGTGAAATATGTGGTGAAATACATTTGCCGAAATATCTTCCTAGGTCACGAACTCTTTGAGACTGTAGATGCCATCAAATGCAATCTTCCGATGGATATCCCAATTTACGTGTATGGAAAAGGTGGTTCCGAGCTTCCAAGAGGATATATATCGATGGATTCGGAACTTCTAAGAGTTCATAATGCTGAGATTTGCAGGAACGTTCGCTCTGAGTTGACTTTGAAATCTCTCGTTTGCTACATCTATACTTCGGGAACTACAGGTGAAAATGCATCAAAAATGTACAAAATTAATCATCATGGAGATTTGTTGATATATATTTCGTACCTAAATTTATTATTCCACAAACATGTTATTTGCCCTTGACCGCTGCTAAGTAGAGCCAATTTTGACCGTGAGGAAGGAAGGTGCTTCACTCCGCACTTGCCCCGATTGTTTTGGATTGCATGCAGTTGGTCGCCGTGTAATGTTCGTACGGTAGCCACCAACTATTTCATGCAGATCCCACTTCAAAATCACACTGTTCATAGGACGATTATATTGGCTAATGCCTTACTGTATGAGCTGTACTGTATCGGTATTATTGCCCAACAGATAAAAAAAATCTGAATCATATCCTGGCGCTGAATGTTACTCAAAGCGAATATAATGCCTTCATATAAATTCGCTTTGATACAAATCTAAAATTTCGTTTTCAATTATTGTGTCAAATAAGACAATACAATTTGTACTTAAAAATTATATTCTGGGAAGTGGCATACTTTCTAAAGAGTCTTTCACATGTAACAGGTTTACCTAAGCCAGCTCTCGTGAGCCAAGCCAAGGCGATCGGCTTGTCCAAATTCTACCAACAAGTGTGGTACAGTGAGGATGATATAGCTTATGTCGTGACACCATTGTATCACAGTGCCGCCTGTGGACATGGACTCTTCAACACGATCGACGTTGGTACGTAATATGGTCAGACTAGGGCAGTGACTATTTGTGTTTTCCTGACCTATATGCAGTGTAGTTTTCTATGAATTCCTTAAAAACATACAATTTGACAATAACAAGGCAAAGTTTCAGCATAGCTTCATTATCACTGCCTGTTGGCAATCTTACACAAATCTTGTGTCGAAAGCTACGCTGAAACCAGCTAGCCAAGTGAGACATACGGACAGCACAACTTGGCCCCGCTGGATTTAAGTTTAAACCGTTGGATTTCTGGTTGTAACACTCCATTCCAATATATGTCGGGTCAAGCACGCATTTGTTCTCCAAAAAAAAAAAAAAAAACATTTAGTTGATGTCTTTCTGACAATGTTTTAAAAACTTTAGACTCGTTTTTCGTTTGCATTATATAATATTGAAAAAACTCTCTTTATCAAAAATATCATCTACTCGCCAGGTGCAACGATAGTTCTCCGCCGGAAGTTCTCAGCTCGCCATTACTGGGAAGACGTTCGGAAATACCGCGTGACAGTACTGCAATATATCGGGGAGCTTTGTCGGTATCTCCTCAGAGTTCCAAAAGTAGGTCATAACCCTATAGATAATTTGTAGGACACACCGAGAAATTTACAACTACGAAATAACGGTAAAGGCAGTAACAGCTACAAATAACAAAAAAAAAAAAAAAATAGATAAATAAAAGATTAAAAAAAATGAAACCAAACAAAACAAAAAACTCAGATTTAGTGTCAAGCATCATTTGTCTGTGATAATAGAATAAGTATACAGTTATATGAATGCATCAACATGTTTGACAAACGTGACGATAGCATACATTAAGAACAACTCAGCAGCTCGGGTAACCGCGGGTCAAGTACATTGTAATGTCGGAAATTACGGTAATCAGGATTTTGAACAGAACGTCACAGCTGTCAAATGTGCTTTGAATAAATTATGTTTGTTTTATTGTATGCTGTTATTCCATTATCATGTGTTTATATAGTTATATACAGTGGTTTCATAGTTATATACAGTGGTTTTATAGTTATATACTGTGGTTTTATAGTTATATACAGTGGTTTCATAGTTATATACTGTGGTTTTATAGTTATATACTGTGGTTTTATATTATATACAGTGGTTTTATAGTTATATAAAGTGGTTTTATAGTTATATACTGTGGTTTTATAGTTATATATAGTGGTTTTATAGTTATATTTAGTGGTTTTATAGTTATATTTAGTGGTTTTATATTATATACTGTGGTTTTATAGTTATATACTGTGGTTTTATAGTTATATATAATGGTTTTATAGTGGTTTTATAGTTATATACTGTGGTTTTATAGTTATATACTGTGGTTTTATAGTTATATACTGTGGTTTTATAGTTATATACTGTGGTTTTATAGTTATATACTGTGGTTTTATAGTTATATATAGTGGTTTTATAGTTATATACTGTGGTTTTATAGTTATATTAAGTGGTTTGTAGTTATATATAGTGGTTTTATAGTTATATAAAGTGGTTTTATAGTTATATATAGTGGTTTTATAGTTATATATAGTGGTTTTATAGTTATATATATATATAGTGGTTTTATAGTTATATACTAGTGGTTTTATAGTTATATATAGTGGTTTTATAGTTATATATAGTGGTTTTATAGTTATATTAAGTGGTTTTATAGTTATATATAGTGGTTTTATAGTTATATATAGTGGTTTTATAGTTATATATAGTGGTTTTATAGTTATATATAGTGGTTTTATAGTTATATATAGTGGTTTTATAGTTATATATAGTGGTTTTATAGTTATATACTGTGGTTTTATAGTTATATATATATATAGTGGTTTTATAGTTATATATAGTGGTTTTATAGTTATATATAGTGGTTTTATAGTTATATATAGTGGTTTTATAGTTATATATAGTGGTTTTATAGTTATATACTGTGGTTTTATAGTTATATATAGTGGTTTTATAGTTATATACTGTGGTTTGATATCTATATACAGTGTGGTTTTATAGTTATATAAAGTGGTTTTATAGTTATATATAGTGGTTTTATAGTTATATATAGTGGTTTTATAGTTATATATAGTGGTTTTGTAGTTATATACTGTGGTTTTATAGTTATATACCGTGGTTTTATAGTTATATATAGTGGTTTTATAGTTATATATAGTGGTTTTATAGTTATATACTGTGGTTTTATAGTTATATATAGTGGTTTTATAGTTATATACTGTGGTTTTATAGTTATATATAGTGGTTTTATAGTTATATATAGTGGTTTTATAGTTATATATAGTGGTTTTATAGTTATATACTGTGGTTTTATAGTTATATATAGTGGTTTTATATATATAGTTATATATATACAGTGGTTTATAGTTATATATAGTGGTTTTATAGTTATATATAGTGGTTTTATAGTTATATACTGTGGTTTTATAGTTATATACTGTGGTTTTATAGTTATATACTGTGGTTTTACAGTTATATACTGTGGTTTTATAGTTATATATAGTGGTTTTATATATAGTGGTTTTATAGTTATATACAGTGGTTTTATAGTTATATATAGTGGTTTTATAGTTATATACTAGTGGTTTTATAGTTATATATAGTGGTTTTATAGTTATATACTGTGGTTTTATAGTTATATATAGTGGTTTTATAGTTATATACTGTGGTTTTATAGTTATATACTGTGGTTTTGTAGTTATATATATACTGTGGTTTTATAGTTATATTTAGTGGTTTTGTAGTTATATACTGTGGTTTTATAGTTATATACTGTGGTTTTATAGTTATATATAGTGGTTTTATAGTTATATACTGTGGTTTTATAGTTATATACTGTGGTTTTATAGTTATATACTGTGGTTTTATAGTTATATACTGTGGTTTTATAGTTATATATAGTGGTTTTATAGTTATATTTAGTGGTTTTATAGTTATATTTAGTGGTTTTATAGTTATATACTGTGGTTTTATAGTTATATACAGTAGTGGTTTTATAGTTATATTAAGTGGTTTTATAGTTATATACTGTGGTTTTATAGTTATATATAGTGGTTTTATAATTATATACAGTGGTTTTATAGTTATATATAGTGGTTTTATAGTTATATACTGTGGTTTTATAGTTATATACTATATATAGTGGTTTTATAGCTATATACAGTGGTGTTATAGCTATATACAGTGGTTTTATAGTTATATAAAGTGGTTTTATAGTTATATACTGTGGTTTTATAGTTATATACAGTGGTTTTTTAGTTATATATAGTGGTTTTATAGTTATATATAGTGGTTTTATAGTTATATATAGTGGTTTTATAGTTATATATAGTGGTTTTATAGCTATATACAGTGGTGTTATAGCTTTATACAGTGGTTTTATAGTTATATATAGTGGTTTTATAGTTATATTTAGTGGTTTTATAGTTATATATAGTTATATATATATAGTGGTTTTATAGTTATATAGTTTTATAGTTATATATAGTGGTTTTATAGTTATATATAGTGGTTTTATAGTTATATATAGTGGTTTTATAGTTATATATAGTGGTTTTTTAGTTATGTATAGTGGTGTTATAGCTATATACAGTGGTTTTATAGTTATATATAGTGGTTTTTATAGTTATATACGGTGGTTTTATAGTTATATAATGTGGTTTTATAGTTATATACATAGTTATATACAGTGGTTTTAGTTATATACTGTGGTTTTATATATATACTGTGTTTTATAGTTATATATAGTGGTTTTATAGCTATATACTGTGGTTTTATAGTTATATACAGTGGTTTTATAGTTATATACTGTGGTTTTATAGTTATATACTGTGGTTTTATAGTTATATATAGTGGTTTTATAGCTATATACTGTGGTTTTACAGTTATATACTATGGTTTTATAGTTATATATAGTGGTTTTATAGTTATATATAGTGGTTTTATAGTTATATATAGTGGTTTTATAGTTATATACAGTGGTTTCATAGTTATATACTGTGGTTTTATAGTTATATACTGTGGTTTTATAGTTATATACAGTGGTTTCATAGTTATATACTGTGGTTTTACAGTTATATACTGTGGTTTTATAGTTATATACTGTGGTTTTATAGCTATATACTGTGGTTTTATAGTTATATACTGTGGTTTTATAGCTATATACAGTGGTTTTATAGTTATATACAGTGGTGTTATAGCTATATATAGTGGTATAGTTATATACAGTGGTTTTATAGCTATATACAGTGGTTTTATAGCTATATATAGTGGTTTTATAGTTATATATAGTGGTTTTATAGTTATATACTGTGGTTTTATAGTTATATGTAGTGGTTTTATAGTGGTTTTATAGTTATATATAGTGGTTTTATAGTTATATACCGTGGTTTTATAGTTATATACTGTTATATATATGTGTGGTTTTATAGTTATATACTGTGGTTTTATAGTTATATATAGTGGTTTTATAGCTATATACTGTGGTTTTTTAGTTATATATAGTGGTTTTATAGTTATATATAGTGGTTTTGTAGTTATATACCGTGGTTTTATAGTTATATACGGTGGTTTTATAGTTATATACCGTGGTTTTATAGTTATATTTAGTGGTTTTATAGTTATATACAGTGGTTTTATAGTTATATACTGTGGTTTTATAGTTATATACAGTGGTTTTATAGCTATATACAGTGGTTTTATAGTTATATACTGTGGTTTTATAGTTATATACTGTGGTTTTATAGTTATATGTAGTGGTTTTATAGTTATATACTGTGGTTTTATAGTTATATACCGTGGTTTTATAGTTATATATAGTGGTTTTATAGTTATATACAGTGGTTTTATAGTTATATATAATGGTTTCAGTGTGATATGACGTGGGTGTTTAATTGCATGCTGTGGGCATATTATATCATGAGTGGTTCTATCTTTATGTTTAAAATTACTTCATAATAACACCATGTAGCTTAATTATGTGTTATGGCTTCGTAATTGCATACTGCTGTTCTCCATTATTACGTTAAGTAGGTTTAAAGTTGACCCCTACATGTACGTGTGCACTTACCCAAACATCGAATCATCCTTCATTGCATGAACTCTGACAAAGCCATTTAGAGAGAGCGATGTGATTGTGTCATCCTGATATTCATTACATTCCTTTGAAAAACAAATTTAATACGTTTTCTCCAGCTTCATCCGTGCCATAGAGGTGAAAATTTGCGAAGATTCGATGATAAAGAAATGAAGCCGACAAAGTGTTGTTATTTTTCGACCTCGTCGAAAGTTCGATATTGCACTCACGGAGGCAATTTTGAAACATGATCGATTGCAAAATTATAGTTTCTAGAACAACATCTATTTCCAACTTCGTAAATTCTATTAGTTGAATTTTACTCAAACAAATGGAATTAACCCGAGATGACCCTGACTAAGCGTTGTTATGTTTCGGGTTGGTTTGATATCTAATATGGCTGCATGTGCGCCATGTTGAAACTTCTCCAGATCAAGTGGTAGCATAAAGTTAAATAAAATGTGGGGATGCTAAGAAAAGTGTTGTTATATCTCATTCGAATTTCAAAAGCTCGACACGGCAGCTACGGTGGTAATTTTGCAACATGGTTGTACAATTATCGTTTTCCTGAACAGCACCCTATCCCCACAGGTTTCACCAGCAAGATTAACCTTTAACTTGCCTGGAATGGTCCCCACCAAGTATTAACAATTAAAGGGTTGGGCTAAAATATTCCGGAAATGTTGAGACACTGATACAAATTGGTTTAATTATTTGATGATTGTTTCCGCATTGTTTTAGAATCAGATGGCCATTGAAACCGGTTGTAGTGATATTCAAAAATAAAACAGAATGTATTTTAATCAGTATTCTGTGCTTTAAAGAATGATTAGGCATATCTGTTTTCGTCTCTTGATAGAGTGACATGGATGGGGTCCATACTGTCCGTGTAGCCGTCGGAAATGGCCTCAGGCCGGATATTTGGAATGAGTACAAGACGCGATTCCGAATCCCTTGGATCGCGGAGTTTTTTGGTGCCACTGAGGGCACGACAACCTTCATCAACGTCACCGGCCAAGTGGGGTCCATAGGCCGATGGTCTCCCTTCATGGCAAGTATTAAGCATTTATTAGGCGTTTTGTATGTTTCGAAAAAAAAACCCATAAACATCCATTGGTTCGATTTCTATTCGGAACGACGAGCTTTTCTTAGAGAGATGAGGCTACTCTGTGATGTTTTAGTTGTGATCCACGGCAAGGCCCTCAGTGGCGTTCTCGTTGTTTTCTCTAAGCACTATCACACTGACTTAAATACATCGATGAAACAACCAAAAATAAAAACAAATGTGACCGTTACGTCATTTTCTTTGCGGTCAATTAAATTTGGCATGTGTTGCAGTAAAACTTCATAAAATCTTAAAGAGAACAAACCTTAAACAAAATATCAACAGACTACGAAACATAGGCCTTATTACAGTTATGATATTTCGCTTCCGATTTGATTTATTAAGTATCATAGCTCTTGGTCAATACTGTGAAATCATTAATGTTCATGGGGATTTTATTTTCGTTCATTTCGTGGTTACTCGTAATGAACGAAACCATGAGTCTACAAACTGAAAATACAAATGTATTAGTGTAAGCAGATTTATTGGACACAAGAAACCACGAAAATGAGCTCATGAAAATATCTGTTTTTACAATCTTCGATATCCTTCAACAATTCAGGCTCTTCCTATCACTGACCGTCCAGAAAGATGAAACAGCTGCATGACGCAGTTTAAAAATAGTATGACCGTTCTGTATCTACATAACTTGTAATTCCAAATTTGTATCCGATTGTGCGTCTTTTTTACGACATTTTCAGCGAATAGCGTCTAAAGGAAGATTTGGAGTCACGAGTCACGTCATCAAGTATGACGTTGTCAATGATTTACCTGTCCGAAACAGCAAAGGAAGATGTATTCCAATCAAAAAAGGTAAGATTAGATTTAAATGTATATGTAAATTGCACTTAATTTCATTTCATTTTATCTCAGTCGAATCATAAAGCATGTTTCCTTAGTCAGAATTATTTATAAATATACATTAGATTTATATATATAATTTATTTGAATTGAAGAGTTTCAAATTTCAATATTGAATTGTGGGAATTACAGGAGAAGAAGGTGTTCTTATTGCCGGAATCCCGCCCTCGTATACTGGCTTCTACAAGGGGGATCCCGAGACTAGCGAGAGGAAACTCATCCGTGATGTATTTGAGGAAGGCGATAGATACTTCAACTTCGGCGATGTAGTTTACATGGACTCGAACTATTACATTTACTTCAGAGACAGGGTCGGAGACACATTCAGGTAGGTTCTATACATCTGTACAGTAGATACTCGTTGACATCCACTACGAAAACAGTGACAGGAAATAACATCTGGAGTTTAAGAGCATCGTTCAGAGTAGAGGAACTAAGTTTGTAGATAAGGAAACGGTAATGTTCAGCATTAGAGGAGGGGGCCACGGTGGTTAAGTGGTTAAGGCATCTGGCCACCTTTATCACCAGCCCTCCACCTTTAGGTCGCGGGTTCGATGCCTACATCGGGCTGACGCCATATACTGACCGTGATCGGCGACTTTTCTCAAGGAACCTTTCCACTGCCACTCAACACTTCTTAACTTTCAGAAAGTTTAGGATGTAATATAGTAACCTGTTTGTCTGCGTGGTCCATCGCCCCGTGACCAGCTAGGGCAATTTTGAGGCTGAGACTCTTTGTAGTAAGCGATGACTGAATCACTGTACATACGAAAAGTCTGTAGCATGTTATCTATAGGAACAAGAGAAAAGCGTTTTGCTCAAGAACACAACCACATTAGTGCAGACTGATCCGTTTCTGAGCTCAGCTTTCATAGAACGCAAACAGAAAGGGAGCGTCATACCAACCGGCTACTGTTTAAAAGGACAATAATGTTTTCAGTGCGTTTCCTCTCAAACTTACAGATGGCCGAATCTGTTCTGCATGACGAATATAAATCCCAACTTCCATGTATTTACAAAGAATTACTTGAAGGTCGTGAACGTGGTTTTCAACACTGTTGACATCTCTATCTGAGAGTGATAGTTTGTGTATTAGAACTAGCGAAGTTTAAAGGGCTCAACACAGACACAGGAGTTTTAGAGACTCAGGTTTTTTAAGATCATAATAGTCTCACTGGGAAGCATTCTATTTCTTATGTGTTCTTTAGCAAACCTGTTGGTTCCGTTCTGTCGTTTTCCGTGTTCTCATTTAGGAAAGTTATATTACTCTCTTGGATTGATCAAGATTTCCAAAGCGGGCAATGAAGCAGAAGATGCTTACTCTTCCAGAACATCTGGTCTTATTTTGTTGCCATGTTGGTTTTGTCTGTGTTATTTTTTAAGCAAGTACAAATATATTTATATCAAGTACGGGGACTTTTTGGATGTTTTCCAATGAATATTCAGACCAATGCAGTGCTTGTTAAGTACTGCGTCCCTAAATGTAAGTTTCCTCATTTCGACTTCAAATATCAAGTATATACACTATTTATCAAAAGGCTTGCGTAGTTACTATTGTTCGTCATCTTTGATAAAACTCCGACTTCCTCAGAATGCACATTTCAGTAATATTTAGTTTTTCTAGCCAGCGTGCAGTAGGGGTTTCCCAGAATTCAGCTTGTAAAAATACTGAACAATCGACTTCAAACGTTTTCAACTGAAAAATGGGTTCATTCTACCATCATGCATTCCAACACTTATCAAAAAAATTTAACGATTGTCATCATTTTTAAAGCGTACGAACGTTTAATGTCCGACATATTTGTAGGCCTGGTGTCAGCGTGATTCTTAAATAGTCCTTCGGAGTTACATTTGCACTCAATGCACAGGAGAAGCTCCTTCCGACTGACATTGCTAACTAGCAAAATTCTCTCAGCCGAATACATTGAAAATAACTCTGTGGGGAGGACTATTGTGAATTTCGTAACTTTTTTGAAAAATGAATAATTTTCCTTCACAATCTTTTGTTAAACCCGCAAAAAAAAGTTTGAAAAATACTTATCAGTATATATATATCGACAAGGTTGAAGAAAACGAGGTATTCTACAAATGTTCGACTGTTTGTCGCTCACACATTCATGGTTATATTAACTCTGTTTTAAGAGACTATAGATCATAGTATGCTTGGATGTAGTTTATCTATTTTTCAGGTGGAAAGGAGAAAACGTTTCCACTAGAGAAGTCTGTGACGTCATCAGTAAGCTTTCTTTTACACAGGACGTGAATGTGTACGGAGTGCGCATGCCAGGTAAATTGCCTTATGATTGAAAGTCTTTTACAATATGCGAAAACATAGGAATACTGTTTTCTTGGTTAAACTGCGATAACGTTTAAGCAACAATCTACGACCTACAATTATTCTGAGTGGATTCGGATTGAAAAGGCTCACATGATACTTAATGAAGTTTTCCTTACACGTCTTAAAAACAAAAATTAAAATAATAGCTTTCCGGTCTGCTACTCCGTCGATCTGGTGTGTGAGGAATTTGCAATATCCTACGTTGGCTATTCAAATTGAAATTTTGAGCTTCTGTACACGGATGACGCCCATTACTACGTTGCAAACAAAGAGATACACAAATCTTCCCGATACAGGAATCACCTCCATTAATTTACAAGAAACAGTTTGTGAGATGTATTCAGCAAATATATGCATCTTAATTGTAAACTCACTAATTTCACACAATTTTGATTTTGACTTTCAGATTCTGACGGACGTGCCGGAATGGCGGCTATTTCTGTGAAGGGTGATAAAGAAGTACACCCTGAAATGCTCCAAGCCATATTTCGCATTTGTGAAAAAGAACTGCCAACGTATGCACGTCCGTTATTTTTACGCTTTAAAACGGAACTTGCAATCACACAAACAATGAAACACAACAAGCTAAATTTGGTGAATGATGGTTTTGACCTAGATAAGATAACAGACCCATTGTATTATCTAGACGCTGAAAAACGCACATATTCACCCTTAACCAGGGACGTTTACCATCAAGTTGTGACGTCACGTTTGTAAACATGGGTTAAAGATATTGTTACATGATAATTAATGTATTGTTTTACAAAGAAAATAAAGTACAGTATGCAGTTCTTAATGGATCACGCTGTGTATTCATGTTCTTCATTCTCTCGCTGCTTAGTAACACTATCAAAAAGGTGCAATAGGATTTTTCACTCTTGTAGGCCAGGATTGAATCACCTGCAAAATATTCATTTAGTTTTCCTAGAAAATACAAAAGGTCAGACAGGTATCTGAAATATGACATCTTGTCAATTCAGTCAAAAATTGAAGCTCAGATATACATAATAACCTATGGTTACCACTTAGCCAGATATACACCATAACCCATGGTTACCACAAAGCCAGATTTACACAATAACCTATGGTTACCACAAAGCCAGATATACACAATAACCCATGGTTACCACAAAGCCAGATAAACACAATAACCAATGGTTACCACAAAGCCAGATATACATAATAACCCGTGGTTACCACAAAGCCAGATACACATGATAACCCATGGTTACCACAAAGCCAGATATATATAATAACCAATGGTTACCACAAAGCCAGATATACATGTACACAATAACCCATGGTTACTACAAAGCCAGATATACACAATAATCAATGGTTACCACAAAGCCAGATATACACAATAACCCATGGTTACCACAAAGCCAGATATACACAATAACCAATGGTTACCACAAAGCCAGATATACACAATAACCAATGGTTACCACAAAGCCAGATATACACAATAATCAATGGTTACCACAAAGCCAGATATACACAATAACCAATGGTTACCACAAAGCCAGATATACACAATAACCCATGGTTACCACAAAGCCAGATATACACAATAACCAATGGTTACCACAAAGCCAGATATACACAATAACCCATGGTTACTACAAAGCCAGATATACATAATAACCTATGGTTACCACAGATAAACACAATAACCCATGGTTACCACTAAGCCAGATATACACAATAACCCATGGTTACCACAAAGCCAGATATACACAATAACCAATGGTTACCACAAAGCCAGATATACATGTACACAATAACCCATGGTTACCACAAAGCCAGATATACACAATAATCAATGGTTACCACAAAGCCAGATATACACAATAACCCATGGTTACCACAAAGCCAGATATACACAATAACCCATGGTTACCACAAAGCCAGATATACACAATAACCCATGGTTACCACAAAGCCAGATATACACAATAACCCATGGTTACCACAAAGCCAGATATACACAATAACCCATGGTTACCACAAAGCCAGATATACACAATAACCCATGGTTACCACAAAGCCAGATATACACCATAACCCATGGTTACCACAAAGCCAGATATACACAATAACCCATGGTTACCACAAAGCCAGATATACACAATAATCAATGGTTACTACAAAGCCAGATTTACACAATAACCCATGGTTACCACAAAGCCAGATAAACACAATAACCAATGGTTACCACAAAGCCAGATTTACACAATAACCCATGGTTACCACAAAGCCAGATATACACAATAACCCATGGTTACCACAAAGCCAGATAAACACAATAACCCATGGTTACCACAAAGCCAGATATACACAATAACCCATGGTTACCACAAAGCCAGATAAACACAATAACCAATGGTTACCACAAAGCCAGACATACACAATAACCAATGGTTACCACAGATAAACACAATAACCCATGGTTACCACAAAGCCAGATATACACAATAACCCATGGTTACCACAAAGCCAGATATACATGATAACTCATGGTTACCACAAAGCCAGATATACATGATAACTCATGGTTACCACAAAGCCAGATATATATAATAACCCATGGTTACCCTGCAATTAAACATATTAACACTTTGTCAACCTAAATTGGGATATACACAATAACCCATGGTTACCCTCTAGTTATACATCCTAACCCTTTGTCACCCTGAACTGGGATATACACAATAACCCATGGTTACCCTGCAGTTATACATACTTACCCTTTGTCACCCTAAATTGGGATATACACAATAACCCATGGTTACTCTGATGATATACACAATAACAATTGGTTACTGTTCAGTGTGATACATGATAACCCATTGTTACCCTGAAGTGAGATACATCTCCCAGAAGTGACATGTACACAATAACCCTGCATGGTTAACCAGAAGTGACACATACACAATAACCTATTGTCACCCAAAAGTAATATTACACATTAACCCAATGGCCACAGCTAAGTGAAACACTGTAGACATACAATACACAATAACCCATGGTCATCCTAATGTGAGATATACACAATGATTCATGATCACTCTCAAGTGAGGTACTGTAAACATACATACTTTGGAGGTAAACTTTTTTAGTGCTTTCCGTACTGTGTTAAAATATGATAGCATTGAAGTTTCTGTATGTCAACAATATAGCAGTGACTGTGAATGCAAAAATTTGTCACTGTACTTAATGTGATATTGTGCTTGAATATCATTGTGCCAAAACAAGTATGTTCAAAGTATACACAAACACTCCTGATCACCCTGAAGTTAGATATTAATAATCCTGATTCCTTTTAATATAAGAACATTTCTTTATTCATGCAAAATTTCAAACGTACAAAATTAATTTTAAATAAAAATATACTTCATTAATTCAATGTCATCACAGATTTATAATCAATTTTAAGACAAATATGTAAAAATGGCTAGATTGCATAGAAAATGAGAGCAAGTGATTCTCCAGAAACGTAAAAAACATACAGGTTACAATCACATTGGCAGAACACTGATTTATCCCATCAGCCTGTATAATTATCACAGTATCGAACAATGGAATTGTATACATAATGAAATATCTGTGTAATGTGTGAGAATTCCTTGAAAGTCACATGACAGCTTAAAAATCAACCCACATACAGATTTACGTGATTTTTCAATCATCCAATACATTACTCTTTCTGCTCTCTCTCGTCAATCAAAATTACATATTCAAATTCTTATCCCTGAGGAATACTGATGCTCTGCATAACTTGATTTTGATTGGTTCTGCCAAAATTCTCATTTTCCTTCTACATAATTGGTTATGCAGGTACTACATATTTACTGCCTGTCAGTCGTTATATTTTTGATGAGGCCTCAAAATTGAACAGGACATCATATGCTTCTAAAGATTAACCATAACAAGAATTTCCAGATTTCAAACCCATCTTCATCTGAACATAGAGGACTGAAAATGATATTTCCTTTCAACTTTATTCTAACATCCACAATTTAAGAAAATTACCATTCCCTATGGACTTCTTACAAAATCCTGAGAGAGTAAATTTGCTGGCTGTCAAACAAACCTATTAGTTCCATTTATGTAAATTTAAAGCACCTTGTGTCACAAGGAATGTACAGTATCATAGATTGGCAGTCATCCTCACCCAGGCTTTGATGACCTGGTGTGCAATTGCTTGATCCGGGGGAACAAAAAGTCCTTGAGGATGCTGCCTTGTAAGCATTTGGACTAACTCCGAGCGACGGAACCACTGCACATCTTCCATCTCATCATTATCAACCTGTAGCATAAATAGAGTCAAACTGAAACTGTTTTTCAAAACACTTACAAGTTAACCTATAGCTGGTAAAACTTTCCTGAAAGTGTGTTTGATAGGGAGTATTTTTCCATCAATGTGGATACCCCCACCCTGCCACCTACTCTAAAATAGCTAATGAATAAAAAATAGCAAGAACAATTTTAAACTTCTAATAGTTCTCTTTTTCTTTGCTCAGTAACTTGAGAAAGCTATATTAAAGCAAAAATGCAAAAATAGTGGAAGTTTAGATCTTGAAAGCTTTTTTTTTTTTAACTGATTCCATAACACCATATATATACTTTACCAACGGACTGCAAATCCACTGCAGTTCAGATTTTTTTATCAACAATAAAACCTGACTTCAACACACCTTGATGTCTTCAGATATAGCATGAGCTATACAGCCCAGCATCAGGGAACAAGGGAAAGGCCACGGCTGTGATGAGTGATAGTCAACTCGACCAACTCGCACACCACTCTCCTCAAAAACCTCTCGTCGACAAGTATCCTCAACAGTCTCACCTGGAAAGAAAATAAGTACTATGTGGGAAGACTCCTTGTTTGTGTGTTCGATAGGTTTATCACCTTGCCAATAGGCAGTCATTTTGAGACAAGATCATCTTGTAGAAGCTGGTGAATACCTCTCTGAACAGTAGGGGGGAGGTCCAACAAATGATATGATAGGGGGACATCTGGGGTTAAAAAGTGTTGTTACGTAAATTTTACCTGGTTCCATAAATCCGGCAAGGCAGGAGAACATCTTGGCTGGAAACTGCTTCTTCCTTCCCAGCAGGCATCTTTTCTTATCAGGGGAGACAACCAGCATTATCACAGATGGGTCAGTACGAGGATAGCATGTATTATGGATACCTGAAATTTTAACAAGAAATAAACAGAGTATTCAAAGATATAGAAATCTTTCGTAGATATTGAGGAAATCATGTGCCTACAAGATGAAAGACACAAGACATGTATATATATATATATCTTTCTGTAGAAAACCTTTTCTTTTTTTTCATGAATCTGACCCCAAAAAAGCACCTGCGCACTATACCCGCAAATTTACGGTATATATTTGGTCTAGTGGTTTTGGAAAATGTAAGAGTAAAGAGAAATGCCTTTGATTGGTTTTAAATTCAAAAATTACTATTAAGTGTGTTAAAACATCTCCTTTGAGGATTGCAAAATAACTTCATCTACCAACAATTCCTGATGTGTACCAAACACTAATGACAATTTCAAGTCAAAACACAAAATAATTGATGGCAACCATCACAAATAAAATTCCAATTTAACTAGAAATATAGCATACAATAGACTTTGTTGATTACTTTTCCAGAAGTTTGTATGTTTCTAGATAAAAAAACAATCTTCAACATCTATCTGTTAATAGAAACTAGAAAATATATACATGTATATACATAATCTGCAAGACAGAGCACAAAATATCTTATGTGACCTTTTGACCATCTGACTGATGACCATTTTAATATGATAAGATGTAGAACTTCAGTTGAGAGGTTCTCGACTTTTTATGACATTATTTCAGAACTGGATTTGACAGGGCAGGAACGAGAGTATAAGACACTAACTTCAAAGACCAAAATGAAAACTGACATCCATTCAAAAATGCTCAAAATGTGGTGTGCAGAATTACAACAGACACATAAGATCCCAAACTTTCAACAAAACCCTTTCAGAAGTTTAAAAAAAAATAGACATGACAAATCCTTTGATTAATTTCCAGAGAATATTGAAAAAAACCTCCACTAATTTTGCTTACCTTTGTTTGAGCGGCAAGATTTGTTGTCACAGATGCGTTTGTAACCCCCCTCTGCTACTGTAGTGGGACTGCCACATGTAGCACAGAATTTGTACCGGTCCAACCAGTCCAACATAGAGCGAGCCTCTGCAAAAATTCCGGCATCGCTCGGCTCCAACTGCATTGATGCAGGATAACCTGGGATGAATTCTGATTCGTTGACTAGGTTTTTGACTTTAGAATCATCTGTGTTGGTTACATCCAGAGCAAATAATGCCTGACTTTGTGCAGTACCCTTCTCTTCAGAACAATTATCTACTCCAAGGAAAACAAGCAGAGGATTGGTGCTTACCACAAATTCCACATCGCTGTAAGGCAGACGGACCAGTGTAAACTTGTATCTCTTTGTAGAATCACCATTATTGACAACAAGAGGTTTCAGGTCTGAAAAGACAATAAATCTGGTGCTATCTTCCTTTAATTTGTTATCGAGCCAGACATTATCCTTCCTGTTCTCTGCCTTGCGATCCAAATTATTCAGAGAGAAGTAGTTACGTAATTGTTTATCGGGATTTTCCTTTTTAATAAAATTGGTAAGCATATCAGCAGCGTTCTTTTGGTCCCAAAAAACAGCTATATCTTGAGCAGTCTGTCCAGTCTTGTTCACCAAATTCACATCACACCTGAAAGACAAATCTCAGATGTCAATAATATTCTATCAAGAAAACTCCATTTACAACATTCCCCTTAATTAGTCCATTCCTTGTAACAAACCTATCCATATCTAATACTTTACAGAAGAATGACCAACTATTGCTAATTCATTGCATTGTAAGAGTGATGAAATTTGTGATCTCTAATTCAATACTTTGTCCTATAAACCATTTTTATCCCTTCCACTTTGCTCCTGACCTATGAGTTGACCTTTCAGTGAAAAGCTATGACATTTGACATTGAATGCTTTACTGTCAGTGAAATAACTTTCCCCAGATATTCTGGTATCAGAATTGATGAGTCGCCTAAAAACTGCCACAGGATGTAAAATCCTGTAAAATGTATTTTGAACTGTTTCAGAAATTGATTGTTAAATTTTTTGAAATTTGAAATTTTTCAGGTAACAAACCAAGTGATTTTATTAACAGTTTGCTTTAAGATAAGGTTAAAGACAACATTATGAATGCTCAGATGGAAAGAGTAAAGGATGGGGAACGACATATATCGTCAGACTATGAACAAAATATCACCATATTGACTCTCATGATTCCTTTGATTAAATATCACCTGAACTTAATTTTTAGTCTTCTCACTCTTTCATATGTTACTAAGTCCCTGTAACATCACACAGAGATTATCTAATAGGTTGTGATATACAATCTATTTTAATGTAAGGGAGCTATTGTTTTATACTGATAATATAATGCTTACCAAATTGATTCTGTATTAATAAGCTCACCTACATCTAGTGCAGATTCAACAGAAATGAAAACAACTGTCATAGCATTGTCCTTTTGTAGGCCAACATCTGTACTCCCCACACCCCTTCCCTCAACAGATGTTATAAGGTGATCTTACCCTTTTTGTAGCAATGCTTCAATCACAGACTCTTGTCCGTTACGAGCAGCAAACATCAATGCTGTCCACCCTTTGTCATTACGATGATCAGAGTTGAAAGTAGCTGTCAATTCAAAACGCTAAATCAACATCATCACAGCTTATTGTTATTACTTAATTGACCGGACAATAAGCCCAACCCAGATTATTAATCTTCCAAAATTTATTGCTGTAAATATAGTTGTTCCATTGTCATGTAATGCCATTTCACTGTCCAGTAATAAGCCCACACCCTGCCTCTGTTCTTATCTTTGATTCATTGCTGTATAAATACAGCTTGAAGAGCCTGAAGAGCAATTTTGTTTAAGTTTGAGTCAAAGAAAACTTTGTGTTAGGATACTTGTAAATCAGTGTAATATTTCCTTTACATTGTGAAAATGCTTGAGCATAATTATTGGTAAATACCAATGACATGATGTACTGACATGTACCATAAAGAAGTAAGTCCAAGAAATACAATCTATTTCATCAAACAAAGACCTTACTGTACCTTGTAAAAGGAATTTTAGTTCTTCCACATTTCCATTTGCAGCATAGTCAAAGTATTTTTCCTCAAAGCTTTTTTTAGTATCTGATGGCCCTGTCCTATCACTGCTCATCATCACAGCTAATCTGGAAAAGAGTCTACCACTGTACATATTTCATAACAGATGCGTTTGTAACCCCCCTCTGCTACTGTAGTGGGACTGCCACATGTAGCACAGTCATAAAACTATGGTGATGTCATAATATGGGAAAATAACATCCTGAATTGAAAATGAGGCAAAATGTTTTTGTTGTTTTGACTTTGATTAAAACCTGTCAAAATTAACTTTTAAGAGCAATAAAAAAATTTTAAAATCTATTTTCATTTCAAATGGGATGTATGGACCTTGTCTTCATATGACATTATATGGACCTTGTCTTCATATGAAATGTATGGACCTTGTCTTAATATGAAATGTATGGACCTTGTCTTCATATGAAATGTATGGACCTTGTCTTCATACGAGATGTATGGACCTTGTCTTCATACGAGATTGTATGGACCTTGTCTTCATGAGATTGTATGAATATTGTCTTCATGAAATTGTATGGACCTTGTCTTCATACGAGATGTATGGAACTTGTCTATATATGAGATGTATGGACCTTGTCTTCATAAGATTGTATGGAACTTGTCTTTATATGAGTTTGTATGGACCTTGTATGGACCTTGTCTTCATAAGATTGTATGGAACTTGTCTTTATATGAGTTTGTATGGAACCTATCTCAAAGTTCTATTTATTGTTTCACAAGTAAGAACTTCTTAGACATATTTCCTACAACCTCATACGAAATGAAAACTCATCTAAGACCAACATATAGGCTTATTTACATGTTTACATGTATTTTAATATTGTTATTTCAATTACTGCATTGACATGCCCCCCCCCCTCCCCAAGCTGCTCAGCATACATGATTGCATGTACATGTACCAGGTAATCTAGCTAAATTTGAAAGAGGTCTTGATATTTGAAGTAAAACGGTCCTAATCATATCATATGTATTATAGCTACATGACATCAGCATATTACCCAGCTTAAAAACATCGACTCACACATTATTTTACGCAACTTAGTTTTTTTTTTTTTAATTTCAGCGTCGAGCTCGATCGAGCTGTCAAACATTTTGTAATTATCATATAAGGCTATACTGTGATCCTACTGCCCATGGTCCACGGACCATTCAATTTCAATATGACAATTCTAAGATTTGTTAGCCGCACGGACATGGCTAGAGTCTCACCTGTTGGCTGTGCTTAGTTTTCTTGTGATGCCCTGCCAGAGACGGGGGCAGGTTAACATGTGTAACGATGTTCCAAAGGCCGTTTACATGTTGAGAAAGCCTAATTTGACAAGCGTTTTAATGAGTTAGAAAGCAGGACTGTATGGGAAAGGGTACATACAGATAAATTATACATGCACAAATTAGACATTAGTCCGGCGTGTTATCACGTTGAGACGGTTGGACCGGTTAAACTTGCAAGATACACGACGAGGCCGCTCTCGTTTATGCGGAAGTAACGGGACGCAGGTATCGTTTTCATTCCAATATGGCGGCCAATGACAAATTCCAAGACACTTCACTTTGACAATTTGTGGCCAAAGGGCCCCGGGTTACGCAAAAAGCTACCGTAGAAATCGATTCTTACAAGCGTTTTCTTGTCACAGAATCAAAATGGCCTCCGCTGACGATGATAGTGAAAATGACTTGCTAGGATTTTGTAATTATTTCGTTGAAGACGAAAAAGCTGAACAAGAGAGGAGATCGATGTGTTCCAGATGCAGGTAAAGTGTATAGTGTGGTTTTGTTGATGATATGATTACGGTAAAGGAAGACATGTCGGGCACTGTGCCCCGCATATGCCATTTCCTATAGATATCTAACGTTGTACAACAGGTAAAGGATCATCGAGAGATTGGATCAAAGGGGAGAAAACATGCTACAGTACATGTACAAGGACCAGAAGAGAGAAATCAACAGTTCCAATCAGTTATAATCTTCTTTTAAATCCAACAGTGAATCGGAAATTTCCAGGCACTTCAGCTAAGAAAATAAGAAATGGCACTACTTCTCAGAATGATTCCGAATTTGTTGAAGATGGAAACCAAATGAAATACAATGGTTTTGTTGAGTTTCTGAAATGGGGTTAACGCACATTGGAATGATCTAACCATTGGGTCCATCTAAAATACTGTATAAAAGTCAAAGTTTTAAGGACGCCACGCTCCTTTCCGCTGCCCGTGCCATGCATTAAGTTTGACCTAAAATGAAATAATTTTCCATCTCATATTATTCCTAAACTTTCTACAAAACTTATAATTAAAGCAAAGGAGATATATATATGAAGCATTTTCATGACTGAAATATGGATGTTGAAGAAGTAAATGTTATCCTTGATTTTATATGCATGATTTCTTATACTTTTTCTTTGAATGAAATTTGGACGTGACATTATGAATATTGCATGTTCATCATAGTTTGCATTAAGAAAGCATCAGAGTTGATAAAATTTATTACCACCTTCTTCGTAAACTTGTAATTCTATCCCATTGGTTAATCCCTATAATACAACATTTTCTCTCTCAGGAAATCTCAGAAATAATACAGTTGGAATAACTCTGATGATCTGATCTGCTACAATTAGATACAATGAAAGTACACTCCCATTATATGCATTTACTGTTTTAATGAAATTGATTGCGAATAAAACTAGATCCTTCCCAGTGTATCATTACCTACTTATCAAAGATATTGTCTCTCATTTTCTCCCATAAACTATGATACCCATCCTGATTATCTTGCCAAATCCTTTTTTGTAATTATATTACTCAAAACCTTTTTCTTGCAGTCGTCCCATAACTGTTTGCTGGTGTCCTTACTTACCAAAAGAACGACTGGATGTGAAAACAAATATCTACATACTACAGCATCCATATGAGGTATTTTTTCATTTATCAAAAATCACATATTTTTTTGCTTAGAGATCTGAACATGGTGGTTCAAAGATAAATCAAACAGTTCTAGATATTTTTGTTCAGATGATAATAGAGTTTGTCAAGAAGAGTTCTGTTTTATTATTGAAAAAGATTTATTAAAAGTTACATTCCTGTTTTCTGGTAGTTTAATAGATCCTTAGTGTAAGAAGTGTTTAATCACTTTTCCTTCAGACTTCCAGACGCTTGAAGACTGCTCCCATGCTATATCAAGGACTAGTGCCTGGAAAATGTCACATAATTGTTGGCAAGAAATTTTCAGAACATAGGTAAGAATAGATATATGAATGTAAAGGCAGATTAACATTAAGTGGTTCGAAAACTGAATCTTTGCCTAATTTCAGTCCCACTAGTCTCATGCCTACATGTCAAACATGTTTTGATTTAGTAATCATTTACTTAGAAAGTTTTGCAATTAAGTAAGTGGTTAATTAGTCTACCTTGTTGTGAAAATAAAACCCAGCTTAGAATAAGGCTACCATATTAGTGTGATGAAATTGTAATCTCTATGCATGTAGAGCTGAAGATCGGAGCAAATCAATAGAAAAGTAAAAATAAAATAAACAATAAAGTGGTTACAAAATCGACACAGAAATATATATTGATGTCAATAGTCACTTTGTCACGTGCAAGTTCTCAATAACAACACAACAGTTTTATGCAGATGTTACTTTTATATTCTCATTGAAAGATGTTAACAGTAGAAAGTTCTATACACGACTGACTCATCTGCTCACACAGCACTAGTTAAACCCCTGTGTAAATGTTTACGTTATCAGTGCCTGTCCTGTGTCAAACCCCTAAATCTATCCCCCCCCCCCCCCCAGACACCACATACTCATGATCATGAATAGACACCTAATTAGCCATTATCTAGGTGGTCTGTCTGGCAGGCCAGCATCCATGAAATTGACCCCTGGGTGACATACCAAATACATTGGATAACTTAAGATTAACTTGTAACCTGACCACTATAACGGTACCAGGCCTCTAACACACGTACATACACAGATAGGGGATCATTACAACTTGACATATTTGATGCTCATGTCAATTGTAAATTGCAAATGTCAATAAATATTGTTAAAATTTAAATATATACTTTTGATTAAGGAAATTTTATCAAAATCTTCTTTTCTAGGTATCCCCAGGTAAATGAGATTCTGAAAGCTCCAAACACCCTCTTACTTTATCCTGGTGAAGATGCAATGGATATTCAAGATCTTCCTCACCACCATCACAGCTATAATCTTGTGATGCTGGACGGTACATGGGCCCAGGCCAAAAACCTTTACAGTGCCAACAAGATCCTGTCCTACCCTAGAAAGGTAAATATACCTTTTTCAAACCCATTTTAATTAACGGTGAAGTAATGTTAAACCCCATTAAGTTAAGAATTATTGTGAAATCATCTACTTAAATTTGGTTCACAATATGAGTATAACATCAGAATGTGCACTTTTCTTAGAATAAAAGATCTTATAACAATCAGTAGAAAATTGGGTTTAATGTTTCTATGAATTCTTTGCCTCCTTCATCACACAGGGACTTGGCAGAAATTCCTGAACCATGGTCCGGGGGTCAGAAATTTGTGCCAAGTCCCTGTGCTATAGCAGAGAAATGACCAGTGTGAAGTGCACAAGCATTGACATAAATCGTCTATGAGATGGTTAGTAATCTACCAACTTTTCAGCTAGTATGTAATCCTGTGCATACTACAGTACATAGTTACCATTTTGTCTATTTTTCCCCTATAATCTGTTCACCATCTCATTACACTATTTTCAACCTTAATGTACATAGGATTATAGTACAAATTTGCACAAATTCAAACTTGGATTCCTAGAAGTACAAAAGAGCTGTATGATGCAGTTTGATTTACCGGGGGTATTATTTAAACTTGCGTGAAATGAAGCTGGGATGGTTCTGACCAAGGGCTGTTATTTTTCGGGTACGTCTGAAATCCAAGATGACCGTCATCTTGAAAAACATCTTTTAAACTTCTCCAGTTCCACTGGTGCCATTGAGCTAAAATTGATGGGAATGTCAAGGAAAGGTAGCCAACAATGTGTTGTGTTGTTATTTTTCGACCTTGTCAAATCTTTGATACAGTAGTCAGGGAGGCCATTTTGTTACATGATTGTGTAATCATGGTTTTCCTGTGCAACACCTATTTCAAAACTTCTTAAGTTTCACTAGTTGGATTGAGCCCCAACTTTACTCTCACATAATAGGTAACACCTGTTACAGTTACCTACTCCTCACCAAAACTACCATCTGCATCATGGAAAACAGCTTCTTAGAAAGATTTCAATCAAAGTGGAAAAAAATAACCCTTCTCTCTGCTGTAAGATTTTGTAGTCAGATGACTGTTAAGGCCCATGGGCCTCTTGTTTTACTCTACTGTATCTAACTAAAAATTTGTATCAAAAGGTGCAATGTATTTCTGTCTTTTGTACAATCTTCAAACTTCGTAGAATTTGCCACGTATTTGGTCTTGCACATGGATACACATCTACGACTTTCATACACTTTTTTCCATTTCAATAGAGTTTTCTCCTATTTGATTTTTTGGCAAGAAATTTAAAGTTTATGCAAAACATAATTTACTCTGTTGTTATAAATATGAAGTTCTATGTATCAGTCAAGATAATTAATTTTTTGGTTGGTGATGTAAAAGTTTACTTAGATGTCTGTTGTTGATGCCTCTTTAAAATCTCATTCAGATATTTTTCAAGATAAAAATGCATTAATCTCCTATCTGCTTGCTATGTTTATCAGGTGCAAATAAACAATAACCCTATCAGTAAATATGTGATCCGGACTCAGCCTACAGACACAGCCCTCTCTACACTCGAGTCTGCCGCTGTAGCTATATCCATCTTGGAAAAACGTCCAGAAATATTTGAGGTAATTCATCTTAACTTCCTGTAAAGTTTGTGATTGTACATTTGCTAGGATACTTTAGTGATATAAAGCTTTCTGGATAAATAAAATATTATTGTTAATATGTTATTTATATGATTATGGTACCCTGTTAGCATATGGCTTTATGGTCATTTTCAGCAATCCATCTTCAACAAGTCTACAGGAAGTAATGATTTGTTTTTCTCATTTGATCAATGTAGACCTAAAACAAGACAGAAATAGAGAGAAATATTTAGTATTTTACTTTAATTTTTTGTTTGATGAAATTGCAAGAATGAAAAAGTATGATTAGTATAAAATTAAAATTTTAGTTTTACATATTTGGGTAGTTATTTAAATGAAATTGTTGGATCTTAGATTATAAGAATATATATCTAGGAAGGTCTCTATTTGAGAGAAAAAAAATGCAGCTTTAATTCATATAACAATAATTGCTAAACAAAACATTAGAACTTGAATTAATCAGGCTTGCTAGCCCACATTTCAGCACAGGAAGGTCTTACTTTAAGAGAAAAAAGGAGTACTTGGGGGGAAAAAGTCTACATAGTCAAACAGGTGACCCCATACCTTTACAAATTGTTAACTGGTGTTGAGAGAACTTTTTTTTTGTTTCAGATGCTGACCAGGCCACTTGAAGCACTGTGTAATTTCCAGATGAAATTTGGTGCAGTTCAGCATCAAAGTAAAACATACAAAATTGAAAATGGACTTTGGAACAAACCTCTCTCTAAAAAATTCCTTAAAAAGAGAGAACAAGAAAAACTGAATCGCTTGGAACAGTCAAGCAGCTGACGTTGATGTGGACTGTTAGATTCCAAGTATATGATAAATTATGATGTGATGAAACTTACGTGATTCCCAACCAGCAATGAATAGTATGCTGGTTAATGATATAGTATTGATCTTGTTATAAACTTTGTATGATATTTTTTATTCTTCCTTGTTTTTTTTGTGTGTGTTTTTTCAATAATAAATGATGATAAATGTGGTGAAGAATATGCTTATATGTACTGTTAAATTCTGACAGGGATATTTAAAGAAGGTGTGATCCTTGCTCAGCTAGTAGATTGTTTGCATGATTTGACACTTTCTACCTGTGGCTGTTTTCTGTTTCTTGGGAATCTGGAAAAGAGACTGATATGTTCTGACATGGTTTAAAATAAATTAATCAGGCCTGTGATGGGCCTCCTGTATGTTGTTAGATAAGGTAGCCACCAGTGGTTACTACAAGGGGCCACCTCAAAATAACCTTGGCAGTTCACAGGTTGTTAAACTCAGCAAACAAACTGTAGAATACAAGGTTTGGGAGTTATTTCCCTTTGATTTCTATCATTTGATTACCAAAACTAGTAAAGACACACCTAACTGTGTGTAGATGTAATGTTACTTACATGTTTACTGTTGATATTTTTGTATGTATGATAGATCAGGCCAAAAAAGCAGGTGTAATCAAACAAAATTTGATATAGGTATTTTCATCTGAAAAGCAATTCCCTCCCATGTGATTTCAAAATTATACATTTTGCGTGGTGTTCATGTTTTTTTGGTTATATTACAAGACAACTTGACTTATGCCTCTTGATTCCATGGGGAACAAAGGGCCACAACAACTCCTCAGATGCACTCGGTTCTGACTGGTCCTCTTTAGCTTGGTCCACGTCATTCTGGCAGCCTTCATCTTGACATCAATGCTACTCCGTCAAGTCTGCTATGGTCAAACCACTTTCCACTTCCCTTGTGGATTCCAGTCAAGGGCCTACCTGGTGAGGTTGGATGCAGGCTGTCGTAGCTTGTGACCTATTCAACCCCATTATTGCTTTTTGATATTTCTCTCTGTTGGGGCTTGTTTTGTCATGTCCCTAAGTTGTCTGTTGGAGATAACCTCTGGCCCCTTGATATAGGGGATGTTTCTAACATATCTATCAATGATTGTCTGTAGCTTGTTCATGCTGGTCCAGGTCACTTGCCACCTTTCTGAACCAAAGAGTAGGACTGACTTCACATTGGTGTTGAAGATCTGGATCTTGTTGCAGAGCTAGATTTACTGGCTACACTGCCCAGGCAGACAAACTTATCATGTTCCTTAATGTTTTCTTGGTGTAGTTGCATTAGATCATGTTGTCCATTTTTCACTCTAATGACCTTGGTCCTCCTGATGTTGATTTGGAGCCAAGTCTTCCCTGCTTCTGGCAGAGAAGGCTGAATGTTGTCTGCGACAGCCAGGTCTTCTAGCTGCTTCGTGAGGGGCCACTGGATACCGACTCTCCAGCCTGCTGTAGACTGTCCCATGACCAAGTCAACCACCATCATGATGGTGTCAACTTTCTTCTGAAAATCCACAAAGACTGTACAAAGGGGTCTGACTCTCCAGGAACTGCTTGTTGGTGATACACATGGATGCGATGTGGTCCGTGCATAAGTGATCTTTTCGGAAGCCTGGCTGTTCGTCCTGGCATGTCTTTACAAGGCGAACTCAACAAAAATATCAACACTCTCTCACTCTGCATCATCCTCTGGAAAGTCATAGGTCACCCAAACATTGTTAGTATATTGTATTTTATGAACATTCCTCCTGTGATACCAGCCCCCACCAAAGTTACAGACTACATGTGTAGCATGCCAATTTATAACAACAATCCTATCTGTTACAATAATATATTTGTAACAAATTGGAATGTATTTGACAGGATACTGTGTTCAAATTTGTTACCATAACATTTGTAACAATTTAGAATGCATTTGACCAGCACAACATTTTTTTTACATTAACATTTGTCAGAAATTGGGACATATTTGACGGGATATAGCATGCCAATTTGCTACATCTACCCAGTTTGCTACATTCACATTTGTAATAAAAATTAGGGTGTATTTGACAGGCACAATAACAAAATTTGTCACAATAACAAGTATTTATGACATAAACTTTATTGTTACTGTTGTTAAGCCACTGAAGGTTTAGGATGAAAGCCCTTAAGCTTTTGTGCTTGCAATGATTTTTTCTGTATTTAAATCCAGACAGGGAGAAAAAAAGGTTTTTTCTAACGGACTAAATTATTATCACTTTCTTTGTGATTAAAAAAAATAAAATACCGTAACAATTGATTCAAACTCTGGTTTTGATCTTCAACTGACAATATACAAAACCAAATCATTTTTTTTTCATTTCATTAAAAAAAGTAAGCAGGTACCAACAGGACCAAGGCAGAATTTGAGCAAGATCCAACAAGCACTAACAAGTACAAATTTTAATTTTCGAAATGCAAGATGGCCGCCCTTCAGATATACTTTTTTTCTGGTCAGTCTGAAAATGGAGCGTCACAAGAATGAATCAGGATAACCATCATACGAATTTTAAGACTGATCCATTAAATGCTTTGCAAGAAATGTCGATAACAAAATTTAACTGTCAGAATGACGACATCCTGGCTTTCATTCTGTTTGTCTGGTCTGTTTCAAAATTGACTGAGCACTACTAAAGTCCATCTCACCTGACCAAGATAATACAAATCAGTGGCTTTTAAAAACGATAAGAGTGAAAAAGAAGAAAAGATATAGAATCTCCTATGAAATCACGGGAGTCTCATTCTTATTTCATGCCAAAATCCGAGTGAGTTTTGTGACGAATGGACATGATAATATGTTGTTGGGTCCACAGGCACTCGAGGCCAGGATATTATTTTTTAAACATTGATTTTTGTTTTAGCACTCATAACTGACGTTATTTAAACGAAATATCAGCAGAATTCAAGTTTATGTGCCGGTTGACAAATCCGAGGTCCACGGTCATTAAAAAAGGTGTATTTTTAATGACCGTGGACCAAAAATCAATGATTTGTCAACCGGCACGTAATATCCCTCACGTAAAATGACGACCACGAACGGTTTTCTAGCTTACTTGGACCCGGTATCCTAAATATTTATATAACTAATATATTTAAATTTCCAACAAAGATTTTAATTGGTGAGTTTACTAAAACAAAAATCAATGTTTAAAAAATAATATCCTGGCCTCGAGTGCCTGTGGTCCGTCCGTCAACCTGTTCTACGAATCGCTAATAGTCATGCACGACTGAACAAAATGTTTTTACCAACTTTGGTATGATGTGTCCTTTGGAGGGGGAAAGTGGAACAAAATTTGTATAAATAGTGGGACCCGACCCCCATTGGCCTGGGGGCAAAAAGGTGAAACTTTGCAAGTCTTTTTTTGTAAATCCTACTCCTCCAGAAGAAATGATTGGATTTTGTCCGAATTTGATCTAAGCATTATTATTTGTGAAAGGAAATCAATTTTGTAGGTTTGGCGGGACTGGGCGGGGCCCGGGTTTGGCGGGGTCCAAAATCAACATTTTGTGAGGTTTTAAAGTGAAAATATAGAGGACAGTATTAACGGAGGAAACCTTTTGGTTGTGCCGTTTTTAATTCAGAGTGTAACGTTTATGTCCGTAATAGGACATTACAATCGATATTTGGCTGGCGTATCCAATGAAAATCGCTCCCGGATATATGACAACAACGACTTCACTGAATAACAAGCGTATTGTGTGATGAAACTTTTTTCTAAACGCTATGTTCCCTTCAAAACCCATAGTGAAAAAAAACTTATAATACTATATATGAAGTACACATACTAGACACACTTTCAGCGGTAATTCACCGATCTGGCTAGTTCGGTGTCTCTGAAATTCTGAAGTATCACCTAGTCATCGATTGCAGAATGACTCAACACAATAAAAAGACATTCTGTAAATGACTATAACTAAACAACCAAGAAACGAAACCTTTAAATTCGTGAGGTATTTTCTATTGAATATATACATTAATCAACCATAGAAAAACATACGTGACAGCAATCTTTCTACAAATATGTGCAAAATAACAGTACCATTTACTAGGGACTTATGATACAACTGACTTGGATAAAGATATACAACTAATTCTGTGGTATTAGAGTGGGATAAGAAACTAAGAAAATAGGCCCAGTGGTGACAGTGGCGTAGCCAGGATCTAAAGTTGGAGGGGAGGGCAAAAATCTGGCAACGCCTGCGAAGCCGTGCGTCGCGAGCGCCGAATGCGCGAAGCTTTGCCGAGGGGTCTGGGGGCCCTCCCCCAGAAAATTTTGAAAATTTTGGCTCCATTTCCTGCATTTTGAGCGTATTTTGAAGGAAAATAACGGATTTACACGTTTCACAAAAGTCACCTCTGGGACAATTGGGGGGGGGGGGGGGCAACTCAATTGGGGGGAGGGGGGACAGTTGCCCCCCCCTTGCCTACGCCAGTGAGTGGTGACTCCTCTGGTTTTAGCTAGTGTGTTTGTTCACTGAGCCGTGAAGCCTTGAAGTCTCCTCTCCTTACTGCTGTTATCTAATCTTATCTGCATGTGCCTCAACGATATAGTTTGTGTGGGCTTGACCAGAGAGTGTTTGTCGGCCGCTTGAAGTGAAGGTCATTTTCTCAACAAAAATGATACCAATGAACTAAAGTCATGTATAATAAAAGTTACATGAATCAATCGGAAAATTACTCGGCTTTTTAATTCCATCTGTTTAAAGATTTTTTTGTCTTTTTTTATATTTCGGACAGATAGTGGCATACGTTGAGGATGGTATTTCATCTGTATATAGCTTAAACATACATTTTGTTTGACAACTATCAAAAGTTAACAGAAATTACTTGTCACAAAAGTGAGCATTTGATAAAATGGTTTTGCTTTCTATAACAGTTTATTTTGAAAAGACAGCAAGGTTAATTAACTTGAATTTCTTCTGCAGTGTTACAAAAAGATAAGGCAGTTTCTTATGCCTATATATCATACGTTCATGCATTTCTAAGCATAAAACTTACCACTGTTATCTCAAGGATGTGTTTACCTCATTTTCTTATGTTAGTATCACTAACGCATATTGATATTGTTTCGATGAACCCTATTAGTCACTCTCACTCAATACCGTTATTTGTCTCGCTGTCCTGGGCTCTGCCTGTATTATTGGGCCGTGACTTCCGGATATTAGCGCTACCCAAGTAACAAAAAAACTGTCTGACTTCCAGACTTCTGGAGTATGGATTTGCGAATACCATATTTTTGCCATAAATGGCCTGCTTTTGACGAAGTAGTTACTGACAATCGCGGAATAGAATTCTGGAAAGTTCATTACTCGAGGAATTAAAAAGGACAATAACAAGGACCGGCAGGTAGATATACTGATTTTAATTTCTCCACCCCACTAACAACACTGTCTGTACAGACGCTCGTGTTTTGCAGTTGTCTGGAAGTGTATGTTTACTGAAAGCCCTGATGTACTATGATATGTAACAGAGTCCTCGGTTGGGAATGAATCATATGCTTAAGTCCATGATAGTAGTTGAAACTGTGCATGATAAAATATTCCTTGATGTATTCCTACTTATGGTACACACACTGATCAGTAAGTCTTGTAAGTACATAATCCCTTTTGGGACTTGGGAGGGGGTTAGCAAGCACTAGCCTAAATATACCGTTCTGCTAGAGAGAACGTCTCTTTAGCTTAATCGTTTAATCTTTGACTAGTAAGTCTGAGGCCCCGGGTTTTTATTGAGACATAGAAATTTTAAAAAAATGACATCTGCTACAATACTCCTCTATAAAATTGACAAAAGACACACTCATCCCAGCAGATGCTAGAACAAGACCATTTTCGTTTGTCTGTCTGACTGATTGGATAAAGGTTGTTTGTTTTTGAAATAAGGTTGGACTTACTGATCTCAGTTTGCTTTCTGAAGAGCTTCGACTTAGCATATCGAGGCCTGTATTGATATTTGCAGATCAATTCAGATTTATGACTGAAATGTTACATCTATAGTTACAACAGACCTGTTTGTCTGATTACACAAACAGACCTCTAGACATGTGCCTCCTTTCACATTCAAACATATAACATTAGTAAAATGGAATCCCCCGCATTTAGCAATCAAACCCTCTCCCTACCCAGCATCTACATAATTTCCAACATGGATTGAAATATATAAAGAAAGAAAGAAACCCATTATACTTATAAATCACAGGTATCTTAGTTCTAGAACATATGTACAAGTTTAAGAATGAAACTACCTATTTTGATAAATGTAACATTTAGGTATAGATAATTATCTTTATTTTTATTTCTAATTTTTCAGACATCATGGCTGTAAATGTACACATACATTCCAAGTTTGGGGAGCACTTCCATTCCAGTTGGGTGCTAGAAGACTGTGAAATGATAGCAATGCCTAGTGGCATGGATGGATTTTACCAAAGACTTATCACCAACAAGGAGGTTAATGAATTGCCACTGCAGGCTATCAACTTGCGGGGTCCAACTCTCCCAGACTTTGACAATGATGGAGTCAGTGCAGATGAACAAGAACATTTGATTAATGCTTTACTGGGATCCCAGCTTAATTTAGCTAAAACTGTATGTAGTTTATCCAATTTTTCAAAGTCTCTTTACAAAAGACTTGTGGTTCTACAGAGAATATACACAGCCGTGTCTGTCAAACACCACAACAAATTTTGCCTCACGTCTGGCGTAGATAAATCTGAACTTATTGGAGGGATGCGATCAGGAAAAGTGTTTGAAAAAACAGAAGGTGTTGCTTCATGTGTGTCAGAGTCGCAGAGAAATACAGCTTTGTTAGAACTTGGTGTTAAAACAGGGTTGAGTTTGCTGTTTTCACTATTAAAGCAAAATTGGATGTTAGCTGGAAAGTTGCAGCATTTTTGTATATGTAATGATATTCTACAAACTGCCATTTCTGTTGTATCGTCTTTTCCACCCCTTTCTCTTGCTAATGAAGCAAAGATTACTCATCTAGGTATTGAATCTTTGAACGAAGTCAACAAATTTTTACGACAAGCTGCTAGTCCACAGTCTGGAGCAGATTTAGAAGGACAGCGTCTTGCATCAGAACTTATGATCTCCCTGGCTGCTCAGCGCGGCTCACTTTGTTATGTGCTTGATTGGGTGGATATGGCACTACACACGTCTGTAACAGTTCTCTGTGATCAGAAAGGAGAGGAAAAAACAGAAGCTGGGAAAATCAATTGGAAATTCTTTACCGATATTGTGACGCAGATGATCAAATCAGTGGTATTAATGAAAACATTTCTGTCCAACTTTTCTTTGTCACAATTTCACAAGTACAGTTGTATTAACATATACTTTAATACATTAATTACCATACTTATCTGTTATTTAGATATAGCCCATGTCTGGTAATAAACTTACACATACTGTTGTACTTACAGCAGAAATTCCTTCAGATATTTTGTATGCATATCGTTGTTCAATGAACCCTTCATGTTTTTCTGAAATTTGTAATGTCAACACATATATTTTTATTGTCTAAAGGTATCATTAGGTATGCGCACAAGGTTAACAGCATTGAATAATTTACTGTGTACTTTAATTATTTTTAAAAGGGAGGACCACCGACATTGACTTCAATGTTTGCAAGAAACCCACCAGTAGACCAGAATGGCTTAGTCCCTCTCTACTTAGCTGCAGTTGTACTTTTGGAAGAGGTAGGACTTGAGTTACTTCCCCTAGTCTAAATGATCTGTGAACATATGCTGTACATTGCATGGAATTATGTTGTCCTTTTGGTTTGGCCGTGAACTTTTTTTTTTAAGTGCTAGTAGTCAAAAGCAAGTATTTTTGACCAACAAAACTGATTTTAGCTTTCAAACACAAAATTACTGGCCTCAGATGCAGTGATCAGAAGTGAATTCTGTTCCCCTTGTTCAATCTACAAAGTTTATACCTTGTGAAAAAATCCCCTTTTTTGATATAAATTGGTAAATAACTGGTAACATTTCCAAAAACGTAACAGAAAATATTAATTTATACAACCATAGATTTATAATAGCAGTACTATTTACAATTATATTTGATTATTTGCTATGTAATCTGATATTGTCTCTCTATTGTGATCTTGGTGCAATAGATTCAACATTGTAGTAGCTTATTTGTTTAAGATTTATCACCGTGTGAACAGCCAGGGTCATTTTGAGATTGTGTTCCCTAGTAGTAGTTAGTGGCCTCTACCTTGCTGAATAAGTTGGAGGTTCTTAATATGTTATCTTAATCAAATAGGATAAAGAGTCCTGGAAGTATGACCAAGGTCACAACCAAAACGCATGCTGGTTCGAGATCTTGGCTTTTTCATGGTATTGTTGTTTCTCAGAAAACGTATGGTGTCCATATGGCGTGAGTACATGTGTATATGGTGATAGGTCCTGTCCCCTTCTTTTTATTTCAGCTTTACAGTTTAGCTGCAGATTACGAGAGTAATTGCTGTCTGGGCCCTGATGAGAACTCCAACAATTCATTGACTTCTAACAGCAACAACAATATGGGCACTGGAGCTGGAGGTAGCTGTGAGGTTTACATCTGGGGCAGCAACAGCAGTCATCAACTGGCTGAGGACAGACAGGAAAAAATACTAGCACCAAAACAAGCCACATCTTTTAAAGAGTGTCAACAAGTATGTACCTGTTTTCCAACTAACAATATTTGGCTGGGAGAGTTATCTAATACCATACGACTTAGCTAGATCTGTGTTATCTTGATATGATTTCATGAATCTATAAAGTAATAAGTGAACCAAATTCTTCTGTTTATGATAAACCTCAGATTGTCAGAATAGAGGCTTCTGGTTGATTATTTATGATGATACCTGTCGGCAGTATTAAATAGTTTTCCATAGGGATAGTATATCTAGTTGAAATATTAATTGCAGTTGCAATTATCACATCTAATGTTTTTGTACAGATCGAGGCAGGTCAGTTCTGTTCATTTGGAATACACACTGATGGCTCTATCAGTGCTTGTGGCAAAGGCAGTTATGGACGACTAGGTTTGGGAGACTCCAACAACCAAACAACACCCAAAAGATTAAATTTTGAACCCAACAGGAAAATAAAGAAAGTCTCATCATCGAAGGGATCTGACGGACACACACTGGCTCTGTCAACTGATGGAGAAATATACAGCTGGGGAGATGGTAAAAGAAAAAAAGTGTTTGATGCAAGGACACAACTGGGGTGGTAGGGGAGAGAAAAAATGTGTTGTAGGGATAAAGCTTGGGTGATATTGGAGAGAAATGGTGTTGCAAGTGTACAGCTCAGGAGATGGTTGTCGGTATCAAATTTTTAAGAAGAGTTGAGATAATTTTTTATTAATAAAGCTTGGGACAGAGATAGAATTGGTGAAGGTGGGAAGAATTTGTATTTATAATTATGTCTGCTCAACAGGTTCTTTGTGGTAGCCCAAAATCTTAACCATGATTTGATTGTATGTTTTGTACAGGAGAGGAAGAAACATACTGTAGATTATGTAAAGGTTAGCTTGTAATAACAAAATGTTGATTATAGTTTTCTGTACAGTGATCTTGCACTTTATTTGGCTTTGTTTACAGGTATTTTTCTAATATATCTAATATGTCTGCTATAGATTACAGCATTTTGGATTTCCAGTAGTTGGATTCTATAATTGAGTATGTGTTTTGATTTTGCAGGGGATTATGGCAAGCTTGGTCATGGCTCAAGTTGTACAGTGAAATATCCTAAGCTTGTCCTAGGACCATTGGCAGGGAAGGTAAAGGCTGCAGATTTCGATAAAAAAAAAAAATAAAAAAAAAATAAATATCTAGTTCTCTCTATGTACCAAATGTAAATCTTAGTTTTGTGTATCACAATAATTTCTGTTTTCTAGGTCACATGAGACATAATTTGAAGTTACAGACAGCTATCTTGAATTTTTTGAGTTGATTAAATGTTTATGGATTTTTTTCTAGAATAGGAAAGATGAGTCCCTCCTAAAGAAAAATAAAGAAATGAATACAAAACCTTATAACAATACCTAAGCAGATTAAGATATTTACATTGTGTTAAGGCCATAGGATGTATCCAATTTTACAGATTGTGAAGTGTGTAGCAGCTGGTTATAGACACAGTGCTGCAGTTACAGAGGATGGGGAACTTTACACATGGGGTGAAGGGGACTATGGCAGACTGGGTATGTGTCTCAGATTTCTTCTCTACCAATATATGTAAAATGTAAAGTAAGAAAAAATGAAAATAAGCACCAAAGCATAATGATGCTTGAGAAGAGACTTTCCCCCTCGTGTGCCACTTACAAGGTAAAAATAAGCAGGAGGAGGTGGAAAGTCATAGCAAGTTTTCTCTTTCCCTTCTTCACTCACAGGTATTTAGTTAAATTGGAATTACTACAGATTACTTTGTAATTATCAAATCATTTGTTATGACCCACTATCATCTTAATTTCACAAAGAAGTATTATTGGGTGTCTCTATTTTCCAAAAGATTGTATGAAAGACACACAAGTGAATAGCACCCTTTAAGATAAATTTAGATACATTAGAGCCAAACAATGAATGAAACTGCATCAGAAAGCCATTTCATCCTTTTAGGAATGATCAGTGATGTAAGGCCCTAAGTTTTGAAGCCTAGGAAGTGACTAAAGACAATTCAAAGTTACAAAAAAAAAAAAAAAAAAACTGTGTACACTTCATGAAAGAAGCAGTTTTGTGGGAGTGTTGAATCAGTATTAGGGAATTAAGTGAAGTAATAAGATTTCTTGATTCTTTAATGGTCAAAGTTTGATATTTTTTATTAAGTACTACAATGATATATGTATACTGCAATATATTGGTCTTAAAACAAGTCTACCAGTAGACAAAATCCAGTTCTTACTGTTTTTATGTTGACCAGAGGCGTTGTGATTTCCTTGTCTCTACCTCCATTTTGCAACACAAATTTGTCCTATTTTTCACTTCTGTGATACTGTCTATTTGGACCGGTGTCTGAGTAGTGGAAATTAATGTGTCATGTTATCATGCTGATAACTCATTAATTTTGATAAAGTTTAAATTTGAAAATTCAGTCTTACCATGAAGTAGATACATTTAGGTTAAATTGCATCACATTTGATGTCTGTATTACTTTTAAAGGTCATGGTTGCAGCAACAGTAAAAGTTTCCCTACACGAGTGGCAGATATTTCCAGCGTGGGTCAGGTCAGCTGTGGGGGCTCCCACACCATGGCTGTCTCTCAGGATGGCAAACATGTCTGGTCATTTGGGGGAGGAGACAATGGTTTGTATAGTGAACAGACAAAAATAATGTGTATTTATTGAGAAATAAGTTTATACAGTTGAAACCACATAATGTCATGTCAGTTAATGTCACTTTTTTTACGAAAGCTTTCCGGGCTTTTTTAGGTAATGCTTTGAGTTATCGAAATGAAATTTGGCATATGGCTTTTTGTTGCAAGGGTACAGATTATGTTCGATTCCCGGCTGTCTGTGACCCTTTTTGGAAGAGTTATGCCCCTTTCAACTTAGAAAATTTCCTGGGAATATTGTTTTCCGGACTTTTTTGGCTTATGGAATTAGGTATCAAAATAAAATTTGATAAATGGCTTCTTGTTGCAAGGGTACAAATTAAGTTTGATTCCCGGCTGTCTGTGACCCTTTTTGGAAGAGTTATGCCCCTTTCAACTTAGAAAATTTCCTGGGAATATAGTTTTCCGGACTTTTTTGGCTTATGCTTTGAGTTATCGAAATGAAATTTGATAAATGGCTTCTTGTTGCAAGAGTACAAATTAAGTTTGATTCCCGGCTGTCTGTGACCCTTTTTGGCAGAGTTATTCCCCTTTCAACTTAGAAAATATCCTGGGAATATTGTTTTCCTAACTTTTTTGGCTTATGCTTTGAGTTATCGAAATGAAATTTGGTATGTGGCTTCTTGTTGCAAGGGTACAGATTAAGTTTGATTCCTGGCTGTCTGTGACCTTTCTTGGCTGAGTTTTGCCCCTTTGAACTTAGAAAATTCTCTGGGAATATTGTTTTCTTGACTTTCTTTGGTTATGCTTCAAGTTATAGAAATGAAATTTGGTATTACAACTTCATGGTTGATCGTTGCACATCCAGTTCAGTTTCTGGGTGACCGTGACACTTCATGCAGGTGACACATACAGTTCTGAGCAACACTTGTTTTCCTATATACTCGTTTTTCAGGTTATCAGCCACACCAGTATATAAGCTGCAGAGCCGAATTTTTCGATTTGATCCACAAATAAGCCACACCCTTATTAGAAAGTGGTAACCATTACATTGACCAAAGTTGGTTGGTTTAACCGCTATAGCTTTGAAGTAACCTTGAAAGTCCAGAAGATATGATCAGTGATTAATTATATCCACAAGAATGTTATATTTTTTTCAATTTTCAAATCATCCTGTATATGATTGCAATGAGTGTTCTAGATGATCTGTTTCAGTCACAAACACAAGATAGGCAGGTACTCATAAAAAAACTAAATACAGCCTCGTATTGGTTGTACCGGTACGCTTCCTGGTTTTTTTCATCTTTTTTCCATCTTGCTGATTTTATTTTTCGTCCACATATAAACCACACTTTTTTTCCTCGCGGGTCGGGTATGCAATTTATAATCCAGAAAATATGATATTGTATGTAATCCAACATTTGATGATGTCACTTCTTTTCACATGGACATTGCTTAATATCATTGATATCACTTCATTTTGACAACTATCACAAAAACACCTACAGGTAAATCACAGTTTAGTGAGGATAATAACTATGGATTTATGCCTTAAAGGCCATGCATCACACCTGAACAACTTATGTAAACACTGTCACTGCCCTACTAACCAACTTTTACTCTTCAGATCCAGCTAGGTTCAGGGAAATCTGGTGCATTTGTTTTTTGATTGACAAGTGCAAACCAAGTGTTAGAATTTGTTTAAAAAATCCTTTGTCATTTGGAACTTTTCATGATGGTTAGATTATTGTGTGAGAGGGCGCCATGCAGCTAAACGAAATGTCTTGAAAATGAATCTTTGGTATGCATATTTGGATCAATTTTATAACGAAAAAGCTTGTTTTTCAAAAGACATGATGAGAAAGTAATCAAACATGAGCAATAATTTACTTTAAATTGTGTTTGTTTCTTTTTACAATGACCCAAGGGACACCAAACCACAGCATGTCAATGTCATCATTATGAGTGGCACTTTAAATTTCCGTCAACACACTTCCTATACAAAGTTTAAGATGATGTTAAAACAACTTAATTTGAATTTCATGAAATTTCATGAATTAATTAGATATAAAAACATATATAAAACATGCCCCAAAAAGCTTCATGGGGCTGCTTATGCCTTTGCTGGTATTGTAATCATCTTTCTGAAATGGGTATGTAACATATCTTATGGAATTCAAATTGAAAATTCATTTGGTCATATCAAAACATCGATGTTGTTATCTTTCATTAAATCATTTATTGCTCAAATTATTGTCAGCACTGGCAGGGTGACTGTCAGAGTGTAAGGCCGATTTCACATAACTTGTTGAAGTGGTTTAGACAGCTTGGAATTCTTCCACTATAACCAATCATACTTACACTTGATGTTGAAAATGTTACACATGTAAATCTTGAAATGCACAGTTTCCAAATTTTTTTGTGAAATATAAAGTAAGGAAAAACATTAATGATATGTTCCAATTTAACCTATTCTGAATACTATAACATTTCAGAAACATGTACATGCACCAGCCCTGTTTTATACGGAAATTCTGGAAACTAATGATATTAAGCTATTGAGATTTGAACAGGTATAGCTGGCTGCCCCCCTCTTCTCTTCCTCAAATTGCATGTGCCAAATCCAGCCTCATTTCTGATTTTAGCCTCCCAATTCTTTGAAGATTCAGCTGTTCAAGCTGTTTTAACCGCTCACTCCAAAGTAACCAATTTGTTATGTATCAGATAAATATTCAGTCGCCATTTCTGTCAGAGGTTTGTTTGTCTTGTAGGAAAACTTGGACATGGAGACACCAACAAGCAGTACAAGCCAAAACTGATTGAAGCCTTGGCTGGTCTTTACATAAGGAAGGTGGCCTGTGGGAGCCAGGCCTCTATGGCACTTACCTCGACTGGTCAGGTGGGTAACTGTTAGATGGCTAGGCAGGTAATCAAATGTTTTTATCTGTATTCTGTATAGAGGCTTCATGTGTAGATATTACACAGCAGAAAAAGGGGGAATATCCAGGCACAGGAATCACACAGAGATAAGAAAATATCTCCATGAAATCCACATGATGCTGTATAATTCAAAGATGGTGCAAAAGACACATGAGAGAATAGCAAGATTTAATACAAATTTAGATAATTTACATGTTACAATATTGTCAAACACTGAATTAGCCTGTATCATACAGGTTTCATCATTCTAAGATTCATCCTTGTGCTAAGGGCCCTAAATGTTAAACCTAGAAGGTAACTAAGGAAAATGCAAAGTGATCTACAGAAATGTCAAAATCTAGATGGAGAGGTGCTCAAGTCCCATAATTCAGTAAATTTCTTGAGTTGTTATGAAATAGATTAAGGATCAAAATTACTTCAATACAGATTTTAGTAGTTTTTAAGGTAAAGACAAAGAATAAATTTGATATATAAAAGTATAGTTATATCTGAAGTAACAGCATTAGTTATATTATTTTGGTGTTTCAGTTGTACGCCTGGGGTTGTGGGTCCTGTTTAGGTTGTGGATCTGAAGATTTTACTGCCCTTCGCCCACGTCTAGTGGAGGACCTTCAATCAAAGAGAATAGTAGACATATCTTTTGGAGACAGTCACTGTCTTGCACTCTCACATGGTAAGTCTGTTAGAGGACTATCTGACATTTATAGGACGCAAAATGAAGAAATAGAGAAAAAGAGAACCAATTTCATAGTAAAATGTTATATGATGAAACTTAATATTTTGTTCATATTTTGATTTTTTTTGTGACTCAATATTAATCCATAAATGGTAATACTGTATCCAAAGAAGTCCAGCTTCCCTTACTTTCTCTGATTACATTTCATGTATTGAAAGCTTTTAACACAGATTTTTCCATGCATATATTACTATGAATCTGTATTAACAAGTCATGTGCACTGATGTTTAGCTCACCTGGTCCAAAGCACTGGTGAGCTTATACCAAAAGGCAAAATGCCTGTCGTCTGTCTGTCTGTTTGTCAACTTTTTCTACAAATCGCTATTAGTCATGAACGTCCAAGTGTATTTCATCAGATATGGTTTTAAGCATCTTTGTGGGAAGTTGAGCAAATTTTTATACAATCAGTGGGTCAGGACCCTATGGGTGCTGGAGGGATGGGGCCCAATAGGGGAAATAGAGCTAATTCTTTAAAATTCCACTGCTGCTGTAGGAATGATTAGAATTTGCCCAAATTTGGTCTGAAACATTCTTTAGTGATGGGGAAATTGTATAAATGGTGGGTCTCAAGCTTCCAGGGGTGGGAGGGGTTGGGCCCAATAGGGAAAACAGAGGAATTCCATTAAATACTTACTCCTCCTGTAGGAATGATTGAATTTTGCCCAAATTTGGTTTAAGGCATTCTTGCGTGAAGTGTAATCAGTTTTGTATAAGCTGGATCTTGACCCTGGAAGGGGTAGGGCCCAATTGGGAAAATAAAGGAAATTCTTAAAAATCTGACTACTTTTGTGGAAATAAATGAATTTTGCCCAGATATGCTCTGATGCATCCTTGTGTAATTGCAAGTCATTTTTGTATATGTGATGGGTCTAGGCACTTTGGGATTGGAGGGGCAGGGCCTATTTGAGTGGAATTAAGGCAAATTCTTAAAAACACTTATAGGAATGGTATGAAGCATGAATTGTTTGTCTGACCCCCTGACAGAGGAGTGGGGCCCAATGGGGAAATAGATATGTATGTTGTGTTCTGGGAAATTTAGAAATCCTCTTCCTGTAGTTTGAACATAGCAGTTTCAGCCAAACAAAACCAGGTGAGCAATACAGACCCTATAGGCCTCTTGTTTTATATACATAGATAGTGAGGTATTTGCCTGGGGTAACAATGCCATGGGCCAATGTGGACAGGGTCATGCCCAGAGTCCGATCACGCGCCCTAAGAAGGTGTTAGGTCTAGAGGGAGTCAGTGTTCACCAGATATCTGCTGGTACCTCCCATAGTGTGGCTTGGACCTCCCTCCCTACAGACAGGTAAATATACAAATCTTTTGTTTCATGCTATCTTGATTTTCTTTATATCTCATTACAAAATAAACGTATTTTGTTTAAAGTATTTGATATTATTATATCTTTTCCTAATCTGCTAGTTTAAAAATAGGACAGTATTTTCCCTTGGAATCATGTTCTTTTGGACACCAGTATCATTGTTAGATCAAATATGGTTTACATTTTACACACATTCTTCTGAATAACCTTAAGGCCCAGGGTTATGAGTTTTGACCAGTATTATTCTGGAAAGAGGGATGATTACATTAAAAGAACTAAAGCTATATATCATCCTCATCAACTGTGCAAGTCTCCCATTCTTTTTATAAGCTGTAGAAAAATTGAGTAACACTATATTATGCTGCACTTTGTTCACAGACATGTGGTTGCATGGCATAGGCCATTTTGTGTGGACCTGCAGGAAGCCACATTTGCAACATTGAGATCATTCCTAGAGCACTACTGTGATGGCTTTGATCAGGATAAACCGCCCAAACCCTTTACAACCAAACAGTAAGTGTTAAAACACGTCTAAGTGATAGTGTTAATGAATTAATTTGGAAAATAACAAAGACAAGAAACAGCTGGTTTCTATTATGCCCTGGTAAATTTGGATCATCCTATAACAGATAAACACAGTTATTTAGCTCATTAGATAATAACTTCACTAATTTCTTTGGTACAAAAGATTCCTATTGTGATGTGGTATCCCACAAAAGTTTATACAATGTTATGCCTTTGATTGTTTCCCCAGGAAAACTTGTATTGAAGCATATTTAAACGCACCTCTCCAGGGAAGCAGATTTTGAGCATTCTTCCTGTAAATGTCTCTCAAGGGAATCATTGTTCTGTACCTTATTAGAGTATTTCTTTATTAAAGTCAGTTTTCCTACTAAGACAAACTTTTGGTTTTAGTGTTATGATTTTTAATAAATGTCAATGTTTACATTGCAGTGATCATCATCACTTCGTCCAGCTGTGTTTGAAGATGTTGGGTACCCATCTGTCACTAGCTGTAGCTGGAGGGATGACCAATGTGTTCCTCGGGCAGCAAGCTGCACCAATCAGAAACCTTCTTTTTAGACTCATAGATACAAACATGCCAGCCACCATACATGGGGTATGTTAATACAAATGCATAAATTTTCAAAATGGTGGTTTTTTTTTGCATATTACCAGTAATTCAGTTTAAGTTTTTGACAGCAATTCCAATTTAAACATATTTGAAAAATGGAAGGCATTTGAACTGTTTGAATCCCAAAAGGAGTCTTTGTTTCTGGTGAATCCTGAGCAATGATAGAGTTCCATAAACATTTTACATACATTTCAAAACTTATTTGCTTGTCTAGATCAGTTGGTGAGCTAATGTTACCATGGATTTTGAATTACCTCTACGTCGTTGCTAGAAGTACAGGTGATGACTCTTTTACAGATCGTAACAGAGACACTGTCTGTAGGAGCTCCACTGCTTCTACCTCCTCTAAGAGAGAGAATGGAACTTCTCCACTCCCTTTTACCTCAAGGACAAGACAGATGGGAGAGTCTATCACAAGGGCAGGTAAGGCTTCATTAAATTACAAAAATCAGTCTGATGTATACTGTGTAGTAGGGTGGTCAGATGGCGCAATGGTAACACACTTGCTTTTCACTAGCCATCCAAGGTGTGATTACTGCAATGGATATTAAAAGGTATGGGGTCACCTGTCAACCACATGGTTTTTCTGGATACTCCATATTCCTAGTAAGACCCATCGTGTGCTTCCATCCAGGCCAACAAGGGTGATTAATGTAAGATGGAAAAACTTGTTTTGCAATTGTAGTAAAATGAATTCAGTTTATTATGCTACTCGAAAAAACATTGTGCAATGTTACAAATTCAGGGCCTACAATCCCTTAATTACAAAGTTATTGCCCTTTGTTAAAATTTTGTATCTAGAGCACATATCTACTGATTTGTGTTAGTTGATTTTTTGTCACTCATTTAGCATACCGGTAATCACATTGATTTTTTTCTTGTAGAATATAAAAAATTACGTATATTGATAGCATACCATGTAATTTTTGTACGAATCGAAAATTTTCAATTTTCTTTCAAAGCAAATGCAGCTGAGTATCATCCTAACTAGTCTACAGGATAATGGTCACATTGCCTCCTTGCTTGGCTTCACCGAGTCATCAGACACGGGGGTGGTAGCTAGTCCTAGAGAGTCAGGCATGTCTGACCTACAGTTGGCTGCCATCCTGATGAAGACCATCCTCAGAAACCTGGCACATGAAACAGTAAGTTTCTACATAAGAAGTTAGGTGATAACGTCACCAGGTCTTTAGAACCAAAAGAGTTCTAGTACTGTAAAATCAGGTATTTTTATTGGGGCTCAAGGATGTATGGTAACTATTTCTCGGCACTGAATTTTGTAGATTAATGATGCACTCATGAAATCTACTTGTTAAAAAAAAAAATAAATAAATAAGGCCATGAGATATTTTTACTGTTGATCATTTCAAATGAAAGATTTTTCAGTATTCCATTAGACAATGGTACATATCAGTAATTTCAAAAGAAATAATATCAGATCCGATATTCACTCTGATATTACAAAAGTGAATTTCATATTAAGGAATGAATGTGATATTTCATTAAACATATTCTTTATAGGAACAATCTCTGAACGAGTATGAAAAGAATTTGGATAAACCTTTGGATGGAAATATCTGTCAGCGCCTGGCACCTCCTCACCTACACAGTCTGTTATCCTCACTACATAAACATCTACTGGCTTACTGTTACAGCAAGGCCAACAACGATCACATGGTAGGTATTTTCCTACTGAGAGAGTTTTTAATGCCCGGGCTATTTTATGGGGATATGTAGTGTTACCCATGTCAGTCCCGTCCTGTTTTGAATCAGTGTCATATCTTGAGAACCTCTCAATGGATTTGTTTCATATTTACTCCATAGTATCATAACACACAGTTCTACATCTGATCATATTGAGATGGTCATCAGTCAGGTTTGAAGAGATCAGAGGTCTTTTGCAAATTCATCGAATAATGATACACATTGGGGCAGAAGCATTTATATCTAACAGAAATTTTCTAGTCCTTTTCATTTTGACCAGAATTTTTATATGTGAAATAATTGTAATGGTTTTCTAGTAAAATTTAAGTACTTGAATTATTTCAAGACAGATAATGAAGAATTGATGTGAAGCTTGAAACAACTCTGTATAATTGTAATTTGTTTTGTGTTCAGATTGCACCAGCTATTTCCTTGCTACACCAGCATATGTTCCTCATGTTACCGGTGGCAGAGAACATTCTGGAGAAATCCTGTAGTGTCTTGACCAGTCACACCAACTCTCCACAACTCCTCAACTCTGTAGCAGGTATGTCAGGCTGTAGTGTGTTATGTGTTTTATTTCAGTAATAGAAGTGGTGGTTTTAATCTATGTTAATCATTGTTTGTGTGATTAATTACAGACATCCTGTACCATTCTCCGGCTGGTGCCATGCTGTACCACATGGTGCACTCTCTGCTGTTGCTGCCAATAGAGCGAGTTAATCCCCTCCTCCATGACCTCATGGCTTTGTTGCCAATACTGGATCGTCTGTGTAAAATGTTACCAATAGTCAATGTACTGGAGGCTATAGAACTTGAAGGAACTTCTGAAGGTAAGATTTGCAGACCTAGTCACTAGTCTGTGTGATTTATGTCTCAGCCATTACTGTTTTCATGAATATCCATGAAATAGAATATGACATAATCTATGGTATGACTATTGATGTTTATGACAGCCAAAATCTTTATTATTATTTTAAAGTTTTCTCAAACTGTTTAAACAAAATCTTGATTTTCAGTTTTATTAAACCTCATTAGATTTTTCTTGCTGGATTTGTTTATCATTTAGTTTGCCTGATCAATACTCTTTGTTTTTACCCCTAAGATTCAAATCAGGACAAAGGGGACTTGGACAAGTGGGTGTGGCTTGTTGACATGGAAAGGACATGTGCTACTCTGATTGGCCAGTGCCTTGGAGGGATGCTTGTTGGCGTAGCTCTGTCCACACAGGAGAAGAACTGTTCCTACTGGCTGGAGAAAACGTTGTTTGGGAATGGACCAGAGATCTCCTCTATTCAACTTGGTAATGTATCAGAGCTTTCGAAAGAGTTCAAAACTAAACTTATTGTATTCATCAAACTATAAACCCAGGTGACCAAGGCAAAGTCATTGATTGGGCTTTATACAGGACAACAAAAAAAGTTGATTTGCAACAGCAATATGTATTGGCAGATAATTAAGGGTTATCAGTGATAGTAATAATAAATTGTTTTATTTAAACAGGGTAGCATATCTAGACTTGCGACTAGTTTACAATAGGTCCCTGTGAAACACATATTTACATCAGCACATTACAGACGAGTACAAAAAATTAACATGTTGACATAACAATACATGATATACATAATGTATTAAACAAGATACCTCAGGAAGTATGGATAAGAACAGTTCATCATTCGGTTGCATAAAAAAAAACTAAAAATCAAATTAAATATCAAAAGTTTACTGTGCATAATAGATATGATTTATGAAATAATTAAATACACATTACAGAATCAATACATTACTATCACAGATGAGCCTAGAATTGATTTGATCAATGCCATTATGTACAGTAAAGAACAAATTAATGTGAAACCAAATGTTAAGCTGTTAGAAGAATGTAGTGTAAAGTATATCTCTTGAGAATTTGCATTGATCACAACAATTCCTGTCAAAGATGTCTGTTGTGGAATACCTGTCACTAAAGAGAATGGCACAATTGAATGTATGTTTCGTTGTAACACTTTTTGTTGATATTTCACAAACAAACAAAAAATGAACAAAACCTTTGAATTCTTCCTGTTTTTTCTTTTTTCTATAGAGAAATTTATCAGCAGTATACTAGAGTGTTGTCAGGGTCGGCGGACAGAGGTTACCGCCCTGGAACAGCTTGATCTTGATGCTGACACCATCTCGCTGGTAGAATTGTGCTGTGGTTTTAAGTGTGAAGTTAATAATATTCTATGGGAGACTATGATGGACCATGGTAAAAGTCAAGGTAAAGATGTCAGTCTTATTATTACAAGATTCAAGATTATTGACAGTTAACCCTTGGATTGTAGCTTGCCTCTTCAAAAAGGACAAATTAGAAAGTACAGGCATAGGTATAGCTATCTGCATTTGTGTCAAGCATTGATTTTTGTCAAGGTTTTAGTCACAAGTATCAAATAAAGTTTTGAATTGTGCCTTAGTTTGTAATTATAATGCTAGGGTGATAACCAGATATGTTTGTCAAACAGATAATTATCTAAATGTTTTATCCTGATATTCAGTGCCAGTTTACTTATTATCGATGCAGTGAAAACTAAGGAATTTAATGTTTGATCATAGTTGCCAATCTTTCGTATTAGGAGGGAGACATCCCAATTTTTTACCCAAATTTTTGGCATAATTTATTTGTAAATTCAAATTACTGGGTATTTTAAAGTTCAACACTCAAATTTTTCCACCAAATGGTAATTTAAACTATGTTGAATTAAAATACCATTACACATTCAAGTAAAGGAGGCCTATAAAATCACTATTCTGAGACTTGAAGTTTTGAACATATAAAATCTCCCATGAAAATTCTAAAATATTTTACAAGTATGAATGTTCATGAATAGTCTTAAGAAGAAACAATGCAATGGTTTGCAAATGCATCACTGAAGCCAAAATTGTTGTCGATTTATGTACCTTAACTTACAATCAGTAGGAAGTTTCAATCATATAATTCATGAGGATATTTTGAAAATTTGAAAGGTAATGTGATTCATCATTGACAGAGTTTGTTGATATTGGAAATTCTTAATATGTGCTAAACAATGTAATATTAAGTGATATAAACTTACAGAGTAAACCATCAATTAGTGACTGCACAGATAATGTATGATTTAATTATAGAATGATATAAGTATTTCAGTAGTGAAAAAAATATACTAGATATATTTACATGGTATAATGAATCTTATCAATGGTCCGTAATGTTTCTATTAAAAGTCTCTTGTGTAGATATGTTTGCTTATTTTTCACCCTCAGACTGGCACACAAGTGAACTGTCTGATGAAGCAGAGCTTGATACAGTTTCCAGATGTCTTCTGTCAGTCTTACTGAAGCATTGTAATCTCACTAAGATGGCTCTGCACAAACGCAGGTTTGTCTATTTAACATATACAGTCGAATCTTGTTATCTCGAAATTCAAGGGACCATGGAAAATATTTTGACTTGTCCGAAGTTTGGCTGAAACGATGTGTATAAATAAGGTTGACGATATCAGCTTCCTCACGTTGAGTTACGTTTAAAGAAGTAGGCTATGATAGCACTCAAACAGCATAGTTTAATCTGTTATTTAAAAACTGTATCAGTTTTTATGAAGATATACAAAGATACAGAAAGAAAACATTGGGACTTGAAAAGTATTTTGACTCAAGCAGAATATTTACTCAAGCATTTTTGAGATGAGTTTCAACTGTAAATCTTAAAAATTATTTTTAGAAATGAATCTGAAGAATTTCATTAAATACTGTAAATTTGTTAAACATTTTTACAGTGGATTCATTTACATTGATGTTGTGGATATATTTCATCAATGATTTCATCTGTTCATAACCTGTTAAATAATTATCAGTGAAGTTATTGAGCTATATTTATCCACGAAATCAAGTGTCCAAAAAATACTTAATGTAATTGTCAAATGTCAATGTGGTACAGAATTCGTCTAAACCAATTTCAGTACCATATTTTTTACTGGATCTGCCTATTATCCAGTTAATTAATTCATTTACATTTTAGCTTGTACATTAATAGTATATAATTCAGCTGTGCCAGTCAGAAATTACTTGTGATGTCATAATATGGACAATGATGTTGTGTGATGAAATGAAAATGGCTGTCTATGTTTGATTTTTCTCATCATTTGAATTTTTAAAACCTGTCAAAATGTAACTTTTTTTAGTTATGTGACAAAAAGTGTGATCAGATGTTTGGCTATTCAAATCACTCTGCATCCGTGGTCCGTCGTTGGTCATCCGGCCATCGTCCGTCCATCCATCAGTTAATAATTTATTTTTGTTATCGCTATTTCTTGAGAAGTACAGGATGGATCTTTTTCAAATTGCATATGTAGGTTCCCCTTATTCCCTAGTTGTGCCTGTTTGATTTTGAGTCTGATAAAAAATCCAAAGTAGCCGACATGCAGCTATCTTGAACTTTTACAATGAAGTCTGTTATCCCATTTTTTTTTTTTTGAAAAGTAAGATATGGATCTCTCTCATATTTTATATGTAGGATCCCATGTAGTTGTGTCCATGTAATTTTGGGATTTTACCATGATTTTGTATTGTGATTTTTACAGACGATGTTCACAGTATTCGCTGATTATGTGTACACAGTATTTTGGGCATTTTTTGCTTCTCCTGAGCTATTTCTGATTTCAGATAAAATGATTGTGTCTACAAAAGTTTTTGTATGTACATTACTTGTTAATAAATAGTGTGCTTTTTGTCGCAGTATCACTGGAACCCTAGAAACTATCTTCCAGCATGTGTTTAAAGTTAGAAGTCAGCTGTATGAAATCAAACAGATGAAGAGTTTGTCTAGCAGCAAGGTGTTGGAGTCACCAGTGTCGGATAAAACTCCCAAACATGAAACCTCTGACTTGTCACCAGGGCAAATGCCAGAAAGGTCAGAGGCTGCAAAAGAATGGTCTGAAACCTTGGAAGAGGAAGAGGAACAAGAAGACGATTGCTCAGAACCTTTGTCAGGTGAGACATGCATTATACGTATTCATATACACTGATTTTGTATAACTATTAGCTTACTTCAGAAATACTGCTTTTAAGCTGACTCAAAATAGATAGCCTTTCCATTGCGAAGTTGTGCCTAGCATTGATCTCACTAAGATAGGTGACAGGTCTAAATTTGGACCATGCAATAATGTCTGGTTTTAACAAGCAGTTGTAGATAAGAAATCTAGAGCACTTTGTATAGTACAAATCGAAATCATATGGTATCGTAAGTATCATATTATCATATCATATCATAAGTTGTTTATTAGCCAAGGCTTGTGTGCAGTTTCTTGTAAAAAGTTTGTCCTGCAATGTCCATAAAAAATATGAAATTGTTCGCCATCATGGTAAACATGTATGAATAGCAGAATGTCATATGTACAATCTATATTGCTGTAGAACATAGAAATCTGGCATAATACTCAGGATATACTGGCAGTTATTATCTTTTGAATGAATGTTTTATCATTTGTGAAAAATCACAGAAATGGAATCGAAAGCAAGTGAGTTATCTATTGTTTGGAATTCAATATTGTATAAGCTGCATTTTTTTAAAATATCTATCCAGTTGTAAGTCCAGGTTTGAAGTATCACAATAATTTAGTCATTGAAGACATTTAAAGTCAAATTAGCAATTTTCATAACCGCTTGTTTTTCAGGGTCTTTTGGTCTGTTGTTAAAGCAGGAGTATTGTACCATTTGCTATTGTTTTTTGGTATTTAAGGCAGATGAAAACAATTGCATGTTACTTATGATAATGAGAACATTTTGCCATAAATGTTTAAATATCAGTTTGAGAGATGCAGGCCCGTTAAGACTCATGTTTTAATAAGATAAATCAGAAATTGATTTGACGTCATTTTCACAAATGTATTAACTTTACAGATGATGAGGGGACAATAAAAGATTTACCACACACAATACGGGAACAATCTTTTGAGGATGCCTGTCTGGACTACCAACAAAGATGTCTGTTTCTGCTGCTAGGGGTCCGGGCTGCAGTCGCAGGTCAAAAAACATTTCTACTTTTCAACATCAACCATGTATTTTTAACAATATAACTTATAAGATGTCATTTACTATATATATCAATAACTTTAAATTTATCTAATATACTGTGTTAGACCATATATTATGGTGTTAAAATATTCTCTGTTTGTTCACTTTTATAGCCACACTGTTTTAAGAAAGGTGAAAGAGAATAAGGGGTAGGAGAGCAGACATGTTCGTCCATCTGTGGCATCACATGGGGATATGTTATTGTTTTCAATTTGAGTGAATTCCTTTCAATATTGACAATGAGTTCTAAGGTCAAAGGTTAAAATACCCTTTTTTTGAACATTGATATGCATTGGAGCTAAGGCATTCATGTCTTAGAGACATTTTCTAGTTGCTTTATCTCATTATATGTTGTAGAAAACATTTATTGCAAACTAGTTTATTGTATTAATTTTGGTTACAGACACACCAACCCTGTCTTATAACGATACGTTCTCTGAGGAAGAAGATACACGTTCCAGTAGTATGTATCTTATCTTATTATCTTATCCAACTCTCCGTTTTCATTTTCCAGCCTTAAATTGATGACTCTGTGCTGGAGTCTACCTTTTCCATGGTTTTAAGTGCAATTCTCAGGATGCTGATGATGTTTTTAATAGCTCTTTGTACTGTTTGTTGTCCGTGTGGTATTTGAAGTGTTGGATTACGATTTGTTTCTCTGTCATGAAGCTTTACACCTGGGTATTCTTAACAAATTGATCATCAAGGTCTCACAGAAAGTTTTGCATGTGTAAGGTGACCCTTCTCTTTGTTGTCCTTGTGTCCCCTTTGTTGTCCTTATGTCCCTCTTCATCATCAGAACTCACCTAATTAACTTCTAGCCAAGAAAGATTTTGAGTTAACAACTATTTACCAAAAGATTTCAGGCTCTCAAAGTTTGGTTCAAGTTAACCAGGGATTAGTTCAAATTTCATATTTCAAAACTTAGAACACCCTGTATCATTTCCATCTATTTGTTCATATATGTCAAATTGGTATAATTTGAGTATGTATAATTTGAGTGTTGGATTTGCCTTTAAAATCTTTTTTCGTAGTTTGAACAATTTGATGTTTTTCACACATTTATAAACATAGCTATCTACAAGCAAGCCTTCAAACTTAAGCCTTTGTCCTTCCTTGGTATTTGTGAGAAAAGGTAAGCCTAGATTTGATCTGTGAGGAACAACAAATTTTCTTTTACTTTCTATTTCTATTTATAGAAACGAACTGTTCTGAGACTGGCATCACTACCACGCCAGTCATACCTAGGAGAGGGAGTGTTCCTGATTTAAGTGCTTCATCAGCCACCCAGGGAACTTTGGTAAAAACAAATTCTGAATTTAGAAGATACTAACTTTGTTTAAAAAAAATCTGAATTGAGGAGAAATTTATTATTTTCTTTTGAAATATTGCATGGTCCAAAATTAAGATATTGTGACCACCTTATAAAAAGATTATGAAAATTTTGTGAAAGGAATTTCTTCAAAGTATACCTTATAAAATTTAACTTCAATTTTACAATGTTTTGCAATTCTCAGCTTTCTATTTACAGAATTGTGTATTAGATAAAGTCAGATCATCATGTTCCGTGAATATTTCAAGTATAATAGAAAGGTAATTTTGTTCTTCTGCTTTCTTAGACAGAGGAGGATATCCCACGACAAAGGGATGGTACATCAACCCCAGTCTATAGCGTTGATGGTAAGCTACCCAATCTCAATGTCAGTGTAGGTGGTGTTTGTGTTTGTCTCATTATTTCTCTGGATAACATGTGATGAACCTTCTAGTGAGGTTGTTCAGTTGTGCAGCGTGGTAGCCAATGTCTTCTACAAGGAAATTTGACCTCAAAATGACCCTGGCTTTTTTACAAGATAATAAACTTAGTTAACAAGCAAATAAAGCTTATCCTACAACTAGATGCGATATGAATGGCCACAATAAAAAAACTTACACTAAATGGAAGGTTTGTCTTACCCTAATTTTCATTTTAATATTTGCAATAATTAATCTCTCTTATTCTGAATCAGGGGGTCTAACTCATTATGACAATTAATAGAGTTAATAGTTTATTAAAAAGACTGTTATCTTTGAAGCATAAAATTGGAAGAACCAGTTCTGTCTATTTCAGCAAGCTTCAACATGGGTTCCTTACAACGAGTTAAAGAAATTCTCCGTAGGTTACGATGGCAGCAGGAAAGAGCCACAGGTTCTGATATCACCAGTTCCTCCATAAAAGATCCTGCAAAAACCTTCACTGAACAAGTAGCTTCAGATGTATGTAAATTTGTCACTGGGGAGATTTTGGAAAACCCAACCGGGACGGGAGAAACTGATGGAGAGTCAAACAGAAACAATGATCCCAGGGAAATAGCAGTGGCACTGGAGCACCAACAGTCTAGGGCAGAGGTAGAATTTTAAATTTATCCTGCAATAAACATATGCCTTGTAATAAGCCCATATATTTTGCCATTTTATAATGTAACTAATAAATTTGCTATTTTATTGTCCTGTAATAAGCCCACGCCCAGACTTTAGGTCGAATGTCATTTGTTAGCCCTTGTTGTAGGATTAACACAGTAGTATGTTAATCTATAAGCTCATTTTTGTATTACTGGAATGTTGTATTGCTAAGTACTGTATTCTTTATAATTTGAGAAATATGTGGAGATCACACTAATATTTCAGTGTGAATAGAATGAATGTTCAAATGAAGCAAAAAATAAGATAAAAAATGCAAAAGGATAATAAAATTTAAGTGGAAAATTTGTTGTTTGTGGTCCTCATATTTACTGTTCTTGTCAATTGTTTCAATTACAGTCCCGACTTTATGCACTGAACCAAATTAAAGAATTGCTATCTACAAGAACAGACAATCAACAGCTTGGCAAGGTAGTGTCTGACCTCACACCAACAACCTTACTCTGCTCGGCTCATATTCAGCTCCTCACTGGTTCATTTAGCTTCTGTGGACCTGTAGAGAGCTCTGGTCAAGGGGCACAACTCTACCACTATCAGGTAATCTAATGACTTAAACTGTATCAATGGTAAACTCAATTGTATTGAAAATGATGGTTATAATTGTCCTCAAGTTCATTTAACTACAATTAAAACTGCTCCATATATATCACTCTGTAGAGGATCAGTTTTGGCTGTCTCAAGAGAAATCTGAGAGATGCAAATGTATGGTTCAATCCCTACCTCGCCTACCTGTGGCAGGTTTTTGTTTTTCAGGAAGCTGAGTTACTGACCATTTATTCTGTGGTGGGTGTGTCACCAACAAATATGTTGATCCCCACAGAGTGAATTTATTGGACATAAAAGTTCTGCGCTGTAAATCTTTTCTTTAAGGATGTTGACACTTTCAAATTACATGGGAAACAATTTTGAATCGTTGTTTATGTTAAAAGTTTTAAAAGAGTTTAGAACTTAATATTTGTGATATGAAATAGCAAAGGGAAGATAGCATAAATGTGATATGATGAATTGTTTTATAGGATGAAATTAAAGCTGCAAAAGCCAAGACACAGCAGGAGATCCAGCTGGCAGTACATCAGATCTATGAATTACTAGTCAAGGCACTCCATCATACAGACAACATAGACAGCATTGGAGAAGGTACATCAAAAACATAGCAAAATGCTGCCCAATTTTTCTGAAGTATTGAAATGCTTTAAAAAGTTTTGAGTCCAGTCAACATACTGGTGTTGAGCTACTGTAGCTAGACTTTATGTGGGCACAAAGATATTCCAACTACATTTGATTTTTACTCTTCAGTAACTAAACTTTATATGAACTCTGTGTTAGAGTTATTTGATTATTTGATATGAACTACTTGTTATGTAAATGACTTTGTGTTTTCAGAAGTTCAAGATATAATTTTACAAAAGAATTTAAATAAAAATTATTTTAAATCAAATAACAAAAAGCTTGAAGTTTTCCTGTAGTGAAGAAATTTTTCTATTCTCATTGTGTAGAACATGCCAATGTGACCTCTCAAATACAGTTCACTGAAGAGTATTATCTGATTTTTGGGACTACCTTTTAAAGCATGATTTTAAAGATTGTATTGTCCAATTACGCACAATTCCATTTATTCAGGAGTTCGTTTGAAGTTACTACTGTGGACCATCTACTCCCTGAGTATGAAGTACAAACCTGCAGATATCTCCCTGGCTGTGTCTTGTGGTCTGCTGCCCCGCCTCCTGACTCTTAGCCACAGCGATGCTCCAACATCATACATCCTGCCTTTGACCAATCGGGACCTACAGCACAGCCAGTTACAAGTGGTTGTTAAGATGTCTAGTTCTCACCTCCTTAGGCTCATCACACTCACATCAGGGTATATACTGTGTCCTTTGACTTAATTACATAATTGTTATCATTAACTATCATTAAATGACTTAGTATATATTTGTAATGTGTCTATGATCAGCTGTTATCACAGAGTGTGTGATTTGCTGTTACAGGGTGTATGCCAGTAAACTGGGATCTGGTGTTGTACAAGGAATTGTGGACCTTCTTTGGATTCAACTGACCAGTATGGTAACCTGCAATGATTCCTGTCTTCAGCAGGACACAGGTATAGACAATGGTATTCTACTTTAATAGAAGATTTGCTACAGTAAAATCTATTGCTCTGAAATTTATTAATCTGATATCAGTTGTAGGATCTGATAAATGTCAGGGTTTTCTACAAATAACCTGTTTGTAATGAGAGTAGCGTCTTGAATATAGATGAATCAGATGCGATGAAAATATTGTCATCAGCAAAATATCACATTAGTGTACTTGTACATCATTGATATTGTCCAGGGACTACATACAGAGTGAAGTCACATGTTCAGCTGGCCAACTTCCTACTGTTTCTCAAGCGAGTAGCCTCTACTAAAACAATATTGAAGCTTCTGTCTGCCAAACGCTGGGTTTCCATGTTCCTTAATCTTGCCCAACAGAAACATGTGATGGTCAATTCGGGTAAGTCTATCTTTATTCAAATGAAGTGTTAGGTGGATCTTTCTGAATGAAGAAGGATCTATATTATAATTTGCCATTGGCTTGCCATTTTACTTAAAATTTGATGAAAATTCAAAGTATATTTTATACAATTAAAAAGATTATTATACGAAGCAAATAATGATGATATTTATGTGCAGACCAAGACACAGGATACAGCCTAAGGACTAGACTCATAGCTGTTAACCTTCTGGAGTCTGTTCTTCTGTCATGTGAGGAGAGTAATGATAACGAAGATCATAAACAGGTAAAGTTGATATTTTTGTTTGAATTGTAGCTAAATCCAATGCTTAAATAAACAACTCAGTTTCAACAACATTCTTGGATTGGTTTTCAAATTCATAGTCTGGTCAGGTTCACATTATACGCTTCCTAATTAGGACTACATACATTCATCAGATGGATCAGGGTGCCTAGGCACTTTGGTGGTGACTAGCCAAGGGGAGACAAATCCTTTGCCCAATTTTGGATCAATAAGTGATTAAATATTCTGAAGTGAGAGCATTACCAACATATTTTATTATTGTCAAAAAGGAAATAATTGTTTATTTACAGATTGTTGAGGACATGTTCCATGGCCTTGCACTCAATATGTGGGTTATTCCACAATGTAAAGCACTCCAACAGGCCAAACAGAAGAAAGAAGTCCTTCTCCAGAAACTTACAGACTGTGAAAGAAATGCATTCAACCAGAGCCTCGAGGAGGACACAGACACAGCTACTTTACAGACAGCAAGCTTTGACAGTGAGAAATGTCTGAACTGTACTGTTGAAAACTCTCAGACCTTGGTTCACAGTGGAGCAGGCAAGGGCTATGGTCTTGGTGTCACCCCTATGACATCTGGTTGCTATAAGTGGAAGGTATGAAGCACATACTTTATATATTGTGTTGAATGAAATATGTGATAAGCTTTGTGAAATGACGACTTGTAACTCATTCACAAATAAATGTTGTTATTCAGACTGATAATATGAAACAGGTATTTCGTACCTTTTCATTGTATACTGGTAGTTGACAGTGTAGTATATTACAAAAGACTGGTTTAAATCTCCAGATCTGTATTGTATCCAACACATAGTTCAGAAATTCCCATGGACCACTGACCTGTATATTCTATTTTGATAATGCTATGCTTAAAATTATTCAAAATCTACTGCATTATCGCAAGATGATTTATCAACCTGAGCACTTGCAGAATTTACTTCAGAAATGTTTCGTCAGTTTTCATGAAAAAAAAAAGAAAGACATGAAACTTTAGAGGATTGTAGCATCAGTGTTGGTACATTATTTATCTATAATCGGGTCAGCTGGCGTATTTGTAACGCACTTGCCTTTTGCTAGCCGGCCAGGGTTTGATTCCCAGAATGGACATGAAAAGGTAAGCAGTCACTTGCATGACCATCAGGGTTTTTCTGCAGGTACTCTGGATTCCTCCCACATTAAGACCCCTCGTACATTTACATCTTGGCCAGTAAGAGTGATTAGTACAAGCTGAAATAATGTATTTTGCATATGTTGTGATATAAATAAAGTTGGTGCTATATCTTTATTTTGCATTGTTCTTGACAGATACTAATAGTGAAGGAATGTAAGAACAATGAGGGTACATGTGTAGGAGTATCACGCTGGCCGGTCAGCGACTACACTCACAGGAACTCATCAGATATGTGGCTGTACCGTGCCTACAGTGGCAACCTGTACCACGGCGGAGAGGCCCCCCAGACATTACCACCATTCACTCAGGGAGATTACATCACTGTTCTCCTCGACATGGATGCTCGCACACTATCTTTTGGAAAAAATGGAGAGGTAGATGATATATAGATATATATATATATATATATACAGACAGACAGACAGACTTTTAACATAGTGTTATAGCTATTTCTGAGAAAGCATTTAGTTTTATACTTTTTTAATTTCATATAAAGTTGGATATTGACCGATCTATGGGCATGTTTAATTTTGTGACATATCACAAGAAGCTACTGTAACTCAATTCATGTGTCTATAACCATTTTATGTTGAGGTTTCCTATCAAAGATCCTTAAGGGTTATATAGAATAATGATATTTAATCTCTAATGTTGCATTGTATTGCTGTCTTGATATAGAGTGAATAATTTTGTATTTGACCCAGTCTAAAGGTCACAAAATGAATCATGTAATGTGTTTGTAAACAATTAAAAGGTTAGGAATATTCCAATGAAACATTTATCTTTTCTCAGTCTGTTTTAGGGGTACCACCAATGTAATTTTATTGATCATTTGCTTTGAAGTAAAGGAAACTTAAACGTGGATAGAATTTATTTATTTTGGAGTCCTGGGGTCACAGGTATCCAGATAAATGCCCATCCATTGAAACTTTTTTAAAGAAATAATCTGAAAGTTCATATGCAGAAGAAAGTAAATTTAATTTTTCGTTTATTTTGCAGGATGTGAAGCTTGCTTTTGAGGACATTGAAGCTTCTGAGCTGTATCCCTGCGTCATGTTCTATAGTAATAACCCAACAGAGAAGGTCAAAATGACAGACATGCAGCTTTGTGAGAACACAAGGGACCTTCTGCCTGGGGATCCATTATGTTCTCCGGAATCTGTTGTCATGGTGGAAGCCAATCTTAAACTCCTGCGTTCTCTACACAGAACATCAGCCTGGAATAGCCACATCAACAGAAAAATCCTCCAGCAGCTCAGCATGGTGAATGATCTAGAAAAAAGACAAACTGAAGATGGTAACTACATATCCCAGAGACTGTTTAATTCTAAGGACTTTTAAAGAATAATTGGATTTGAGGCAAAGCTATGAGCTTGATTCAGTGTCAAGACTTTGCTACTGATATGGCCAATAAAACCAAATATACTTGAAACATAATAGTTTGCTTCTTGACATAGCTTTAATAGTCAAATTTCATTGTTATTAGTCCAAAATCAAGATCAGTGATTGTAGAAATAGATATTAGATTGACAACATGTAGCTTGACATAGCTTTAATAGTGAAATTTCATTGTTATTAGTCCAAAATCAAGATCAGTGATTGTAGAAATAAATATTAGATTGACAACATGCAGGATTGAAAAGTTTGGTTTTCAAATGTTGCGAATATACATCAGCAAAATAAGCTTGATTAAAGAAACAACAGTTCACATGGCATAGAATCAGGATAATAAATCTTCAGTTTATAAATGTAAAAAGATGTTTTTAATACAAAATGAATGATAAAAGCCAATTTGAAATCATTTGAAAACTCAATCTGATGTTAACAGTGAGTAGCAAGATGAAAAACATGAAAGTGTTTCAGCAAGAGATCTATTTATTTTCTTATTTTAGTTGAGAGAAGTGAAGAACATGAAGGGAAAGAAGAGAGTGCTGATTCAAAGGAAGGTCTAGAAGAAGAGAAGGAAGATAAAACAGAAAAAATGGATGACAAAGATAAGAATGAAAAATCTACAGGAACTCCGTTGTTGGATTTGAAAAACAAAGATACACTACACTTACTGTGTCATGAGGTGAGTGAATAGATAGACATTTGTGTTAGGTTTGGGATGTCTTTCGATACATTTTAATTTTACTTTTAGTTTAGATACATTTCATTTTTAGAAAAGCTAAAATTACTCACAAAATTCAACGAGCTTGATTGATTGATCTGAATGATTGTTGTGTCAGTGCTGTAACTTCTCAACACCACCTGATATTTTACACTTCACAGCACAACCTGATATTTTCCATTTTTAAACACAAACTAATATTTTTCATTCCTCAACACAAGTTGATATTTTCCATTACCCAACACATGCTGATATATTTCACTTCCCATCAAAAGCTGATACAGTGAAACCTCACCTAACGACCACCTCAAAATTACGACCACCCTGCTATTACGGGCACTTTTTTTCAGTCCCGTTTTTTTTCACTATATATCTTTGTATTGGTCGCTTCAGTATTACGACCACCTCGCTATTCCTTATTACGACCACTTCTTACAGTCCCAACGATACATGTATTTTCCACTTCTGAACACAACCTGATATTTTTGCATAGGTTTGGCCAAGCCTTGTCCTCATAGGTGGCCTTGACCCAGGCCTTCGCGTTGGAGGTCGCTGCATGCACCAGACTACATTCAAGGTAGGGACATTGATGGGGGTAGCAAGGGATGGAGCAAACACAGCAAAAGTCCAGTGGGATGATGGTGACTCTTCCTCAAGGTAAGTTGTCATATTACCAACAAAGTTTTAATGTAGATGATTGAAGATTGTTTTTAAGAGCTGTGAATCTGTCCTTCCAGGGCTTCTCTTTGTCGACAAAAATTAGTTCCTCATTATAGACATCTTTTTGTTGACAATGTTGTTCACATGATAAAATTGTGTGTTTTGTTCAAAATGATGAGTCTTTATCTTCTTTTTTTTTTCATAGTGATGCTCTGCTGTCAAAGTTAGAATCAAAAGAACCACTTTCATTTGATGCAGACCGTCTTGTAGGAATGACCACTAGTCATTTGGAAACTCTGGTCAAACTCTCCCTACTGATGGATGAAAAACCATCAATGTTACAAGAATCTAGACAACCCACAACAGAAATTTCTACCAATAAAGAGGAAGTGATTGTCTCAAAAGTTCAGAAACTGAAACAAAGTGTTCTCGATGAAACTAATGCTTTAATGAGAAAACTTGATGAGGATATAGCTCGTGTGTTGGAAATGGAGATGCAGCAGCTGGCGGAAATGGACCACAATGCTGACAAACGCAAGGCCCCATTGGTAACGGCAGAAACATTTGATGATTCGTCAGCAAGCACCTGTACGGCCTCGCCACCAGTTCTGTCGCCGCGTGATGATCTGTTACCAGAGACAAAAGAACACCAGGAAACGGAAGGAACGTTAAATCTTGATGATGAATTCTGTGATCCAGATTCCTTGTCATCAAAGAATCCTCAAGATTCTTTTCCTTCAACTTCAGAAAAACTCCAAACCAAAAATCCACATCCAAATGAATTCCAAAAGACTTCCGTTGATGAAGCATTTGTACCGGATGAATTGCACACAATTAAAACATCCTATGTACAGGTCACTGCTCTAAAAGCTTTACACACTATATTATTAAACAACAAGTTTATTGAAATGCTTCTTGTGCCAAAATCAGACCTTTTGTCAGAAAGGAATAAGGCTTTAGTTGACGGTACTGTAATCCGCAGGGATGAAGATTTCAAAGTCACTTTGAGGTCATTCATGAAGAGGATGGTTCGGTTAGCTCTGAGTCAGTCAGGGTTATTGAGAGTGTTTTCAGTGTTAGAACTGGAAAGGGCACATGCGATTCTGTACAAGATGATAACTACATCAAAAGCAGAGGAAGTCACCTGTATTTCAGAAGTCAAAGGTAATAGTAATGAGGTTCTGGATTGATCTGTTCCCATAGATTTTCAATGAATATTTCTTAGTCTGGTGATCATATTTACAGAAAAACTTCAGGAAATTGATAACTTTTTCCTTTATTGTTCATCATGTGTCATTTGGGTCAGTACACCAAATGTTAGGGTCATGTTGAGGTCAAAGGCCAAAATAATTGTTTGAGCCATAACCTCTTACAGATTACTGTAATTCAGTTTTGTATGAAAACATAAAATTTAGGTGGATTTGAAGGATTCGGAAAATAACTGACTTAAAGAACTTCTTCAAAAATTTTTGACGAATTATAAAATTTGTATACACTGTCAAAAAGCTATTTTTTAAAGTTGTCAAACTATATTTCACTCAGTTTGCGGGATATTAAGTTGTTACAAGATTATAAGATTACACATTTTATTTACAATGCCTTTTCAGAAAGCATAATCTATCATTTTACTCAGGCCCATGTCTTTTAACATTATTAATTTTTATGACAGAAAAGTATGAAACAATGACGAAAGACAAGGAGAAAAATTTCAATATCAAGAAAAAACCACAGGAGTCATGTGATATGGTTTTGGCAAACCAGCCACCATCATCTACCCAGCTGCCAAATGTAACGCCAGAAGAATTGTCCAACCAGGAAGAGGACCAGGAAAATTACCAGCAGACATCAATCCTTCAATATGTTAGACGAGGGTAAGGAGATCATTTAGAACTTACAAGTGCAGAATTAATGAAAAAGTGAAAACAAATTGTATTTATCCTCATCAAAACAAACACTTCCATAGGAGTAAAGAGTAAGGACCCTATCTACAGAGTTACATTTTCACAGGTGAGCAAGGGAGACTCTCTGGACCCCCTGTTGGAGTGAAATAGATGGAATTTTGATAATAAACAAAAACTCTTTCAATCACTTTCTGATTCAGCTCTTAATTTGTAAACATATGAAGAATCATTCAGTGAACAATATGATATATATGAAACAGCATTTTGTAATTATGTTCAGAATTGTTATGTCTTAAGAGGTTTAGTGATTTTATTGAGTTAGAATGATGATAGTCTATTGTTATTGTTTGTGTTTATTAAGGTTGTTTTCTTGTACAGGTCTGATAGTCCCCACAGTTCGTTCTCACGTCATCTGTTCAGTCGTCGGGCAAGGAGGGAGCGCTCACAGTCCACCACAGCATCTCGCTACTCAGTAGTGCGGGTCCCACCAGCTGCACCACCCCTCAGGCCCTCCCCTCCCCCTCCCCAGAGGAAGCCTCCCCATCTTCCAATCAGGACCAGATCACCGTCTCCACCACCTCCCCCCATAGCCCTGTCACTTCTAGAGATGGGGTTCACTCTTAATGCTATCAAGAGAGCACTCACAGAGACATGTAAGATGTTGTTAAAATCATTTAAGCAAACTTACTCTGAGACACGTCATCTGACTTCAAGTGTAAATTTTTGCTTTAACACTAGTATTCCAGAATACTGAAGAAAATAAGACCACATTTGTTCTGGAAGGATGAAATTTTCATCTTGAAAAATGATTTTCCAGAACTGCTGAAGAAAATTAAAGTACCTGTGGTTTGAAACATTGTTTGGTCAAATAGACTCACATACAGCCAACAATGCCAGCAAACAAAAATCATGAATATAAAAAAAAAAGTTTAAATCTTGAAATAAATTTTGTTTATTTTGTTGAAAATGCCATTTTGGAACCTTGTTAAATAGCAATAACATGTATCCTAATTTGATTCTCATTAAAGTTAAAGTTCAGTATTAAAAATATAATTGTATATATCATTGAACTTTAGGTGTAAATAGGAATGAAGTGTCTGCCCATGGCATTAACACTTTAGCCATGTGGATGTTGGAACACCCTCTTGACATCCAGGAACCAGAGGAAGCTGCCACAAAAAATACTCGTGACACCATACCAGGACAGGAGTCTGCCAGTAATATCATCAGTGACTCACAGCCATCTGAGGATGATGTCAGAGACCCATACAGGTATCATATCTATACATATTTGCTGGCCCATTTTAAAATTTCCATATGCTTAAATGATTCAATTTTTATGTAATTGATTTTTTTTTCATCAATTTGACCTGTCACGACTGTATGTGACAGATTCTTTATATCTTGTAACTTCAGAATTAAGCTCACAGCTTTGTTTTCAATTCTTTTGAGTATATTGAGAGTTGATATAAGAAAAAAAGTGTGACATTTATTTATGACATTTCAGAGTTATGAATTGTTCACATTTTTTCACCTATGAGCACTCTGGTCAGTTTGTAGGCCTAGTGGCAGGTTATGATTACATACCTCATTGAACATTTTATGGGTGACCCACCACATGCTATCAAAGCATTTGGTGTGAAGTATCTTGCACAAGGACACAACCATGATATCAGAGGACAATCCATGATCTTGACTCCCTGAGGAACATAAACCAAGTTATCTCCAAACCTTATATCTCTGATCTCACCTGAGGATGAGAATTCTGATGCTCCACAGACTGAGCTCACACAAGCTCCCTCACAATAAGGTTACTCTGTGTGTTGTGAAGTTTTTAGGTAGAAAGTAAAGCACCATAATATCCTCTGTTATATGATAAAAATGATTTTCTGGTATTTGTTTCAGTATGTTGCTGTCAAGACGTATATCATTAGAGGGTTTATTGAACGAATCTAGTGATGACTCTAATGAGGAACCGGACACTCGTCGCTCACGCTACATCAGAAGTCCACGACCAATCTCACGTACACGTCATGTGGACATCAGAAGTTTTCTTTCTAATACAGGTACTGAAGAGCTGACAGACAGCTAATTAAGATTTTGTGGAACTGTAATGTCACTTTCATCTCCGATTTCAAGTTTACAATGCTTTTTGTCAAAACTTGTCATAAAGGTCTCAAGATAATTTCATTAAAGCTAACAATGCAAGTTTATGAGAATGATTTTTTGAAAAAACAAAAAAGTTTCTATTTCCCAAATGCTTCAGAGATGCCCCCTATGATAACAATATCTTCCGGTTAGCATATCTAAGGAAGTGGTCATTATGTGAGTTCAAGCCTTGGTTAGAATCGAGTACAGGCACACCATGGTATGATAGGCATACAATCTGTCAAACTGGTTATCATTTCAACGTCACCTTTAGTCAAATTTACCAGTGTATTGTGATAACACGTATGCCCATCCCAAAAATGTTCACTCCTCTGAGGTCCTTGAAGTTGTGTGAAGATGGTCAGTACTATCCAAAAATTATATTAATAAAAATATAATGAAAATAATAAAACTGAAAACACAGCCAAGATCCCTACAGACCTTCACTTCAATTTTACTGTCACTTGAGCACTTGAAAAATGCTGTAATGCAACATGCAAGTATTGGTTAATGTTTTCTCAATCTTGGTTGTGTAAATGCTTGACTAGTAAACATATGCAAAGTGGTGATTGGTCTTAGATTGTGAAAATTGGACTAGTGAAGTTTTTTTTTTCTGAAGGAAATAACTGGAAATAATAAAGGTTATAATGCAGGAATTTATTTCTTGGAAGAACAAGGGAGGATTTTGCCCCTGATTTTTCCTCTACAGCACACAGCTCAATGTATGTAAATTCTAATGTAAAGAAATCTGTATTTCTGTTACTTGGCTAATATTGTATCTGTATGTCATAGATAGGCCTGCATGTGCAATGTCCATTTCTAGGTTCTTCCATTTACTCGGAAGATAAAATGGAAGTTAAGAATTGTATATTCTGATGAAATGTACCTATTTAGATTTTTCATATTGCAAAGTCATTGAAATAACAATAACTAGTTTGACAGGTTATAAGACTTTTGTGCTCTTGAATACCCATAAAAGTTTCCAAGCAAAGCTTGTACTAACGTAAGCTTAGGGAGGAGATCTTGAAAGCATTTTAAAAAAGATATTTTCTTTGCCTAAACATGAAAATATTTTAACTTCCATGGTCAGCTTTAAAGATGTTCTTTAATTATCTTTAATGTACTTTCAAGAAAATATTTATTTTATGAAATTAAGGAAAGACACTTGAGTGCCCTCATGGTTTGGCTGGTGACCCAATGTCTTTTACAGGATCTAACCTCATTTGCTAAGATGAACAGCAAATAGTTACTTCTGCATCATGTTAACACCAATTTGTGAAGTTCAAATGTCATAGTCACTATTGTAACTCTGGACACAGAAAATGATTTTCAGCATATTAACTTGAGCAATGAGCCAATTAAATTCAAATTTCAAGCTACATATTCCCTAATAAAAGTGCTTGCTTTGAAATAATTGTCAGGCCTAAAGGTCAAAAAGCAAATTCACAGTTACTGTTAGGAAGAAAATTGATTTCTGCATAATTCAGTTTACATGAACACATCAATTTCAAACATCCTGCAGTGCTTCCTTGCCCAAATTTGTATGATTGCTGTTCATGTTCGAGTAGAAATGTCAAGATCACAATTACTATGTTGATTTTAAATCCTATCATATCATCATGTATGATTTGGAATAATTTCAGTTGACAATTTGCTAGTGTTGTATTAAATATTTACAGCTAATGATCGTGAGTTGGAGCGGTCAGAATCCTTACAGATTCCCATGGAGACCAGCAGACCATCAGACCTGTATGAGAGAGTGTCAGAGAATCATGGGCTTAGTGATGCATTTGATGTCCTCTGTGGTAACATGAACCTGGAAAGTATTGATGACCTCTTCCCAACACAAACTGAGTCCACCTGGGACCTCATGAATGCAATTGTGAGTATCCAGTAATGATGACGTAATGTATTGCTCTGTGTACTTAGGTTGCTGGCAGGGATAAGTGATTTGTTGTTTGTTTGGTTTACTATGAACAGGAGCATTTTTTATGTACCAGTAGTCTTCTTGTGGCTACCTTACTGAACATATTGCAGGAGGACCATCATATGGTATCCAGAGCAACCAGAATTGTTAAGAATTATTATTAATGACATTAGTATAATGCAGTATCTTCCATGATCCTCTGCAATGCTTAAGAGGTTGTGTTTTTTGATAGTTGAAATTTTTGCAGTTTTATCAATGCTAGAGGACTGTTTTTCACTGAAGTCATGAAATAGATTTTAATTTATTTTTTTCAAATTTTCTATTTTTTTCTATTTTATTCCATAGTGAAAATAAGTAATTATTTTACTGCAGTAATAACACTCTTGCTGTGATGATTTTTCTGCAGAAATGAATATTGGTTCTTAGCCCCCTTAGCTTGAAAGATGGTGCCCAAAAGGGGAAATTTTGCAAGTTCTTTAAAATCTTACTCCTTTTGTAAGAATGCGTGGATATTGCCCAAATTTGGTCTGAAGCAATAGTTATGAAAAGTGAATCTGACTTCTGTTTGACCAAAAGGCTGAAAAATTACTTCAAAAATCATTTGTGATATTTGAAATTCTTTGTTAAATGACTGAATAGCTGAATTATTCGTGTGAATGATGCAGGCTCCTTGGGCCTCTTTTTTTTTTGAGAAATAACACCCTTGTTATTATTATTTTGCAAAAGAAATAATGGCCTTACTGTGATTATTTTTTACCACAGAAACAACACCGTTGCAGTAATTATTTTTGCCACAGATGCAAAGAAGTAATCATTTTACTGCTATTTACAGAGAATGGAGTTTGAAGCTGACCCTTCTGTGGTGTGTGAACTGTGCCAACAAGAAACAGACTACTTACTAGGTCACATGCAGCTTGACCACCCCGGCTGTGGAAGTAAGTGTTTGCTACTAACCACAGATAATCCAAACCATCTGGGATACTGTAAAATGACTATTTTTCATGCAGTGCAGATTTTTGTAAACAGTCCAAAGTTGTTCTGAATTTCAATATTATTAGATCTTTTGAGAACTATTTATTCTTAAAATGAAGTGCCAACATTTTTTTTATTAAAAAGCCACATAAATCATGCCCTTTCTATCAGTCCATCCATCTTTCTGTCCATCCATCTGTGTGTCTATAATTTTACAAACAATAATAAAAAATATATAATATGTGGTAAAAGTATTCTTGTCGTCAGTCGTCTTGAGACTGGTTACATGTCAAAGTCACAGATTCAACACTAAATTGTCTTTGCATTTCTAACTATAGATTTCAGCCAAATTTAATAATAATCAAAAAAAAAAAAAAAAGATTCACAGATATCTACAGACAATATTTTTTCTATTTTTCTTGATTTGCTGAATATGTATTTGATAACCTTCTTACAATTTTAGAAGCAGAAAAATTATTTACCTTGTCAATATGACCTCAACCATATCTAATAAACCTACTCCACCATAGAATAAACCTACTCCACCATAGAATAAACCTACTCCACCATAGAATAAACCTACTCCACCATAGAATAAACCTACTCCACCATAGAATAAACCTACTCCACCATAGAATAAACCTACTCCACCATAGAATAAACCTACTCCACCATAGAATAAACCTACTCCACCATAGAATAAACCTACTCCACCAGAGAATAAACCTACTCCACCATAGAATAAACCTACTCCACCATAGAATAAACCTACTCCACCATAGAATAAACCTACTCCACCATAGAATAAACCTACTCCACCATAGAATAAACCTACTCCACCATAGAATAAACCTACTCCACCATAGAATAAACCTACTCCACCAGAGAATAAACCTACTCCACCATAGAATAAACCTACTCCACCAGAGAATAAACCTACTCCACCATAGAATAAACCTACTCCACCATAGAATAAACCTACTCCACCATAGAATAAACCTACTCCACCATAGAATAAACCTACTCCACCATAGAATAAACCTACTCCACCAGAGAATAAACCTACTCCACCATAGAATAAACCTACTCCACCAGAGAATAAACCTACTCCACCATAGAATAAACCTACTCCACCATAGAATAAACCTACTCCACCATAGAATAAACCTACTCCACCATATCTCATACTTATTTGCAGCTACACTTGAATGAATCAGCAAATGATACATATATAAACCTAAACCACCAAGTAGCGATTATTTCACATATTTCAAATCTTCACTTTTCTGACCTTCTGTGGCCCCAAGGTGTCATATTGGAAATAAATGTATTCATTTACTCTGTTAGATAGTTGATTCTGTAAGTCTCACTTTTTTGTTTTAAAGTTTCACTCTCTTCGAAGCATTGATAAACATCAATGTATGCAGATTCAATGATGTTGCAAACAGTATTTTTTCATACTCTGATGTCTTGAAATTGCCCTAAATATTTGATGGTACCTGACAACACTTTTTTTTCAGGGATATCTTGTTACAATGTATACAACAGTAATGGTGTGTATAGTATGTGTCCGTGGTCAGTGGTTTGTGGCACAGGTTATCCCAGCTATGCTATGTGTAGAGGCTGTCGGGATCGGCACCTTGAACTCCATAACAACAGAGGGAGCAACACAGAGGGAACAGAGGAACAGGGAGAAAGTCTGAGCAGTTCTACACATAAGGCTCCAGATCTCCTTAGCTCTGTTGACTTCACAGCTTTGGGTATGCTTTCTATCATTCCTGTATAGTTTGTGTTATTCAGAGGGATTTCATTTGAAATGTTTGCAGTCATAAGAATTTTTGAAAATCCAGCAAAGGAAATATTTTTACATTGAATAAAAAAAATGGAAATTGTATGTTATATATCGCTGTAAACATGGAAACCATCATAGAGATATGCTTTCAAGTTTTCTGCTAAAAGAGGACTAGCATAAAGTTTAATCCCTGTCAAACTAGCCAAACCCAGGACAAACAGGCTATACATTATGAAAAGCTTGTAATCTTGGTTTATTTTAAGTTGTGATATCATTCTTTACAGTCTTGGTCATCAGTCAAAGTCACAAACTTAACATCTTGTGAAATTTTTGTTCTTATCCAGGAATCATAATTAGTGGTATTAAAATGCAGATTAAAAACTTTAAAATATAATATTTGTACCTGGGGACCAAAATTATTTCAGCTTTAGTTTACTCAAGGATCAGAACTACTATATAGTTAGTGTCTGTACTTTTATCAATATTAAGTGAAACTAAAAAAGATATAGATATATTCTATATACTGTACAGGTTGTTAGTTTTGACAAGTTTTATATTTCACCAAGTTCAATGGTAGGATTGATTCATGGAAGCTAGATACTATAGAAATAAAAATGGAAAAGAAAAACAACAGTCCCTGTCATAATTTCCTCTAAAAGTACATCATATTTTGCATCCAACTGTTGATAAAACTGAAAAATTTGAACCATAAAAAGCAACGACTACTGTAACAGTATAACAATGTCCTGAGCTGTATCTAGCCTTTTGTTAGTGACTTTCTACATTGTAGACAATAATAAATTTGAACTTCAGAATAGGTGCTTGGACCATTGAAATCAATTACTCGATGTTTCTGTTTCTGTCACGATTTACATTACAGTACATATTTCATTCACATTCTGGTAATTTTGTGTTGAATTTATAAAAATATGGAAATGTTATTGTTGGAGAAATCCATATGAAAAAAAAGAGAATATGGGCGATATCCTGTGTGTCTTCTTTAAACATAAACATTATCTCAAACATGCATTGTTTTTTGCTGACAGAGCAAGAATTACAGATGGGGTATCGAGGAGGAACTCATATAGATGAGACAGATAACTTGCTACCGAAATTAGGCATCACAGACTGGAAACCATGCCCTGACCCTCTCAAGTTTACAGAGATGGATCCACTGGGATCTAAACTGGTGCTGGCTTCTGTAACAAATGCTGGATCATCTTTGTGTATGTAGAGTAACAAGTCATAATCAGCTGTTCACTAGATAATATCCTTGTATGATGTCTTTACAAGTCTCTTGCTGATCGAACTAGAGGCAAAAAACCTGCAATATCAATGGTTTTTTTTCATAACGCTTTGGAAATGTATTCTATTCTATTAATCAAAAATATTCAGTTGCCTTCAAAAAGGTGATTTTATTTTCTTGGCATAAAATGTGGATGCAAAAGTTTCATAACATGATTTGGAAAGACATTTTAATAGTTTTTATTATTTAATTTTCATACACATGTACACACATACACATGTACATACACAATATTACTTACACAAACACTTACATACACATTATTTCACACAAAAACACATACATACAAATTATTACTTATACATACACACATACATATACATTATTACTTACAAACACACACATACACACGTACATACACAATATTACTTACACAAACACTTACATACACATTATTTCACACACAAACACATACATACAAATTATTACTTATACTTACAGACACATACATGTACATACACATTATTACTCACATACATACATGTACATACGCATTATTACTTACATATACACATTTACATGTACATACACTTTAAAGCATTATGTAAAGAAATAGAAATTACAACATATCAATCTATAGAATTGGTTTTATTTAAATGTTTCAGAGATGTTTCATGGCTCTGTAAGAAGGCACCATATTACTTACCTATGTAGTATGATTTCCATCTTGTTATGGGTAGTCTAAGATTGATAATTTTTTCAAACCTTGTGAAAATTTCCATCACTAATTTAAGATGCCACTATGTATATATAGATTTACCATGTTTTCAAGAGAAATAATACATACGTCATTGTTTTCCAGTAGTCATTGTCAGCTGAAATTTTGTGGTACAAAATTAAAGTATCATAAGAAATAATGTTTGAAGTCTTGTTAGTAGGTGTCATTTTTTAACAGTATTGCTGACACTACGTTTGTCAATGATACATATAAAAGTGCAGTAAGCCTGGATTTGTTACAGGGAGCCCTTCTCCAGCATCACGTCCCGACAGTAAGTATCGCACTCTGGGGGAGCAGGCAACCAACCTTAAGAACCCACGTGACCGTCAGATTGCCCTTCAGAGGATCACCTCAACTTTACAGGTGATGTTGGCCCGCAGTATTGTGATGAAAGCTCTCTCTGTCCTGGCCAGCAGGTTAGCTATACATTTCTTGAGAATTATCATTATGAATTACAATGTTTTATTAGTTTCTGAAAAAATAAATATTTTGAAAATAACTCCTGAATAACCAAGACGTCATGATCATGATAACATGCTTGTATGAAGTACTATCAGATTTTTTCATATGAATGACATTGATTCACTCTCAAGATCCTTTAGATCAATGCCAAAAGTTGATATCTGGCTGCAGTAGCATTGCTTTAACCATGTGAAGCTTATAAGATCGGCTCAAAAGCCAGGGTTTGTTCAGGCTCCTTAACTTTATACATGCTCCTACAATCCCACAGATGTGGTACAGTCATATTCATACACATTATATATCAACCAATTTTACTTTAAACATACCTGGTCCTTGGATTTTTTGATAAAAAAATTCCAAAATTTCTCCAAGAGGCATAAAAAGGAAAGATTAAATTCCTAAAAACCTATATCACTTGACAAATTGAGTGCTATTCAGCCAAATTAACTCTGACCAGGGAAGCAAATGATACATGATGAAAAGATTTGATCCTTTCAAACTAAGAAACAGATTTCGAAAGTTGGGAATCTGAAAGTTTTAATGGTATAATTCAAGGATTTTTGTGCAAAATATATGTCCATTGGTGAGAGAGTATGACTGCTTCAGTGACTTGTCCTGTAATTTTCCAGGCAGCCCTGAGTACATTGATATGTGATTGTTTCAGTGACTCATCCTGTAGTTTACCAGCAGCCCTGAGTACATTGATATGTGATTGTTTCAGTGACTCATCCTGTAGTTTACCAGCAGCCCTGGAGTACATTGATATGTGATTGTTTCAGTGACTCATCCTGTAGTTTACCAGCAGCCCTGGAGTACATTGATATGTGATTGTTTCAGTGACTCATCCTGTAGTTTACCAGCAGCCCTGGAGTACATTGGCTTGTCTGATATCATGGTGATTGTACAGTTGATGTGTCTGTGTGCCTCTGGTAAGATCAGCTACCCACAGTCAGGCAAGACACAAGACAGTCTACAGAATCTTACCAAGGCGCTCGGCTCATTGGTCCAGGACAACCAGGTGTCCATGAAACAACTTGTCAGATTGTGTACACAGGTGAGAAAGTCATTTCATAAACTGTAAAACTATACCAAGATTTAAAATTGTGGGAAAAAATCCCACAGGCAACCTTGTTCTTGGCTGATTTGGTTAATCATAGATTTGATTCATATTTTGCAAATACTCTACATAAAGTACTTTTATTGTAGTAGAAATATCAAAATGCACACTGTCAGTTGACAGTGAATTTAATATTGAAAAGCTCTATGAACAAAAATGATCAGGTTTGTATTCAAAGTGAGCTTTGTTCCTTCAACAAATAAGATGTGTTCTTCTAGTGACAGGATCTGTGCTCTAATCTATTATATTTAAAATAAATGAACACTTAGAAATCAAATGATGACGAGGACAAAATCTCACAAAAGATCTTCCTTTTTCTTTTAAAATTGACATAATTGATAGATAAGATATGATTTTATTTTAGGAACTTTTGTATGCTTCCATGGGTAAGTCTAGTGGACATCGCAGCAGTGCTGGAGTGGTTCGCATGAAGATCCCTGGGACATCCAAACTGGCCCCATTCGAACCTTCCATGTTCACTGTAACGCAATCTCTCGTGTCACTTCTCACAAAGAATGGTTGGGGTCACAAGATGTCAGAGATGTTGGCCAGAGGACCAAAATGTAAATATCATATATATATATTATCTGCAACAAAATTAATTTTTGTGATGGGGAGGAGGGGTTAGCTGATAACTTGAGATACGAAAATTTACTATGGAAAGTATTGTTGGTGTGCTTGCTGTCCACATTTAAGGTTTTACACACTGGTCTAATTTGCCTGAATCATCACTTATTTCATCTAATTCATAGAGGATAGCTCATATACCATAAAGGATATGACTTAGAATTCATTATTTAAAGTGTCTCAGTTAACTTTTAAATTCTAGACAAGTTAAATAAGTCTTGTAAGAAAATGAATCTTTAAAGCTGACATTGCAAACTAGAGAAATTTCCATGTTGAGGTGAAAAAAATGGGAATATATTTTATTGGTAAGACCATTCCCAGCAACAGGAGGAGTTGCGGAGATGGAAAACCTGTCGACCAACCAATCAACCAATCAAACCGGTTATCATTATTGATGCAACGCAACTGATAAAATACATTGCATAAAAACATACATTTCCTGGCTTCCATTTTTGCTTCAGAGTATCTGAAGAACCTGGAAATGGACATTGAACATGTATCTATGACAGACACAATATTAGCCAAGTAACAGAAATACATATTTATTTCCATTACAATTTACACACCTTGAGCTGTGCTTTTTGGAGGAAAAAGCACATGACAAACATCATATCAGCAAATGAGTAACAATGGCAAACCGTACCTTTTCTTGCGGAGTACATCATCGAAATATTTGGGAAATAGAAATTTTTTTGTTTTTACCACAAAATGAATTCTTTTTAACTTACAGTTGTCAGCAGTTTGATTTTGTAAAACCAAAATTTTAGTTGTTCACAATAAATCACATTCTCTTAGGCTGATGTGAAGTCTCTTTGTTGCTTGCTTTGTTGTCTACACTTGGCAACATGGTATTGTGTTATTCTGATAGGGACAATGAAATCCTGTAAAATCACAGTTCTTAAAGTGTTTACCTGTGTACATAAAACTAACTGATATTAGGATACTGATATCAGGACAGTCATTTGATCAGTCAATATCTGTTTTACATCTATGTTACTTTTTTATTTCAGACCCAAGGCAACCTCGTGTAAATGTGGAGTCCTCAGCCAATCCAGACAGCCCTGGGGGAGTCCCACCACCCCCGGAGGATGAGGGAATCCATCCCCTTCAACTAATCAATGCCTTAGCTGGATGTGTGCTCTCCACCAAGGTACCTCCTGCACACAAAGAATGGGCCATTAAACAACTCCTTCAGTCTCTGTCCTCGCATGCTGACACATCAGAACGTCCTGTCAACCAAGTTGACCTTGGTGGTGACCTACCCAACTGTCCTGTGTCGAAGCTTGAAGGTCATCAGAATAGACTTGCTATATGTAAATGGAGCCAGAAAAAGTCTATGCTAGCTACCAGGTAATATTTTCACAAATTGTTTTTATTTTTGTGTCGTTTTCGTCAAGCTTACCTGTGTTAGTGACGTTGATATCAAACTTGACTTCCATGGGATTGCATATCCAGGTACTTTGTGTTTGAAGCCTGTATATTCTATACTTTCCTTTATTTAGTGGCTATGATGGTACATTACGTATTTGGAGCCTGCCCAACAAAACACACCAGTTCCTACAACAGACATGTGTATTTAATCGCGGTGAAGATCTTTCTGGGGAAGACCTTGATGGTCATTTACTGGACAATGTTTGCTGGAGTGCTAATGGCCGTTTACTTGCTGGCTCAATGGATAACCTTGTTAATATTTGGAGCACTGGAGGTAGGTCTACAGATGACGTACAGTTATTGATTTTATGGCCTTTTGTGGGAAGTGTATTATGATGCTGTACCTGTAGTCGATATTTCATGACCCTAGGATCTCACATTTGTCCTTTGGAAAGGGATAATATATCACATCCTTTTTGATAAAATCACATTTTTCAGTGTAATCGGCTTATTTTTGTATTGGAAATAATTCAAACTTGATAAGAATTATCAGTATAGCATGGCAGTTTTAAACATTTTACTTGACTCACCCCAAGGGATGCCTTTCTGACCTCTAGGGACTCAAGGAGGAGGTCAGAAAGAGTTCAAATTAGCTTCAACAGTGCTCTTCAGTTCCATCGATAATGGAATCAATTATTTTAAAGGGCAGTTGTATTGTTTAAACAGGCACTAGTTGAAGAAGAATGTAATTGTGGCTCTTCTGAAATATATTTTGCTTGACAGAAGCACTCTCTTTATTTACATTACACGTGTATATTATCTTGTTCCCTATTTTGGCATTGGTTTTTCATTGTAATTATTATGACAGACACTACATGCTTTTGACTGTCCATAGGCTCTAAGGGTATTCTAGATGTACACAGTCACTGGGTGTCTGCCCTGACTTGGCCCAGCCACAGGAGTATGGTTGGTGGGTGTCTGGGTATGACAGTCGACATCCTTCTTGTGGGGCGATTGGATGGTTCCTTGGCTGCTGTAGAGATTCTCGGTGGCTCTAGTTTCAACCGCAAAGAACTGGATCATTGCAGGCGCACCTCAGGTAAAAGTTGTACATATTGTTGAATTAATTAGGTATACCGTATCTAAGGAAATGTCACTCTGGAAAACTTTTACCTTCTGACAAAAAGATCTGATTCTGACCAGTCTAAAATTTATCCTTAACATACATGACACCTTAACAGTAAGGAGTGAAGAAATGGTTGCTACGTGGTTACTTTTTCATCCTCCTCTAATAAGATGAATATTGGTTAAAGCTTCCTGGAACTGTATAATTGCTTGATTTTGTGGGACTTATATTTTATAGATGTCTTCGCGAAGCTAATATTTTATAGATGTCTTCGCAAGGCTAATATTTTGTAGATGTCTTTGCAAGGCTATTATTTTATAGATGTCTTCGCGATGCTAATATTTTATAGATGTCTTCGCAAGGCTAATATTTTATAGATGTCTTCGCAAGGGAAATATTTTACAGATGTCTTCGCGATGCTAATATTTTATAGATGTCTTCGCAAGGCTAATATTTTATAGATGTCTTCGCAAGGGAAATATTTTACAGATGTCTTCGCGAGGCTAATATTTTATGGATGTCTTATATTTTAAAGATGTCCCAAGTTCTTAAGCATTAAATTTGGCTATGTTTATACATTGTTTCCAACACCGGGATGATAATATACATTTTCCAGCATTTTCATACATTATACAGTAGTTGAAAGACATATTGTATGTTAGATTATTGTGCATATATAATACTATAATGGAATGGTGTTAAATACGGCATGTAATATAGAGTTATTGTAGTTCTTTTTACACTTATGTTGACTCCAAAATCAACCCATCAAGGATAATTACAATCATAGTTACCATTATTATATGCATTCATTTCTAATGGAATAGTTTTGATGTTTCATTCAAATATCTCAAACTCATGTAGGTGGAATGTTGCTGACCTTTCTGATTATTTTGATTCAGTGGCTGTTACTATGCTGGCATGGTATGATGAGGACAGAAACTTTGCTGCAGCTTACAGTGATGGTGTGGTTACTATTGGTAACCGCTCAGACTTCAAAACTCCAGTCACAACTGAGGCTCACCAGGTAGGTAGATGGAAACTCATCACAGAACCTCACTAGATAGAATGATATGCCTTCTGAAAAAGATTAACTTGGGATTCCCTACTCCTGGCAGATTTGTTATCGTTACCTTGGTGTTGAGCAGTTCTGACATTTATCTTATAAAAAATTATGTTTGGGCTCACTCATTTATGTGATAATGAATTACCCCTTCTGAATTCTCCAATGACATCTGTTTTTGTAAGCTTCAGGGTTTTCCATAAGAGTCGGTTGCCGGCCAATTTGACCGGCAACTTTGATCATTTGGCCGCCTACACCAATCCAGTTCCGTAATAATGTTCCGTACACGACTACACGTACACGGCAGGCCAGCCTCCTACTTTCACTACACAGGCCTACTACTAACAAAATTATGCAAAACCCTGAAGCTTAGAAGACTTTGCATTTACCTTGGACTCAAAGAAGGGGGTAGGCTTATTACTGAACAATGATATTATAGCAGTTGTCATTTCTTTTGAGACAACATCTGATGTTGATGGAGCTTATTAAGACACTAATGTCCTCCAGAAAAAGAATTTAGTGCAACATTACAAATTAGGACTGCATGGACATAATTATTTTCAGAACTCTATCAATGGTCTTTCCTGGGACCCTACTGGTCACCTACTGCTGACATGTGCTGAGAAAGACAGTTGTGTGAAGGTGTGGCGACCAGGACGAGAGGGACTGTGCTTACTGTACCTCTTACCAGACTCTGACCCTGTCTGCTCAGTCATGTGGTGCAGTGTTCAAGGCAAAGGAGAGAATAAGCAACTGCTGTTGGCAAGGTAATACAAGAGGTTTTTTCAAATAGAAACACTCAGATGTGACTCTGCCCATATCTGTATTGTTGATCTCACTACCAGCACTGCTGTTCATGGGTATGTATGTTACAATACGGTCAGATTACGTTTAATGAGGACGGTCAGATTACGTTTAATGAGGATTCTTGTTTTCATGTGGTCAGTATTCTAATTTGCTTGTGAAATCTATTTGGTAAACAGTGGAACAATACCAATTACAAATTTATATACAGTTATTGGTTTGTTGCAGTGTTTTCCTTGTGGATGGTGCCTGTGAGCGCATCAGCCATTAGAACACTGTCTGTTACAAATTGGACAGTGTGTGAAATCCTGGATCCGTCGCGACACTGTGTTGAAGGGAATCTTTCTGTTGGAAGTGGGGGAGCGTTTGTGTGAGAAGTGTGTCCTGGATCAGTGTAAAGAGAGCCTTTGTGTGAGAAGTGTGTCCTGGATCAGTGTGAAGGGAATCTTTCTGTTGGAAGTAGGGGAGCGTTTGTGTGAGAAGTGTCTCCTGGATCAGTGTGAAGGGAATCTTTCTGTTGGAAGTAGGGGGAGCTGTGTGTGAGAAGTGTGTCCTGGACCAGTGTGAAGGGAATCTTTCTGTTGGAAGTAGGGGGAGCTGTGTGTGTGAGAAGTGTGTCCTGGACCAGTGTGAAGGGAATCTTTCTGTTGGAAGTAGGGGGAGCTGTGTGTGAGAAGTGTGTCCTGGACCAGTGTGAAGGGAATCTTTCTGTTGGAAGTAGGGGGAGCTGTGTGTGAGAAGTGTGTCCTGGATCAGTGTGAAGGGAATCTTTCTGTTGGAAGTAGGGGGAGCTGTGTGTGAGAAGTGTGTCCTGGATCAGTGTGAAGGGAATCTTTCTGTTGGAAGTAGGGGGAGCTGTGTGTGAGAAGTGTGTCCTGGACCAGTGTGAAGGTGAAGGAGCTGTTGGAAGTGTGTGTGTGAAAGTGTGTCCTGGACCAGTGTGAAGGGAATCTTTCTGTTGGAAGTAGGGGGAGCTGTGTGTGAGAAGTGTGTCCTGGACCAGTGTGAAGGGAATCTTTCTGTTGGAAGTAGGGGGAGCTGTGTGTGTGTCCTGAAGTGTGTCCTGTGATGTGTCAGTGTGAAGGGAATCTTTCTGTTGGAAGTAGGGGGAGCTGTGTGTGAGAAGTGTGTCCTGGACCAGTGTGAAGGGAATCTTTCTGTTGGAAGTAGGGGAGCGTTTGTGTGAGAAGTGTCTCCTGGGTCAGTGTGAAGGGAATCTTTCTGTTGGAAGTAGGGGAGCGTTTGTGTGAGAAGTGTGTCCTGGATCAGTGTGAAGGGAATCTTTCTGTTGGAAGTAGGGGGAGCTGTGTGTGAGAAGTGTGTCCTGGACCAGTGTGAAGGGAATCTTTCTGTTGGAAGTAGGGGGAGCTGTGTGTGAGAAGTGTGTCCTGGACCAGTGTGAAGGGAATCTTTCTGTTGGAAGTAGGGGGGGAGCTTGGATCTGTGAAGGGAATCTTTCTGTTGGAAGTAGGGGGAGCTGTGTGTGAGAAGTGTGTCCTGGATCAGTGTGAAGGGAATCTTTCTGTTGGAAGTAGGGGGAGCTGTGTGTGAGAAGTGTGTCCTGGAAGGGAATCAGGAAGTGTGTCCTGGACTATGTGAAGGGAATCTTTCTGTTGGAAGTAGTGTGTGTGAGAAGTGTGTCCTGGACCAGTGTGAATCTTTCTGTTGGAAGTAGAGAGTGTTTGTGTGAGGGAAGTGTATCCAGTGTGAAGGGAATCTTTCTGTTGGAAGTAGGGGGAGCTGTGTGTGAGAAGTGTGTCCTGGACCAGTGTGAAGGGAATCTTTCTGTTGGAAGTGTGTGTGTGAGAAGTGTGTCCTGGATCAGTGTGAAGAGAATCTTTCTGTTGGAAGTGGGGGAGTGTTTGTGTGAGAAGTGTGTCCTGGGTCAGTGTGAAGGGAATCTTTCTGTTGGAAGTAGGGGGAGCTGTGTGTGAGAAGTGTGTCCTGGATCAGTGTGAAGAGAATCTTTCTGTTGGAAGTGGGGGAGCGTTTGTGTGAGAAGTGTGTCCTGGATCAGTGTGAAGGGAATCTTTCTGTTGGAAGTAGGGGGAGCTGTGTGTGAGAAGTGTGTCCTGGATCAGTGTGAAGGGAATCTTTCTGTTGGAAGTGGGGGAGCGTTTGTGTGAGAAGTGTCTCCTGGATCAGTTTGGATGTAGACACTGTGTGAGAGTGAGAAGACAAGAATGAATTATGAATTGGGAATGAGATTGCTTCCAGAAACTGTTCTCCTATTTGAGGTGGGAGATGAAAGATTGCTATGCCTGTAATCCTATATATCTGCCTCCAATCTTTAAACAGAACCAAGACATGGAATGCATGGAAGAGGTGATTACCCTTAAACCTGTAAGGACTTTACAGGGGCATATGACCTCTGTAAACTCCATGACCTTCAGTCCTGATGGTCTTATGCTGGCCTCTGGATGTACAAGGGGATGGGTCAACGTCTGGTGTCTGTCTGTGAGTATCTTCATTCACACATTATTTCATCAGTGAGCATATAATGTTACCGATGTCCATCCATGGTATCCTGTCCTTATCCATGCTAATATCATGTCTTTAGAGACTCTCAATATATTTAGCTTGTACTTAATGTTGAATCACATCTTTTTGTTTCTTGGTTTCTTGGTTTTACAAAAATGTGCACTTTTTGTTGGCAGTTGATTTCATCGATAACTCTTGCCAATAATCCCACAAGTACTATAATTCATGTCAATTTTCATGGTCATCATTTCATGGACATATTAGTTTGTGGATTAATAGTAAGCTCAAATTTAACAAAAATAAAATACTCAACAAATTGAATGATTTTACAGTACCTCATCTTATCTTAATGTAAAAAATATCTGCATATTCATCCCATAAGGATACATATTTGCACAAGAATAAAAGGTATTCATATCTTACAGGCATTTTCTGTGCTGGATTTTTGAAGGGTTGAATAAAGTCAGGTGACAAATGAATGACATTCAGATCTGATGGTTGCTATCCCTTTTTTCATTGACAAGTTAAACTCACTATTGATACCAGTATGCTTTCTGCTGGAGATAAAACAATATATGGGTACTGTAGTAAGTCCAAGAGGCCAATACATGAATTTGACTAAAAGGACAGGATGGGATTAATGCCTCATAATATTTTTATTGAATGGTGATATACATGGGCAGGTTTATAACCAGGCATGGTTTTTCTGCTTGATGTATACTTTAATGGCTTTGCATTGGTGCTGTTAATATTTTCACAGATTCTTTTTTAATCATTTTTTTTTTAGTAAAGTGTACATTAATTATACTTCCTAAAAATTATTGCCACCTCATCAGTCCGTTTGTTTTCCGTCAGTCCTTTCATGTCCGAGGCATATCTTTGACTACAGTTAAGCAAGGATCACGGAATCTGGTGTATACATTGGTCATACTAAGAGGAAGTGCAATGTACCAAATTCAGGGCCCTCAACCATTCAATTATAGAGTTTTTGCCCTATGTTAAAATTTCTTGTCCGGAGTGTAACTTTGCATTTAAACTTGGATAACAAAACTGTGTGTAAACATTGATTTAACTAAGATGATTTGCAGTGTACCAAATTCATGACCCGCAACCCCTTAATTACAGAGGTATTGCTCTTTGTCAAAATTCTATATCTATAGCACAGCATTAAATTGCCTGCATTGAAACTGGGATCTTAAATCAGCGGTGGTCATTAAGATGATAAATCAGATTGTGTACCTGACTTTTTATACAGGATGGCTGTTTACTGCAGACCCACATTGAGAATGGAATGGTGAATGACCTTTGCTGGTATGCCGATTATGGATTGGCCATTTGTTTCAACAGGATCAAGGTCAGTCAGTACAAATGGATTAAAGAAATGAAACCAAATGTTACAAAATTATAGTTTGTGTATTGGCTCTTTGATGATAAATCCTTGAAGTTATTCTATGGTTATATAAAATGTATACCCAATGTCCTCAAGATCTTGACCATTCATTGTAAAATTTCTGTAGGTTAAGTAGAACACTTTTTTGTGGTAAATAAACAGAGGATGTTTCCCGATGGCAAAACAAATCCTGAAAGCAGAAGTAAAAAGAAAAATATTTCGATCATCCCCTGCAGCAAAATGATGCAGAATATTGTCAAAATATTTTGTGGAGCATTCATCATGAATGGGATCAGAAGATGGACAACCAGATGGATCAAGCTGGAGCCAGAGGGCTGGTGAAGCCTAATACAGAATATAACAGAAATACTGGAAATCTTTGTGCTGACAAAAGGATTATGATCAAATTCAATATAAAATATGGTTGATGAAGAGAACTTGGTATTATACTATGTATAAGAAGGATCTAATCTCCCTGGGGGCCAATAATAAAGAACTGGTTGTGAAAATGTTAGTGTTTTCAACCAATATTCCTTCTGTTGATTTAAAGCAACTAGATGCTAAAATTTTGGTGTTACCAACCAAATTAAAATTTTAGCATTTTCAAACAAATTAAAATTTGAGTCTTTTCAACCAAACTTTTTCTTTCATTGATGCAATGCATTTTTGGAAATAGCAAAAACCTGATCTGTTAAAAAGGTATTTTCCCCTAATGAGAATCACGTCATGGGGCAATATTCTTACTATTATAATAGAGAGACAAGAGTATTTTACCATGTATATAATGATATAAATTAAGTGATGCAGGCATTCTGTATATTACAGACACCATTATATAACATCTGAATGTTATAAAAACCTTGCCTCTCGTTACGATTTTAATCCATTTTTTTCCATTATGTAGATACATATCAGTTTGGCGTATGAGGAAATTAACTTCTAGGTTTAGACATCTGATATGATTATGCTAATTTACAAAAAATGTGATAACATGATAACATTAGATTGCACCAAATTAATATCAATATAACGAAACAAACCCTATATAATTAACAGGATGTGGTTATACTACACTATAATGCTGAGCTCCATCAGAAGTCCCGATGTATCGCCATGGCGAGAAAGAAGCTAAAGCAGCAAGGCATTGTGGGATTAAACCAGGCTCCCTGTTTGCTGAGCCTTCTACAACAGCTGCCGACCATGCTTCAAGACCAGTACCTGTACGAAAAGGTAATCACTGGTGACTCCTCAAATATACATATAAAGGAATAAAAGAACAGCTTCCTGGTTGTTGACAATCCTTTATCATACTAATATGTTAATTACATAGCAAGGATCTCTATTGAATACAACGCAGTACTAGGAACATGCTGCTTTCCTAGACGTGTAGAGTGATGATTCTCACTTTTTTTAGTTTCCGCAATACAGTGTAGTCACTTCACTTGATAACACTATCAAATAATTGTCAAGAACAAACTTATGACATCAACTTTTGCATTGGAATACTTTCAAATTATAACTGATGGCTGTGGTGACATGATATCTAGTACATAGGGGTTTTTTCCAGCTTGTACCAGGTTAGTCTAAGTCAGCAAGCCTAATTTTTATATAATATATACAAACATCTTCTTGAAAAAAGTTCAATCACTAGAGGTTGCTCAATAAACTGTCATCAATATAAACAAACAAGGCAATGCTTATGAAATATCACTCAACTGCAATTGTCAAACAAGCAGAATTATGTATAATTTATTTCTAATCATGAAAATGTGATTATATGGGGAAAAACTGGTTTTAAATATCATTCTCATGAATAAAATTTGTTAAAAATGCAAAATTCTGCTGCATATAACCTTCAAATCCAATACCATCTTGCATGTCGAGTGACTAGATAGACAAATGATCTGATTTGACAACAAGTGACCTAATTAAGTGTCAGATACATATATAAATATTTGCCTCTGTTTCAGCCAATCGTTGTGTCTGGCCAGCAACTGGTGCACAGCCCTTACCTACAGTGTCTGGCTACCCTCGGGGTGGGACTGTCTATGGAGTATGTACTGTGTCACAACCAGACACTACTTCATCACAATACAGAAGGTAAGGGGTAATCCTGATTAAACATTAGGATAGATGCTGAATTATCCTCATGTCGGGATGTAAATCTAATTTGGGTTTGGGCATGGACTCCTGTAAAATACCCGAGGATCAACTTGGATATTAAATTAAGATGGAAAGTGTCATTTTGCCTGAAGATTCACTGTGAGTTATCCTAAAAGTGAGTTGTGAGTTATTTAAAAGATTGGCTGTGTGTTATCCTAAAGATGTGCTGTCAGTTATCATAAAGATGGGCTTTGATTTATCCTGAAAGTGAGTTGTGAGTTATCTAAAAGGTGGGCTGTGTGTTATCCTCAAGGGCGGTTGTGAGTTATCCAAAAGAGCTGTGATGTATCCTAAATGGGGCAGTGAGTTATTCAGAATGTTCAAAGACATTCTGACTGTTCTGTTTTCCCATAGCCTCCATCTTTTTGCCTACTTTTACTTTCAAACACTGTATCTTTGTCCCTGTCTAATGTCTTTTTGCAAATAATTATTCATCCATTCCGAGTGATAAAACTCCATGCAATTTAATATATGGTTCATCATACTATCTTTACAGACCAGGATCTGTTGGTACCAGAATGGCAATGGCTTCTATCTTTCTCCGCTGCCATCAAGTCAGCTGATGCATTAACTCAAAGAATGCAGTTCCCGGACTCCTTCAAAATCCTGAATAAGGACACCAGGAATGGAGGATCTGTTCCAATGGTAACGCTTCTCATTTCCCAGATTTATCAAGCAATAAGTCTGTGCCTTGTAATAAGCCCACTCATTGCTATAGCTTTTAAGTAACATTATTTACAAGTATTATGTCAATAATCTTTGATAAACCCTACCCACCCCCTAAATTACAGTCAGCAGAAATGGTTTGGCATCTTGACTTATTGCAGACTAACTCAAATAGTGTCACAATTATGTATTCATCCAATAAATTATTTTAGCATTAAAGAAATTACCTTTTGATTGAGAAACAGGTGTAGTGACAAGATCTTTGCCAGTAGAATTTTGTATTTATGTTGGGATGAAGAACTTTCAGTTTTGTTAGAATTTTATTCCTCTGATGAAATTCCTAGGTCATAGGTGTATAAAGATTCTCCATGGTCCCATGTTCTGTGTACTGAATTCTAACTTTCAATTAAAGTGGTAGTCTCCTTTGATTTTCAGGTCATCTGGCCGAAGGGTCTGTTGACCTATTGCGATCGCCTTTTGTCCAGCGTCGTATGTCGTCTGTCGTAAACATTTTCATCTTCTTCTCAAGTTCTACATGTCTCATTTAGCTGAAAATTACCTGAAATGATCGTGACATGATCCTGACCAATGTTTGTTAATTTCGGGTTGGTCCGAAATCCAACATGGCCACCATCTTGAAAACACATTTTCGACTTCTTCTCGAGTTCAAAATTTAAAATCTTGTATTTTATGCCAGATGACTGTTAAAGCCTTACTTATTTTACATACAGGTTCTCCATAGTCACTTTAGTTGTGTAGGATAGTTGAATTATGACTATTTAGAAAATAATAATGCAGATAGATGAATATTTTGGAGATTAAGAAAACGTTGTTGCTTTTTCTCAGAAGTACTGAAAGAAAGAATATGTAGAGTTGTTTCAGAATGTGTCAAACATCTTAGATACAGATGGTCATAAGGTAAAATTTATATTTGTCGGATGGAATTATTGGTGTTATGCAGTATGATAAATAGATGTACTAGTAAGAAAATGGGCTTAATCAAAATTAAAATAAAACGAAAAAATAAAACACAATATCATGTACTTATTAGCAGTAATAGCAAATATCACAAAATTTACATTTGTTGTACTTCACAGGATAACAGCTGCTGGGACTTAAACATGGACACCCAAATCATGTTGTGGGCTTTACAACGCCCAGAGGACTGGCAGCTAGGGGGGAAGTGTGAGGTATTCCTTTGGGGTAGTGGACGCCACGGCCAGATATGTGAGGGTGGGAGGGCGTCTTTTGTACCCTCAAAAGTCTCCTCATTCTCATGTGCTCAGAAAGTAAGTACAGAAGAAATATGTCATTTTGCCAATTTACTGATATGAACAAATGTGTTAATGTGATTGCTGAAACAATCCAGGTGATGAAAACTGGCCTTCCGTGCCTTATACTAGATGTTAATTACAATTCTGCGAGGAGTCCTGGGGGTCAACATACCAATTCAAACTCAAAGTCCAAGAGTGAGATTATCTCAAGACAGTGAAATAGCAGTAATTAAGATTGAACAGCAATATATATAAACATTATATACTCAAGGGATAAAGAAATTTAGGGTAAACTTTGAAGATGATTCTAGACAAGACGTCGAGTATAATGTTCAATATTTTTAAGTAAGAATGAAGATTAATCCATACATAACAAACTGCGAAATCAACGATTTGTATCTGGTAAGTGATTTAGGAGTAATTGAAGGGAATTGAAAAATACCTCTGTAACATGAAAAGTGAAAATTACTGATAGTGGGAGCTGGCTAGTCTATACTGGGTATGTCCCCCATTTACTCTTGCCACAGCCCTGATTCTCCTAGGCATGGAGTTCATTGGTGGGTTAATCCTCCTTATTGGGATGTTGTCCCATTCTTCCAAGAGGGGTGCTCTCAGTTTGGCAAGAATAACACGGGGAGACTGGCGTCATCGAATCTGACTATCCAACTGGTCCCACAAGTGCTAAATAGGGGACAGGTCAAGACTGTATGGGTCAGTCCAGTGGGGGGGATATTGTTGTTAGTGAGAAAGTCACGACAGATCCTTGCAAAATGGGGCCGAGCATTATCATGCTGGAATGTAAGGTTTTACTGCAATAATGGGACAATATGGGGTTGGAGGATCTCATCTCTATACCTAATAGCAGTTAAATTACGCTACCCAAACCAGTGGTGATTTTACTCCATGTGAGATTCCTCCCCACACCATAATTGATCCACCCCCAAACCTATTGGTCCATACTACGCAGCAGTCGACAAAACTTTCTTCATGACGTCGGTATACATGATGTCGAGCATCTACTCAAAACAGAGTAGTAAACAATACCTGCCTCCAAAGCCTCAATGGGAATATTCTGGGGGCATGTGCCACCACCCAAACTATACAACGCTGGCAGCAAATAGTGATAAGGGGTAGAGCTACAAACAGGTGACGTGCCGGCAGACCAACTTCTTGCAATCGTTTCCTTACAGTTTTTGCATGGATAAGAAGGTCATGAGTACCTGTGGCATAAAGAACAGATTCAGTGACAGTTAGGTGCTGATTGCCCAAGACAAATAAACCTGTCCTGATGGTGTGATGACATGTGTGGATGCCCAGACCTAGGTCTGTCAGCAACCTGCCCAGTTTCCCTTACACGTCTTACAAAACATTCTATAAGGCAAATATTGACACCGAAATGTGTGGCAACCTATATTGGCCTTTGACCTTGCATAATCATTGCAATGACCTGACCCCTCTAAACTTCCATCAGCCATGCCATTCATAACATCAATCAGAAACATTCAATACATGATCATTTGCATTGTAACGTAGAGAGTTGCTTCACCAATTTTCATTGATTTTGAACGACACGTTCGCAAGGTATTGCAAATATGTCACCCTGCAGTTCTTTTCCCTTGAGTATGTTTTTCAGAATCTTAGTCTTTGAAAATCATTATTGTGTTGCCATGGCGATAATATACTCTCTTGACTGTTCTGGTACCCATGTATAATAAAAATCATTGCTAATGAATATTTGTTGGTTTATGGTATAGTGAGCTAATAGACATATGATTATAACAGTTATTGTCAACATTAGAACAGGAAATGAGGCACAAACTATTGCAACTTATTTACACATTCTCCCAATTAACATTTACATAGAAAAATAACTACTATCAAGGAAGCAGACATACATGTAGGATATCTGCATTAATGATTAAAATCAAGATCTGAAACTAGACTTAATGAGGCACATGTCTGAAGATATCTAAATTAAAGTCTATAGCAAGATTAGGATATCTGCATTAAATGGTATCCAGATTGATAGCAGTAGTCAAAGGAGTGGAATAACATATACATGGGGATGAGATTTCTGTTTTACAGGTGATATGTGGACAGAACTGCACGTTTGTGATCCAGAATAACGGTACAGTACTGGCCTGTGGGGAGGGAAGTTATGGCCGCTTGGGACAGGGGAACTCGGATGATCATCATTCCCTTACAGCCATATCATCACTACAGGGTCAGTATTAATCTTATATCTCAAACATTCAGATTTGATTCTGAATATTTTCATCATTTTTTTTGCAATTTTTCTCTGTTAAGCAAAATTGTAAATTCTGTTTTTAAGTGTGATTACTAATGTGGTTATCTTACTGGGTATTTTGTATCTGATAACTATACGGGGTCCTACTTCCAGTCATTGTGATTTTTCATGATTTTTTACATTACTTTCATCACAGGAATAGAATCATTAATTTATGAAAATTCCATGTTGTTTGTGCAAGCTGTCTGTGTGATAAGTCTCACAAAATGAAATAAAATGAAAGCATTCAAATAGATGTGTTACATACTGGCTGACCAATGTGTCTTAATTCATACTTTAGAGGCCAATGTTTTTTTAGAGATTCTATTTGTGTCCTTAGAATCCCTGGGGTAAAGGAAATAAACTGGTTATAGACCAAAAAATACACAAGATAATAACAATGTACTGTAGTCAGTTGGGCTACAATTTGTTTAATATTTGGTCATTGATATGCGAGAGTCTGTGGCTCCAGCTCTTCCCTGTATAGTACTGGCCCACTGCAGCATCTATTGAAGGTGACCATGAAGTCATCCAAATGTCACACTTAAATCCTTTACCGGGGTTGTTATAAGAACATCTATTCTAAGCTATGTGTTACTTTGTTTCACTCTTGTCACGCATTTTCTAATCTGTTATTAAAAAAACAACTCCATATGTATTGTTTTATGTACTAGGTTGAAGACAAAGTCTTACCAGTTAATGATTTCTTCTGATAAAGTTTTTTTCAGCTGATTGTCACATATGTGCTAAACATTTCATTCGTTCCCCAGGGTTTGTGGTAATACAGCTTGCAACCTCGGTGGGGTCAGATGGTCACAGCCTCGCTCTGACTGAGAGTGGAGAGGTGTTTAGCTGGGGTGATGGTGACTATGGCAAATTGGGACATGGCAATAGTGACAGACAGCGCCGCCCACGACAGATTGAAGTTCTACAGAGGGAGGAAATTGTACAGGTGAGGAATGTTATTGCCAGTTTTTCAGAGGGTTATGTTCCCATGGTTATTAGGTCACCAGGCCTGAAGGACCAAGTGAGCCATAGGGATGCTGCAGCGTCTGGCATCAATCCATTGTCAAGCTTCTGTCAACTTTTCCTATAAATCGCTACTACTCATGAATGACTGAGTAGATTTAAACTCTGAAGCATCCTTAGAGGAAGGGGAAATGATTTTGTATAAATTGTGGGTCTTGACTCCCTGAGGCCTGAAGAGCAAGGTGCAATGGGGAAAATCTATCAATTTCTTTAAATCACACCTTTCTTCAGGATTTGCAGAATATTGTCCAAATTTGGTTTGAAGCATGGTGAAGGGAACTAAATCTTATATAGTTGTTAGGTCTCAGTCCACACGGACAATAGAGGGGGCGTGGCCTGATGGGGGAAAATCTATCAATTTCTTAAAAAATCTACCAGGTATGTGTTCTTCATGAATTGCAGGTTTTTGTCCAAATTTGGTTGGAAGCATGCTTGGGTGAAGGGGAAACAGGGCGGGAGAGTTAGGCCCATTAAGGGAAATAGAGCAAACACTTTAAGATCTAACTTTCCCTTTAGGAATGTTTTGATTTCACCCAAATTTGGTCTGAAGCATTGTTTGGTGAAGATTATTAGTTTTGTATGTAAGGTTGGTTTTGGACCCCAGGTTGGGAGAAGTGGGGCGGATGGGACCAAAATAGGGGTCAGGATAGAGCAAAATCCTTCTTTCTTTGTAGGAATAACTGGATTTGGCCCTTTGGGAAGAGTATGTGTCTTAATTAGGGAAACGGATACAAGTGTTTTAAATATTTTTCTTTAGTTGAAATTAATCAGTTTCAGCAAGCTATACCAGATGAACGATACAGGCCTAATGGGCATCTTGCATTGGTTTTCCTGATAATTTCTTGTTTACCTGTATTTTTTCCTTACTCCCCCGCCCCCACAAATTTGCTGTAGCTGCAGAATAATTTTAAAGTAAAAACATTTTGCAACATCTTCAAAAGTAGTCAGTGATTGCATACCACTGATTTCAGAAGAGATATTCTTGTATTAATTTAGTACCTTGCTCAATACTTTCAGCCGTTTTTGCTGCATCATCTAGAAGTTAGATAACAGTGTTGTTCTTACTTTTTTGTAGCTTTCGTGTGGATTTAAGCACAGTGCTGTGGTGTCAGCAGATGGAAAATTATTTTGTTTTGGTAATGGAGAGTATGGGCGTCTAGGATTGGGTAATATCGTCAACAAGAAGATACCACACAGAGTCACAGCACTAGACAGCTACCAGATTGGACAAGTAAGTTTCTTTATTAATTCAAAAATATTACTTATTCTCCTAAAACAGAAATGTTATATTATCAAATTTTCTTGGTGTAGAAATAATACTGACTAACCAGATATAGATATTTTTTTGTTCTTACTTATTATAAAAGTACAGTACTAAAAAAAGAGATCCAATGTAGGGGTTAATATTCTCAATGTTTCTGGTAGTCTTCTGCAGATGGATTCCTAAGGAAAACAGAGTCTAGTCAAAAAAAAGGAAACTAAAATTTCTAAATGATTGGACAACATCTGTCAAAAAATATCAGCAAAATCTATTAGTTGACCTGTTTCAACATACCCTGGTATGATTCAGCCCGCCTACCTATCATGCCAATTAATAAATTTTGCTCATATTTCCTAATTAATATTGTCCAGTTATCTCTTCCTTTATCTTGATATGAAAGTGTTAATTACTTACATAAAAGGGAAATTTGATATTACACTTTGGAGTATATTTTAACAAAAGGATTTTTGGTGCTGTACAGGTGGCATGTGGGTTGAATCACACCCTGTGCGTGTCTACAGATGGGACAAATGTCTGGGCCTTTGGTGATGGAGATTATGGCAAGCTGGGCCTGGGGAACACCACGGGTAAACATCTCCCAACCAAGATAGAGGCACTCCAGGGTCAGACCATTAAAAAGGTGGTTTGTGGAGCTCAGTTCTCTGTAGCTCTCTCCAAAGATGGCAGAGTGTTTACCTGGGGACAAGGTAACTTGGATTTTATTGCAGTGAAAGGGTCATGATGTTGTATGATTTGGAGGTCCTTCTTTGCGCTGACATAAAATAGTTTTAGACTGATATAGTGTAAAAGCTCTCAACTTTTCTTTGAATCTGATTACATGATTGTATCATTTGTGACAGATCGCCTGATTGGTCAGCCAGAGTTCAGAGGGCGTGGCCACATGAAGCCTCAAGAGGTGACAGCCTTGTCAGGATATTATGTAGAAGATGTGGTGTGTGGGGCAGAACACACTTTGGCTCTAACCTGTACAGGGGATGTCTGGGCATGGGGCAATAACAGTGAGGGCCAGTTAGGGATTGGCCATACCAACACACCAGTGAGGGAGCCGCAACTAGTACCCTGTCTCACTGGCAAAAATGTCAAACAGGTAAGTCTGTACACCTGTGAAGGAGCCATAACTGGTGCCCTGTCTCACTGTCAAAAATGTCAAACAGGTAAGTCTGTACACCTGTGAAGGAGCCATAACTGGTGCCCTGTCTCACTGTCAAAAATGTCAAACAGGTAAGTCTGTACACCTGTGGAGGAGCCATAACTGGTGCCTTGTCTGACTGGCAAAAGCATCAAACAGAAATGTCTCTACACTTGAATGTAGGATTTCCTGAAATTATGCAAAGGATAGAAAATAGCACGGCAGTATGGCATATTCAATTCCCATGTCTGTACACATAATTCAGAGGTCACATCAAGGTTTGAGGTTATAAATCTTAGTTGAAGGTAGGTCATTGAAGTCACATACTTATGTGGTAGGTACATGTGTTAAGGCATTGTGTTATGTACAGTTTTGTGTTCATAAGTCAAGGTCACATAATGGTTAGAGGTCAAAGGATTGTCCTGACCAAAACTTCTTTCTCATTAGAACAATTTCATAATCACTCTTACCTGGTCTTCTCTTGTTTATCAATATCAGCAGTCCGGTCACATTTAGTAGATGCATTGCTCAAATTGATATCGTTGAGTTTTTTATAGAATCTGATGCATCACAAACCTATTATAGGTCTAGTCTGTGGCTTGTCAGGATTACTTTCGTATCGGAATTTTGATGCTTGAACCTGATATCATCTTACTAGAATTTATGACAATAAATTGTATTTTGTACTTTAAAATACCTTTCAAAAGATGAAAGACTGTGGGTCAAAAGCATCGGATGAGAGAAACTTTCTAATATAAGCTTCAGAGGAATCAATTAAAATTTGTAAAATTCCAGAAACTTGAACTAGGATTTATTTTTCCTGTGTTTGTTAACGTGGCTATGGATCTTGAATTTTTTCTGTCTGGAAGTGTATCTATTTGCTGAAGACTCCTGTGCAGTTTACCTAGTAAGGTAAAGGTTGAAGGAATATACTTTAGCTGAAGGGCTTTTTCATTTATGGAGTTTTAAAAAAATTGAATGTACTGTACAGTAATAGTGTAAAATTCTTTTGTTAATCATATGATAAGAAATGAAATATTTCCTTGACTTTCAGATATCAGCTGGTAGGACCCACAGTGCCTCGTGGACAGCACAGCCTCCTCCTCAAAGAAAACCAGGAGTACCTCTTCCCCTCCAGCTGGGCATCCCAGAGTGTGTGCCTCCTCAGTATACAGCCTTGACAGGAGTGAGCCTGGAGGATATACAGGGACGCTTCAAACTTCTGCACCACTTCTCTGACCTCATATACTCTTCCTGGAGACTACTCCCACTGACTTGTATCCAGGTGAGTAACCTACAATACATCTAAATACTCATATGATTAATTTTTTCATAGTTTAATCAAATGCCTGAAGCAAATTTTCCTTGCATTGGTTTTGTATCTTCTGTATTAAGTATCTAGTCAAGACATATAGAGAAACTAAACAAATTATAAATTATATCATTGGTTTTATTGAAAAAAAAACTAAAGGCCCCAATGGAAATAAGCTTTTCAATGCTTTTTTGGGAAATCCTAGGATATATGTACTTTTGTCTTTATTTATAAATATCACTAGTTGATACATTAAAGATGTAGCAAGCAACTTATTCATGATTATGTATAACATGTTATATGTGCCATATATTCATATGTTTTGTATACAAATATGTACATCTTTATCCTGAATAGATTTATTATTATTATTATTATTATTAATCCAAAGTACAGCTAATATAGGATGTGCCTTTATTGAGGAACTTTTATTATTGCTAACTTCATCCTGATCCTAAGTATAAGATAATGTTTACAGTCGACCCTTACCCAATACGAGGCTGGCATGGCAGGAATCGTGGATGGAAGATTGCGTCCACTTCTCTCCCCGAGGGTCTACACACTTCCCCTTGTCAGGGCAATCGGCAAGACCATGGTCCAGGGAAAAAATTATGGACCACAGATTACTGTCAAACGCCTCTCTACAAGGTAATATATATGTGTTTGCAGGGACCACATAGATGCAACTCTCATACTTGACATTCATCATCATACAGTTTCCAATGAGATGCATGTAATATTTAGCTTCTGATGTTTTTACGTTTTGTTTAGGGGGAAGAAGTGCAAGCCTGTGTTTACTCAGATAGCCCAGCAGGTGGTTAAATTGAAGGCAGATGATTTGAGACTGCCTGCACGGGCCTGGAAGGTGAAGCTGATTGGGGAAGGAGCAGACGACGCTGGTGGTGTGTTTGATGACACCATTACGGAGATGTGTCAGGTTAGTGGATCAAAATAATGAAAGAAAAAACACACTAAATATGTAAAAACATGAGATTGGGATCACTTTGACCACACCATGACATTTTAATTTTTTCATAATTGAAACAAAAACTTACCTGATCAAGACAGGGTCCTTTTGATTTCCTGAAGAATGCTTTACGAAATTCATAGCCAGAAGAGGTTGCGACTGTCTCATAGTTAGGATTTTCTCCAAGAGTTGCTGATAATGGTGGCAGTACTGATACATAGTGCTTTACATTGGTTCAGTTTAGCTTATGGGTTTATAATACACTTAAACTTTGCTGATTTTTTGACAGGAGCTAGAGATGGGAGTGGTCCCAGTGCTAATTAAAACACCAAATGCTCAGAACGATTCTGGAAACAACCGAGACAGGTGAGTTGTAGAAACAATGCCTCAGCATACTGAGATACATATGATGCCTTGGTATAATAATTCCTTGGTATGATAACTGTGACTACAACAAAATTTCACTTCTGTTCCAAAAAAATTTGTTATTGATGATTAAGTGCCAGTACATATTAACCCGAAGAACAAGATATTTAGAGGAAAATCTCTGTTTTGAAAATTTGTGGTGGTATACCATGATTCATCTGTCAGAAAATTAGTTTTACTGGCGATGCAGCAATTTTTTTTATGCCCTGCCATTTATGGCCGGGGGCATATAGCGTTGCCCATGTCCGTCCGTCCCGTCCCGTCCCGTCGCGTCCCAAATCAGTATATACCACCTAACAACTTCATTTGGACCTTTCACTATTATTTCACATGGGGGGGGGGGGGGGGTGGCAGATGATTCATGTGGCTTACAGACATTTTCTAGTTCTATTTGAATTTGTTCCCCTTGAAGGTTGTTGTTGAATCCGTCATTGACTTCTGATGAGGACCTGACTATGTTCAAGTTTCTGGGAGTCCTGTTTGGAGTGGCCATTCGGACAAAGAAACCGCTTGATCTACACTTAGCACCGTGTGTCTGGAAATTACTTGTTGGCATTCCTCTCAAACATGAGGACTTGGAGGAGGTAGGTCACAGTAGGTGTGGCAGATGAAATAGGTCACAGTAGGTGTGGCAATTACTTGTGGGAATTATTCTTAAACATGAGGATGTGGAGGAGGATGGTCAGCCTTCCACTCTCTGAGGCCAGGTGTGATGATGTATTGAATAAGACTATATATTTGTACCCAAATGTAGATCACCTCTGTCTGCAGGCCCTAGAGGTCAGGAGTGATGATTGGTTAATGAAACTATATGTGTATTTACATATAGATCACCTCTGTATGTATACTGTAGAGATCAGATGAGATAACTTGCTAATGAACTATATATTTGTATCTACAGGTAGATCACCTCTGTATGTAGACCCTATAGGTCAGACGAGATAACTTGTTAATGAACTTTATATTTGTTATTTACAGGTAGATCACCTCTGTATGTAGACCCTATAGGTCAGACGAGATAACTTGTTAATGAACTATATATTTGTATCTACAGGTAGATCACCTCTGTATGTAGACCCTATAGGTCAGACGAGATAACTTGTTAATGAACTATATATTTGTATCTACAGGTAGATCACCTCTGTATGTAGACCCTATAGGTCAGACGAGATTACTTGTTAATGAACTTTATATTTGTTATTTACAGGTAGATCACCTTTACATCCAGAGTCTGATTGGTATCTCTGACATACAGAAGAGTGGAGTCAATGAGACTAACTTCCATGAGGTATACACTGCAGTTTACCTGCCCTATTTTTTGTCATCTCGTGGTAATTTTTGAGACGTTTCAGTACAAACTGTCTTCTTACACTGTACAGGTTGTTATTTTCAAGTAGATACCATGAAGAATAAACCACTGTTGTCATATTTCTTTAAAATATGTCCTGTGATGCTTCATCGTTTTGGTAAAATGGTGAAGAATGATGAATCAAAACTGCATCGTTACTAAAATCATTTTAAGACATGTCAGTGATGCTACTAGGGGTCTTAAGTGTTGGAAACTTGAGTGGTTAAGGAAAATAAAGATTGGTTAAAATAAATGTCAAAATGTAGCTTTTAAGCTGATATAGCTTGCTTGTTATTTTCTCGTTACCACAGTTCATTCCACTGGACAGCTTTCTAGGACAGAGTTCAGATGGCCGACTAATTCCAGTGATTCCTGGTGGAAGTACGATTCGTCTCCACTTCCACAACAGGAGAGATTATGTTGAGGCTGTCCTTACCTACAGACTCCATGAGATGGACAGACAAGTGAGTGGTTACCTTCAAGATTCACAGCTGGCTAGTCTCTTATGATCTGTTATATTCACATGGGAACTAATTTGGCTATCTTTTTTTTATTATTTTGATGTTTAAGTTATAATAATTTAGTCAGTATTTAATATGTGGTTATATATAAAACATCAATACTATGTATGTTCTATGTGTTACAATAAAAACTGATTTTTCGAAGCTTTTTTTTGACGAGGTATTGCATGATAAGAAATGCTAGCTAACCAGTTCTTTCTGATGCTGAAAACAAGAAATATGTCTCCTCCTTCTCTTGATGCATACAGCAACCATAAATATATCCCTAGTAACTATGTATATTTATGATACTGAAAAGCTTTCAACAACCATTGGTAACTAAAGATGTCACTTTAAATTTTTCTTTTTTTTCTTTTCCTACATTTGTTATCTTAGTACTTTAAAACTTAATTTTGTATCCCTAGTAACTACATCAAATTTTGTAAACCTTGTAACTTTAAATGCATAACCCAAGTAACTAAAGATGTAGCTCTTGTAACTACAAATATAACCTTAGTAACTGTAGATGTAACCTTAGTAACTAAAGATGTATCTCTTGTGACTACATATAACCCTTGTTATTACTGATATAACCATATTAACTACAAACATCGCCCTAGTAACCAAGGATACAACAGTGTCTGTCCTTACATGACATAGTTATTGATAGGTCATTTAACATAAAACAAAACCCTAGCAACAGCAAGTAACTTATTAGCTCCAAATGTAAGCCTTGTAACTAGTGATGTTTGTGATTATGTACAGGCTGCAGCAGTGAGAGAGGGTATGGCATGGATTATACCTGTACCTCTGTTGACATTACTGTCCCCTCGGGTCCTGGAACAGATGGTGTGTGGAATGGAGGATATGAATGTGGATATCCTTCGTAAAGTTGTCAGGTGAGATTTGGACGTTCAGTCGGGTAAACGGTAGATAAGTTTTGTTAGACATATGGGACATGGATATTGTGACATTTGGCCACCCCCACTGCCTGTTGAATATATACGTATATGTATAGTGATGAATCATCAGATGACGTGGGCTTCTGGTTTCACTGTATACTTATTTTTTTCAAGGGGTTCAGAATGCTAATCTGTCAGCATTTTCCCCCCGAGATATTTACAATATGCTTTGCTGTAATATTGTAATATCACACCTACTGTGTTTGAGTAACGGCTAGAAATGACATCAGATATTGTGTTGTATGGGCCGTAAACTTTCATCCACTATTTTCACCAATTCAGAATGGGAAAAGATTTAGTCATGTTTCACAAGTATATTGGTTTAAAAAAAGCATAGAATTTCAAACTGTTTCTTATCTCGAAGGTTACCATTCATTTTTTTGTTTTCACACCAAAAATGTATCCCTCAACTCCACTCCACCTCACATTACTGCATATCTGGATAACTGAAACACCTGTGATTTGTCAAATAGGTATTTGGGGACTACAGAGTACAGTGGTACAGTCACATGACAGTAGGCGTTTTTCCTTTTTGTACTCTGATTGACGTTCTCTAAATAAGCAGCGACTGTATTTCCTAATGTTTAACAGATACCGAGGTATAGATGAGAAGAATGAAGTGGTGCGTTGGTTTTGGGAAGTTCTGGAGGCCTTCAGTAATGACGAACGGATCCAGTTCCTGCGATTTGTTTCAGGAAGGACACGATTGCCAGCCAACCCCTCGGATATATCACAGCGATTCCAGATTATGAATTCTGATAGGGTTAGTATCAGTTATTGTTACTGTTGCTAAGAGTTCAGTAAACGTGCTATAGTCAGAAATTCTTGGCCCTCATCTTAAGAGTACATTTCATGTATAAGTATGGTGACTGGTTAATAATCTGGTTGTTTCAGGGCTAAACTGTTTAGTGCCAAAGAATTTGAGACCCATGAAGTTTCAGAAATTGTTTCCTTCATCATTTGTTTTTCCGTGACTATTTCTATCTACATACACCATCATTCACTAGACAGATTTTGTTCAATCACTCATGGATGTTAATCCAATAATTTATAAAATCAATGACATGTATGATGAAAACAAAATAAAGTTAAATTTCAGATGTAGATGTTGTAGGGTTGATAATGAAGAAGTCCAGTTCTTGTTGAAAGTGTTTTATTCTTCTTCTTTATATTTATGTATAATATGCAGGTATGCTATATACAATAACCATCCTTTACCATAACAAAGTTAAGAAGTGGATGTGTTCTTGCTCGGACAAATGCCCGAGCAAGGGGTGTCCCACCAGTGGAGACTAGCCTCTCTCCTATCTAGCCTCCGATCTTCTCTTCTCTGGTCTATATATATACTAAACTGTTATGAAACTGTTGGTTAAGTATTTTACACCATAGATAAACAGGGTTTTCCCCAAGATCAGTATACACTGACCTTCATGCGAACTGCCCTGATAGAGCTTAGGTAAGAACTTGTGCAATCAGAAAATGAAGTGATAACATTGATCATGTGTAGTAGATTAAGTATCAACAGTATGCTTCTGGCCACTGGTCAATACATAATTCACCACTGGTCGATAGATGTCAACTACATTAAGTTAGTCTCATTCTGGCAGATAAATTATGATTAAAATTCTGACACATGTCTTAAATGAACACAATTTTGAATAATTTAATTACTTCACAAATGGGGGGGTGGGGGGGTTGGTGGGGGGGGGGTGGTAATTTTACTATTGTATAAATAGGAAAAATGGATTTTTTTAATATAATTTGTTTAATGATCATTTGAAATATTTCAAACTTGGTTAGAATTATGAATGGATGATGACAGCTTGATGATATGCCCATATTGATCCTGGTTGACCCCCCAGGAACTATTTTTTAGGCATGTCATAGGAAATAGCATTTTTAAGCATAATGTTGATTATTTCCAATTGGTAAGAATTATTAGTATAGGATGACAGTTTTGATGGTATGCATGTATTGACACTGTCTATATTCAGTGTCACAATTTCTCTTTCACAACATTTGATAACTATTCTTTAACCTTTATATTCAATATTGCTTATCTCAGGTGACCATCAAAGTTGCAAGGCCTGTTGATAGTGTCAGTAAAACTGCAGAAATTTGAACTTTTGAAAAAATCAGCTTTTACATTCTGTTTATTGCTGCCATTATCAGGACAGGGCTTGTTGTATAGGCTGTGCATATTTCTCATTAACATTCTTGCTGTAGGCAATGAAATAATTGATTTTTTTTGTCAAAGTTTTACTTGAAATTGTCTTTTCCATTTGTAGGGTGTAGACTGTCTTCCCACATCACAGACCTGTTTCTTCCAGCTTCGTCTACCATCTTATCCTAGTCGCGAAGTTCTGGCAGAAAAGTTACGCTACGCCATTTACAATTGCCGGTCAATTGATATGGACAACTACATGTTGGCACGTAATGTGGAAAATGATGTTCCGTCTGATGATGAAGGAATGGAATATATGTAGACATGTAGAAACTGAGAGCACAAAGATGTCTGCAACTTACAGGAATGTTTCCCTATAGAAGAGTCTTTAAACTATTTCTTTGTATTCTTGGATGTATGTAAGGAACAATATGCAACAAGTCATCCAGACCTAAATTTCTTATCAAATACCTTTCCACAGAAAGAAGGAAATTTATGAAGTTCTTATGTTAAAGACCAACTTTCATAAGTATGTTTCTGACGATATTTCCAACATTGAAAATTATCTTATTGGTGATTCAAACTGAGTAGCAAAAAATTGCTTCACTACGTTTAACTTTATAATGCTGTACTTGCCCATCCTGCCTACAGTGTTGATAAAAAATAGCACACAAGTTTGGTTTTTGACAATATCAGCTTGTATACTGTATTGTTTATTTGTCCCAATATTGGGGACATGTAGTGTTACCTTTGTCCATCTGCCATTCCATGCTGTCAAGCCCTGTCATATGTTAATGTCATATCTGGAGAGCCTTTCAACAGATTTGATTCACATATACTATCATACCATCAAGTGCTTAATCTGATTAGATTTTAGTTTGTATGGGGGCATTCATGGCTTAAAGTCTGATGGTTATGAGTGAGGGATGGGTCTGGAAATTAAAATCAGAATCGGTGTAAAAGAAATGGTTATATATGTGATTTGTTTTGTACACTTGATATATTAGTGTGTGATTGAAAAGTGTATATTACAAAACAATATATTCTAAGTGTACTCTGTATATGCATAATAAGAAACATCATCTTGACATCAGTTCCACACCATTAAGTATCTCAAAGCAGCCATTTTGTCAGGAAAAAAATTGAAATTAAATCTATTCACCATGAAATAGTACGAGTATATATTTCAAAGGCAAATTTGTGAATTGTGCACTTGTGGGCCACTGTAGGCTCAATCCAACGTCTCTGCCATTCAGTGATGTCATCAGAAACAGATGTGAAGTTTTGTTTCTGATACACATGTCAGTTATTTCAGGTGAGAGAATTTGAGGTTGCAGCTGAAGATATTATGGAAAATGCTGGTGTTTATTTGATAAATCTTAGAAGTATAACACATTTCAATTCAAATGTGTATTTATTTAGTTGCAAGTTATCGAAGTAGCATAGCTAGCATGATACAATTGTATGGGTCCGAAACTAATGCAACAAGGATAACACAATCAGTATTTGTGTTATGTGTCATAAATTATAATATTCGTGCGCTGTGTACATTATAGTTAGCTAATTTATTTTAAGAGACTTTGCACTAAGGTAATTTATATATTCTTTTAAAACAAACTGTGATATATGGCTTAGATGTGTGTGTAATATGTGTGTGATTTAAATTAAGGTGAAAAACTTTGTATTTCAATTTTTCAAAATTTGTAATACAGTATAGGTTTTTGTATTAACCGAATAAGTGCAAAAATTGTGAACTGGTTCGCAATAGCCTCTTGTCAATTTCTGTGCAATTCTTCATTGCGAAAACAAGTTTTTATTTTGTTTTATTTTTTTGTGCAGTTCTTCCCATTCAAAAATTTACATGACTAGAATTTGATTTTAATTGCCCAACAAAAACTGACAGTGCTAAGATGCTTGATTAGCTGATGATACTTTATAGCATTTCAAACTTTTGAAGGGTTGGGGAAAAATACTTGTCCTGCACTTTTGGAGAAATGTCAAGCTCTCTACACTACACTATTAGTTTTATTGCGATCAGTATCAGAATTCTATTGCTCAGATTGTTGGAATGTTGAAGTATTTTATTGTATGCAGAGTGCGACGTTCACAAAAATGTTGTAACATGTACACCAAGTCCAATATCTATGACTGTGTCTGCCAAATAAAATATGGAATATGTCTGAAGCCTGGTCCTCTTATTTCCAGGTTATTTTCCACTCCATTTGTCAACATTTTATATTGCCACCATCTCTTAGATTCTAGATTTGCAACATTGAACACGCTTTACTTTACAACTGTCCACATTACCATATATGGGACTCTAACATTGCTGAGCTAGTGCTCTAATCTTGTCTCTTGGTTGTATTATATTATAAATTAAAGATAATACGCCCAGCTAATTAATGAACATGCCCAAGAAAGCCATTCATATACCTTGAGAACTATTTGACCTGTATTGCAAAGCTATTTCTTTTTAGTCCACCATCATCAAATGGCAAGCAAGGAGTCCTCCATCCATGTTCTCAACCACCAGTAACCAATGAAAAATATGGGGATTTTTGTGTAATTTGCTTTTTATATAATGACTTTTTAGATTGTGTCAGGTATTTGGTTTGACCCAAGCTGATAACCAGAGTAACCCAGCAGCTGTTTTGATGCAAACAATGGCATCACCTTTGTACTTACAGCAATTTCAGTTCAATATCCCCATCCAGCATTGAGATTAAGAGCAGAAAATGAAGGTTTCTTGAATTCTCCAAATCCAAGAGCAATAACTCTGGAAAAAATCAGATATGCCTTGACCTGCATATGTAATGTTCATAATACTAATACTAATACTCTTTATGAACAAAATCTCAATCAAGCCCTGAGAAATTAGCAGAAATTAAACTAATATTTCCATCTTTTTAAGTTAAAGGATGACTAGAAAAAGAAGTTCACCCAAAAATTCGATCTTCATCTCCAATTTGTCATTTACAACCATACACCAAATCACAGTTCAATATCTTATCCATGAAAGAGTGAAGGAGAGGTAGAAAGAATCGCAGCCAATGGTAACACTTTATGGCACGTTAGTTTCCTGGACAGGACATGAAAAGTTATCAAATAAGACTATTTCATTCTGAACTTGGACGTTTTTTTATTTCAAGGTAAAATGGAATAAAACAAAATCCACAACAAAGCCGGAAGTTGGAGCAGCATTGCATTAAATATTGCACAAAATCCAAAATGGTAGTACTAAAATTCATGGACTTGAAGACATGTACATACTCCATAAGGTTAAATCCCTGTACATCTATCATTTCAATTTCATCCTTTTACATTCAGTAAAGTATACATCACAAACTGGCACAGGAATGTCAACATTTCCATTTCATAATGAGAAATGATATATGCAACAATGTCAGAGACATTTTCATTTATCAAATCTTTGGTGACCTTAAATACTTTTTAAATTTTTTTCTCTCAATATTTTCATTGATAGAAACTTCAGCTCCATTTCTCCACAAAAAAAAAAAAAAAATCACTGCAACTATGGGAAAATATGGGTTTCACACAGACATTTTGGGGAAAGTCATTTCCAATAGCAATGTCAATGATATGGTGGTAACAAGCATAATTCACTGATCAGCCCAACTTATCTCCTGAATACTGAATAAATCTGGGTCACATTCTAATTTGATAGACAATTTTTGTTGGCACATATTTATATCCATGGGTGCAAGGAAGAGAGAAGACGAAAATGTGATTTTGCAGACACTATTGAGATAGTAAAATGTCTGTGGGGAGATCTAATGACAGTACTTTCTTGGCATTTTGTGCAATAGCAGTACAATTTAAGCAACTTTTATAGTGGTGACATGCCAATGTCCACAGTCAAAAAAGAGTGTCCCCAGAATGCGAGTAAAAATTGGAAAAGAAATGCCACCCCCCTCACTACGTTTCCATCAGATCTCTCTCCCTCTCAGAAACAAAATCATTCATAAAAAATTTCTATCTCACAAAAGAAATATATACATGTACCCTAACATGGATTTTGATAACAGGTGCTCTTATTTGAATACAACTGAAATTTAACCCTAGACTTTTTCAAATACACCAGTTTATCAAGAATATATTTTGAGTTTTGAATGTCATCAATAGTATTTTCCAGATTTGTGGAAAACATACCTTGCTGGTATATTTTCTGACTTTCTGCACAGGGACATCTTTTTTCTGAAATAAATGGCATTTGAAAACTAGCACCTGAGTAAAATTATTTTCATACATGTATAATAAATAGATATCAAAACGTCAAAGAAATAGATGGTTAAACCAACACATTATCTGAACTTGTTCAAAACCAAACTTTATAAAATTCTTATTTCAAAGTCTCCATGAAATAATTAAACTTGCTTTCTGCTTTTAAGGCAGATTTTCCCACCATTTCAAATTACCATTGCACCATTTACTGGTCCAGGAGCATGTATCAACTTTTGCTTTACACTTTCCATTCAGGTATATATCAAACTGTTTGAATTCACATTCAACCAGAAAACATCATGGTCAAAGTACATATATATTTTGTGTAACAGTATGACAGCATTTATAACAGAAAATTACATTTATCAATGGGCTTATAATCATAAGCCAAACCAAATATACATTGCATACCAGTTAAAGGATATTTTGCCCTGGTAACAGTATATACAAATTCCCCTCATGGTTAGTTAGCCCTCTGAGAATGATATAAAAGGGTTATGTAAGTTGAACAAATTTTCAACCCCATCTTACCCCCATCTTCAATTTGCCCCAAAGTTCATGGATTAAAAAGACAAAAATTAAATGAGGGCAAAAACTTCCTGGCATACAATAAATACTGTTGTGGTAATGCACAACACATCAAAAATTGAATGTGAACATTGTGCATACATCTAGTATATCTACTGCACAACTGTGTAATAGAATCACACATTTTTGGTAAAAATGCTCGACTAATATCATGGATTGAAATCAAATGGAAAACTCTTGTGGCAGGACTAAATACTGATCATAGGCATATTAAAATTGGTAAGTGTTTATAAAAGTCACTTTTAATTCGACAGTTTTCGAAATAACACTGGACCCTGCAATTAAGTGTGTCTCAGGCAACAAAAAAATACCTGTATTAGGTGTATACTTGACAGTCTGGACCCGTACCGGTTGGTTTTTCCATGTAACAAACACAAATTGCTTAAGATTTACCGGAGTCCATATTTTTTGTTACAAACTCATAAAATTAACAAGAATAATACAGCAGTAATTAAATCAAAATTTCCTTTCTGACAGTACAAGATTTTAGAAGATTTATTGCCAAGACAAAAAGAGATGCCCATTTTATTTTTACATATATAATGTATATATACTGAATGCCCATACATTAAGGCTGGTCATATGTGACACTTTGTAAACATAACACTTTAAATTACCAGAGTATATCCAACCTAGAGATTTATGGCTTGATTAGGAGATACAATCCAAACCTGTTACCTCGAAATTCAAGTGACTGTGGAAAATATTTCAACTTATCCAAATTTTGACTCAAATGAAGTGTGTAAATAAGGTTGGCGATATCAGTTTCCGAAAATCGAGTTATGGTTGAACGAAGTAGAGCTATGGCAGCACACAAAAATCTGTTATTAAAAATGGCAGTAAATAAACAAGTTCAAGTTAATTTATTTTTACTTTCTCCTTTTATTACTATTTTTATTTCTACTCTGTGTATGTATTGACCAATTTTGTCATAAGAAGTGCCGATGTTTTGACAATTTGACAATTTCGAGACAACAAATGACTGTTCCTTTGCTTTACAATTGGAAGGAACTGCAAACCAAAATTTCAACTCAATGAAATTTGAGTCATTCAAACTAAAATTACAAAGGTATAGAAGGAAAAATATCGGGACTTGAAAATTATTTTGACTCAAACAGAATTTCGACTGATATGATTCCGAGACGAGTTTCAACTGTATACTCTTTTGTATTCTTATATATTTAGTAAATAAAAAAAAAAACATCACACACTTTTCTATCGGCCATTTCTGAATTTATATCAACCATGATAGAATTTCACATCTGTGTGATAGAACCACATATCATGGGCACAGGTGTGCAATAGTTTATTTTGTTCAGTTATCCCATCATGCAAACATCGTGCACATATTGCACATTATATAATGTTGTGCTATCCCACAACTGTATATATACACACAGGCATATGTCTGTTCATTCCCAAAGAAAATCAACAAAATATTTCATTGTGTTGTAATAAGCCCACCTCTAACACTCAGTCAGAAGTAATATGACCTATATATTTTAGTTGGTGCTTACAGCAGGAAAAATGCTAGTAGTAGGCGTATCATTAGAGGACAAAAGTGTTTACAAAGTTTGACTTACAAAATACTTTCGTTATATAGGTCTATCCCAGAAAAAATATATACATTAAAGATAAAGCACACCAAATACAATCAATATTACAATATGTTTATCTAAATCCATGTTCAGTGAAGTTTGATGAATTCCTCCAGTACAAGGGGAACAACTCCTTGGTACTTTATGTTTCTACGCTGTATACATTTGGCAGCAATACACTTAAGAGACAGCTTGCTATTAGTCCTCAGATAGACAACTGCTACTCCTGATGTTGCTATTTCAATGGGCGTTTTCCTTTCACTATTGCAAATATCGAGGTGAGCTCCATTATTGATCAAAGCCATAAGGATGTGGTAGAAAGTATCAAAGTCACTGACTGGATGGGAGTTTTTGACAATTATGTGCAAAGGACTGTTTCTATGACAGTCTAGGGCATTTAGATCGGCCCCACATTCGATGAGCAACTTGGTAAGGCTAATATTTGGGAAATTCACCACATCATTTACATGGAAATCATCTACTAATGTGGCACTGTCAACAGCCATATGTAAAGGGCTATAGTTGTTTTTCAAGACTGGTTTATTTTTCAGGAATTTATATACCATTTTGTGTAGTTCATCATTCTCCTTTGATTTTGGCACTTTCTGTGCTATCACAAGTAAGTAGAGACAGGTGTGTATATTGCTTTGATATATTTCTACAAGGGCATCTTTGTCTTCATCCCCTTTAGCAATTCTGTCAGTGTCACGTTGCAGTTCTATCACCGCATGATGGAAGACTTCTTCCACATTTTTGAAATCTAAACTGACTCCTATGTGCACCATTTGCGAAAAAACCTGTGCAAATCTGAGAAGATCTTTTGATATTGTTCTATTGTTTCGTTGTCGAAGCCTCATAGCATGCAGCCAAAGGGAAATACATCTGTCAAATCTGGCACTGTCAGCAAACACAGCTCCACGAAAAATAACAGGATGGGGTACCTCTGGGTTGTCTTCACCAAGAATTCTTTCCCGAATGGCAAGAGATTCCATATGAAGTGCTCCAAAATCCTGTCGAATGGCATCCAGTTCCACAAGAGCTTTACACTCTATACGGTTATCATATGCTTGCACTGGGTCACAATGTGGTTTTTGAATAATATTTTGTGGGTCACTGTATCGAACATGCATTGCTTCTCGGAGGTATAGAAACGCTTTGTTGATATCATAATTCTCTTTGTCATTTGCATAAGAAGCTCCTAATAGTTCTAATGCATCTATCTTTTCTTCACGCTTACATTCAGGTAGGGATATTAAATATTCTACCACCTCTGACTTTCCACATTCAGCTGCCACTGTTAATGGTGTCATGTTGTGATCATTTTTCAATCTGGAGGCACCAAACTTTACCAACTCATGAACAATTTCTAAATGTCCACATTCTGATGAGAAATGCAAGGCTGTGGCCCCACAATGAGCACTGCAGTCTGGATTGGCTCCATTCTCTAACAGGTAGCGTACAACTTCCTTGTGTCCCTTGTAGCTTGATATCATCAAACATGTATTATTATATTTGTTGGATATCTTTGGGTCAGCATTGTGTTCAATTAGATATTTCACGATATCTAGTCTCCCATCGAAACACGCAGCTCTGAGGGGCGTTGAATTGGTCAACGTTGGGTGATTGACATCTGCTCCGTGGTCAATCAACAGTTTGACCACACCGAAATGACCAGCTCCCGCAGCACACCATAATGATGTGGCCCCTTCAATTACAAATCCGTCAAATTTCACAACACCTGTTTGTTCTATGTCAACCAAAAAATTAGTCAATAACACAGCCACTACCTTTTCTTCGCCATTTCTTGCGGCAATGATAAGTGGTGTCGTTTTCTGTCCATCCTCCTCGGAGTGATGCTCCAGCACCTCTTTTACGATCTCCCTTTCAACATTCCATAACATAGCGAAAATGCTAATAGCCATTCCATCACGAGCTGAAGTGAATACCTTCTGTTTCAACGTTTTTATAACATCTGGTGTATATTCAGAAGCCATAGCTAAACAGAAGCGTACCAAAAATGAAGGACAACTGGTGTCTTCGAAAAAACTCAACCAATTTCGGCAGCCATACTTGTTTCCTCACTGCGCATGTCAAAGTAATAAGAGTTACATCCCTTCATTCTAGCAGGGACGATATATATATGTTATATATGTCCTTGGTTCTAGGAACATTTTGCAAATTGGGTTCGACCCCCAGCATGGGCAAAATTGAAGTTTTTAAAATATTTTTCACAAAGTGTGGTACATGTCATTTAGGCATTGGTGTTATCAGTTAGTTAAGACAAATTAAACTTGAAGATAAACAAAAACTAAATACATTGCATAAAAATATGGAGAGGAAATATGACACAAGACACGAATCGGAACGACCGGCATGTTCTACAAGCGTACCAAGTAGATTGTGAAATTATTAACCGTGACAAGACATAAGATCGGATTGCTTCGAGTTCCCTATGTACAACTTTTCTTTGAAGCGAAGTCTACGGAGTTGAAGCGAAGTCTACGACGGAGAGAAGAAAACTTACAAAGGTTCCAGTATAAACAAGATATCCATGAAAAATGTAAAATCCCCTATTCCTTAAATAAATTTCATCACGCGAGTTGGAATTCAGTAGGAACAAAATGACATGATAGATTCAAATGTAAGTCTTCTACGATGGTTACCCTGATGTAGCGTTCGGATGAACTTCTGTGTCAAGACTCGTATAAAAAATTATGAGTTTCCTGTCCTGTCTAATGTTAAACTGTGGCACTGTATACCTACTCGGTTTATTTTTTGGTTTAAGTATATTTTGTTGGACAATTTCAATGGGATTGGGCACGAGTTTTCCAACTTATATGAAGCCCCTTCAACGTAAAGTTTGACAAAATACATAATGATCAGTCATAACCACATCTTTAAATACAAAAGTACATGGAGAGAGAGAGAGAGAGAGAGAGAGTGTGAGTGTGTGTGTGTGTGTGTATGTGTGTGTATGTGTGTATGTGAGGGTTTGTGTGTGTGTGTGTGTGTGTGTGTGTGTTATATACAATTTATGTTTTTAAGAGTAAAAGTCTCTCCTATACCGGACAACACTAGTGTTAGTTACACTGTACACTTTTCAATGCCTTCTAGCTATTCTAAAGTTCATCACATCCCGTATCTTATCCCACTTTGAGGAGAGACATAGAAGAAGGAAAAAAGATAAATTCGTTAGTTGTACCCGGAAATTTGGCAAAGTTTTGTGCATCGCGGAGGTTATATATGGAGTTTTCTGACCCTAACTGAGGCAATAAAGAGGATAGATAATCAGGTGTGAGTTTATTCTAGAACGTCGTTCTGATAGCGGTTCTAAACAACTTTCGATATAGAGAGATTCTGTACTGCTATGTGCTGGTTAACCTGTAATAATTAGTGCGGATTCTAACTGAAGTTTTTCCAGTTTGTCTGCGTCACTGAGAGAACACCCATTCCAAACTTCACAACGATATTATAATCATGGAAGTATGTATGCTTTATAGATTTTGACTTAAGTTTGTCTATTCAACATGTATTTAAGTTTACGGAGAATACTTACCTGTTTGGATGCATTGTTACATATATATTTTCTAGACCCCTCATGTTCATGTGGTAGTCCCTGTGAGGACGCTGACCACTTCTTGCTGCACTGTCCGAACTTTGACCCCCTGAGGAACCTCATGCTTTATGAAATCCAAGTAGTTGATATGCACCTTGCCCCCAGTCTTGACTTACTACTATATGGCTCTCCCGATATTGATAAATTAAATAAACATAGGTGTATGCAACGCTGTACAGCAATATATTGAGTGCTTTATAAGTATGCAATGATTTAAGAATGTCAGAAATGTCGTCTAATTAAAAAGGTACACATCTGTTAAAGTAGCGTCCGTCCTTAACTCTATTCCTGGCCCCACTTGTATAAAATATCTCAATTTCAGATTTCTTCAAGCCCAGATTTTCCTCAGCTAATATCTCCTTGAAAATATCTTGTATGAAAATTACGCAAGGAAATTCAGGACATCCTAGCCGATGCCTTCCTCCTGTTCTTGAGAAAATTTTATACAAGCCGTTTTTGAGGAGATATCAGTTTAGGAAAGTCTCGACTTGAGGAAATCTCAAGTTGAGATGTTTTATACAAGTGGGGCCTGGTATGTCAGTGTTGTCAATAGTAGAGATGGAAACTAAGCAATCATTTGGAATATTAGCTTTACCTTGTTTTCAAATTTCAATATCATCAAAATTGTTTACAAGGGGAGGTAAAGTATTGGTAGTGTCAGACGTTTTTAGTAATTTGCGGACAATTTTCCAAAAATTCCTGGGGTTCGAATCAGAATAACGATCCAGAATATCCTTTATGTCCGCATAGAAGTTTCCTTTAGTACGTTTCTTTACATTATTTACATGATTACGTTTTTTCCGGAAATTAGTCAGATTATCTGGACAACGATTAGTTTTTAATTTCTTAAGTAGTCTGTTTCTCTTCCTTATTTATCGTCGTAAGTCTGAATTGTTCCAGGGCTTGTCATTCGGTCGAATCGTAACAATTTTTGTCGAGATGCATTCCTCTGCAAAAGTATTTATCTGTAAATATTTCATACCTATCGTCCGGGGAATGCGTCGTCGAAAACAAATCTAACCAGTCAGTATCGTCGAGTCTGTAGTTTAAAAGTTCAAAATTAGCTTCACTATAACATTTTTCTTTCGTCCTTGTAGAAGAAGTCATGACAGTCACTTCAACAGCCGTCGCTTTGTGGCCAGAAACGTGGTTATCTACGTCAATTACGTCACAGAATTCAGAAATGCACGTGCTTCTGAGTACAATAAGGTCAAGAAGGTGGGTTCTCGATTTGTCCACTTCTTAGAAAACGATAGAAAACGTTGCTGTGGGAAGACAAAAGAATAGCAATTATAGTCAGTTTCACACTAAAGGTAAATTTCACCTGAGTTCATTTACCTGAGATTCTACCTGTGCTACTTATTTACCTTATAACTTTACTGTAACACTAAAACAGACAAAATTATTAATTTGATGTAATTTATTTCAAAATGTCACCTTACATACAGAACTTCAGCATAATTTACATTTATTTTATTAAGCACTAACATGTTACATACATAATATTATTTAGCAATATACATTTCATAAAAAGTTATTCAGCACAATATATTTTTATATTTTCAATTTCAAAATATTTTATTGTTAATACATATACAATACAGTGTACAATAATTGATTTTACAAAAGAAAGTACAGTATACATGTATTAACAAAAGGAATTGGACAACAGGCTTATAGCCTATACAAGTCTTTTCCTACAAGTTACAAGTTACTTGCCAGAACTGTTTATTTTAATATAAATTGAGGACGGAAGCTAAGAAGAATAATGAGCATAAATATGAAAATAAAAACACATTCTCACTCACTCTCATACATGTATTATAAATGAAATTCAGTTAGAACTTGCAATGATATTTTACTTGAAATTTACAAATCGTTAAGATAGTAGCTAGTATTCTCAAGTATAATTCTATTCACCCCGTCCGTCATACCAATGACACCATACAATAAAACTTGAAGATTCACAAACCCGAGAAGATTATAAATAGTGGTAATGTGATGCCTGTAATTTACATGAAGGGGACATTGGAAGAAGTAATGTACGGAGTTCTTTGTAGCAGCACCACATGCACAAGAACCATCATCAACCATTGATCCATAAATTTATCAAAATCTAAATCACTAGCACTGTTTCGTAACTGACAAAGAATAATATTTAGATTTCTAAGAAAATATCAGAAACTATAAACGGAAATACAGTTTTTAGTTTTGATTTGAAGCTAGAGATTAAAATAGAGTTTTTAATAGTATCATCAAGAGAGTTCCAATTATTCATAGTGGAAGGGAAAAAACTGTTTTTATAATTGTTAGTCCTTGCAGAAGGTACATTGAAGAATCTTTCGTGTCTAAATGCATAATTATGGTTTGTATTTATGGAAAGTTGAATGATATTTAAAAGATACTTGGGTGCATAATTATTGATAATCTTAACATTAGTGTAAGCTTGTGATTATGTCTTCTAGTGTGTAATGTTTCTAAATGTGTTTCAGAGGAAAGACTTCTGTGTGATGTGATTTCTTGGTCCAGTTATAAATCTCATAGCTTCAATTTGAATAGATTTAAATAAATAATTTTCGGCTTTTTAGCAGTTATCCCAAACTATATCGGAGTATTCTAAAACATTCTTATATAGAATTTTACATATTATACATCGCTGATGATGCGAGAGTCTTCTCCATCGTCGAATAGAGGAAACTGTTCACTGGCAGTTGTCCTCGTCCACATACCGTCCAGGTTGATGTCTCTGGTGGTAATGGGAAATTTTGGTGTCTGTTTCCATCTGGCACGGTAAAGTTTGGCATGGGCGCTGTAAAAAGTTGGCAGCTTCTGGACAATTCTCTCGCTGAAGTCATCCCACTCGTCGGATCTGATTTTGGTAATTTCTTCGTTGTGGATGGTTGGTATTGGCGTAAACTCTGTTTCACATCTGTCTTTAATGCTGTTCATGATCTTAGCTGCAACAATGCTGGCTTGGTCTGGTGGATGAGTATGCTGATGCTGGCCATCTCTAACGGGGATGGCAGTAGTTGTCTCGAAGATGGTAGTAGTGAAAAAAAATATCAGCATTATATACATCTGACTTAGCTTGGAGGGCTGGCAAAGCATCAAATTGCAGAGCTTAAAGTGAACTGATACAAGTAAAAACTGATACACGTACCAATAGTGATAATAATAAATGACTTACTTCTCACCTGCAGTAGTCGTCATCTATACATGTAATGATGATGGCTTACATCACGTCTCACCTATATTAGTCATCATCACTGATTATATAAATGGCTTACACCACTTCTCGACGTTTGTATCCATAACTTGGGTAATAATGGCCGTTATAATAATGTGCTTAAGCTTTCTTTATGATAAATGATATTTATAGATTTTTTAGATGAGATGAAAACAGTAATAACGTAAAATTGGAATAAATAACATTTATGTATACTGTGTTTTGATACATCATTGCAGGATGTTATACATACAATAATACATGTCACTCAGTTTTTCTTTGCTAATATTAGTATAGAACACGGGTAACCACAGGTAAAAAACACAGGTAGGATAGTATGAAACAGACTAAAATCCTTTTAACAACATTTCTCGTGTAGTGCTCGTGCGTCCAATGCATGTCGAGCTGTCTATTACAGCAGTCAGATGACACGAGTGGATAATATGAAACAGTACATGCGTGTTTTCTACGGTTAAGAGATCAACATTTATATCACCAACAATCAATATATGTGGAGTTTCATGAAAAGCAGATTCCTGAAAGAGACGAAAGTGATTCCAAAAAGAAATGTGTAGTATTCGGAGATCTGTATAAAGTACATAATAGGTAGCTTTCCTTGGAAACTGGACCGCTGTCCAAATAACTTCACCTACTAGAAATTCTAAGTCAGCTCTACAACGAGTGCACATGGAACTGGATGTATAAGCAATTATCCCCCCTCCCGGGGCCCCCGATCATTTCACAACCATCTAGGAATACTACTGCATCAGCTATATACATATATATATATACATACATATATAAATATCAAAGTGAGTCTCAATGACACAGACAAAATCATGATTAGATGCCATATTGTTTAATTGTTATAATTCATTTCTTAGGCAACGAATGTTAGGGTGAAAGATAGATCTGTCATTGTTTCGGTGAGGGGGCCCGGGGTTAGAATGACAACAAGGCAAGGAGCAGGAGGTGAAGTGTAAATAGAACGTTTGAATTACTAGTTATGTAGGAAAGTAAGACATGAATGGACAACCATAATCTAGTTAAGATAGACATCACTCTAAATCTGCAGTCATTGAAAAAATATATTTATGTAAACGAAAAACTACTGATAAATAGATAAACCAAGAGTATGCTGGTAGAAGCAACCGAGAGCCACCCGATACTGAGCTAGATCATTACCCATGGTCGTCAAACAATAACTGAGGTCATCGGTCAAATATACCATAGTTAAGATATACATGTAGTAGTCAAAACGCGCAGTTCTGGGGGAAAATAAAAAGAGGTCATGATAGGGTAGGTAAAAGGTAATATGGGATGAAATATACCTGTATTCCCACTTAGCCCACATTCTTTCTTTACAGGTAAAAAATGTGGGCTAGACGGAACTGGTGTGTGTTTAAGAACAATGGATTGATTGAAATGAATAAACCGAAATATACAGCAAAGGCATATAAACAAAGCATATACGTTCCGTGGTCAAGGTATTATACCACGGACAGTTCACCATAGCTTGTAAAATAAATAGTTAAGTAATGAGTTTATGAGTACACAGTATCTTGTGCCACGAATATCAGACATAAAGCAAGTATATATAGTGATACCAGACATGACATAGGCATATGTATATGATATCAGACATGACATATGTATATGTATATAATACCAGACATTAATTATGTATATATAATGATACATATAACGGAAGACACTTTACATATCATATTTACAAGTGGATGGATATAATTCACTTTTAACGTTATTTTGAAACAAAAACAACAAAAACAAAACAAAAACAACAAAAACAAAAACAAAAAAAACAAAAAAACAAAAACAAAAGCACACGCATTTGAAATGTAGTTAATGCATTTGACAACATTTTATGAGTGACTCTTGTAATCTAGATGGGCGAAAAAGCTTAATTTGCGAAGAAAAAAACATTCGAAGAGTGTTTAAGTCTCCGCCCGTACGAGTGTCTCTAACATAGAAAATGGACATGACCGTTCTTATGCTCTATGTCATTTTCAATAAGAAGAAAGACGTAGGGGAGGTGGTCTGCTATCTCAGTAAATAAACGATTACATTGTGATGAGGCCAGCAGATAAAGATATATATACTAAAAGGATAAAGAAACGCAGGGTAAACTTTAAACCAGAAATTAAGTATGATATCGGGCTTAATTTAAAACGAAATTTTGTATACTTACAGATAAATTAAAGCTTAAAAATTTCCAAAGTCTGTATTTTGCATCTGACAATTGGTTTAGAGGTACTAACGATTAAATTGAATGGACCCATAGGATTTTGATATTGTAATTGAACCGAGTCATCAATATCTTGTGTCCGCCGTTTGCTGTGGTCACGGCCCTTATTCTTCTGGTCATAGAGTTCATGAGAGCATTAATCCGTCTTATGGGGATGTTGTCCCACTCTTCAATCAGAGTTCTGGTCAACTGCTCTCGAGTAGCAAGGGGTAGCTGGCACTTTCGAACCTGGCAACGGCAGTAAGGCGCCGATTACGCGCATGAGAGACGACGATATAGCGATCTTGACGTCGTGACGTTACGCGCGGACGTCCTGACCTAGGTCGATCGGCCAATCGCCCAGTTTCCCGAAGACGTCTTACAAGACGTTTTATGGTGGAAACATTAACACCAAAGTGCCTAGCAACCTGATTTTGCAGCTGTCCTTGCATCAGCATCTGAATGGCCTGACCCCTCTGAACTTCTGTGAGTCGTGCCATTCTTAAAACGAATAAAACTCTCAATTAATCTTAGGGAAGCAGTTGGTCTGTATAAGGACTAACGAAGAGTGACTTGACCAGCGCTGCATGAGACCAGAACAACACGGTGCACGAGATTCTTGTTTTTTCCTTCCGCCATTTACCAGAGCTGCGCACTGTAGCGTGACTAAATTTTCGATACATGACAAGGTGTAATATGATCTAATTACTCAATCTACAAAGTTTCACTTTATTTGGAGAACGCGTTATCAAAATATCGGAATAAATATTACCCTGCGTTTCTTTATCCTTTCAGTATATATATAAATTGGTTAATTATACTCACAGGGCCGTGGTCAGGCAGTCATTAAAACTGTGGATTAAACATGACCACGCGTCTTTGAATATTCGTACATGAATTACATTATCGATGGTCAATATCGATGGTCAGTCGGTCACTGGTCGTGACCTGTCATTTACAAATTTTGATTCAGCAGATTATACACACCCTCCCGTGAATACCTGTTTGGCCTGTGTCATAGCAAAATGACAATTTATTAATATGCTAGATAGAAATTATACCTTATATTGATGTAATTTCTCACTTCCATTTACCGGAAGAATTAATTACCCCGTCAGTTCTACTCGATGTTGGTTGAAGTTTCGGGACATGAGCCATGCTAACAATTACATCTTAATGATAAAGAACATTGACACGCTATCGAGAAAAGGAAAATATTGAAAACCACCATCTTCGGCATGCAAAAGTTACCCGACTCCGTGGATAAAATATGGCAGACGCTGAAACCGTGCGGATTTTACCAGGTCAGTCAGCTGGCGTACGTACTGACCGGTCTGGGTCAGATAGCCGCCGTCGTCTTGATCTACGTCATCATAGGTACGGACTCGTCTATAAATATGGTTTACACTTCATTTTTGTCATTTGCAAAAAACACGTGCTCCCCATAAATACGGACATACGGACGGTCGGACGTAGATAAATAGACATGATGAAAATTACGTGAAACTGTTCATGTAAATGTGCACATGTCAAACATTTTTATGTGATAAAATTCGCTAAAAAGTGATGTTGTAAGCTGAATTCTATTAAAGTAAGTGGCGTTGTACCACATGCGCCAATGCCATGCATGACGTCTCAATAGCGCTACATATCTGCTTTACAGCATTTATTCAGTGCCGTGTGCATTTCCCGCCGGTGTCACGAGAAATATATGTAATCCCCGTCATCATCGATGTCAGTGTATGAACTTTGTTTGTATGGGTCTGTATAAAGTGTTTACTTACTAAACTAAACCTCTGACGTTTGTATGTAGTGTCTAGGTACCCGGCATAAACATTGACATCTGCATGTATAATCTATATTGCCAGCATAACAATTGACGCATGTATGTAACATCTATGATCTGACAGGAACATTGTCTTTGTTGTAATATATCATACACGACAGGAACATTGTCTTCTGTTGTAATGTATATGTACCTGACAGGAACATTGACGTCTGTTGTAATATATATGTACCTGACAGGAACATTGTCTTTGTTGTAATGTATATGTACCTGACAGGAACATTGACTTCTGTTGTAATATATATGTACCTGACAGGAACATTGTCTTCTGTTGTAATGTATATGTACCTGACAGGAACATTGTCTTTGTTGTAATGTATATGTACCTGACAGGAACATTGACTTCTGTTGTAATATATATGTACCTGACAGGAACATTGTCTTTGTTGTAATATATATGTACCTGACAGGAACATTGACTTCTGTTGTAATATATATGTACCTGACAGGAACATTGTCTTCTGTTGTAATGTATATGTACCTGACAGGAACATTGTCTTTGTTGTAATGTATATGTACCTGACAGGAACATTGACTTCTGTTGTAATATATATGTACCTGACAGGAACATTGTCTTTGTTGTAATATATATGTACCTGACAGGAACATTGTCTTTGTTGTAATATATATGTACCTGACAGGGACTTGTCATCTGTTGTAATATATATGTACCTGACAGGAACATTGTCTTTGTTGTAATATATATGTACCTGACAGGAACATTGTCTTTGTTGTAATATATATGTACCTGACAGGAACATTGTCTTTGTTGTAATATATATTATACCTGACAGGAACATTGACTTCTGTTGTAATATATATGTACCTGACAGGAACATTGACTTCTGTTGTAATATATATTATACCTGACAGGAACATTGTCTTTGTTGTAATATATATTATACTTGACAGGAACATTGTCTTTGTTGTAATATATATGTACCTGACAGGAACATTGTCTTTGTTGTAATATATATGTACCTGACAGGAACATTGTCTTTGTTGTAATATATATTATACCTGACAGGAACATTGACTTCTGTTGTAATATATATGTACCTGACAGGAACATTGACTTCTGTTGTAATATATATTATACCTGACAGGAACATTGACTTCTGTTGTAATGTATATGTACCTGACAGGGACTTGTCATCTGTTGTAATATATATGTACCTGACAGGAACATTGTCTTTGTTGTAATATATATGTACCTGACAGGAACATTGTCTTCTGTTGTAATGTATATGTACCTGACAGGAACATTGACTTCTGTTGTAATATATATGTACCTGACAGGAACATTGTCTTTGTTGTAATATATATTATACCTGACAGGAACATTGACTTCTGTTGTAATATATATATATGTACCTGACAGGAACATTGACGTCTGTTGTAATATATATGTACCTGACAGGAACATTGACTTCTGTTGTAATATATTATACCTGACAGAACCATCGATGTTAAAGATGAAGACAAGAAATCGGTTTTGCCCTTCCTTATGTCCCCGTGATACATCATCACGACTTGTTATAAGAAATAACAAATATATATGTATATCTCGATTATTTGATTCACGTACATGCCCGCATACATACAAAATATATGTAAGGGCACGATTTTCAGTAGAAACATAGGTAGAATAAATTATTTTTTATTGCGACAATACACACTAAAAATCCAAAATGGATGTTGTTCCACACGTTGACGCCATATGGAACAAATTAAGACCTTTCGGTACCTATCAATTATGTCAGCTCTCCTATTTGCTTTTGATGTCAATGTTCCAGATTGCTGTAGTGGTATTAAACTTCGTTTTGTATGGTAAGTTGGACTAAGGGATCTCTCGACAGGCTACAATAAGCCTTAACATATCAGCTCTGAATAGCTGATGACAACACCTAGGGGGCTCTTGTTTTCAAATTATCGTTACTCTGCATTGCTTGTTGTAAATCGGGTATTTGATACTTTAAGCCTTTCTCTCCACTGTGTCTTTGCTCTCAAACTAGAATACCTATTTAAATTAAAGTACATGGATCAGCATTCCGGACTATATTTCGGTTACAAACACCCCCCCCCCCCCTCCCCCTGCCCTTTTTTTTTTATTATAGTCTATTTCATAAAAATAGTTATGATACTAAGATTTTTTTATCTTTAAAAACATGTATTATTATCAATATGTAATTTGTAAACATTTGTTTAATTCTTTTTGTTCGTTCATTCATTTTAGTGTTTGTTGTATTTATAAAAGCAAGATTTTAATCAACGTAAGAAATTCATGTAATACATTATAGTATGGTAATAAAGTATGGGACATTTTGCCTGTTGTCATTTATGGTATGACCTCTATCATTATTTAGATAGGAGTACAATATATATATGTAACTTAAAAATGCTTTGTGTATAAAAAAAATATTTGAAAAGAATATAATCAACACGACAAATGTATTCCGCTAACGTTTTCAGGCCTAACGTCACAATGTCGTTACCTAGACATTATAATAAATGTATCGCCTAAAGATGGCCGTTTGGCCTGAAAACTTAAGCGGAATTCATTTGTCGTGTGGATTTTATTATTTTCAAATATATATATATATATATTCACTAATATCATTAAACCCTTTTCAAGTCCTTTGTGCTGATGACAGAAAAATCCCGTTTCTCGGTTGAATAACATATTAATTTAATGTTTTACTCCGGGGTGTATACACTGGTGTTACACACCCATAAAAACTTATTATTTTTATCATTCATATTATCATTATTATTAATTATTATCATTATCATTATTATTCCCTTCATTACCTCCAAATGAAGAGTACAACAGAAATGGAACATTTAATACAAAGCATTCAGAACGTATATTCACTATTATATAATAGACAATACATTTGTACACGAGTGTACATACAAAGTATAAGATTATAGAGCATGTTAGTTCTCAGTAGTTACCGTGGAGATTCATTTGATTATAATGAGACTATGAAATCAACTTTTTAGTTAAATATATCTAGAGTACACGCTTAACATGTAACGTAGCAACACTACATTATACATATGTAACGAAACTATGAAATCAACGTTGTACTTTTGTAAAATCGTTTCAAAACACTTCTGATCTGATGTTTTCATTTAACACCCAGTACTAACCGTAGTCATGTCGCGTTTTCAGTTTTAGTTATGTTTTTTGTTTTATGTTTAAGATGATTGAAGTAAGTAGATACAGAGACAGATAAATAATGAAAAATGAAACTATTTGTAAACATTAAACTCCATTACTGATTGATTTCGACAAAATATAATAAAAGGTTAGCTAGTTTGCTTTTGTATAGAACTGGCTAACATAAAACAGACTATAGCAGGCTTTAATTTTCTGGGTGAAAAAAAAAAACAAGTAAGCAATCCTTTATGCATATTCAGTCCCAAACCACTCCACTCGCACAGAATTGTAATTAGAAATGGGGCTTACTGTAAATGCAGATGATGTATGGGACAGTCTACAATCGTTTAGTATATACCAAAAACTTATCGTAGCATATTTATTGGTGACCGGTTTCCAGTTCGCCTGTGTGGGTCTGAATTTTGTGTTATATGGTAAGATTTTTGAAAAGAGGAAAGTCGCTTACATCATTTGCGTTGAAAGAAAACTTTTGAGGGTTCGAACTTGGTCCAATTTATTTACCATGTTAGTGACATGTACAACTTTAATGTTTCACTGTATTTCTGTTAAGTAAAATCTAGTAGACAACGTTCGGTATGAACTATGCCTAATACAATTAAGTATTGCTTTTTTCCCCAATGTGTAGCGACAGCACTCGAAAAAATTAGCGTTGCAGGTTTTCCGTCTCCTTGACGTTTTCTATCGCTAGGTAAGTGTACTGTACATCAGTTTTGGCGACCTATGATTGCTGATATTTGTTTGAACAGGTGTATCTGGGACTAAACTTTTATTTTATCTCACTAGTGTTTCTAATTAGATCAACTTTATAAAGCCACAATCAAGATGCTGATGTACTACACCTTTATATTTCTCTCTCTTTTATAAGGACACGTCCCTGATTTTACATGCAGTCCCCTGCAAGAACCGTTGTCACAGTATGGGTTTACTGATGCTGGAGACAACAGCAGTACATACGAGATTACTTATGGGAAGTGTGAAATTTCTGTACTAGCAAACACAACCAATGGTACCTCCCAGGACGAATACATTCTCCCTTGTAGGGAGGGATATTCCTTCGATAAAAACGAAGGAACGACAATTATCTCCGAGGTAACTTGAATTGATGGATTTTTAATAAAGAAAAAAAATATAATATTTGATTCGCCATTGATTGTTGTTGTTAATCTTAAACAAGTTTTAAATACAAAACATGAAGTCGATTATATATACCGCCTTGTTTAACAAGGCTGCATGTATTAACAATTCGCAAATATTTAGCCTCGTAGAAATGCTGTCAGTATGTCTATAGATTATTATTCGATATCATCGGACTGAAATCACTGACTGAAGGATGGGCCATTTGTATCATGTATAACTCGATAATTAACATTTAAGATTTTTAGCTTTTGTCTTTTACCTTTTAGTTTGTTTCGGATCGCTGTGTGTTTCACCGGTTGATGGCCCTAATGACCTATTATGAGTTGACGGGCCGTTAAGATTGTAATAATAATAATTATCATTATCAATATTTCCATTTAAAGGTAATACATGTACGTGGGTTTCGTATCCCGTTTTTCCCCTGTAAAGTTTGGAGATGCCGAGTTTCCTATCCCGGTTTGTTGTCCCTGTAGAGTTTGAAGGTGCCGAGTTTCCTATCCCGGTTTGTTGTCCCTGTAGAGTTTGGAGATGCCGGGTTTCCTATCCCGGTTTGTTGTCCCTGTAGAGTTTGAAGGTACTGAGTTTCCTATCCGGTCTGTTGTCCCTGCAGAGTTTGGAGATGCCGGGTTTCCTATCCCGGTTTGTTGTCCCTGTAGAGTTTGAAGGTGCCGGGTTTCCTATCTCGGTTTGTTGACCCTGTAGAGTTTGAAGGTGCCGGGTTTCCTATCCCGGTTTGTTGTCCCTGAAGAATTAGAAGGTGCCGGGTTTCCTATCCCGGTTTGTTGTCCCTGTAGAGTTTGAAGGTGCCGGGTTTCCTATCCCGGTTTGTTGTCCCTGTAGAGTTTGAAGGTGCCGAGTTTCCTATCCCGGTTTGTTGTCCCTGTAGAGTTTGAAGGTGCCGGGTTTCCTATCCCGGTTTGTTGTCCCTGTAGAGTTTGAAGGTACTGAGTTTCCTATCCCGGTCTGTTGTCCCTGTAGAGGTTGAAGGTACTGAGTTTCCTATCCCGGTCTGTTGTCCCTGTAGAGGTTGAAGGTACTGAGTTTCCTATCCCGGTCTGTTGTCCCTGTAGAGTTTGAAAGTACTTAGTTTCCTATCCCGGTCTGTTGTCCCTGTAGAATTTCAAGGTGCCGAGTTTCCTATCCCGGTCTGTTGTCCCTGTAGGGTTTGAAGGTGTCGGGTTTCCTATCCCGGTTTGTTGTCCCTGAAGAGTTTGAAGGTGCCGGGTTTCCTATCCCGGTTTGTTGTCCTTGTAGACTTTGAAGATGCCGTGCTTTGTACACCAGCTTTCCTGTTTCTCTATAGTTTCGAGAACAAATTTTGGTTTCAAGTCTGGCTGTCCTTGCACCGTTTGGAGGTCCCTGGATTTGTATACTAGTTTACCTTTCGCTTTAACGGAAAATAATTCTAATCTGGCTGTCTATGTAGAGTTTGAAGGTTTCGAGTTTGGTTTACCAATTTTTCTAATCCTTTTGAATTTGGAGGACAAATATCGGTTTCCAGTCTGACTGTTCCCGTAGAGTTGGGATGTCAGATATTGTTTTTTTTCAGCATGAAAGCGTATTTTTTCCTGAAGTATTCAGGTATGTATTTCCTAATCCAACAAAGACATATGAACCTTCCAAACCACTCGGCTGACTTAGGTGTAAGACTTTTAACCGACACAAAATCCACACCCACTGATTGATAAGTGTGGCATTTCTGATACACGTATTTTTATTTACATTTTCTCTCTGATCTACCAAATAAGCATGATCCTTTTGATCCAACAAATAAGTGCAGTCCTCATGATCCCTTTTGAGTCATCAAGTAAGCTTGATTCTTTAGATTCAACAAGTAAGCGCGGCCGATCGGAGTTAGCAGAGGCCATTAAGCATAGTTCTTCTAGTCCACCATATTAGCGCGGCCCTTTTGAGTCAACAAATAAAAGAGTTTCCTCTGATTTTCAAACTATCCATGCCCCTTCTGATCAATTAAGATGCTGTTGATCCAATGCCGTTTTAAAATGTTGTCTTTTGACTAGTTTATTGATGCTTCCCTAGCAACAAAAGCCTTATAATCTGAGATAAATAAAACTGACTGGTGAACTGTTTCCTTCCAGTGGAACCTTGTGTGTGACCAGTCAGGAGTTGGCGAGCTCGGTCAGACCCTTGTCATGACTGGTCAGATCGTCGGGGCTACTCTGTTCACCTCCCTTGCTGACCGTTATGGCCGAAAACCGGTGTTTGTATCCACACATCTGCTCCTATTTATCATGAGTCTCTCTCTCACATTTGTTCCAACGTTTGTCGTGTTCGCCATCATGCGCTTCGTTATTGGCGCACTTCAACAGGTATGTAAACTTTTGGCACATTTTCCAAGCATATGTAATTTTGGTAAAAATATGGACTATCAAATATTTTGCGTGAAGTGTTCTTAATGTCAAGTCGACACACTCATACATATCATCACGGGCCATCCTTGGAATTCCAGTGGTAACGATCATTTGATACCCAATCCTCGGAATTCTGGGATTACAATCAGTAGATCACCATGGATCATCCTCTGAATCCAAGTGGTTACAATCATTTGATCAGCACGGGCCATCCTCTGAATCCAAGGGGTTACGATCATTTGATCAGCACGGGCCATCCTCGGAATTCCAGGGGTTACGATCATTTGATCAGCACGGGCCATCCTCGGAATTCCAGGGGTAACGATCATTTGATCAGCACGGGCCATCCTCGGAATTCCAGGGGTAACGATCACTTGATCAGCACGGGCCATCCACGGAATTCCAGGGGTAACGATCACTTGATCAGCACGGGCCATCCTCGGAATTCCAGGGGTTACGATCACTTGATCAGCACGGACCATCCTCGGAATTCCAGGGGTTACGATCACTTGATCAGCACGGGTCATCCTTGGAATTCCAGGGGTTACGATCACTTGATCAGCACGGGCCATCCTCGGAATCCCAGGGGTTACGATCATTTGATCAGCACGGGCCATCCACAGATTTCAAGGGGTAACGATCATTTGATCAGCACGAGCCATCCTCGGAGTTCAAGGCTTAGGATCACTTGATCAGCACGGACCATCCTCGGAATTCCAGGGGTTACGATCATTTGATCAGCACGGGCCATCCACAGAATTCAAGGGGTAACGATCATTTGATCAGCACGGACAATCCACGGAATTCAAGGGGTAACGATCATTTGATCAGCACGAGCCATCCTCGGAGTTCAAGGCTTAGGATCACTTGATCAGCACGGACCATCCTCGGAATTCCAGGGGTTACGATCACTTGATCAGCACGGGCCATCCTCGGAATTCCAGGGGTTACGATCACTTGATCAGCACGTACTATCCTCGGAGTTCAAGGCTTAGGATCAATTGATCAGCACGGATCATCCTCGGAATTCCAGGGGTTACGATCACTTGATCAGCACGTACCATGCTCGGAATTCCTGGGGTTAGGACCACTTGATCAGCACGGACCATCCTCGGAATACCAGGGGTTGGGACCACTTGATCAGCACGGACCATCCTCGGAATTCCAGGTGTTACGATCAATTGATCAGCACGGAGCATCCTCGGAATTCCAGGTGTTTGGACCTCTTGATCAGCACGGACCATCCTCGGAATTCCAGGGGTTACGATCATTTGATCAGCACGGGCCATCCTCGGAATTCCAGGGGTTTGGACCACTTGATCAGCACGGACCAACCTCGGAATTCCAGGGGTTACGATCACTTGATCAGCACGTACCATCCTCGGAGTTCAAGGCTTAGGATCAATTGATCAGCACGGGTCATCCTTGGAATTCCAGGGGTTACGATCAATGATCAGCACGGAGCATCCTCGGAATTCCAGGGGTTACGATCATTTGATCAGCACGGGCCATCCTTGGAATTCCAGGGGTAACGATCACTTGATCAGCACGGACCATCCACGGAATTCCAGGGGTTACGATCATTTGATCAGCACGGACCATCCTCGGAATTTCAAGGGTTACGATCACTTGAACACCACGGACTATCCTCGGAATTCCAGGGGTTGCAAACTTCGTCTATAATTGTTCTAATGCTTACATGAATGTAGAGTTCGTAAACATTTCAATGAAATCAGACTTCTAGTGTTCCATAAAAGGGTCAAAATCCATTATCATTGCCAGATGCGGCCATCGTAGGCTCTAGGAATTTCTTTCAGAAATAAACTCTCGAGGCTGTGTAAAGCGGTTGACTTCACTCATCGTTAATTTATATCAGTCTGCTAAAATGTCGTTTCCACGAATACTTGCAAAGTATCTGAGTTATGCGGTAAACAGAATCTTACATTCGTCTCAATTTCTAATGACACTTGTCACGTACTGTTCATTGAATTTCGTCAGGGGCTCGCTAGAATAAAAACCAAGAATTACTCGTTTCCTCATTCACAAATAGTTGAATGTAAACATTTACATCTATGTGAACAGAAAATTTGTAAATATGGTACAACTATATATTAATCATGATACGACCCTTGTTACCGTTCATAGGTATTGTGCGACACGTGTTACCTTGAATACCGTTTTGACACGTATCACGGCATATTTCTCACGCCTCGTATTACGATACTCTACACAATCGCACGACACATATCGCGATGCATTCGTCGTCATTGTACTGCACTTGTCGTGATACCATCGTCAATTACGACACTTATTACGATACTGTCGTCAATATATGTCACATATCCCGATATCTCCGTCATTGTACGACACATGTCATGGTACTCCCGTCATTGTAAAACACGCGTCACGATATCTCCATCATTGTATGACACATGTCATGATACTCCCGTCATTGTAAAACACGCATCACGATATATCCATCATTGTATGACACATATCACATAATCCGTAAAACACTTCTTACATATCCATTATGACATTATCCGGAAAAAAACAACATTATTCAGAAAGCACCTTCTGTACATGTTCAGATAGACATTATCCGAAAGGTAACCCCTGAACATGTTTATAATGACATTATCCGAAAGGGAACCCCTGGACATGTTTCTTATGACATTATCCGAAAGGTAACCCCTGGACATTTTTCTAACGACATTATCCGAAAGGTAACCCCTGGACATGTTTCTAATGACATTATCCGAAAGGTAACCTCTGAACATGTTTCTAATGACTTAATCATTAAGCTCATGTTGATTGTAAACAGGGAATGGGGCTGGCGATGTCAATTATCACACTTGAGATAGTACCACAACAATACAGAGGATTGGTTGGTGCTCTCGGGCAGTTCGCGTGGACAGCGTTTGTTGTCATCTTAGCTGGCATAGGATACTTCATGCGGAACCTCTCGTGGCGGTACATCCAACTTGCAACCGCTCTGATGTCGTTCCACGCTCTTGCATCGTATTGGTAAGTAACAATCATAGGATATATATTGGTATTGTTTGCAGCAAACGTTTGATGTGATGATGCTGTATGAGTCCATGTTTATAGTTACGTGTGGATAATATACAGTGAAACCTCGCTATTAAGACCACTTTGGGGACTGGACAAAAGTGGTCTTAATAGCGAGGTGGTCTTAAGAGTGAGGTGGATAACATTGACCGCAAAGAACCGTATCTCCGCTTGAAATAAAGATTATATATATATAATTAAGTAATGTACATGTATATTATTCAACAATAATAAATAAACTGTATATAAAATGTTGAATTTCATTAAATAAATGTAAAAAAGATAAAATTGGTGAATAGACTAAAGAATTTACATGTATATATTCTTTAGTTTATATCATAAAATACATGTATTTTTCCTATTGTAACCATTGAATAAAAGAAACCAGTCAATTTTAAGTTCAATAGGAATTTAACGTTAATTTTTCAATTTTTTTTTCACATAAATTAATAAACACATTTACTCAGTATTTGTAACAACATTAATGAAGTCCCTATAAAGTCTTTCAACGCTTTATTTTTCACATAAATTCGCAAAAACATTAACTCTGTCAGTGTATCACTCAGTACAAAAAAAATATCTTTTTACTTAAAAAAAAAGAGTCCAGTGCACAATGTTGCGAAGAGCTACGGATCTGGACAGCCTCCTCTTCCACAAGTCCTTTTTAGCGATCGCGATAGCTCGTTTCGTTTACGTGGTTTCGTCATTGCTTGATAAAGTTTTTTGACAGTGAAAATATGTCGTAAAAAAAAATTGGAACATATGTGTGTGCATGCGACCAAGAGAATTTCGGCCGAAAAAGACTACATAATTCACCTTTGGGTATGCAGGGCTTCTAAAGTGTTGAACAGCATACCTACAGATTTATCAATTTATAATTAACAAACAATAGCACGTGTCTGGCATGCAGCTTCACACAAGTTAATCCGATAATGATGTTTACTTCGTGTATCGCCAAAAAAACGGGACTGAAAACAACTGCCCGTAATAAGCGGGGTGGTCGTTATTTTGAGATGGTCGTTAGGTGAGGTTTCAATGAATAGATATAAATTTCTTTATTTTTCAACTTTTTCATTATAGCACATACAGACATTAAAATATAGAAACACATTCGCACTCGCACATAGTATACATCATCATCATCATCATCATCATCATCATCATCATCATCTCCTCTTACAGTGTATAAAATTGTATATTGTATTTTGAGTTTTAAAAGCATTATAGTACCGGGTTATACTCTTCCTTCAGTTTGACCAATCAAAATGCTTCAACAATTGACACCTATCAGGGGAGATCAGCAACACACAGTTTTATCGATTTATCTTCTGACGTAATCCTATCCGGGTATTTGTCGAATTATCAGAGATAACTTTAAATTTCGGCGTCACTGATCAATTTATCATCCGCATTTTGTTTCTAATCGAAGCTGAAATGAAACTATCCAATGTCTGGATGGTAATGAGTGTAGCATCGTGCTTTATGTACATTTTTTTTTTTTTACAAATGACTGTCTAGTGGCTTCTGGACCGCTTTGTTTACCGTTTTCTACTATTTTGTTTTATACCTAAAATACTTAAAGTTTTCCCTACTATCGATGAACGTGCGCACGTTCAGACTTTTGTTTTGTGTCCAATGATTCTAATAACTGGTCTGCTCATGCACCTATTCAAATTCGGTGACGGGATTTATTTTCGCAATTAGGACCGAACAAAAAGAAATTATTGTTGTCTTTTGATTTTCAGTATCCTAGCTATGTTAAAAATGTAAGTTTCACTTCTCTAGATAAATACATTTTCCCTATTTTGTTTGCTTTTAGACACAGGCACTCGAGGCCAGGATATTATTTTTTAAACATTGATTTTTGTTTTAGCACTCATAACTGACGTTATTTAAAGGAAATACCAGCAGAATTCAAGTTTATATGCCGGTTGACAAATCCGAGGTCCACGGTCATTAAAAATAGTATCCTGGCCTCGAGTGCCTGTGCTTTTAGAGCATTGCATCGTTTACGTGCACAAAAACGGGGCCTCTTTAAAATAGTGCAAAAAGGACCTAGAACAACACACAGACAATTACATCACACATTTCAAAGACAATAAAATCATACATTTTCATACAAATCAGTCCCTTTTACATACATCAAATGAATTCTTGTGCTGTTAGGAGGACGTATCACTGGCAGTGACAATGATAACGATTTTATTCTGGTATACTTATGTAGTGAAGAGTATTAAATACATGCAAATGTGGTGTGGTCAGACAGTTGTTTCGCGGTTTGTGATTTTAAAGTCATGTGATCAGGTCTGTAAAGGTTTTCGCCTTTAAACTTCTTCTCAGTTTCCATCAGTGACACTCCAGTTAGTTTAATGGATGTTTTCATTGTTTGTGTTGTCAAATTTCATCAAATTCAATCAAACAAAACCGGACCCTTAGGAAAAAACTACTGTGGGCTATGATTGCTGCCATTTTTTGCAATGAAATTTGTTGAAATTCAAAAACACGCCTGAAACTTGTCTAAATGATCCTGAGATGATTTTTATCTTTCGAGTCAGTCCGAATTCCTCTAACTATGGTTGTCATTTTGAAAAACAATTTTGTATTTTCCAGTCCTACTGGTATTAAACTGAAAATAACTTGAAACGTTAAAAAAATTTAAATAAGAAAGCTTGGTTGTTTTTTGTTACCTATATTGCGAAAGTTCAGAATTGTTTGAATTATTAAATAACTGTTCCCACCACTAAAACGGGTATATATATTATACATGTCTACAACGCACATTGTTAAGTCGCTCTAGTCAGATGACCGTTAAAGTCCATTGAACACCCATTAGCCATTTAATATATTATATCTATACGATATATCCTAAATGTCTAGTACTGATCTGGTTTTTCTTTTAAAATATACTCAACAAGTCGTAATATACGAGAAACATTATATATAAATAAATACAAACAAACAGACTATGTGCGTACATTTCTGGAAACAATCACATTGTAAAAAAGAACACCCGTGTTTCGCTATTCTTGATGCGCGTCGAATACCTCGAGTCTTTGAAAACATTGAACAAAGAAGTTCCTTAAATCCATATGCTTTGTGTAGTCCCTCGGGGCATTTCTTTTCCCTCTCATACAAATAAAAACAACCAGGGGGAAGAACTCTCACTGTCAGATCGTAACCACAGAAGCCGTCTGTCTAGTTTTGATACGTTGTTGTTGTAACGTAGTAACGAAATCATAGACAAAGCGAGATAACAAGTAAGATGTTTATTCGAATATAGCTTTAAACTAAATTTTCCAAGAAAATGACGATTTTGGAGCGTGGCGTTACAATACATAACATTACACCGTCTTATCCAATATATTTCATCGTGATAAATATTAAAGAGTCACGGATTTTAGCACATTTTTGGTCAGAAGTAAAGTTCTGAAATCTATCTAATTAAACAAGTTATTTTTGCTCGAAGTTGAGATGGAAAAGCCTTCCATCTAACTCTAAATCCAAGTCGGTTACGGATACACTGCGAAGTAAAAAGACACTCGCATTATTCGTCATGTAGCTGTAAGACTTCCGTAGAGTTTAACGATTATTCATGTATGAAACATATGCATGTTTAAAGTGAAGAGTGAAATTATTGTTAAAAGTATTGAGGACTTCAGCATTAATAATAAAACAGAATTCCCCCTATTCGCTTTATTTCCGTTTACGTTATTGTTTGAAAGTTATCTTTCGGGAATACCTTACATGTGGTATAGCATATCATTTAAAATATACGTATAATTCGGCAAAGAGAAAAATGAACGCTGTAATCAAAACAATGTATATAGTTATTTCGAGTGTCAAAAATGTCGATACATTACAAATGATCATGCCGTGTAAATTAATTACTGATCGAATTGTTTATCTTTGTGGAAAATAAAGGAATAAAGACACGTGCCGATAGCCCTAAGTTGTTTACCTAAGCAATCTGCACTCAGGCCGTAGCCCGGTGTCAGCGAGGTAATTATCGCCCATACGGTCAATTAAAAGGTTAATTGGATACAAAAGTACAACCTGTTGCTCGGCAGGTTTCACCTGTTCAACAGGTAAATTGCTAAGCATCTCGTCTTAATGAGTAGACACCTGTCACTCCAATCAATTCAGGTAGATGAGTATTATGATAATACTGTTATGTCATATGGTGCCGGAAGTCATATACCAAATTCGGTCCTTTTAAAAGGGGACAAAACACAGCTCAAATCATATCTCCAAACACAAGCGAAGATGAACACACGAGCCAACCCGAACCGTAGAGTCGCCATTGAAAGGGACATGCAAACCCGCTCCTCTTTGTTAGGCGCTGAACGCCGATTTCGTCGTTCTTGTGAACAGATCGTCCTACTGAACCAGCGCCTCGACCAGCTACAGATCAGATACGACATGGCGAAGCGCAGTTCGAACCGTGCTTTCAGGTACAACCTGAGACTGAAACTGGCCATCGTAGAAGGCATGCGCAATGTATACTACGACTACGCTCACAACAAGGCTAAGATGGTTGCCAACCTTCGACGAGACCTGTTCGGCGAGACCGTTGAAATCATCGCCGATGACGTTGAAGAGCCTTCAGACACATCCATTGACTCCGTCGACTAGCTCTATATGGTTGAAGAAGCCCCATATTTGGATAGAGATTCTGGCCAAATGGCCCTTTTCAGGGCCACGTATCTTTCTAAAAAGTGTCTTCTCACACTCGCTAAATACGCAATCAACTTTATATACGTCTCTGACTCTATATATTCAGAAATGTACTTTCTCAATCAATTTACTAGATTAGCATAAAAATAGTTGAAATTTCTCAAGGGGCTTGTTTAGGTCCCTACAATTTACTTATATAACTTATTCATGAGATCGATACATGGTTTTATCAACCCACAAAAAAATTAACCAAGGCTGCGAATCGGGTTTTATTCAAAGACGTTTATAAGTTAAACGGTACTTTGATGATTTTTTTTAAAGATTTACTCATTTTAACCCTTACATATATGACAAAGGAACAAATGAAAAAAAATAATTAAACTATGTCACCTGATGTTTTAAGAAATAAAGAAATAATTATTGTCGCATTGAATTAGTATTTAATTATCAGCTGATATTCGTCTGATGTCATAAATTCATCATGAGAGAAACGGATTAACATATGAAGTTCATTCGTATTTAACTACTCCTCCCTATGATGTATGCGTAATGTATGAGTAAAACAATTTTTTTATGAAATTCATCACGTGACGTAGCCAGTAGGAGAGTCCAACTGAACAAACGCGAGAGATCGGAGGTGTGCCAAGGCTGGGACCCTTTTTAAAACATCTCTGATTTTATCTTGGCTAATGGGATCGTCTAATTCGTCAAAAACATGTACATTATCTCCTACAAACAAAATATCTGAGTTCTTATCGTCAATAACACAACCGCTTACAAATTTAAATTGTTTTTAAAAAAAACGGAGAAATTCATGTCACCGCAACAAGATCTAGATTTTCTCTTGCAATATTGATAAAATGATTTCGAATTTCTCCTTCGTAACTTACTTAGAGGGTCAGCCTCTGATTGGAGGTACCTGTGATAGACAATCTCTGATGATGTTTATATTTACATTTTGATTCGACAAGAGATGTTAGATGGAGATATCAGCATTAAATGAGGTTAGATTTGGTCCATAAGATGTACACAGACGTCGGCACTAATTGTCAAACCGGGGCTTATGAGGTTGACGCCTCCTTTTATTAGCAGAATGAGTAACGGGCTGGATTTTACAAGGACGAGATACTTCACACATGATGAGTAATCATCAATCCTGTGGCCTACTGTTATTGTAGTGGATTGAATACCGTTCACAATGCCATTTTATATATCGATCGTGTTATCTAAATGATTTCACATTTGTTGCTCTCTGCCATCGTTCCATTTATACATCTGTACCTTAATAAAACAATTTTCAGCATTATCAGAAATGTCATTTTTATCAGAATCCACAGTCGATTTAGTTGTAATACAAAATTCAAAATCAATAGGCGCATGATAAAACATTCGTTAAAAAGTCGCTCTGTAAAATGTGTTTTTTAATCAGCTGCATTATTTTCAAAGTCAATTACACTTGAACCCAAATCATTAAACAAATGCGAATTCACCGCTACTATCGCTAAGCGTTCTACCATTACAGACTCGTTGACCAGAACGTCTACATAATTATATAAGCTTGCGACCCAAGATATTGACAGTGACATCAGTAGATAGACGGTTAGGCACTTGCGTTCATTATGAAAATTGCTAAAATCCAAATCACTTTGCATTCCACAAACTAATTTTTAAAAAGTTCATCCTCTGACAACCGTAACTACTGGATGAACCGGCTCTGTTGGGCGTTACAGAGATGTGACGCATTCGTTTACATTGCTACCACTAGGGTTGTTAGCAGAGTTGGCCAGATATAATTTGCTGTTTACATAAAGTTTGCCCCGCACTAGCTTTGGTTTACAATCCAATCCGTCGTGATAGGGTAAAGCGCTTTTTATTTATCCTCTACGGCCTTGGGAATCTGCTCGCTAATGCTGAAAATAGAATCTCGGAGACGGAATGCACTATTTTTTTTACAAAGGTCAAGTTTTTCTAATATATGAATCGCGTTGTAATTGGGCGAGACCTGTCCTTGTTGAATTTTCCAAATTTGTGTACGCTTCCGAAATCCATTCTAAAGTCAACATTAAACTCATGTTCCAGAAAAGCACGAAGTTTCGCTTTGGTGTCTTTCTCTAGGTGTTCCCCTTTCAGCCCATAAAAAAAATAAAAAAATCATTGACCTATACAGAAGGTCAAATAACAACGTGAGTTGATCACGCTCTTCCCGCTAAACCTGTACCTCGTGTTGAATATCGGTAACAGCTGCTGTAGCCTGGACACTACCAACTTTAACATCGTCGTACACGTTACTAATGGTTTGTGCACTCTGTCCAATAACCTAGTTTTTACGCTCCATTAAATTCAATGGTTGTCTAAGACAATTGACCTTGACGTAAGAGCACATAAACCCCATGGACCTGTCCAGGTGGGCGTAAATAGGTGATGTTTTCCTCGCGCACCTATTTATTAGTTACTGGTGACATGGCACTGATAGAATCTGTAGGATGTATAAGCCCTTGATTTTCGGTGTATTGCAAATAAACCAATTGCAGAATTTCAAAGCGAAAGGATTCGACGTGCAGCTAAGACTCGTTTTTGTTAGCTCAAATTTAATATTTTCCATAAGAACACGAATAAACAGTATCAAACATGCTTCACTTCGTCCTCGACCACTCTACGTTAACTAAAGCTTTTTTGCTGGGTTGACACCGAATTCTGTGCTCTGCGCAGACATTTTGGACACTCAATGTAAGGAACCTTAAGAAATTATCGAATATTTTTTCGGAATGGTGTCGAAAATGGAGGCTTAGTATCAAACTGTCGAAACCTATAAAGTTGTCCATTTTCGGCTGTAACACATTACGGTAACTGACGTCGAGTTGACAGGTGGAACTTGTGACATGTAGAACATCTTAGAAAATACTTGCAGTTATAGATCTAGATCTAAAGGAGTGAATAGTGGAACATTATGTTCGTCATGCTATAACATTAAACATAAACACAATTAAATAAATAAATAAATAAATGTTTTCCATTTTTTGTTGTATCTAGGATAATCGATGAATCTTTAAGATGGCTGATTGCAAACAAACGAAAAGACGAAGCCTTGAAAGTAATTCGGAGAGTAGCAAGGCTTAACAAAGTTAGCGAAGCTGATGTTGCGGGGGTGACTCAACTACTTTCCGATGACCAGGAATTGACCAATCTTGTGTCTTGTAACAACCGAGCACATCCTGCCCTTCAGCCTTTAAATGGGAATGCAGGCAATTTCGATGAAAACGAGGACGATACACACACCGTGGAGACGAGGCTGTCGGAGAGTGTTGATAAACCTACTTTTATAGACTTGTTCCGACACAAACTGCTACTGAAACATTCCCTGATACTATGGTTTATCTGGTAAGAAATACTTCAGACGTAAATAAGACATTTGATGGGTTTAATGACAATAGGCCATTACAATTAGGAACTTCTTTTGTAAATCAATTAAAACTAATTATTTTCATAATAAGGATGTTAATTCATTTTGAAATAAATATATCCAGGGGAAAATAATTGGACGGCTTCCTATTTTATGAAAACATTTTTAGAAACTGACACCGTTTTAACGTGTCTAGAAATGAAAATGATGTCTGATTTCTTGACAAATAAATACGTGATTAAAAGTCATAGAAATAAGCCCATGTTAAATATCAAACAGTAAACATTCGCCTCAGGTTTAAGAGAAACAGTTATTTCCCTTTATTTCGCTAGGAGTACGAACAGTATGACGTATTTTGGTTTATATCTGACGTCAACATCTCTAACCGGGAATCGCCATCTGAATTTTTTTCTTAACGGACTGGTGGAGCTTCCGGGAGGATTCTTGTACGCTATTCTTGTTAACAGGTAAGTGGTGTAGAGACATTTTTCTGCCATCGTGTTATATCAGGTCGCATTATTGTAACACGACTCTCACCGTCTTATTGGTTTCATTCTTATTTCCCAAAAACACAGCTAACCAACGTGATGATATTTTGATATTAAATATTATACAGTAATAGCATGTTGATGAAGTAATTCCTATTTATGGTACATCTGGTTTAAAATGTTCTCCTGGCATGCTATACGAAGTTTGATACATTGCCACACGTGTCCTTTCGGGTCAATGGAAAACGTTGAATTACGACAAAATTAAAAGTAATTAGAATTAGATCGAGTATCAGCTCTTCCTGTTTCCTTATTTTCTGTTTTAATTAAAGAAATTCATTTTTTTGCTTTATCATTTAACGATTCATTATAACAGAATAGGCCGGAAGAAATGCAGCATTCTGTTCCATGCTATGACGGGAGTGGCTCTGATTGTGTCAGTAACCCTACTGGAGATCACAGGTAATGAATATCTCACCTTATCTTACTGACCAGATGATGGATTCACCTTATCTCACTAAACAGGTAATGGACCTTCTCACATTATCTCACTAAACAGGTAATGGACCTTCTCACCTTATCTCACTAAACAGGTAATGGACCTTCTCACCTTATCTCACTAAACAGGTAATGGACCTTCTCACATTATCTCACTAAACAGGTAATGGACCTTCTCACGTTATCTCACTAAACAGGTAATGGACCTTCTCACGTTATCTCACTAAACAGGTAATGGACCTTCTCACATTATCTCACTAAACAGGTAATGGACCTTCTCACATTATCTCCCTAAACAGGTAGTGAACCTTCTCACATTATCTCACTAAACAGGTAATGAACCTCTCACGTTATCTCACTAAACAGGTAATGGACCTTCTCACGTTATCTCACTAAACAGGTAGTGAACCTCTCACGTTATCTCACTAAACAGGTAATGGACCTTCTCACGTTATCTCCCTAAACAGGTAGTGAACCTTCTCACATTATCTCACTAAACAGGTAATGGACCTTCTCACGTTATCTCACTAAACAGGTAATGGACCTTCTCACATTATCTCACTAAACAGGTAGTGAACCTCTCACGTCATCTCACTAAACAGGTAATGAACCTCTCACGTCATCTCACTAAACAGGTAATGGACCTTCTCACATTATTTCTCTAAACAGGTAATGGACCTTCTCACATTATTTCTCTAAACAGGTAATGGACCTTCTCACATTATTTCTCTAAACAGGTAATGGACCTTCTCACATTATCTCACTAAACAGGTAATGAACCTCTCACGTTATCTCACTAAACAGGTAATGGACCTTCTCACATTATTTCTCTAAACAGGTAATGGACCTTCTCACATTATTTCTCTAAACAGGTAATGGACCTTCTCACCTTATCTCACTAAACAGGTAATGGACCTTCTCACATTATCTCACTAAACAGGTAATGGACCTTCTCACATTATCTCACTAAACAGGTAATGGACCTTCTCACATTATCTCAATAAACAGGTAATGGACCTTCTCACGTTATTTCTCTAAACAGGTAATGGAACTTCTCACATTATCTCACTAAACAGGTAGTGAACCTCTCACGTTATCTCACTAAACAGGTAGTGAACCTTCTCACATTATTTCTCTAAACAGGTAATGGACCTTCTCACATTATCTCACTAAACAGGTAATGGACCTTCTCACATTATCTCTCTAAACAGGCTATAAACCTAGTTCCCTTATGTCACTTAACAGATAATGGACCGACTCACCTTATCTTACTGAACAGGTGATGAACCTACACACCTGCACGATTTAACTAAACAGGTGATGGACCGACTCACCTTATCTTACTGAACAAGTTATAGACCGACTCACCTTATCTTACCGAACAGATGATGGACCGACTCAAATTATCTTACTAACCAGGTGATTAACCGACTCACCTTATCTTACTGGACAGGTGATGGACCGACTCACCTTATCTTACTGAACAGATGATGGACCGACTCACCTTATCTTACTGGACAGGTGATGGACCGACTCACCTTATCTCGCTAAACAGGTGATGAACCTTCTCACCTTACCTTACTGAACAGGTGATGGACCGACTCACCTTATCTTACTGAACAGGTGATGGACCGACTCACCTTATCTTACTGAACAGGTGATGGACCGACTCAAATTATCTTACTGAACAGATGATGGATCGACTCACCTTATCTTACTGAACAAGTTATAGACCGACTTACCTTATCTTACTGGACAGGTGATGGACCGACTCACCTTATCTTACTGAACAAGTTATTGACCGACTCACCTGATCTTACTGGACAGGTGATGGACCGACTCACATTATCTTACTGAACAAGTTATTGACCGACTCACCTGATCTTGCTGAACAGGTGATTGACCGACTCACCTTATCTTACTGAACAGATGATGGATCGACTTACCTTATCTTACTGAACAGATGATGGATCGACTCACCTTCTCTTACTGAGCAAGTTAGAGATCGACTCACCTTATGTTACTGAACAGGTGATGGGCCGACTCACCTTATCTTACTGAACAAGTTATAGACCGACTCACCTTATCTTACTGAACAGATGATGAATCGACTCACCTTATCTTACTGGACAGGTGATGGACCGACTCACCTTATCTCGCTAAACAGGTGATGAACCTTCTCACCTTACCTTACTGAACAGGTGATGGACCGACTCACCTTATCTTACTGAACAGGTGATGGACCGACTCACCTTATCTTACTGAACAGGTGATGGACCGACTCAAATTATCTTACTGAACAGATGATGGATCGACTCACCTTATCTTACTGAACAGGCGATGGACCGACTTACCTTCTCTTACTGAACAAGTTATAGACCGACTTACCTTATCTTACTGGACAGGTGATGGACCGACTCACCTTATCTTACTGAACAAGTTATTGACCGACTCACCTGATCTTGCTGAACAGGTGATTGACCGACTCACCTTATCTTACTGAACAGATGATGGATCGACTTACCTTATCTTACTGAACAGATGATGGATCGACTCACCTTCTCTTACTGAGCAAGTTATAGATCGACTCACCTTATGTTACTGAACAGGTGATGGGCCGACTCACCTTATCTTACTGAACAAGTTATAGACCGACTCACCTTATCTTACTGAACAGATGATGAATCGACTCACCTTATCTAACTGAACAGGTGATAAACCGACTCTCCCCATGTCACTAAACGGATGATGAACTTGCTTTATCTCAACCCACCGGCCTGATCTCACGTAACATGCAGGGGATCAATTTACCGCCTACGATTCATAACTCGATTCTTAAAAGATAGGAAAATAAAATCAGATGAAATACCCCCATGTCAAAAGAAAAAAACCACTAGATAATGGAGTCCCTCAAGGTAGTGTTATCTCGCCTACACTGGTTAATATCTTTATGAATAAACTTTACGAAAATCTACAGAAGTATTCACAGCAAAACAAAGAAAGCTAATATGGCACAATTTGCTGATGACACTAAAATACGGAGCACAAATGACGGTTATTATAAATAACGGTTACACTATACAGAACACTCCAAGATTGGGCTAATGAATGGGCTTTTGAAATCTCAAAGGGAAAAACATTGTAGTTATGTCCTTCGATATCAGACTTTAAAAACCAGATCTTTATCTAGATGACAAGCGCATACCTCAATGGAAACCACAATTTAGCCTCAGATAATGTGCTCAGTGCACTAGATGTAATTCAACACAAGGCACTTAGAATTGCATAAGGGGCTATTAAAGATGCACATCATTTAGTCTATAGGCAGAATCGGACTAATTGCCTCTAAATCTCAGAAGAGAAAAAACTTGTTCTCAAATATTCGACTAGGACGAAAACATTGGGACAAAATATTCCACCTGATAAAATGATAAAAGAAGCCAGGAAATCCGTTTATAGAGACAAATTAAAACAACAAAAGAAATCTGCTTACGATCGTCAGGTAGTTAAATTATTAAAGGAGTTTGATTTAAGACAATGATCAAATAGACGAAACGTTCCAAAATCCCTCACCACGTTGGTTTCTCAGTAAACCCAAACATAATAACGAAATTGTTAATTCTTCCAATAAGAAACTGAACCCAACAGGAGCGAAATAACATTCATTGCAGCCATAACAAACAAGTACAATGTTTATGTTAATTACTATACTGATCAACATTCCAACAACAGGTAGAGTAGGTATTGGAGTTCTCTCCCCTGACATCGGCATAACGATATCTGGTTGAATGGCGAACTACTGTTCTGTTTAATCCAGTGAACGCATTAGCTTTAGGCTTACCAATCAGGCTTTTAGATCAAACTAAACAGGACAGTCATCCTCTCAGGCAATCTTTCGGCACAACAATCTATAGACAACGAAGTCCCAAGTTGATATTCCCGGCAACGAAAGAGCTGACAAACTAGCCAGGAGAGCACTAAGTCAAAAATTCTAAATCTAAATCTAAAACAAAATTAAGATAAAAAACATCAATATCACGATGAAACACATATCATTAAAATAGTGAGTTATGTGGGAACAATCGGTCATGCCACCTTCTTCAGTCCCAAGCATTGAACAGCTAAAGCAGAAATGAATAATGTATTAAATAGTAATAAAATCCTTGTAAATTCCACCAATCACTAGATAGGCAGGGCATTGTCCACAACTTAATAATATATTTGAAACTATCGATTTCTCAACAAAATATACACCAGACAAACTATTAAACAATAAGTTGCAAAGGTGATGATACAGGATTTGGAGACTCGGGCCCATACCTAGGGCGCTCTAAGGGACGCGATAGGGCTCCTCTTCTGATTACCAGAACCTTGCGGAATACAATGCATAATAGATTGGTGTATCAGGATATCCAGGGAGACTGTATCTTAGGAGGTCTAAGGTGTCCTTCTTTGTGCCCCATTTCCCGCATATACGTTGTAAATATAGTTTACTCATACAGTACAGCGAAGACAGTTGTGTCTACCGGAGGTTCCGATAGGAATGCGTTCTGTTGAAACTATACACTGTAACAACACGTACATCACACATGTTAGAAAACAAACTTTAAGTCAATATCACACTCGTACAACACATGGTTTTATATGTATTTTACAGCTTCGTCATCTCGTCAGGACTTTACCATGTAAAGTGAAGATCTGTATCGCCATACAAAACACACATGGCGCATATTATTGGAAAACAAAATATTATAAGATAACATCACACTCGTACAACACATGGTTTTGCATGTATTTTACAGCTTCGTCACCTCGTCAGGTGCTCTTAGTTTGTACTATCACATAAAACAAACCCTGTAAAGGCATACGCACACTACCAGACAAATAATTACGACAATCACACCTCCCTTATAAGATAAGGGAACAAAAATCTGATACCAGGAACGGTGTGGAATTGCAGAAAATATTGACATTGTCAAAGCGAAAAAGCGAACAGTTACCTGATACCAGGAACGATGTTTAACAACAGAAAGTATGGACATAGCTAAAGCGAACAGTTTTCAGTGTTGCAGACAGAAGAAATGGATGGAAGACTTGCATATGGACGCCAACAATATATCAGCACCAACACCTTACCAACAACTAACTAATAACAGTCAGTCCGTCGGATGGGACTTCAAATGGTTACCTGCTTGGGAATGTCCAATTCGCACGATAAAGATCCATCTGTGGTTCTTCGAAAAAGATCTGGCGTTTAACGCCGACCCAGCGGATAGGGTTAGATTAACAAAAGGGATTATCAATGAAGTAATTTTGACGGATTTCCAAAATATTACAAAGATAATGAAAGTCATTATCTGTCCCTAACCGGTCCTCCTGCTGCGACGCGCCAAGTTCATGTTAGATCTACAATAAGGCCAAGAGGTCGTCTTCAAAATTAGAATTTAAGAACAGATTTGGTGGTATAGACGGCCCCTCTTTACCACATTATTCTATCACACTCTTTCCCGTCGTTTCATACTATATGTATTTCCCCTTCCTATCTTTTCTCAAACGCTGAAAAGTCGAAAGGCGTAATAGTGGACGTAAAATTCGCTAAGTATGATAAATACCTTACCTCGCCAAATGCTAGAAGTGTAAAGAAACTGTTTAAAAATGTTATATGTCAGTAAAAGAAAAAAAATTAAACGAAGTTAGACATTTTACACATACAATTACAGGAAGCAGAATTATTTGCTGAAAAAATGTGTTCTACATTGACGAATCATTTTATATGACGCAGTTTTTCAATTCTTCAGATCGTTTTGTCCTCTGTAAAATGTTCAATTCGTATTGAGTGGAAGTTTTCTTCAAAGGTTATAAACGGTAAATCTCGTTCAAATTGGAATTATCCAAATACTAGTATACAGGGCTTGTTGGGTAATGCAGTTGCAACGCAATCGCCTTTCACCTAAACGTCCAGGGTTTGATTCCTCGAATGGACGTGAAAATGACTACATATTATGAAATACTATTAGACACGGTGTCAAATTTTGCTTTTGTGAAACCTGGTTCATTGACTTCTTTCAGGACACCCTTGTTCCGATAAGATTGGTTCGTGATCTAAATGGTGTTTTTGTATATGAATTAGGTGATAATGTAAACAGTCCTCTTGCGATCCTGTCAACAGTCCTGAACTACGTCGGTAAACTTGGAATTGCATCTTCCTTCGCCTTGCTATTTCTTTACACTCCCGAACTCTACCCGACCAATCTCAGGTAAAAGTGTCATTCTTATTAACATTTAAAAGTATGCAAACTTGCTGTGAAATCATATATTTTCGATGGGCTCAGACTTCGTGTTTGAAGAAATCACAGACACTCTTTTTCTTGGGTAATGATAGCTCAATAAATTTACTTCAAACGTGTACTAGTTTTAACAGTTTGTGTATTATAAAATCATGGATCAAGAGTACCCTCGAAATTAATGAAAATAAAATCCCGCTAAAATTCAATAGTTCCCTGTATGTCAATAGGATAATTCACATTCACTATAATGATTGGTCAACTCAAATGATCCTTTGCATCCAAAGCTGGACAATATGTCGATGTTCAAAGAATAATTCAGAATTCTGAATTTTTTCCCTGAAGAATCTTTCGGTGTTGAAATTATGAGCTTTGCTTATAGAAGTTCAGCTGATGTCAACACTTTATTCATTATAGAAATGTTGGTCTGGGGTTGTGTTCGTCAGCAGCTCGCATCGGGGGAATGATTGCTCCATATTCCAACATATTCGTAAGTAGAAGAAAGATGCCGGGCCTCTTCATTATTCGCGTGTTCTATTGTTCATCAAATGTGGGTCTGGCGTCGATGAACTAGTCTTATTCAGAATATACCCATTTATGGTTTCTTCCACTGTAACTCAATCTATCTAACAATCTCGGATTTGTTCTCTGAAATTTGACATTTTTTCCCTAGTAATCCAGATTTTTCTGTTCTTTAGTTTGCCCATTTCAACATTTTCTGATTTCGATAGAATATTATTACCTGCTTTCGTATAAATTCCGTCACAGGTTTAATCTTGTAACGTGTAAATACAGACGTAAGCGTCATTTGGCATCCAGGTATACTTCACAAAAATCAAAATGTTGGCTTAGTGAGAAGACACCACTTTGCTACTAGATTTTAGTCCAGGTTGATTTTCTTTGTCAACAGGCGTCACACGTGATTTGGGGCCCAGGTGTGGTTTTTGGTATTTGTTGTATCATTGTCGCCTTTCTTACCATTCTGCTACCCGAGACGAACGGGAAGGAGCTGCCACAGACTGTCGAAGATTACAACGATTGGGTTAAACAAAAACCGAAAACGGCAGACAAGATATAGAGGATTAGGGAAGACAGACGCCGAAGAATCTGTCTATATAAACTATATTGACCACGTGTGGAGTTGCTGACCACGCTGTGTTTGTCCTCATATGTGAAATATAAAGTCCCCAGAGTCTTTTTCAACGTTTGTAAAGCCAGGCTTAAAATAATTACGTCATTACTTTTAATAAAGTTTATCATCTATGAGACAAAACCAATTTATCTAAATTGAGAATATTGTCAGCTGTTCTTTCACAGTACAGAAATAAATTCCTTTGTTATGAGCTTCACTATTTTCCAGTTATTTGATTTTGAAAAAGTTCCGTGGTCAAATTTACACAATCTGTGGTAGGTCATCACTTTGCACGTGTTTTACTAGTCAAGGGGTGGCATCTCCGAAGAATCTGGAAAAAAGGGGACTTTTGTTTTCACCTCAAAATGAATTCTTTTTAACTTGCATTGTCAGCTTTGATATTTAAGTAAAAGACTTGCATTGCTACATCACATCTGGTGATGACGCGACTTTTGCAAGTGTGACAAATTGGCGCATGCGGGATGTAGAAAAATATATCTATAAGTTTTAGTGCGTAGACTCGATATACAACGGAAAAAGCGAAAACGCGGACCAAATATTTCAGTTGACGAAATTCGTTGAAAACATTACTTTCACGCTGTCTCTTCAGAATGTCTTCACTGCCACATGGTTACCATACATCGTTCGCTCCCGCATGGACACATAATATGTGAACTCCCTGAGGTTCACCTCTCGGTATGATTCCTCTAGGAGGGTCGCCTCATCGTGTTTTTCAATTCAACAGCATCATTTCACAATGCTTTCACTCCTGGAGGATCACCTCACAATGTGTTCACTCTGAATATTCCGGAATATCTCGGAAGGAATGACCCACGTACTACTAATGACATTCGGAATAAAACGCATATCAACTGCACTTTCAAATTGTATGTGGTTACCATGGCAAACCTACATGTCGTGTTTTAATTCGCATGCATGTACTTGACGTTCCTCGGAATTTTTCATACAATATTGAAAAAAAGAAAGAAATTGATTGAATTTTGGAATTACCGCGCCTTACCTGGTTTCTGACAGTTATCATCACTGTTTTGATTTTTTTAGTCGCATACTGTAAGTTTCAGTAATCTAATCATTAACTTTTTTAACGAGACCTAGAAGGACGAAACAGCTATATGAAGCAGTTTGATTCAAAATTTTGCTCTTTTGTGTTTAATTCCAACGTTATATCAAAATGTATTTCTTGAACAGGCAAAGCCATGTTAAGGGGGATTCCCTTGTATTAACTGGTAGCTATCTCACTGAACAACATACGGGAGGCCCCTCAGAGCAATTAGGGTACTGATTCTGAATAACCATACTTCTTCCGAGTTTAAGATACAGTTGTACGTATATTTAATACGTGACATATTTCAGAACTAATTATTATATATACCCCGTAGTACATTACATTGTAACTTATTATGGATAATCTTTTATCAAGTACATTATATTGTAACTCTATCCCCGAGTACATTATATTGTAACTCTAAAAGGACAACATTATTGTAACTCTATTGTAACTCTATTTCCCTACATTTTAAATCTATTTACATTATCTTGTAACTCTATCCCCATACATTATATTGTAACTCTATAAAGTGTTATACAAAATTATATTTTTAACTCTATCCCCGAAACATTATATTGTAACTTATCCCCGAGAAGAAATGATCCCCTACATTATATTGTAACTCTATACATTATATTGTAACTCTATCCCCGAGTACATTATATTGTAACTCTATCCCCGAGTACATTATATTGTAACTCTATCCCCGAGTATAACTCTATCCCCGATTTATATTGTAACTCTATCCCCGAGTACATTATATTGTAACTCTATCCCCGAGTACATTATATTGTAACTCTATCCCCGAGTACATTATATTGTAACTCTATCCCCAAGTTGTAACTCTATCCCCGAGTACATTACATTGTAACTCTATCCCCGAGTACATTATATTGTAACTCTATCTCCGAGTACATTATATTGTAACTCTATCCCCGAGTACATTATATTGTAACTCTATCCCCGAGTACATTATATTGTAACTCTATCCCCGAGTACATTATATTGTAACTCTATCCCCGAGTACATTATATTGTAACTCTATCCTCAAGTTGTAACTCTATCCCCGAGTACATTATCTTGTAACTCTATCCCCGAGTACATTATCTTGTAACTCTATCCCCGAGTACATTACATTGTAACTCCATTCCCGAGTACAATATATTGTAACTCTATCCCCGAGTACATTATATTGTAACTCTATCCCCGAGTACATTATATTGTAACTCTATCCCCGAGTACATTATATTGTAACTCTATCCCCGAGTACATTATATTGTAACTCTATCCCCGAGTACATTATAATGTAACTTTATCCCCGAGTACATTATATTGTAACTCTATCCCCGAGTACATTATAATGTAACTCTATCCCCGAGTACATTATATTGTAACTCTATCCCCGAGTACATTACATTGTAACTCTATCCCCGAGTACATTATATTGTAACTCTATCCCCGAGTACATTATATTGTAACTCTATCCCCGAGTACATTATATTGTAACTCTATCCCCGAGTACATTATATTGTAACTCCAACCCCGAGTACATTACATTGTAACTCTATCCCCGAGTACATTATCTTGTAACATAGTTGTAACTCTATCCCCGAGTACATTATATTGTAACTCTATCCCCGAGTACATTATATTGTAACTCTATCCCCGAGTACATTATATTGTAACTCTATCCCCGAGTACATTATATTGTAACTCTATCCCCGAGTACATTATATTGTAACTCTATCCCCGAGTTTATTATATTCTAACTCTATCCCCGAGTACATTACATTGTAACTCTATCCCCGAGTACATTATATTGTAACTCTATCCCCGAATACATTATCTTGTAACTCTATCCCCGAGTACATTATATTGTAACTCTATCCCCGAGTACATTATATTGTAACTCTATCCCCGCATACATTATATTGTAACTCTATCCCCGAGTACATTATCTTGTAACTCTATCCTCGAGTACATTATATTGTAACTCCATTCCCGAGTACAATATATTGTAACTCTATCCCCGAGTTGTAACTCTATCCCCGAGTACATTACATTGTAACTCTATCCCCGAGTACATTATATTGTAACTCTATCCCCGAGTACATTATATTGTAACTCTATCCCCGAGTACATTATATTGTAACTCTATCCCCGAGTACATTACATTGTAACTCCATCCCCGAGTACATTATATTGTAACTCTATCCCCGAGTTGTAACTCTATCCCCGAGTACATTACATTGTAACTCTATCCCCGAGTACATTATATTGTAACTCTATCCCCGAGTACATTACATTGTAACTCTATCCCCGAGTACATTACATTGTAACTCTATCCCCGAGTACATTATATTGTAACTCTATCCCCGAGTACATTATATTGTAACTCTATCCCCGAGTACATTATATTGTAACTCTATCCCCGAGTACATTATATTGTAACTCTATCCCCGAGTACATTATATTGTAACTCTATCCCCGAGTACATTACATTGTAACTCTATCCCCGAGTACATTATATTGTAACTCTATCCCGGAGTACATTATATTGTAACTCTATCCCCGAGTACATTATATTTTAACTCTATCCCCGAGTACATTACATTGTTACTCCATCCCCGAGTACATTATATTGTAACTCTATCCCCGAATACATTATCTTGTAACTCTATCCCCGAGTACATTATATTGTAACTCTATCCCCGAGTACATTATATTGTAACTCTATCCCCGAGTACATTATATTGTAACTCTATCCCCGAGTACATTATATTGTAACTCTATCCCCGAGTACATTATATTGTAACTCTATCCCCGAGTACATTATATTGTAACTCTATCCCCGAGTACATTATATTGTAACTCTATCCCCGAGTACATTACATTGTAACTCTATCCCCGAGTACATTATATTGTAACTCTATCCCCGAGTACATTATATTGTAACTCTATCCCTGAGTACATTATATTGTAACTCTATCCCCGAGTTGTAACTCTATCCCCGAGTACATTATATTGTAACTCTATCCCCGAGTACATTATATTGTAACTCTATCCCCGAGTACATTATATTGTAACTCTATCCCCGAGTACATTATATTGTAACTCTATCCCCGGATACATTATATTGTAACTCTATCCCCGCGTACATTATATTGTAACTCTATCCCCGAGTTTATTATATTGTAACTCTATCCCCGAGTACATTACATTGTAACTCTATCCCCGAGTACATTATATTGAAACTCTATCCCCGCATACATTATATTGTAACTCTATCCCCGAGTACATTACATTGTAACTCTATCCCGGAGTACATTACATTGTAACTCTATCCCCGAGTCCATTATATTGTAACTATATCCCTGAGTTGTAACTCTATCCCCGAGTACATTATATTGTAACTCTATCCCCGAGTTTATTATATTGTAACTCTATCCCCGAGTACATTACATTGTAACTCTATCCCCGAGTACATTATATTGTAACTCTATCCCCGAGTACATTATATTGTAACTCTATCCCCGAGTACATTATATTGTAACTCTATCCCCGAGTACATTATATTGTAACTCTATCCCCGAGTACATTATATTGTAACTCTATCCCCGAGTACATTATATTGTAACTCTATCCCTGAGTTGTAACTCTATCCCCGAGTACATTATATTGTAACTCTATCCCCGAGTACATTATATTGTAACTCTATCCCCGAGTACATTATATTGTAACTCTATCCCCGAGTACATTATATTGTAACTCTATCCCCGAGTTTATTATAATGTGACTCTATCCCCGAGTTTATTATATTGTAAATTCAACCCCGAGTACATTATATTGTAACTCTATCCCCGAGTACATTATATTTTTACTCTATCCCCGAGTACATTATATTGTAACTCCAACCCCGAGTACATTATATTGTAAATTGAACACCGTGTACATTGTAAACCACTCCCCACAGAACATTATCGGAAAAGATATCCGTATGTATGTCTTCGTCACGTTAATTTTTATATGCAATGTCACAAACGTGTTGCATGCAACAAACCACTCCAGTATATATACTGGTGTCTTTGAGCATTCGTCCATTCAGGCTCGTACATTGATATTCCAACGTCAGATATGGACGACGACTTCGAAAATATGTCGGAAATAAATCCAACAGGAACTTCACGTGTGGTGGTGGATGATATATGGCGGGTTCTCCGACCTTGGAGTTATTATCAGATGTTCCAGCTTCCCATCATTCTCCTTGGATTCTTTCCTGTAGCGTACGGCATGCTGATACACGTGTTCATAGGTATGTTGTATATATATAGCTAAATATATCAATAATGTACTTTCTGTTGCTATTTTAGAATCACCAGGCATATATAAACAGCAATCTTTTAGCAATTCACATGGAACCGATGTAAATAATTAAGAGATCTCTTTAACCTTGAATAAAAAAAAGTCTATAAATAATATATACGTATAGGGTTTTAGGTGTACATAATATATCGTTAAAATCTACAGCTTGATATTCGCCTGATCACCGAACCATAACTTTGGCAATTTGTACGTTGTCGAGAGCTCCCATTGTTGTCGAGTCTTGTTCAATAATTCATGTGTTAAGATTGACTACAGTAATTTTTTTTTTGTTTTCTACACGATATTAAGTCTGAGAGGGATTATCTAGAAAGTAACATCGACGATACAATAATTGTACTGAATCATCGGAATAACACCGGAACAGATATATGATCGATGAAGTAATAACGACAGTAAGGACAGGTATACTTAGATTCTCATACATAGGCTATAAAACAAAGACAAAGTTACAAACGATAACCGAGAATGATAATATGCCGATAATCCCTCCGGTCGACAGAGGCCGAAGCGGTCTCTTAAATACATTTTTATCTAGATAATAAGGTCGCTCACCTGAAATGATCGGGGCACTTCTTTATGGAATGAAGATATTGATAGGCCAGTCACAGGGGGCTAACTCTATGAAAATATATATTATTAAAAAAATTATTTTATAGAAGATGAACTTGCCACCATACTGCGCACACGGCGAATTTGTTTTTCTTCAGAAAAATATTAATTTGAAAAAGAAGTAAAAATCCAGGAATTGGTATTTTTCAGTAAAATATCTCTCCATGTTCGGACACGGTGGTTACTTCCAATTTCTACAAGGAAATTATTTCAATAAAAGATAATTCCTTGTGGCGCCAGCTACTATAAAGCCTGTGTATAACCTATCATTTTTATAATGGAAATACTGGTTTGACATGTGAATTTCACGGAAAGAGAGTGTGTCCAAAAAATCAGGGATGGAATAATGTAAAATTCTAGTTACAAAGCAGTTTTTAAGTATTCGTTTTGATACAGCTGTTGATATTGTGTGAACGTTTGCCGCCTCATTGCTGAAGAGTTCCGCGCGTCATCTGTTGACGGCACATCCCAGTCCCTTTCGACATTATGTATACTATTACTACAAATAAAAAACACATGTTTTGGTTAATGGGGTTGGCACTTTCTGATGTCTGTAGACTCCCGCCGTCCATTCACTGTTTTTAACGTTATCACCATGAAATATCCAAATGAATAAGTATGCAATATTGATTGATATGGATGTATGGTTTGACCTGTGACCTTTAGTGACCTATATACTGACCTTTGGTAAAACATTACTTCGTAATAAGACGTGAAAAAAAATTCTTGTATACATAATTATTTTTGGAATTATGACATTTGGTGACCCATATATTGACCTTTGGCACTAATATAGTGAAGTTTGACATAACTTTACATTGTAATACGACCTGCAAATGAAAAGTCTACGATAGTGATTAATATTGATGACTTATTTGACTTCCGACCTTTTGTGACCTTTATGAGATAACTTTACATTGATATAAATGTGCAAATAAACAGCATACCATATCGATTGATATTAATGACAAATTTGACATGTGATCTCTGGTGACCTATATATCGATATTCGCCATATGCCTGTTATCTAAGAATGAGTGCCATCAAAAAATTGTTTATTGATAGAAATAGGTGACCATGAACATATGTTAACTGTTATAATTGACGAATGACTCGATTCTGCTTCAACATATTGATGTACATTAACTATATTTATCTTTATTTCGCAATTAACATATCATCCTTTTTCAAGTTGGAATGGGTAGTGTTTCTGTTGTATGTTCGATAGAGAAAGCTATGTTCATATGCGTGGGTAGTAAAAACCAGTTAACATACCCGTAAACTGTGTATATTTGTCCTTCTATTTCAACGCTTGTGGAATATCTACGTTAGATTGTGTTGCAAAGCAATTGATTAAAAGGACGGGCAATAATATCGCAATAGTCAACATATCACAATATTTGTCTAGTAACAAGATATTGATATGAATTTTCAGTATCGTAATATATTGCAGAGAATTTCTCCAGCTACTTTAGGGATTTAACCTCAGAATTTTTATAATTTTGTAGCGATTTTTGTTATGGAAACCGGATTCAAATTGTTTCATGTAATCTTAAGCTTGTGGTGTTCTATAGCTTCAAAATTATTCAAAATTATGAGTCACTGCATAAAATAAAGTTATAGCTCTATTGTGAACACGTTTGTTCTACAAAAAAAAATCATTTATATATTTGAATATTGTATCATATTGCAATACGAAAGCCACAATACCGACCCTTTTTACAACCCTTTAAGGCGACGAAGCACTTAAACTGTCATATGCCATTCATAAACCAATTTGTATAATTTGTCTTTTTTCTGACAAGAAAACAAGTGATTACTTGCTTCTTGATTGTGATATTCTAGATCACGTTCAGTTTTACAATTTAAATTCACTGTTACGTGAAATATGTGAATTTTATTTTTTTCATAATTTTTTTTATAGTTATGAAACACCGCATGAGCGATATTTTTTATTCGTATTTAATAGATAAAAAAAACCTCGGTCTTGACATATCTCAAAGACTTTTAAGTTTCCAATAAAGTGTATATATTTTATCAATTTCAACGTATAATTTATGGATTTCCATTTGATTTTTTTTAGTAGTTTCGACTTATTTTGTCATGTTATGGAGTGGCACCCGTCATCCGACGTCCTGTGCACCGAAGAGACCCAATAGGGGAATAAAGAAAATTATTTTGTTGGGGATGGGAAGGGGTTGGGTGAGCAGGTGTTTGGGAAGTGGCAGATTTGGGAAATCGAGCAAATTATTTAAAATCTGTCTTCATATGTAGGAATACCAGGATTCTATCTGAATAGAGGGAAAAAATGGGAAGATTTCAATTTTGTATAAATCACGGGTCTGACTCCCACGGGTCAAATCCATTTGAAAATCCTTCCCCATCTGTTTTGATCAAGAGCGATGGTGATAAAATCAAACCCGGGCGCTTGAGCGATACAGGCCCCTGGAACCTCTTGTTTAATGCATTTCCCCGTACATAAGACCTTTTAATGAATAAAAAAGATGCCTGGAGCGGTCTCCAAATCTAAAACAAGTCTGACCTTTTGTAGTTCATATACATGTAGTTTGTCCTTGGTTTTTTGCCATTTATGTAAATATATATAACGACAGTAGAACCTGATTTTGTATTTAAATCACTACAGCACATACCAGTAACATCATCTACATAAGGATAAGTTTGGAAACCTGAGCGGAAACCACGTGAGTTTTCACCGTGTAAGACTATATAAGATCTCTCGCACACTTCCACCCAGTCAAACAAGAGTGATTACTTATTTCAATTGCAAACTTGGCGTTATCTAATTGTGATGGGGAAAGGATAAAAAAATAATTCCACTTACAAAATTTTCGTTGAGATAAGTAATTTTATAGGTGCCAGTTACGCGTTGCTCCAGTTGACGTTCAAATTTTCCATGAATATCAATTGAGAGCAGTTTAATAGAAGCTGATCAATGCGTTTGAAATTGTTGTGTATTTTGCTTAACAATTTCACCTGTACCTTGTAGTATGTACATTTGTATCTCATTTTTAAAGCGTGTAGTTTAATTTCGCGGTATAATGCCAGCTTGAAGGAGATGTTTTCTGTGTAGTTTTGTAGTTGTAATTAAGTCCAATCCAATTTCCTTGTATCGGTGTAGTTTAATACGTATATACATACAGGGGTATGTATGAGGAGTGACAATTATACCCATGGTAGAGCTTTTCTTTATACTTAATAACAGATAGAGATCAGGTAGGCAGACCATATTTAGCTAGATATTAGATATAGTGGAATAAGCAAGTGATACATATGTTACAAAAGGCACCAGTATACAGATAAGCACCGCCACACCCATCACACATAATCATGACATGTGCACTATTAATCAGATGAATGTAACATTAGCTGTAGGTCAACAAACACTGCTGATCATGTGATCGCCTACCTTATCACGGCCTAGGAACAGTGTACAAACACATCTCTTACATTCGTATTTCAAACTAATTATTGTATAAAAATTACTTTACTAAAATAACTGCTAGTGGTTCAACAGTTTTGACAGCCGAACTAAATCATCAATTGTAATGAATTCCTTCGATGTGTAAGACTTTTAAAATATTGATATAGATTCTTAAAGAAAGTGTTTAATTTCTTTGATTTTTTTTTATGAGATATGAAATACTTACTGTAACCTAGACTTGGTTTTGGGATCCGGACCGAGATTGGGTACGGCGTACGGTGTACGTCAGTGGTCGACGACATGAAAGGAACCCTTGCGGTGAAAGTTTTAGAAAGTGAACGCCGTGATGTATACGTGGAAATTTTACAACATTAAAGGGCAAACGGTATGGACAAGATCATTCGTACGGTATACCGCCACAAGCATAGATTTTGCGATTTCGGCAGAGTAGCATTTTTTTAACCGGACGGAAATGTCTACCAAGCCATTTCTGCCATTATTTCGAATTCCTCAGGTCATAACTTAGTCAATCTCGTTCATCAAACACTGATTGGGAAAATAAAACATTTCTCTTCACGGAAATGTAGGTGTTACTGATATCTGCGGACCCTAGAATATAAAAAAAATGATTGAAAAAAAAGTATGTTCAATTTTCAAACCAGACCACGCAGAGTTAGAGAAGTTCTGGAAGGGCACGCGCCATATTAGAGATTGGGCTGACAACAGCCGTTATTCCAACTGTGAGTATATTAGGGTACCCTGATTCATCACTTCCTAATAAAGTCCTAATTTGTAAAAAAAATCTCAGAAAATTATAAGACGGATGGTCCAGTATTCGAAGTTGACTACTGCATTTAGGCATATTGCTCACAAATCTT